GTCTATAACTTTGAATAAACTATATTATCATTATATTTTAAGAGAAATGCCTTAAATTAATTTTCTTCAGAATATTAAATATATTAAAAGTGATAATAAATATAAATATATTAATATTTATTCTGCGCCTGTAAAAAGCAAATATTTGTAAAAATCTTCTAATCTCAGAAAATTTTCCAGATAAGTAATATAAGATTTCTTATAAATCAGAAAACTTATAAAAGCGTACAGGACCATCTCTATTTCCTACATGAATAGCTAAAAATGCTTCCACCATATATACAAAAGAATTGACAATCAATGTTGTCTTAGAGCATTTGAAAGTTCAATAATTCTTATAAATAGAGTGATTTAAGGCAATTTTTTCAATATTATCTTTAACATTTTCTATATGTGAAGAATTATAATTAGAATTTAGTTCATTTGCATCCTTATCTAAATAATGAAATTTATTAGAGTTTTTTCATCGTATTACAAAGTAGGAAAAATAAATATTCAAAGAAGACTTATTCTCTTTTTTTTTGAAAAAGAAAACGAAATATTTATAACTAAATAATACTTAATAGATTCTAAAGATTTTTCGGAAATGTTTATAAAAACAAAGTTAAATATATGAATAATTGAAGCATCCAAAGATTTTTTATTAATAATCAATTAAAACTCGTAATAAATATAATTTATTTTTAATAGCATTTTTTATAAAATCTATTATATTTTCTATAATATTCATTGTCTGCTATATCTTTTGTTTATTTTAATTTTTATCTGATTATTTTTTTCAATATCAAAATACATTTTTAATATTAGTTAAAATTTATTTTTTTTTACTACTTTTCTAAACATTTATATATTATGAATAAATCTTTAAAAGATATATAGAATAAAGATTTTATTACATCTTAAGACATTATATATTATTCTTAATAAATACTGCAAATATAAAACACCTTTTTACATTAATAACAATAAATATATTCTTTTTGCATTCAAAAATTAAAGTTATTTTAAAGTTGGAAAATAATGACAAATATAATTATTAAAAAATAAATATTTAAATGAAAATATTTTAAAATGAATACTTAAAGAAATTTAAAGTTTTCTTTAAATTAAATGTTTTATTTTTATCAATCGACTGTTTATAATTTTTAACTAATACAAAATATGAATCGTTCAACCATAATATACTATTAATCAGATTTTCAGCCGTAACTCGTAAACACAATTTGATTTAAACATGTCTTATTTTTTAGCAAAGCTCATTTTTTGGATATCTTTGAAAATATTCTATCTTACAAACCAAATTTCTTTGCAAATGTATATTAATTATATTTAACAAGAGAAAAACAAACATATCTTTATTTGATACTTTTACATACTTATTATTACAAAATATTTTCAAATTTTAAAGAATTATCCATACTCCTAATGTCATTCCTATAATTGCACAAATTAACATTTCCTTCTGAAATCCTTCTACACGAACACCATGACCTTTTTCAGCTGCTTCAAGGGTTTTTTCGGGGGTCACTGTCACTGTCACTGTTTCTGTAATTGAACATTGATCTTCAGTTTCCTCTTCCCCATGCGTATTATCTGAATCAGGTCCATCATCATCAGTATGTTCTGTCCCTTCTTCAGTAGGCTCTTCCTCTTCTTCAGTAGGTTCTCCCCCTTCTACAGTAGGCTTTTCCTTTTCATCAGTAGGCTTTTCCTCTTCTTCAGTAGGCTTTTCCTCTTCTTCAGTAGGCTTTTCCTCTTCTTCAGCAGGCTTTTCCTCTTCTTCAGTAGGTTCTTCCTCTTCTTCAGTAGGTTCTTCCTCTTCTACAGTAGGTTCTGGTTCAAGTGTTTCTTCTTCTGTTTTTGTAGGTCTGCCCAAACAACATGTTTTTGTCTTAATATATGTTTTTGTATAAGTATGCGTTTCCGGCGCCAGTTCTGTTACTAGTACCGTGGATACAGAAAGTATAGTATGTGTCTTAGTAAAATCGGCTTGAACTGGTAGTTCCGCAGGAGAATGTTCAGGAGGAGGAGAAGGATGAGGACCAGGAAGACCTGCACCCAAACACTTATCCTGCACTTTTTTGCACGATTCTGCTAAAATGTCTTTGCAAAAGTCTTTTAGATCACAACATAAATCCCAATGTTCTTTGCAAAATTTTTTATCATAATTAGTGTTTGATTCTTGTTTAGCTTTCGTTTCTTGACATAGCGCCAATAAAAACTGTGATAATCTTTCACATACAGATTTGGTGGGTGGACACAAAGAATATAAGGCCTTGAAAGAAGAATTATCGTTCTTTCTAGTTTCAAGAATAGAACAGCACTTCTTTGATAATTCCATACAGTCATCCTCAGTAAACCCAGACTTAAGTCCATATAAAAACGATCGTAACACAATATCATCACCTCGTTGTCCATCTCTTACTCGAGACTCAAAGTTACTGATCACCTTGCGAGCCGTTTCATCTAGATCAGAGAATGATTCCGGTAGTGCACGTTCTGAGACCTGTACTTCCTCCTCGGGATAATCATATTCAAATGCCTTTTCTGTAACAGAATCAAAAGTATCAGTAAATTCTAAAAAAATGTTAAAAAAAAATAAAAAAAAAAAAAAAAACCTGTATTATATATATCTCTTGAAAAAACACGTGTTACAAATATAAAAATAGCAAGAAAAGATATCTTCATCAATAAAACACTAAAAAGAAACAAAATTTACTGTTTCTATAAAAAGAGATTTTTTAATTTGAAAAAATTAGGAGTCGATCGACGTTCCGAACTTTAATCGATTACAAAAATATTCAAATATATATATATAAAGCATAAACAAATACATAATATTTTTGATTTACTATTTACATTGATGATTCTTAAGATTTATAACTTTTTTTCTATAAATATATTTAAATTTTTTTATAAAATATAATAAGGATGAAAAGTTAAAAATTAAAACATTTTTATTTAGTAATATTATTACATAATTTATTTAGAGCGTTTTTTTTTAAAAATACATTAGGTTTATATATATTTCTTTTTATTTTTATGCATTTAAACTAGTTTTCAATTTTTCTTTAATATTTTTTCGCACTTTTTTCACATTTTTTTCCACGGGTTTCTTTTATTCTTAAACCTAGATTTATCAAAAGTTCAATTACGAATAGTTTATAGGGTTTTATTATTTTTTTTTTCTATACTTTTATTTTATTAAATATTCATTTGATGAATACAATTATTTATATTGTATATTTAGAATCACGCATGCTTTAAATAAATTAGTTTTTTTTTGAATATTTTGTTAATTTACTCTTTGTTTTTGAATTTATTTTTATACTTTTTTAAAGGGTTATTTAATGCATAAAATATAAATGTATGACTAATTATTTATTTTTTTGAATAACATTATTAATAGATATTATAATATTTAAATAACTTAATGATAAAATAAAATTGATGAATCATTTAAATTTTAAAATATTACTGAAAAATTTTATAAAATTATCTACATTATTTAAATAAAAAGTATCTAAATTATTTTTTTTAAACCCTTTATTATCTAAACTTTTATGTGTTTTGTTGTATCTTTTTCATTTTTTTGAACTTTTTAATCATTTAATTAAAATCATAAAATTAACTATATTTTTATTTCAAATAAATGAAAAAAACCAAATATCTATGTAAACATTTTAATGGGTTAAAAAAATAGATTCAAAGAATAAAAAACTTTATAAATAAATCATAATATATTATTTTTAAAATATTAATAAACAAAAATCATATTTTTTAAACTTTTAAGTATTAAATATTTTTTAATCACTATTTTTATAGATAAAATATTATCACATATACATATATAACTAAAAAGATATTGTCTAAAAATTTATGTGGGATGTTATGGCTTTTATTTTAATATTTTTCTATTTTTTTATATTTGATTTTTGAATTAACGCGTTAAAAATGTGTTGTCAAGACAACATTGATATCAAAATTATATCAACAGGACTATTTATAAAATATCAGAAAAACAAGGTTTATAAAAATATTCTGGAAAACTTTCCAAGAAAATTGCTACACATTTCCAGCTGTGTTCTCGTTTAAAAGGCATTTGGACTGGTTAGCTTTGATATGAGCTCTGAGGTATGTTTAAACATGATTTAAGAAGTTTTAAATCAAACAACTATTTATTTAAATTATTAAAATTATGATTAAAGAATTTTCTGTTTATATTTTCTTAAATTAAGAGGAAACTTCTTTTTTTGGGAGCATATTTTTATGAAAAAATAACTCATAAATATATAGGCTCAAAAGTCTCTTCCGTATTGCATAAAACATAATGAAAATATCAAACTTGCTCCACAAAAACAATATAAATGCCAATTAGATTTTTCAGAACACAGTTGTAATTCTCAAACGATTAGTAATATTTCTAAAATGACAGCCAAAAGAATAGTGCTTTCTGACGTTAGCAATAATCATATTAAACCTTCTTTTATTCAGTCAAAATTAAGTAGTCAAAAAGCTCATAATATTGAAGGGGATGTCTTTCCAGAAATTTTACGTCAATTGCATTCAAAGGAGAAAAACAGCATAGAGTATGAAAACACAAATCAAAAAGATTTAATCAACCATTCTTTATATAATCAGAATCAAGAAGAATTGAATGAAGATTTAAAAGATAAAAGGCTATCCTATAATTTTATTCCTTATATTTTGAAAAATAAAGAAAATACAACACGACATAAAACAGACAATACTTGTACCGATCTTCTAAAATATACTAAACCCGATATTATGGAATTAAAAAGAATCAGGAAAGAATTTGTTGAACAAATTGATGAATGGGATACTACAATGGCTCACGAATATTCTGACGAAATATTTGCTTACATGCATGAACTTGAAGTTAGCATGCTTTTTATGTTTATTCATTGTTATTAAAATTTTTAGGTTAAATATAAACCAAGCCCAACTTATATTGAACATCAACCTGATATGCAATGGTCAATGCGTTCTGTACTAATTGATTGGCTTATTCAAGTTCATTCTCGATTTCATCTTCTCCCCGAAACACTCTATCTTACAATTAATTTAATCGATCGTTTTTTATCTGTAAAAGTTGTATCTCTTCCTAAGTTGCAGCTCGTTGGCGCTACTGCACTTTTTTTGGCTAGTAAATATGAAGAAATTATATGTCCCTCGGTTCACGAAATAGTGTATATGGTAGATTATGGATATTCTTCAGAAGAGATTTTAAAGGCAGAAAGATATATGATTAATATGCTTAATTTTGATCTTGGATGGCCTGGTCCAATGAGTTTTTTGCGGCGAGTATCAAAAGCGGATGAATATGATCTAGATACTCGTACTCTTACAAAATATCTTTTAGAATTAACTGTTATGGATTTTCGATTCATAGGAATTTTACCAAGTTTTATTGTCGCAGCTGCTCATTATCTTTCTCGTTGTATGTTAGAAAAGGGAAGTTGGGTAAGTTTTTATATTATAAATATTACAAAATTATAATAATAAATTTAGACAGATGCACATGTTTATTATTCATCATATACTGAACGTCAATTATTACCTCTCGTTAGCATTATATTGCAATGTTTACAATCTCCAAAAAAGCATCATAATGCAATTTATGAAAAATATGCAGATAAAAAATTTAAAAAGGCTAGCAAGTTTGTAGAAAGTTGGATGGCAAAGCATGCATAATTAAAATATATCCCATTATTTTTCTAAATACAAATAATAACGAACCCTATAAAACTGTGAATTAAATTGGTTTAAAATACAGGTTTTTATTTTTTTGAATTTGTAATTTTTGTGAATAATTCAAGCATATCGGTGTATTGCATCTTTTCATTTTTTTGTTATTCACATAAGTAATTATTTTAATAAATTATTATTTTAAGTTTATTTTTATATTTTTTGAAACATGAAAACCAACTTGAAAAATTAAAAATATTTATCAAGTAATGATATAGAAATTTAGTCCTATATAATTATGCTAGAATTATGGCCCAAAAATATAAACAGAAAAATACACAACATAAAGTTACATCAAGGGTTAGTTTATAAATACGAATGAGAAATGACTATGGACTAAAAACTAAGCCATAAATTCTAAAATCGACTAAATAAAATATTAATATCTGTAATGTCTAAACGAGATAAATAAAAATATTTAACTCATTGTAGTATCTCCGTTCGTATTTATATTAGAAAAATCGAATTGTTGTGTATTAGAAATTTCTGCATTGCTAACCATATTTCCAAAGCTGAATGTTTGACCTTCTACATGAGGTGCTAATCCAGGATCGACCTAGATAAAATTAGTAGTACTTCTATCATAAAAAAATACTAACATCATCATCATCATTAAAATATTTTTCAATTATATTATATGACCTTAGATAAATTTCTTGATTTGAATTCTGTTGAAGGTTATGAATCTTTTCCATACCTCCTGCTTCTTCAATATACAACGCAAACCGATTTAATCCCCCTTTATTTTCTTTATCCAATTCACCAATTTTTAAAATATTCTCAAGACCATCTAAAGCCACTTGGATAATTTTATTATCCAAACAAGTTAAAAGATCACATAAAGGCTTTATACATCCTTGAGAAACCAGATATCTTATTTGATCGGGCTTAGATAACCCCCCAGATGTTGCATTGCTTAAAGCCCAACATGCTTCCTTTTTAGTCTTAAAGTCCGCATTAGCAAGTAAATTAATAAGAGGAGGAATAATATTGGCATCAATTACGGCTTGAATTTGAGTACAATTACCAGCAGTTATATTAGAAATTGTCCAACAAGCTTCCTTTTTAATTCCATCTTTTGGAGATGAAAGTAAAGATAATAAGGCCTGAAGTGCACCACAATTAATTATAACCTGAGTTTGAATATCATCTCCAGTAACAATGTTTCCTACTGATCTTAAAGCAGGCGTTTGAACAGAAGTCGAGGGATGCCTTAAAAAATTAATTCTATACTTTTAAAATAGATGAAATATACATAAGTAATTCTACTAAGCGTCTAGGAATTCCTGCGTCAATAATTGCTTGAATTTTATCATTGGATCCATCACTTAAATAACTTATAGCCCAACTAGAATCAATCAAAACTTCATCATCCAATGAAAAGATCAATTTAGCTAGGACAGGTAGCGCAGGCGAAATAGTATTCCAATCAGGTTGTGGATTTTTTCCTCGGCAAAAGTTAGAAAGAGTCCAAGTGGCGTTACGAAGCATTGAAAGTTTTCGAGACTCTGTCAAAAGAGAAAGTAAGGGTTTTAAAGCACCTGCACGAAGTACGAAATCCCTGCATTCCGGTGAATCGCCTGCAATATTACCTAATGCCCAAACCGCCTAATTTCGATAAACAAAATAACTAAAAAATAATAATAGTGAAACCTGTTCCCTAACATCTGCTTCAGGACTTGATAAAAGTTCCACAAATATAGGAACTGCACCTGCCTCAATAACAACTTGAGTTTGACTAGAACTACCGCTAGCAATGTTAGTAAGAGCCCATGCTGCCTCAAACTAAACCAATAATTTGATATAAATCAATTTAATGGAAAATGATATATTTACCTGAACCAATGTATGAGGACTTTTTAAAAATTCCACAAAGCGACTAACAACCCCACATTCAATAACTTTTTCGATAGGCGGATTTCTTTCTTTCGATAAAAGCTTCCTGAACTTAGTTGTCGCTGGAATTTGTTCCTCTATATTATCAGAAAAAACACCTGAAATCATCATAGGTAATTCATTATTAAGCTATAAATAATGTAAGTCTATGAATAAAAAGGGGCAAATAATAATATATATATATGATATAATTTATATAAAACCCATGAAAAAAAAAGAAATATACTACATTATGTAGTATTAAAATCCATATCTTTCCCCTTAAAAAATCTAGTAATAAAATGTCGACTTATAAACAATGATTATCTTAATCAAAACCCCAATAATAACTGTTTAAAAAACCCATCTTAATACATATAACATATCATATAAACCACAAATATATCCTATATTCAAAAAAATATACATAAAAAATATACCTGATTTTCAAGATGAAGTGCCGATTCTTCGTCATCACTCTCTGTAGTTTCTATACTCGAAAGATTCAAATTCCGTCGTTTTGCTAACGAATCATCCCGCATCTGTCTCCTAATCTCTAATCGCTGTTCTTCACGTCTTCTTCTTAGTTCATCCATTCCAAATATATTCTTGGATTTGAAGTTATTTCGACGATATTCCGGCACGAATCTACTTGTATCAAGATTCGTCATATTATTTCCCTATATTAAGCTTCTATATAGACCCCTTCTTTATTATTTATTTAAAATTTCCTTTTAACCCTTTTTTAAGGCTTCGTGAATATTATGAAATTATTACAAAATATTAGGTTAAACATATAAAAATTATGGTCGACAGCTTAATAAAAAAAGCAATTCAATATTAAAGTAATCTAGCTAAATAGTTTATAAAGAGTTAAATAATTATAATATTTAAGCATAAAAATATGAAATAGATTTTCATATATATAAGGAAAAAGGAAAGAATGAAAAGCAGGATGAATAAGTTTAAAGACATTCTATGAAGAAGAATGCGTCTGCCGGGAATCGAACCCGGGGCCCATCGATGGCAACGATGGATTTTACCACTAAACCACAAACGCTTTTTAAGGAAGGCGAATTAATGTTGTATAAAAATAAAAGTGGATAGATTAAAAAGGGATAAAAAGGGATAAAAAGCTAAAATATTTTTATTAGCTATGATTTTCTAATTTAGAGTTTAAATATATAATGTTTTAATATAATAAAAATAATTATAAATTTAAGTATAATATAAATAATTTATTATATTTGTTTTTATGTGTAAAAATAGTTAGTAATTTTAAGTCATAATTCCTTAAAAAATAATGAAATAAAAGTTAAAAAGTCATTATATTTTATAAACTTTTTCTATATAAAACGTATATAAATATTAATAAATTTTAAAAATCAATAATAAAAATCAATAATTAATAAAAATCTATAATGGAATAAAATAATATATATTTGAGATCTTAATTGTATATTTTTACATAAATAAAATCAATTTTTATTATCAATTAAAATTAATTTACTATATGATTAAATAAGAAGATTACAATACAAGTATGTTTAATTCTTATATATTTTTTTAAATATATGTTAAATTACTAATTAAAAAGTTTATAGAAGGTCATATTTTTTTTTGGAAAAAAGAATTCATTAACTGAATTTTTAGAAAAAAATGTCTATACAACCATTACCATCTAATGGAATGTATTATTTTCGTATTCAGGTTTATTAAATATTTTTTTTAAAGTCTATATCAAATATTTTAAACAGTATAATGAATATCATTATATTAGTAATCTTCAAGCAGGCTCAATAGTTAATCTTATAGGTATTCTTGCCTCGTTTAAAGACTCTAGAAAATCCAGAGGAACAGGTAAAATTGAATATTTAAATTATAAAATTTAATATTTTCAAGATTTTACAAACAGTTGTATTATATTTGACAAATCTTGCGTCATTCCTGGGAGTGGATTGTTGATTAACTTTTTTAGACCTTTAGAAAAAGATCTTCCATTATTTAATGACAATACATGTGCTATTTTATTGCGAAATCTTAGAATAAATTCATACAATATTAATATGCAAGGGATTAGTAGAATTGATACAGAGTGGATATTATTTGATAAAAAAGGTAACATGCAAAGCAAGTCTAATAACAAGATTTCATTATTATTTGAGGAAGAAACATTCATAAAAGATTTATGTTTTTGGTGGAAAAATAAAAATAGACTAGCCCATGGCATTGTTTCTAAGAGAAGACCCACTCTTATTCGTGATATCATTCCAAATTCATTTTACGAAATTATTGGCGAAGTAGATCATTTTATAGGCCTTCTTTTTATTAAAAAAATTATAGATTGTTAAAACCTTTCCTATTAATTCAAATGGATTTACAATTTATTTAACTGATTATACATCTAATTCTTTATTACACCCTTATGGATGGGGAATGGGTTCATGGTGGAATGGTCCGCATGGAAAAATGACTATTCAATGTTCTTTATGGGACAGTACAGCTATGTTTGCAAGAAATAAACTTTATGAAGGCGAAATTGTTCAAGTATCTAATTTATTAGGACGCTTGAATCGTGATGGTATACTTGAAGGTGTTGTTCATGGAGACAAACAATATCCAGATAAGATTTTTATAACAAAACCTTCAAAAGACAATTTTTATGTCAAGGAACTTATAACTCGCAAGTCCTTATATAATAAAAGATTTTTAGATGATAAAAAGATTTTAGAGGAAATATCAGAAGAAAATAAATATAAAGAAAAGACTACAGTACTTACATCTCCTGCTAATATGAATTTAAATAGTATATTTCGAAAGTATATATTAATTATTAATATGATATAGTTATTTGCGCATATCAGCATATACCAATTACTCCAATAGGTGACATATTATCATCTCTTAATCCAAAACCATTATATGTTGCGCAGAAATTTCGTATAAGAGCTAGAGTTATTGACTTTCTCCCAGTAAATCTAGAAGACTTTGCTCATCCATTTTGTAAATCTTGTCAAGAAACGTTAGTAGAAACATCATTGATTCTTCTTAACATTATTTAGTTATATTAAGAAATGTAAATGTTATTCTGCATATCCTCTTGATGAAGTATTCATATGGCAATTCGCTTTTTTGTTTGAAGGCCAAGATAGTGCATGTATTCCTGTTATATTTTTTGGAGATGACGCACAAACGCTTTTTAATAACGAATTTATTATGCCTACTAAGTAAATTAAAAACATGTAATATCAATTTATTATTAATAATAAAAGTCTAAGAAAAGATAAAAAAACACTTGCCTTGTTAAGGCAAAGGCTCTCTTTAATATATGGAGATTTAGAAGAAGCCCTTTTATCAGGGCAACATTATAATCATATACAAACACCTTGGTTTGAACTTTGTATTATGGAATATATTGTACATGAAAGTAAAACAGGGAAAAGACAGAGAAGATGGAGAGCATTTGGAATAAAACTTGCATAACATTAAATAAACATGAAAATTTTGATCACAATATTTTTCTGATTCGTATAGAATATAAATATATATTTTAAAAATAATTTGTCTATTTCCAAAAGCTATTCCGAATTTCAGATAAAACTATGGTTTCTTTGATGTTCCAGTCCTATTTTTTAAATGCTGTTCCGGAATCCAGTTTTCATCATAATGTAAATTAAGTATTTTTTCTGGTTCTTTCTTCTCGATAACCTTCTTTTTAGTATTCCTTTTTTTCTTTTGATACATATTATACATCCATTTTTGAAAAATCAAATAAGGGCCTATTATAAGACCAGCAAGAATAATATAAAGAAAGATTATTTGAAAATTAAAGAAAGAATATCCCGGTTCTTTTATTGTGATTGTTGAATTATAAGCAACATATGTAAGAAAAATACCCTAGTTAAATAAGCAATGGATTTAGATTATTCTAAAAAACATACATATCTTCTAATTCTTGCAAAAATTGTAAGACCATAATCATTTTCCGCTAATTCTGTTGAAAAATAAAATGAAACTCTTGTAGAATTCAATTCTGGTATAATAATACGTTTTCTTATATCCCCTAACTAGAAACAATAAGTAATTCATCAAATCTTTCCATCATTATACATTAATTATTTGTAGAGAAAAATTCCTGTCAAAAATACGAATAGAAAATGATTCAAGAACAAGTGTTTCATTGATTAAATTGCTAATTTCAACACTTACATTTGTTTTCTTTCCATTTAAAATTGTTCTTGATGTTTGAAAATGTGCTGGATCATCGGTAATATTTGTATTAATAAAAATATCTGGCGAATGTGAAGTTATATTTTCTATATGTTCACTATTTTTAAAATCAGATGCAATTGTCCCCGAAATAAAAAGAACTACAAAAAGAGTTTTGAATATCTTCATAAATTAAATACTAAAGTCTATAACTTTTTTAAATTGTGAAAATATTTTACCCGAAACGTCAAGAAAAATTATATTTTATTTCAAGAATATTAAATAATTACATAACTTTTTAATTGTTCCCTTTTATTTCTGTATTACTTTTATTTTAAATATTTAAACATTTATTTAAATGAATTTATAAAAATTATTTTTATAAATCTATTTAAATCTTTTATTTTAATATATTTAGATACAATTCAAACATAAATTTTTGTAAAAAATATTAAATTTAGACTTTTATTATTGTTATAAACATATACATGATCAAGTGCTTAAAATTAAGCAGAAATATGATTTCAAAAGATTATTTTTAAAAATTGAAGTTTTAAATTTGTAGTTAAATCAACAAAAAAAAGATTAATATATTAGTTTAAAACACATTATTATAAATATTTTGAAATCTTTAAAATAAAATGTGTAAATTAAACATTTTTAAGAAAAAATTATAAATTATTAACATTTAATCTTTTTTTTAGTTATTTAAGTATACAAAAATATTAATTCATATAAAATAATAACATAAATTGTAATGATTCTTAAGTTAATAATATTTTTAATTATAAAATTGATAAAATTCTGAACAATTTTCTCATATTAAAAATTACTTATCTTTTCCTGAAATATTTAAAAGTTCTAATAACATATATATATATGATCTTTCTAATACATCAAAACTCTATTTAAATTATAATTTAAACAAATCTATATATTAGTTTTTTACTAATATACAAGTTAAATATCTAGCATTATTAATGGTGCTTTTTTTTGATCTTATGTTAATATAAATTAAATATTTTTAGCTAAAGAAACACTATATATAAATCTTAAAAATTTAAGAGTTTATTATGTTTTATCTTTAAATTTAAAGTGTTTTTAAAAAATTAACTCGTAATTTCTAAATTTCAAAAAACTGAAAATGTTATGAAAAAGACATTTTTTTTATAAAAAATGTTTTTAGAAAACCGCAAAAGTAACTTGTTTTAGAAGGGAAGGTAGATATTTTGCATTTTAAGGGATGATTTTTTTTCAAATTTAAAATTTAATGCAATATTTATATTTTAATTTACTCAAAATATTCGGTTTGATAATATATTATTAAAACATCAGCAATAAATAGAAGTTATTTTATCATTCTTGAAGCTTTTATATTTTATATATCGTAAAATTTCAGTTGATATCAGGGGATTATTATTGAACTGATTTATAACATTATATTTCAGCCTTTATTTTGGTCTAAAAGCATCAAAAGTTTAAAAATATGTTTGATTCAAATGTTTTAAAGGCAGGCTTTTATGTAAATAATGACGCGCCTTCGAGTTCACAGCAAATGATAATAAAAACTATTTCTAATATTATTTCTAAGGAGCCTAAATCACATACAAGTGTATCACTATCTAGAAAAAACAAAAGTGAAGATTATCGTTCCACAGTGAGCAAATATAAAGCTTTAACAGGAGAGTTTAAATGTAAAAAACGACTATCTCTTGTCCGTGCTATTTATGATTTTAATTCGCCTAAACTTTCATCTTTAAAATTTGTTGCAGGAGACGTAATAGGAGTACTAAATAGGATGGAAAATGGATGGTGGGATGGTGTATTGGGTGACCAAAGAGGTTGGTTTCCCAGTAATTATGTTCAACATCTGGATGAAAATGAAATAAATGAATTTGAAAATGGAAATGATGATCATGATATCTATAATATACAAATTGGTTTGGAACAAAACTTGATCGAAAAAGATCCTATTGAATATGTATATCAAGAATCACAAAGTATCGAAGCTAATGACCATTCTTTACGTAATTCAATTTGTATATCAGATATTTTAAATGAAGAGCTATATTATCCTAATACTGAAGAAAAATCATCAGAAGCTGATTTTTCGCATTTTTTGGAGTCCAATGATCGATCTAATAGTAATTCAAAAAAGGTTCATAAAAAAAAATCATTATCATTTACAACAGACAAAGAGTTAAATGATTTAAGTTGTCTTCTAAATATGCCTGGTGTTTTAGGAAGTCCGTATTTCGAAAATGATATAAATGGTAAGTGCTTTAATAATTAAAAGAATTTTACGAAATATTAAAATTTAGGAAAAATACGTCCAGTTAATAATAAAGAACCAAAAGGAGTCCATTTATACACATTTCCACAACAATCATCATCTATAAGAGTTTTATCTCCTCTTGAAGCATTTATTATTTCAAATTATGAAGATCAGTTAAACATTATTTCTTCATTTGAGAATCCGTTGCATAATGAAGATACTTCCAAAATGTCTGATTCTGATGATGATTCGAGCATTTTAATGCCTATTTATTATTGTCCTTTACAAAGCCCGATCAACTCAAAAAATGATAAAAGTACATATTTAGACTCAAAAGTATTAAAACTTGTACCAGAAGAATTAATACCTTCTTATAAGAAAATATTACAGAATATGCGTCAATCAATTAATGATTTACATAAATTTGTTGAATTAAAAATGAAAGTTTTATTTCAAAAATTATGCGATTCAATCAGAATTACAATAATTTATCTTGTACATGCATCGGGTATGCTAAGAATTGTTTCAATTCTTGGTAATTCTTTTCCAACTATAATATCCATATCAGAAAGTGATTTTAAAACTGTTAAATGGTATTATTGGAGAATTTTGACAGCATTAAGTAAACTCATTCTTTCAACAAAACTTGCTTCGAGTGAATGGTTACCAGAAAATATAGAATCCAACGTTCTTAATGATGCAGAAGATATAATTGTCATAGTTGAAGAATATATTAAATTTGTAGTATCAAAAAATTCCATATATAAAACACCATGCAAATTTCGATTAGGATTTATTAAAGATCGACAAGTTGGCGGTGGCTGGAGAGGAAACGGTTTAATTATGTATACGAAACCTATAGTTCACAATAATATGTTAACGTTAGAAATCCAGTCTTCTGATAATTTAACATTGAAACCATTATCTCAAGAACTTCTTTCAAAATTAAATACATTGCTAAATGAGATTAAATGTTTACTTAATAATTTCCAAAGAAAATTATTAAAACCTAGTTTTTCTGATGATGAAAAAAAGATGTCAATTATAGTTTCTGATCTCTTTATAATTCATGAAACAAAAACAATTTTAAAACCAATGAGAATATTTATGGAATTGATTGAATCCGTGGATGTTACACCATTAGGAGAAGCTTGTGGAGATACATATTCGCCAACATTATTCGATTTTTTAAATGCTAAACAAGTTTTATACGATTCGATAAATACAATTGTTCTTATAGTTCAAAGTTTTCCAAAATTTATAAATATTTATAATAACAATCCTATTATGTCTATAATTAATTCTTCAAGAAATATCAACTGTTCTTTACAGAGTTTAATGATGACGATTGAATTTCTTGTAGGCGAAAAAGAAATACGGACTAAAAAGTGTGGCGAAGATCTAATACATTCTCATTATCGTTCACCATCTAAAAAACTATCAATGTCAAGTAATATATCTATGGAGTCTGATGATTCTAAAAGTTTGTTAAAAACCTCTCCTGCAACACCTAGAACTAAAACAAAATTAAAAAAGATTTTTGGAGATGAATCTCCTTTTGGAAAATCTTCACCTCAAAAAGCATTTTCAATTCTTGAGACACAAGATGAGCCAATTCCATGGTTTTTAAAACATAATGATGAAGGAAAAATTATATATGATGATCAAGGCTGTTTAAAAGCTGGAACATTATCGGGATTAATTGAACATTTAACAAGACATGATTTGCTTGATTCATTATTTAATAGTACACTTTTGTTAACTTATAGAACTTTTACATCAGCTGAAAACTTTTTTAATCTTCTAGTAAAACGATTTATGATAGCTCCACCAGAAAATTTAAAACCTTATGAACTAGAAGTTTGGATTGAAAAAAAGCAAAAGCCTATTCGGCTTAGAGTATTTAATATTTTAAAAATTTGGCTTGAAAGTTATTTTATGGAACCTATGGATGAAAATTCAGAAAAATTACTTAGTCAAATTAAAGAATTTACTATTAATACGATGTCTGAATCAATTCCCGGAGAAAATCTTGTGCGAATTATAGATAAAAGGATGAAAAATGATGACAGAAATTATTTTCGTAAACTTATGTTAAATATTGGTTTTGTTGCTCCTCCTATATTGCCAAAAAATTTAAGGAAATTTAAATTATTGGATTTAGATCCATTAGAAGTCGCAAGGCAACTTACATTAATCGAAAGCAAGATTTATAATAAAATCAAGCCAATAGAATTCTTAAATAAAGCATGGAGTAAACATGTTTGTAATAGCATTGCAGAAAATATTAGATCGATGATTTTGAAATCAAACCAAGTATATTTTCAAAAGTATTTCTTATATTTTAATAACCTTTTATTTTAGATTACTGGATGGGTTACCCAAACTATTCTTAGTCAAACCGAGGTAAAAAAAAGAGTACATTTTTTGAAACATTTTATTAATATTGCTGATGTTGAGTTCTTTTTTTTTAAAAAAACATATTAATTAATTATTAGAAATGTCGATGCTTAAATAATTTTTCTACAGTTACATCAATAATTTCTGGAATAAATTCAGCACCAATACATCGTCTCAAAAGAACATGGGAATTGGCTACTAAAAAGACTATAAGTACTTTTGATTCATTAAATAAAATGATGGATTCAACGAAAAATTTCTCTGAATATCGAGAAATATTACGTTTAATTAATCCACCTTGTGTCCCATTTCTAGGTAAATATTATATATTTAAAATATACCATTTAAAATAAAAATAGGTGTTTATTTAACTGACTTAACGTTTATTGAAGATGGAAATCCAGATATGATTAAAAATTCTAAAGATTTGATAAATTTTTCAAAACGAATAAAAACAGCTGAAATTATACGAGAAATTCAGCGATATCAATCGATCTCATATTCTTTTCAAGTTGTTCCTGAAATACAATCTTATCTTTTAGAATGCCTTGAAGGAATGGATAAATTAAATGATATGTATGATATTAGTTTAGGAATTGAACCACGTGAAAGAGAGGATGAAAAGGTTAATATTATTTTTAATAGATTTATATTTATTAAATTTTAATAGTTAGCAAGATTGCTTCAGGAATCAGTATTACTATAAAATATCTTTGAATAAACAGTTAGGGCTACTAACAAAAAATTATAATTATGAAGATTAAAAATCTTGTTAACATTAAAGAATATATTATTTATAATCAATCAAAATATATCCACGATCATTCATAAAGGAAAAATGAGCAGCTATTTCTAAATAAACCAATTTTTTAAATATATCAATGTTATTTATCACATTATCAAATGATTTTATTAGTTATAACAATACCATGTTTTTTTTAAAATAATTTAAAAATAATTGATATTTTTTTTTACCAATCTTCATTAAACCTTTCCAGAATTTCTATATTTTCTTTCATATCTTTTTGAACTATTTTGGTTTTAGAAAAAGAAGTATAATAGTATTGCAGTATAAATACCCTTTTTACGCATATAAAATATGGGGCAATCTTTTGATGTGCAAAGTACATCCTGATGCAAACTGTTTTGGCATCGTTGACATTGTGTCCAAAGTTTAGCAAAACGAATTTCTAAATCACTAACTATATTGAGCTAGAAATGTTACATATATATCTAAGGCAAGTATTTATCTTTACTTGTTTTTGGTATAATTCAGCAGCTCTTCCTATACAATGGTTACATACAGCAGTATTACAACCTTTTCAATAATTAGTAATAATAATTATAATCTAATAAAATAACCATTCTTTAATGGTATTCGGCATCCTATACATGTTGCTGTTTTAATAGCAAATTTCACTAGTCCGCCAATAGCAGGTGATGTCATTGAAATTGTTCTAGTATGATCTCCAGAAACTGGACATAATTAGAGCAATAAAGACTTCATTTAAAAAAACATACGAAGTGAATTTGCTTTTTCACCTAAAATAGGTTCAAAAATTCTTAAAAGAGGTTTTGATAACTGATTATCGAGATAATACTTGGTATCAATAGGAATATTATTTTCCAAAACATAAATAGGATCTTCTGAACGCAAAAAAGTTTGATCACCTTAAAAGCTAAACCATTTTTCAAATTAATAAAATAGATTTACCTTTAGCACCTTTAACAATTATATATGCTACACGATCACCAAGAGTTGGTGCTAGACCAGAATCTCGTTTTTTTATTCTTTCTGCCAATTCTACATGAGCTTGTTTACTTACATAATCTAAATAATATAAGACAATTTTTAGAAATAATATTGAAATACCTGATTTTGTCAAAGTCTTCGTTATAACTAAATTTGAAATATCAATTTTATTTTGAAGCAATTCAGAAATAACTTTTTTTACATAACTATTTTTTTAGATAACATAGAATATCCACTATTACTTACCTTTGGGCACCATCTATATCTCGATCTATTAATAGTTTTCGAAGAGCTGTTTCTATAACTGTGGAAACTAGACGACAATTATCTCTACGTATTGTCTGATAAGAAATTAAATGCGATAACAAAACATTATAAATATACTTCTATTCCTTTTGAATCCATTTTATCAAATGTTTCCGGTCTTGTCCAATATAACCCAGCATATCTCTTTTTAGAAATAAGTAAATAAGGAAAATAAACCTTTTCAAATTCCATTTTAATAGGTTTAAGAAGTTTGCTTGTAACATAATCAGCTGCCTCACAACCAAGTCTCATAGATTCTGCAATATCTTTTACGCCAAAATCAATCATAACAGAATCAGTATCGCCATATATAACTCGAGCATTATGAGTATATCCATTTTCTACTGTATATTTCAATTCTATTTCCTAAAATTCTATGTTAAATAGCTTGTTTATAAACGAATTATCGATACATCTTTTGCTTTTTCAATCATTTGACGTCCATAGGATGTTACACTAGATGAAATAGGCAGACAAGGTAACTTCCCATTAGTTGCGCCAGTAAATCCATATACAGAATTTGCAGAAATCTATAAGTATGTTAAAACGGTTATTTTACAGAAATATTACTTTTAAAGCCAATTGTCTTCCATCAAGCACAGCTTTTCTAAATGGCTCAGTTTCATTTTTCAAATCCAATTTAGCCTTCTGTCTAGCAGCCAAAAGATTCTCAAAAATTAGTGGAAGAAGACCTTTACGAATATGTGGTTTAACGAAACAATCTATAAATATTAAAAAATAACATAATAAAAAAGCCGTTTACAATTCTCCGGTGTTACATGATAATCCTTATCTTTTTCAAAACCTAGCATTTCTATTTGTTTATAACTAATAAGAGTAGTATAACACAAATTATGTGCTTGCATAATCGATGGATACAAAGAAGTAAAATCTAAAGTTGCAATTGGAATATTATAATATCCTTTCTTTGGATCAATAACAGTTCCTCCCTCATATTGCTCATCAATTCCTAAAAAATATCAGTATCGTTATTGTTTTTCAATCAATTACCTTCTGATCTAATATTAGGAATAATAAAATCTTTTTCACGAGCTTTACGAGAAAGTTGGCTAATAATTCTAATTTGTTGACCCCTAGATAATAAATAACTAAAAGGAACACCTGTAACTCTAGCTATCTCGATATAATTAACTAAAGACATTAATTTATCCATTAAACGTTGTGGAAGATATGCATCCTTTAAACAGTAAACAGCAAGTCGACGCCTTGATTCTGATGTCCCATTTTGTAAATCCGTAATAATAGAATGGTGCACATCTTCTTTTTGCTCATTTAGAAACTGAGAAGAAACTGCATTAAGAGTATATGATCTTAGTTTATAATCTCTTTGCATAATTTGAAGCATATCCAACTGCAATCTTCCACTTATATCTGTAAATCTGCTTTCTCTAGTACCATATGCTCTGGATGAAAATGATGTATTATTAATTTCACATTTTTGTCTAATAACCCTTCCAAAATACGGAAAATCATTGATTTTAAGATGTTTCGCTCTATCAATAAGATAAGGTATATCAAAATTCGCAATATTATATCCGATAATAACATCCGGATCCATTTTTTGGATAAACTTAGACCATGCCAGTAATAATTCCTTTTGATCAGCATAACTCAAAATTTGAACTCCAGAAATTTGAGCACATGTATCAATAGTGAAAACATTTCTTATAAAAGGTACTTTCTCTCCATACAAAGTAACAACGTTGGCTATTTGAATAACAGGATCGATCTCCGGCTCTGGGAAAACACCTTTTCTTCCAGCGCATTCAATGTCGAAACTTAAAATCCGTAATGGGGCTATTTTTTGCCAATTTCCTTCAGGTTGAAAACTTTCTAAATCCTTCCAATCAACAAAAACTTCTAATTGGCAATTAGACGTTTTTTCATTTGCAATTAAATATTTAGTTTTTGGAAGTTTAATCCAACTCATTCCAGTTATCTAATAAAAATTAACAAGTATTCCAATATCAATGTTTAAATTCACAGATGCATCAATCATAAACCTTAAAGTATAAGGAAGATTACTTTCGAAAGTTATATATTGTGGAGGAAACATATTATTAAAATTGATATCACCTCGTTCAAATAAATTACGAACTCTAGCAATATGCTTTGGATCATTAACAGTAATCTTAATATATTGAGTCTTTCCATCCTGCAGAAATCCATATATTGTTTGTCTCATAACTAATTCAATATTGTTTATAACTTTGTTGCTAAAATTAATAGCATTCTAATTATGTAAATAAATAAATTTTAATAATATTAAAAACCTCTAATGCCATCTTAAAAGAATTTATATGCCCTTCATGAAACCCTTGTGGTAATGGAACATAAAAATATGGAAAAAATCCTGTCACTATACATAATACGCTATTCTCTTGCTTTGAAAAAATTAACTATATAAAAATCAATTAAAATTATAAACCTCAGTAACTCCATAAAGACGAAGAATAGGTCCTGAAACACTCATAGTATCATCAATTTCAATTTGTTGAAAATCTACAAATATAAATATATATATATATAAACAAAAAAATAAAAACAAATATCATCATTCATTGGATCAATTAAAGGTAAAGAAGGTCTCTCCCATTTCTGATTTTCATTCTTGTCTTCTAAAACCTATCAAAAAATACTCCAACTTTTTAGACCCCAACCCTGTTCATTTTCTAAAAACTCTTGTAAAACACATTCTAAATCATTCTCAAAAGATTTCAAAGTCTTCTCATATCCAAATGCTTTCTTTTTGCTTATAAATTCTAGATTATGTGGTTTTTCCTCAGAAATACGCCGTTTTTTAACATCCTTATCCATAAAAAGATCATTTTTAATATCTTGTAAAACTTCAATATTTTTATGTTTAATCTTTGATATCTTTGACATAAAAAAATCTATTAAATAAAACAAATAAACTCAAAATTCCTATCCAAAGTTTCTTAATTTTTAATAATATCTTAACACTTTATTTTCAAAAACCATATCGTGTGATTATTTAAAGATATGAATATTTCATAGTTAAAATATAATAACAAAAACCATTAATATTAGTTTTTATATAGTATAAATAAGAATATAATAGAAATGTAAAAAGAATTAGAACTGGAGTCTTTAGAGTATAGAATGATAAAAAACAAACAATAATAGATATATGAAAAAAAGATTTCGAGATTAAAATAAGAATTTAAGAATGTAAATAATGAGTATTAACAATGCAATATGAGGTTATCTTCATGAGATGTTTTTTTTGAATGGAGAAAATATTCATGACTTTTTTGTTATATCGTTATTAACTATAAATGAATCATCTGTTATAAGACTAAAAATAAATATTAGAAAAAATAAAACATAGATTGCAATCATACTGATTAACAATTGGAAAAAAACAAAGAAATTTATTAGAACTCATAACTTGAATCCAGTTTTTTTTCAATCCAAAATTAGAGGCATTTTGAATATTAGAGGTTGATTGAGAACTATTAATATTCAAGTTATCAATATAAAGAGTTTGTTTAAAAGCATCAATAGTAGTAAGGTTATGAAAAATTAAGAAAATATGCCAAGTCGTAAAAATCCCTAAAACAATGCTAAAAACTCCTAAAAACTCCTAAAATAACATGTAAAAGCATCCAATTAACTGATATGATTCTTTTTGAAGATATATCTAAAAGTATAATAAATTGATAGAGAATGACAAAGATGATGTAAAAAGATAAATCGAATATATTGAAATATAAATAAGAAATAAAATAAATTGCTTATAGTTAGCAAATCCTATGCAATTAGAAAGCTATGGACCTATCTCGGGCGATATAATTTACGTTGTAGAAATATATATATAATAAAAAACCTTACTAAGAATATAGCAATTGTATATAGAACAATGATGCCTATAATCAAGCTATAAAATTAGTTATTAATATCAATTATAGAAAAATATACTTTCAAAACTTCTCTTTATTAGAGAAACGAGCTGAGCCATTTTACTTAACTGAAATAAAAAACTAATAATTATGTAACTTAATACAAGAATAACCATTTTTTAAAAAAATGCTCAATATAAGTCTTTAAAATATTGTATTATATGTCAATGTAAACCAGGAAATGTAAAAGTAGTAGCAGTATAACACCAAAATGAAATAATAAAACCAATACTTGTAAAAAATATTAAAATAATTGTTTTTCCCATAAACTTAGAAATATTATGATGAAGATTTAAAAACCATAAAAATTAGGAACTGTTTTAATACAAATAATTCAAGTATAAACTCAAAAAGACCATAACAATAAACCATATACAATATCCCTTGGGATATAAGTAGTTAATTTATGTAAATAAGGTTTTAGTTTTACATGAAAAGATAACATTTAATGATTTATAAGTTCTGGTTACAAAAATCAGATTTTCGATACAAAATATTACATAATTTCTAGATAAGTAGAATTTTTATATAGGAATATAATGAATATGCATATCAATATTTATTTATTTTATTATATTTCATATATTACATTATTTTTTAATATTTTTATTTATATATGTTTTAAACTATACAAGAAGTAATGTATCCAGTGCATGAAACGTTTTTATTTAAAAAAATAAAAACGCGATTAATATGGATCATTAATTTTAGAGTTTTGTTTGACATAAAATGTGCTATAGTCCATTTATGCTCAAAGTAAACTCTGAACGGTGTTGAAAAAATCATCTGGTTATATAATATATATATATAAATATAAGAAAATATATAATAATTAAGAATAATATATGAATTAATACATTAGAATAAAATATAATAAAAAAAGGATTATAGAGGCATGTTAAATATTTTATAAAATATTTTGTCGAAAATATTAGTAATGATATAGTTTTATATTTCATTAAAGGAATTGTAAAGGAAGCAATTGAGTGATTTGTATAATATAATTAACAATTTTTCAAGAAATTAATCTATTTAAATGTATATCAAAATAATTTCCCTAAGTCGATACACAAATAATATATTCAACATTATTTAATAAAACAGGTTTATAACAAGCACGAATATAATAAAATCTATAAATAAATCATTACTATGTAAAAAAACTTTATAGTAATATTTAATATATGAAATTATTAAATAAAAGAATTAGTAATAAAATTCATGATTTTAATAAAAATATATTATATATTTAAAAATAACTTTAAATCATAAAAATAAAACTAAATACCTTTTTTTGTAAATGAATATTATACCATTTTATTAATATAATTCATTTTTTTACCAATAAAATTAAAAAAACTATAATTAAATAATTTCTTTAGATGTAGAAAACAAAAACAATTTTTTATATAAAATATTATTTATAAATTATTTAAGAATCAATAGCTTTTTTTAAAAAAATAGATAATATAAAAATTCTCCAAATTACTCTAGCAATTTCTCTATATCTGGTGTTACTATAAATTTCTGTTTTGTTCTACCCATTAACCATGCCTTTTTATTATTTTTATAATCCAAAGCAACTATATCCTGCAAAAATTCGAAATCACTCCCTAAAGTAACATTCATTTCAATACCTTCCCACAATATTACTGTTTTTCCTGATTTTCGAATTTTTAATTGTCCAACACATCCATCAGGAAGATATTGTTTAAATGTATTAAATTCCTCAGAATCTGGCAATGAAAACATTCCTGATAATTTATCATGATCTGAAACAGTATAATCCAATGACGTAGTTTTATGAGGAATATTTTGTTCAGAATCAATATTCATATTATCTTTATTTTCAATCTTAATTTCTGGAATTTCATCCTTCGTATTTTGAGTTTTCAATAATACCGGTAATACAGGTGGAAATTGAAAGAAAAGTAATTCATTTGACTAGTTTAATTTAGCCTTTTCCTTTTTTTTAGAAAAATAAACTAACATTCTTCATATCACCTGATAATTTATCAATAAAATAATGTGTAAATACTTTGAAATCATCTAAAAGCTTCTCCTTTTCTCGCTCTTCCTCCACTGACATCGATTTGCTGTATTTTTTTTTCATTTTTTTATTTATAGGATATGATGATGTAGTTTTAGATACATTTTTTTCAATTTCAAATCTTAAAGAATCATTCTCAATAGATTTAAACTCCCCTTTTTTTATTTACATGTTAATCAATATAAATATAATTAATCTTCATAAATACCATTTGATTTATCATTTAAAACCCTCTGATCTTCATTTTTATCTTGTTCTTTTAACAATTTATCCAATTCCCTTTCTTCAAAATTCATAATACCCTCTTTACATTCCATATAAAGTAATGATACCGGATACATCATATTATTTACATCTTTATTTGTTAATTTATTCAGTTTCTCCATATTTATTTTAAAAACGCCCTCTTCATCACTTTCTGAAAATTCCTTTTCTTCTTCCAATTCCATTTCCCTCCTAAAAACTTCCCTTCTTCCTTGACTTCTCATACTAGATAATGATGATTCCATTAATATTGGTCCTCTATAATTATCATCTCTCGACTCCTCTGATATCTTTCAATAAAACATCCAACAAATAAAACCCATACCACTCTTCACCTCTACATCTTTGTCCTCTACCTGATCATCATCTAATATCATCTTTGCCTCTGGTTCAATTAATAATGGTTGTTCCTCCTCCAAAAATTATTATAAAATCTATAAATAATCCCATCTTATTAATACCTTCTTTACATCTACATCTAATAAATCCCTTCCTCTACATAATATCTAAGAGAAAAGCTGTGTATAAAGATAATATTTACCCATTATTCTGAGTCTTAATAATCTTTGGTATAAACTTCATTTTTTTATCTTTTTTAGCCATGTAATCCCATTTGTTTAAGAGAATAGAACCAAGACGCCCTTTAGAGGGAGAATCAGGATCAGAAATATCCATTATTAGAGGAATAATATAAGAGAAAAAAGAGTATAATGTTTCGGACTTAAAAATAATATTAAGAATGAAAATTACAAAAGAAAACGGTTAAGAATAAGATAAATCAAAAGAAGGACCAGAAAAGCTATCACAAGGTCTATCCAGAAGGGTATAATTTCATATTTTTGTATCAAAGCAGAAGAAGAAAAAAGAGATTTAAAAAAAGGTAACCATCGCTTGATAAATAATTTTGTTGTAGAAAATAAAACAAGGAGTTTGTTTTCCTTTGTATTTCCATCATCCTTATATGTAAAAGATAATTTTGGAATATCGGGATGTGAAAAAGCTTCAAATTCGTTTTCAAGATCAGGTAATATATCAATATTTCTTTTATTGCATTCAGGACATACCCATTCTCGAGATCTAAGAGTATAATAAAAAAAAGAAACGTTTTAATACATTTATACTTACTGTAGGGCTATTTTTTTTTTCTCGTTTATAGTAAAATCTAATCCTCCAATGTGTCCATCAGCTATTAATTAAAAATAGATAAAACAAAAGATCCATATAGAAACCCATTACCTTTTGTAAGCATAAAATTAGAAAGACTTATAAGCGCTGTATGAACTAAAAAAATAAATAAAAAATTCTTAAATCAAATAATAAAAATACTGACTTCCCCAAAGCGGCTGCCAAAGTTCCTCATGAAAAGATGATATATTAAGACATATATCCTTATTTACCTAAAGGATCAGACCCTTTTTTCATTCAAAAATATTGTATTTACTGAAAAACGCCCATTTTCATGACAAAAACGAAAACTTGGAGGGCGAAACGGATATTGAGGAGGAAGAAATATCTTGCCATGATATCTTCCACCATTAAACTCTGAACCTGGAACACCGCGTATTGTAAAATGCCTAAAGACTTTAATCTTAATTTCTTTTTTTCTTAAATTACCATTCAAAAATATTATCTTCCCGTGGTGTTGCTGCTACCTCTTTACTACCTTGAAGTTCACGTATTTCTTGAAGAATACGACGAACACTTGCATTATTCTCATTTAACTTTTTCTTAGAATAAGAGTTCTCCATAATTTTCTCAAACGTTGAATATTTTTAGCCGCTTAAAGTAAAAATATTGAAAAATGTCTAAACTTCCAGATGAAGTTTTAAAAAAGGTTTTTAACCTTTTAAAATACACAAAAATATATTAAAATAAGTAATAAATTAGATTCTTAATGAAATCCAAACACAAGCAATTACATCTCAACAACATATAACAACAAGTCAAATACAACGTCAAGCAAAAGAAAAAGAGAAGAAAATATCAGAATTAATATATGAAGAGTTATCAAAGTTAACAAAAGATACGCCGGTTTATAGTTCGGCAGGAAAAGCGTAAACGGATTTTTTAATAAATAAATGAGATTATTTAAATGATTAGATTTATTAAGGAAGATTTAAACCAGATAGAGCAAAAACTAGCAACACAGATTAAAGAAATAAATAATGAAATCGATTCGCTTAATAAAAAAATTATATATCATGAAACGACACTTGCGAATACACAACCACATATTGAACGTATTATGAAGAGTTAGAGAGCGTTTTGTCGAATAATATATAATATATATATAATATATATGTATATATCTATCAATCATGATTATTTTTAATTTTTTTCGGTATTTTTTTCATTTGTCTCTAATATATCAAGCTCAGATACTATATGATTGTAACTTAATCCTAATTTATCTCTATTTCCTATAAGATATGGAATATATTTATTGCTCATTGCGCCATTTAAAATTGCTAATACGACTTTTCCTGTAATTTCACACATAAATTTTTCTAAAACCAAAGGTGTTTTTTCATCGCCTATTATAATTAATATAAAATATAATTTTATATTTAAATTTACTATTATCCTCAAGTTCATGATCCGTTTCTTCATCAATTAAAAATTTAACGCCTCTAGAATCATTAACTTTAGTATATTGCTTTATATAATGATTAAGTAATAATATAATAATATTCTGCATTTTTTCAGGTATAATAAAAATAGTCTCATCAAAGATTTGCTTTGTATTTATCGTTTTAAGATTAAAAAAAATTACATACAAATCTATTAAGAAAGACACAGCCTTTTGACGTTAGTTAATTTTAAAACAAATAAAAACCTACATAATATCCAATTCTATAATATTTTTTATTTTCTATTATAGGGTAAAACTTATCAAAAAGCTTATCGCGATCAGCAATTATCGCATTAAGTTCTTTAGATGATATATTATCCTTATGATCAATAAGATGCTTTACTTTCCATAGATATAACCACTTCAATGTTCTCAGAGAACTTATAATCATCTACAAGCGTAAGCTTAATAAAAAAAAAAAGAAAATAAAATACCTCTAATTCGCTATCATCAAATGATATTATTCTTTCCACAAGTTCAAGTAAAGTTAAAGAAACCTTAAAAGAATCAGTTTCAAAAACCTTTATACAATCTGAAATTGAAGATATATAATCTAATCTCTTAATTGCAATAGTAAGATTCTCAATCATTTTAGTTGAGAGATGTGCAGTTTTTAAATCCTAAAAAAATCAAAAAACATCGCATTATTATATATATGAAATACCCTATTGGATTTGATGTTTTTTAATTGATTAACAGCCTCTTCCTGGATTTCAACAATTTTTTCCTGAGTTATTGAAGAAAACTCATCAAACTGCTGAGCTTTAAGTAAAGAAGAAATAGCTTCTTTCATGACTAAATTATTAGGATGTTTCATAAATTGCTTTCCAATTAAATCCAACAAATTTTCATATGTTTTATTTTGACGAAAATTCTGATAAACACTTAACTTTATTAACTGTTCTAAACGCAAAATAGATACAGAGGCATCTGCTGAGAAATTGAACTTTTTTAATAAAGATGGAACCAATCCAAGTAAAATTCTTGAAACACTTTCTTCATGTTCATCTTTAATCTGCGAAAATAACTAATAAAATCATTAAAAATCATTAAAAAAAAAGAACAATTACCTTTTTTTTTGATTTTATATCATAATCTGGAGAAAAAATATCAAGATAAACACAAACATAAAGAACCTGCAAAAGCACATTTTCCTCCTTTTCAGTTGGAGCACATATTTGATAAAATCTATGTTTAGGTTCTTTTGAGGAGTCAAGTTTTGAAGAAACAGCTACATGATCGTGTAACAAATACTCTGCCAATGATTCCCAATTCTAAAATCATTTAAAATCTCAAAACAAATAATAATAACCATTACCTTTAATTCTTCGATATCAGAGCATATTGCCATTGAAACCATATGTATTCTATTTTGAGGTTTCAAATCAGATGCAATATCAAGATAGTCTGTATTATTAAAATCCTTAACAAATATATTTTCCTTATTAGAGGAATTAACATCGTCAGCTGTTTCATCCAATTGAATCAAAAGCTCAGCAATAACTTTATATTTTATCCATAAAGGTTTATTCAGTTCAGAATCACCATTTTCAGTACCAATTTTACATTTTAATGTAGGATCGCCTAATTCCTGTATTTTATTTTCAAATAATTCCTCAACTTTAGCAAGGAAAAAAGGTGATACTCTTTTTCTTATTCTAGAATCAGTATCAAAAAGAAGAGTACAAATTAAATCAATTTCATCGTCTTCTAAAAACCCACAAAGTCGTACTCCATTTAATAAAGTAATAGACGAACAGCGAATATTTGAATCTACTTCATGCAATGCCATTTCTATAAGTCTAGGTTTAAATCTTTCTGTAAAATGTCTAAGTCCAGCAATAAATTCATTATTAGAATAAAGTTTAGATAAAGTCTTCACAACTTCCAGACGAGTCAATGGACTCTATACATATATTAATTGGTTTAAATAATATTCCAATAGAAAATACTATATCTGAAAGAACCCATCCTAAATATCGAAGATATATACCATCAAAGAATATACTAGGCAATTTAATCATCCAAAGACCAAGTTCATGGACACAATCACAACGAATTTTAGGATCTATATCACGATATCGGTGAACAAATACACTTAATTCATAAGTCTATATAGATTTTAAAAATAGTATAAACCTATCAAAAAAATCATTAATTGTAGTTTTTAGAAATTCTATTTGTTTTCCAAATGTACTAATCCTAGTTTTAACAATTTTCATTCGCTCCTCATTTGAACGTCTCTTTTTTTCCGTTTCATACTGTTTATTAGCAATTTGTTCCTCCTTAGTTACTCTATTAAGAACACCAGATAATGATGTAACCATTGCCAAGCTAATTAACGTACTCGTATGTCTAAACGAACGAAACGTAGAACTTGACATTGCAATTACCCATGCTTGAATCTGTTCCATTAATTCCGGACTATTGTATAGATGTTCTCGCAATGATACTTGATCTATCCACCGATGCACAAAATCAATTAATCGTTTTTTAAACCCCTTATACATATTTGATTTAGAAATAATAGGATAATCTCGCATCAAATTCTTCTTTTCATTCACACTTATTCATACAATTCTAAAACACTTACCACACGTGATGCTTCTTGTATTTCATATAATGTGTCTGTAACCGAATCTTGGTCCGCCAGATGATCTATATTAATCATTTGACCACATCCACAACACTGAAAACCTCTCAAAATTTTTTCAACAAAATTTTACACAAATAACCTTTAATATACAATTAATTAACTCTACTAATCCCTGTTGTGCATCCCGTTCATACGTATCTATCCAATCTAAAACTAATGCCTCCAATGATGCCTCATAATCTATAAGAGCTTCTAAAAACTTATCAAACACCTTCCTAACCATATCTTCACCCACCAAACAACGAATTCCCTTCTTCTTGCCTCTCTTCTAACCGTAATACCCGTTTCAATTTAACTCCTTCTATTTCATCCCTCATCTTTCGTGAATTCTTCGTTCTTTCTTTAATACGCTTATTAACCCTCCCATTACTATGTCGTTCCACTTCTTCTGACTCTGTATATTCATCCTCAATCAATACTTCTCCTTCATTCGACTCCAATTCACTTCCACTTATATCTTCCAATATCTCTCCTGTTTCTAACCAATATTAACCATCTATAATTAATTCATATTCAATTCACCAAGTCCAGAGAACATCTTGCGCTGTTGGCGCGTCCTCCTAGACCTTCGCACCTCTTCATTATACATCTTTACCATCTCATACCCTTCGCCAATGATTTAAATAGTCAAAAACCTCTTTTATATAATAAACTAATGACATATTAAACAATCAAGGCAACGTGCCCGAGTGGTTAAGGGGAGAGATTAGAAATATCTAGTCATCTCTTACGGTTTCCGTGCGTAGGTTCGAATCCTGCCGTTGTCGCCATGTGTTTTTCATACAGGGTAGAGAAGTTACTTTTAACTTCTCAAGAAGGCTCTTAAAGGGTTAGAATAGAAATGTATATAGAGTTAGAATGTCAGAACTAAGAAGCCATGGTTCAGACGTTAAGAATGTTAGATGTTGGTGGGAGTTAGTAGGGGTTAATAGGAGTTAATAAGGAATTAATAAGAGTTAATAAGAATTTATTAAGAAATTTATCATTTAAGTCTTGAAATGAATGATATGATTTAGTTTTTAGATGTGTCTGTAATTGATAGAATGAGATTTGACAGTTTTTTAATATAAAATATGGAGAAAGAGATTTTAGAATGGGATAATTGGTTTAAAGAGATAGAGGATCAATGTGTAGATGATAAAATACAAAGACTTAACAAATTGGCAAATATTTTGGTAGAAATGGGAAAAGTGGTGTTAAAGATTTGCATTGAAAATAATAAATTATTATTAGAAAGAAGTAGCAGAGAATATTGTATGGGAGATTGTTCCTAGAATGATAAGTTTTCTTAAGAAGAAATCGGTATTAGTAGAGGTTCAAAAGATTCTTAAGATTTGTACAGAAATTGGGAATGCTAAGGAATTGTTTCTTATGTATATTGAAGGGATACGTTCAATTAAAGATGATATAGATGTAAAAAAACATGAAAAGAAGGTTAATATTAAAAAGCAAGAAGAAGAAGAAGAAGAAGATAGTTATATAAGTCAAATGAGAATACTTTATGAATGTCTTGAAACAGGTATTTTTTAGTTGTTTAAATTAACAAGAACTAAATTTTAGTTTTGTTAAAAATCAAGACAAAACATTTATCTAAATTTATTATGGATTATTCTTATGCTTTTATATCATCTATTTATGTTCTTTATAAATACAAGATAAATAATAAGGAATTATATGATATTGTTATTAAATTTGCAAAACAAAGAGTATTAGGACTTAGTCAATTGTCCAATGATTATGATGAAGAAAAAGATAAACAACGAAAAATTTTACATAGTTTTATAATTCGAATTTTTGAGCTTTTCTTTAAGGAAAAAAGTAATCAATGGAGCTTACGGTATTATAGACAGATCAATCCATATAAAATATCATTTCAAAAAAACGAATATGATATTGATTTTGATGGTATGGTAAACTCTTTAAAAGTAAGGCGAATTTTTTTTCTTATGAAATACAAACATTAAAATTATTAGAACATTGCTGTTGATACTAATTTCAATTTTACAATATCATGGAAATTAGGAAAAATTCTTGAAACAAAAGGCAATTCTATAGAATATCGTAATAAAACCAAAATTTTAAATAAGATTAATTTTTTTTAGAATCAATTAGTTTGTTTTCTAGCAATTCTATACCATCATATGGTTTTTTATTTTTACTTGGTGCTTATATTTTTGAAGATCTATATGATATACAAGATAATACAATTTCTAAATTTTTTGATCATATGAAGACGACAATTATATCTTTAAATCGTGGACCAATTATCTCATCATTAATAGATACTAACTTATTTCTGGGTTTATGTATTTTGAATAATTTACAAAATATTTCAACAATTAATCAAGAAGACTTTTTAGAATATACAAAGGTAATATTTTTCATTATATTTAAGTATTTTTTTAAAATAGAAGGTACTTTCTTTAATTTCATCATCATTAGAAGATTCATCTTTAAGATTTTTATCATATACTTTAATATATCAGAGCTTAATACGACATTCACAAGATACAACAATAATGTATATCAACGATATATTGGATACTTCTCCTTTCAAAAATGTAAAAACTGTGGTTATTAATATACTTAAAGACGAGATACAAAGGCACTGGGATGTAAATTATAAACTTTTTTTTTATATAATAATTCTAATAATTTAGGATTCTTCGTCACCCTTCATATCTTCTGTTTACAATTCTTTACTCATAAAAATATTTCGTCCAAATTCATCAAATCAGTTTAATTGTATTGAAACATTTCTTCAAAATTTTAATTTTATAATGCAAGCACTTAACTTGTACATTTTTTTATTGAAAAAGCCTGGGGATGACAAAGTATCTTCATCTTGCTCTATTATTACTATAATTAACTACATAATAGACTGGTACAAAATCAAAAACAAATATTTTGGAAACTAAAAAATACTGGATCGATCCTCTTATGTACATTACTATTTATACAATAACTCAATTAACCCAGCTCGGATCATTAAGCCATTCTAAAGAAGGACTAGTATGTCTTATCAATTATTCTATTACTTATTCTAATATTTATTAGAATAGCGAGATTTTAAATAAACTTTTCTTATTAAAATATACACTGGATCAAATTCAAGAAATAACAAAACATTTATTGATTTCTAAAAGTACAGGCTAAAAATACACTAAATCATACTAAAAATGCACTACACTAAAAATACAGTTCGATATCACATCATTCTTTGATTTAAGAATCAAATATATTTACAGAATGATACAGAACTGTTATACATTAGCATTGGATAATCATGCAATAATAGTAATACGTCAGGTGCAAATCCTCTTGCTTCTGATGAACCTGGTGGAGGAGGATCACGGCTGATACCACCTGCTTCAAGTTTTCCTTTAACTTCAAGAACATTAATCATTTGAGCCATTAGTCGTTATAGATTTCAGAGATATTTATTCAAAAAATAATATAAAACTTATTGAATTTACAGTGAAAAAATATGGTAATATCATGCCTTTTTATATTTGAGAATCTGCTAATTTTACTAACAAAAAAAAATAATTACAATACAATCTTTTAACAATGAAACAATGAAACAAAAAAAACAATAATAACTACTAATACATTTTAAAATACAATATAATTCTAATTATTGTCAAATATATTATTTATTTTTTTAGTGTGATTATTTAAAAACAATATATTTTTTTTCGAAAGAATATATATTGTAATTTAAAATAATAGAAATATTAATAATAGAACAATATCAAATAAATAATGAAATAACTTAGTTTTGCATTTGCATAAATCTAATCTAAAAATTAGATCATTTAAAGTTAGAAAATTTAAAAAATAAACAAGCAATAAATAGTTTTAATAAAAAAATATTAATTGTTATTCATACATTTATAGTACAATTGTTTTACATATAATGCCCCAAAATTATTATTTACAATATTTGGTATTAAAGAAGAAACAATGAATTTAATTTCTTGAATATCCACGGCAGGATGAAGAATACAAGCCAATTCAGACTAATATCAATAAGTATTAAAAATTAAAGATTCAATGTTTTTACTAAATTAATTCCCGGACGTTGTATAATTAAACTTAATATAGTTTGAAGATACTGATCATATACGGTTTTTAGTATATTTCCTGAAATATCTACCCAAACAAAATTTTTTAAAGGACTTTCATATTTTATTGATTTGTCAAGTGAAGTATATGAAATATCTTTTAGTTGAACAACAACAGAAAAATCTATAATATAATCTTCTTTAAACTATTAATAAAATGTCCCTTATAAATATGCAAAGATACCCCAATCTTGAGTATTATATTGATGAATATTATTTGAAAAAACATCCAAAACATTTTCCATAGAAAATGTAATCTAGAATCATTAATTTTGCAAATATTAATAGTAAAATTACTAACATAATTATGCGCAGCAAGATCCAATATGCAAGCCATAGAACCACTATTAATAAATTCAGATAATGTAACAGAATTATTCTTTTGAAACTCTTGTGTAATTTGTGTATAAAACTCAACAGCTTGAGAAAACAAAAAATCAGGAAAACATGTTTTAAAAGTAAGCAAAAATCTTAATGTTTTAGATAATAAAGATAACAAAATTGGAAAAATACTTATCAGAAAACCTATAATTTCTCCCAGGTAAAATTCTATTTAATTCAGATTTTGATCGTACTATAAGTTTCTCTTGAATTAACTCTTGTAATACAGATTCTATATGATCTTCTTCATAAGATTCCAACAATTTTTTAGCAACTTCTGAATCATAATTTTCTTCAGGAGTTATAAGTATTGACTAAATCAATATCTATTAAATAAATCTTTTAGACCAATGTATTACATACTTTTATTATAGATTTAATTTCATCTTGATTTTGAAAAAAATTATCAGTATCAGAATAAGAAAATGCAGTTTCATATAATATAATTTCTCTAGCATTTAAAGAAAGAGATGAATCAAAAAAATTATGGCGTATATCATCTGTATTATTTACATTCTTAATAATATAGTTTGCAGTAATCTCCTCAATAGTATCAGGAAGTTCAATATCATCATAATTCCTTTTAAAGTTAGCTTTATTAATAAATAATTTATATATACTCTAAAATATCAAGCGTTTTAGAATATTCTACAAGTGTTAATATATCAGAATAATTCGATACAGGCGAAATAGGTGATAGAATTTCATTTTCTATAGCGTTTTGATAATGTGATTCCCAAAAGCTAGCAAAGAAATTGCCTATTTCTTTAATGTAATTTTTTGAACGAAGTGTACTAAACCGTGATTTTATTTCTGCTTCTGAATAACGAGGTAAAATTTTCTTAATGAGTTCCCAATCAATGAGCCCAGTATTTCCACCATATGCCCATTTACTAAGAAAAATTGCTCTAACCAAAACATCATCATCGTTTAAAGTAAAATTATTTTTCCTGCGTATTGATGCACTCTTACAAATTCTTTGATAATCACCTATTTCATTAACTCCATCATCCAAATTGTTCTTATTTAAAAAACGATGTCTTCCAATAAATGGAAAAACATCTGCAGTATTATAATTCAGCAATTTTTTACCAAGCTGCAATTTTTTAGCAGGTTTAGATTTCGTCTTTGTTTTTGTATCTGGTTTCTGTAATACCAACTTATTATCATCTATAAAAGTAGGAACAAAAGATGTTTTTGTTTCAGAAACTATAGATGAGAGAGATCGATTATTAATTGTAGAATCACTCTGAGATATTAATTCATGCTCTTGTAAAATGTGATCTTCAGAAGCATCTTTATATTGATTATGACTTGATTCTACAAACTTAGAGTTATTAGTAAATGAAAGACTCTTCCTTTTGAGCTTCGTAGGAAAATCAACAACCAAATTTTCAATTTTCAATGGCAAAGGCTTATATGTCTGAGTTTTCATTAAACGTTCTTTTAAAATCTTATCTTTAAAATCATTAATTTCAAGACCATCGATATCATACTTTGTATCTGCAACAATCCAAAACATATTTTTGGTACCTTTAGCATTTGTATAAGCCACGCAAATATGATGAATTTTTCCAGCTCTTTTTAAAGAGTCAAGAGTTTTCTCCATTGTTTTTCGATCAATTTCATAATCTAAAGAAGAATATGTTTTATTTTTAAATGCTAGATTATACTGATCATTTAAATATTTTCCTCCTTGCAAGATTCCACCATTTTTATGAAGTATTTCTAATATTAAATTTTGTCTACGAACATAAGCAAGACTTATTCGTGAATCATATTTTGGAAAGGGCAATTCCGCCTTTTTGTCAGTAGTATTATTATTCGAGATGGATTCATTAGAAAGCTCCAAAATGGAATCTAGATTTTTTAAAATATTAATGTAAAATATTAATAATTAAAGAAACAATACTTTTTTTAGAAACAGAAGTATCAATTTTATCAATCCCATAATTCAGATTTCCATTAAAATCGTTTTTATCTAGAATAGTTATTAAGATATTTCTTCATAACAAAAATGACCTTACCTATATGTTCTTGAAACGTTAATTTCTTTAAAGGATCGATAGAAGTTTCATGTAAATATGTAGAAATTTGACTAGAAGTCTGAGAACTATGATCTTTCGTTATAGATGAAAAGAATGACATTTCAGGATCATCCAAAGTGTTGCTCGTATTTAAAATGGAAGATGAATCTGTAACAGTAGTAGTCGAGTGCTTGATAGATGTTTTCTTGGATCTTTTATGTGGAAATGTTTCTTGAATCTTTTCTTCAGAATTTGCTCTTTTAGATCTTAATTTTGAATCAGTAGAATCAGAATCAACTAATTTATCTTTTGTCTCTTTTTCTATAGAGTCAACATGTAAAGAATTTTGAGATATATCATTTTCAATATGAGAATCCCTAAATGATTTTCTCTCTTCAAAGTCCTCATTTATATCTAATATCCAATTAAACAATTATAACATTTTAAAAATATATAATTAACCATCTGAACACTTTTTAGTTTTTTCCAATTTTACAAGTTTATTTTTAACATTTCTATTAAAAATATTCGGATTTTCATCATATGAATAGAACTTAAATTCATCATATATAGGAAATATTACATTCAAATCAGTCTGTTTTGTTCTATTAATTATATTATTTTCAAGGCAAAAACTCTGATAACTTAAAGATGATAAATAGCGATATTGATTTACTCGACCAACAAATTCTTGCTCCCTATAAATTGTAAAATAGGACAAATGATCTGGCTGTATATCATTTAAATTTGACGACTTTTCTGGAACTAAAGATAATTTATCCAAAATTAACTGTAGCGGTCTTGACCATTGATCTCCTACAATTCGTTTCTTAAGATCCTATTTAAAGTATTAGATAAGTTATAAATAAAAAACAATTACAGGTCCAGAAATCCCATTTTTACCACAATTTTTTATTTCTTGAAAAAGAAGAAATTCAATTGTTAAATCACGCGAAATTGTAATAGCAGGTTTTACTAAATCAAAGGAAATTTCGTCTTTATTATCGTCATTATCTGTAGAACTATTGCTCTCATCATTACTATCTATATTAACATCGCTTTCTTCTTTTGCAGCATCTATATTATAAGGTTTAATTAATTTCACACATTTAGAATATCCCTTATTGTTTGCAACTCTACATCTTTCCAAAAATCCTAATTGCTCCATAGATCTTATCTGTTTGGAAAATCCACGACGAAACAATTTATTGTTAATTTTACAAAGACGCTTAAGATCAACATATCTCATAACACTGTTTTCGGCTTTAGAAAGCAAATTGGTAATACATATCCTTAAGTAATTTATATCTACAATATTGTCTATATCCTCTGAATCTTGGGAATTATTCAGATTTCTTTTCAAAGAATCATTAGCATAACGGCTATGCATCAATAAAAATGTCTGAGCCTTAGAAATAATAATAGGAAGTCTTATACTAAAAAACATCAGATGAAATATCAATAATAAAAATAAACATACACAAGTCCTTTTTCAATTAATGGATTTATACGAGATGGTAAACTACGTGAATCAATGTTTAACTGTTTAGCAAGATCAATCTGATTAATCCCTTTCCCCTTATGTTTACATATTATAGACAGAAGATCAAAATATCTTACAACATACTATTAAATTTAAAAAAAAAATATCACTTAGAAAAAATTAACCTTATTTCCTTCATCAAACTCTTTACCAGTAAGAACCAAAAATTGTTTTTCAAGTATTAATGATATCCTTAACGTATCATTATACCGTTTTTTCAATAACTTCAAGTCAACTTCCTTCGTCTTAATATTTTTTAATATCTAATTATAATAATTCATGATATTCAATAAATTCTAAGCATCTTCCTACTATATTTGATGATGTAGACTTTTCGTCAACCTCATTAAGTACTATTTCTGGTAATAAAACAAAAAATCCCCAAAAATAATTCTTAAAATCCTCATCAATACTATAAATACATGAATCAAATTGTATATTATAAAACTCCTCTATAATCTCCCATAATCTTGAAAGACTGCACCCTAATGAAATCAATATTCCTTACAAATATATAATACTATATATTTATTCATTTTTAATAAAAAAAAAACAAATATAACAAATATATATTTCTTTTTTCAAGGATAATATTAATATACCTTTATTCCCCTCAAAAGCTACCTGTTCTACTGAATAAACTAAAAGATCATCCATAACAACCCATAAATATAACTGGTTTTTTTAAAAAAACCCTTAAGGCCCTTCAAAGACGATAAAACAATGCTTTTCTGCTGATAAATAAAACTAATAAACGCTTGTTAATACAACCCTTTAAAAAATAAAATAAATAATCTCGAATATATATAATATTGGTTTTAACTTGATTTTTAATAAAATTATAAAATATAGAGAATTAAGAGGTTTTTTATAAGAAAAAACATATTAAAAAAATTTATATAAAAAATACCAATAATAGATATATTATGGCAATATTTATATAAATAATATTGATTATTAAACAGCAGAAAAAATTTAGTTTATAAAATGTACTTAGTTTTAAATAGAATTTATAGAGAATCCAGTCAAATATTGTTAATAAGTGCAAGAAATAAATATTTTTTAGAGAATTTTAGAAAAATATATGAAGGGTTATTAAATGATTATAAGAGAAAAACATATTGTAGCAGCAAGAAAGACATAGATAAACTAGATTATGAACTGAAATGTATTAAGAAGGATAAAACTAATATATATAATTCTAAAGAAAAAAAAATATTAGAAAAGGATTATATAGAGATATATACAGATGGATCTAGTCATTATTATGGAGAAGGAAAGGTTATTGCAGGAATTGGTGTATATTTTGGAGATAATGATAAAAGGAAAGTATTAAAGGGTAATGAATATAAATAGTTATTAAATGTATAGAAATATATCAGAGCGTATTTATGATATTAAACAAACAAATCAACGAGCAGAAATTATGGCAATTATACGTGCTATAGAATCGGTATCAAATGATGAAAATATCATAATAAATACGGATTCAAAATATGCGATAAATTCATTAACAATATGGTATAAAAAATGGGAGAAAAATAATTGGAAAAACATAAATGCAGAATCAGTAAAAAATAAAGATTTACTTGAAAAAGCACTTGAATTAATTAAAAAGCGTTCTGGATTTACTGAATTAAAATATGTTTCTAGTCATGGTGATATTTATGGTAACAAGCAGGCAGATTATCTCGCAAATAAGAGTATTTTTATGAAAAAAAAAGTTTAAAATTGAAATTATAATCAACCAAATAATTACATAATTAATATAAAAAACAATAAAATTCTACGTTTAAAATATCTATTAATATGTAATTTAAATTTAGCTCGATTATTTTAATTTTTTAAAACTTGAATTTAAAACAATTATAATATAAATGACATTTCTAAAGCATAACCAGATTATATTTTCATGTTTTATCAATATTTTATTATTATATTTTTTATTAAATATATAAGAATAATTTTTCGTATATATTAATATTATTAATATTTTATATAAGAAATAATACATATTCATTTTTATATGTGAAATATTTTATATAGTTGTATCAATAAATTTTCCTAAAAGCATTTTTGCTTTTTTAATTCTACCTTCTTCTGATTCTTCAGTATCATTAAATTCGACTAAATGTGACACACAAGATAATGATCGCTCCGAAAAATTACACAAATGATGCTTCTAATATCATTAATTTAGTTTCTTATGAATATTTTAAAACCCACATGATTAAAATGCTGACAATTGCTTTTCATTAAATTACTTTTCATAATATTTGATGTCATTTTTTGAAATTCAGTGTTTTTATTCTTATAATTCAAGGGCATATTAATTTTAAATGGTATATATTCACGTTTAGTTTGAGATAATTTTTCACGAGAACGACGTTGTATAAATTTGTCTTTTACTAAAGATCCGGTATGACCTATAATAGCTTTGATTATTTCTATTAAAAATCAATTAAGTTCGAAATCAAAGTTAAAAAGAAAACCTTTTTTAATATGAAGTACTAGATCAAGATATGACCATGTTTTGTTTCTATATTCAATAGTAGGTATACAAAAAACAAAATTATTAAGATCTTCTATATTTTTTTTTCTTGGTCCCTTGAAGCTATTAATTTTTTTAAAAAATATACACTTAATTACCTTATAACTTAAACAAAGTATTAAACTTGGAACTTTAACATAAAGAAGAGTCATATTGTTATTAGCTCTTAGAACCATCTGATTTAGATCATCATTAGGTTTAAAACAAGATTTATTGTTAATTCTATCATTTTTTTCAAAAACATTTGGATCGGCTATTTGGATTTCACTCTTCGACAATTTCAAAGATTCAGCTCCATTAACATCTTCAGAATCATAAAATATTTGAAAACTAGAATTGGATTTAATAGATTCACGAGATAATTTCGACAAACATGAAAATGATTCAATAGGTGATTTAATTGAATTCATAAGTAAAGAAACAGAACTGCTTCTATTACTATAAAATGGATGTGAAATATCTGTTTTATAATAATTTTCAGTGTTTGACATATCTGCATTAATATCCCTCTTCAAAGGACTAGACTTTTCTTGTGCCATAGAATTGACAGCACCTTTACCAGGAAAAACATAATCAAATATTTTTTTACCTACTTCATGTTCTAACTTTATACTAAGGGGGAAAATATTAACTTCAAAATGATCCATTACTGGTATCCCTCCAATAGAATCCAGCATATGCCAATATATTCTTATCATTTTCTTTTTTCTTCCATGTAAAACACTTTTTGATTCACAAAAATAAGGTGATAGTAAATCAGGAAAACAGGTTTTTGGCAACAAATTTATACCTTGAATCGTTTCTATTTCTAAAATATTGAAATTGGAACCATCAAAATTATCTGTTCGTTGATATGTAGCATTAGAAAGACCAAAATCAACGAATGGTTTATTATTTTCTAACAAACCATGCCAAACAACTTCTGATGCTGATAGCAACCACGACATATTTGCTACATTTTTAATAATGTTACCATCATGTTTTTGAGATGCCGCAATTGATTTCATTAAATAGAATAATTCATCTTCACAATCACGAAGCTCAGCTTCTATCTTTATTCCAATTAATCTCTGCTCCATATTGTACTTTTCATAATAAAGTCTATGCCGCGTTTTTATTTCTTCCAAATTTCTTATTTTTTTCTGTAGATTAACAACCATTTCAGCTGTACCAGTTAAATCGCTAAAGTCTACAGCCAACATTAGTTTTTCTAATCTTTTAGATTTTTCTTTTTGCGCTGGTTCAGTATATATCAAAAGATCAGTAACTATTAAAAAAATTATATAATATTGATCAGAATTTGCAGTAAAAATAATTTTTGGAAAATCGACAAATATATTATTAACATATTGCTCGGGTGATTCTATTTTAAAACTTTCAAATAAGTCATTTTTACTATGATTTAATTCATTTTTTTTTAATCGAAGATGATTGTATTTGATAAATCCAAGAGAAGCAGAAGTTTGATCTATTATACGAGTAAATGCCATAGGAGTTCCAGAAAAATCATAAATAGACTCAAGGGGTATCCACGGAGACCAATTTGACTGTAGAGAGCCGTAGTTATTTGCATAAAAAAAGTTAGCAGAATTCTCAATGAAATCATTTTTTTTAGAAACAAAAATTTGAGCATTGTCCATTTTAACAATAAATCTATGTTGCAAAAGACCACTTAGTGTATCATCAACCATATCTTTATCAATTATAGAAAATACTTTTAATTGCATGTTTTGTGCAGTTATAATTGCCACTCCTTGATCATTTTTCTCGCTCTGTAATTGTATTTGAGGTGCAAATAATTTAACAATATAGCTATGTTGACAATCATAATTTTTGGACAAAATATAATCAGAATCATCACGAAAAAAAGGATTGTCTATACTCGAAAATGATTTTTTATTATTCCTCTCATCTTTAAAATCATTATTAGTATCGCTCATTAAACCATCTATTAATTCGTTTATTTCTTGATCATTAAATCCTTGTTTATTAATAATTTTTTCATTCGTCATTATAGATAAATGATTTCCTAATTTCACTTGTTCTTTAATAAGGTCGGTAATGAATTTTACAGCTTTTTGAGACATATAATAAACAAAACCTTCTCTCTGTGTAATTTGATGTATATAGGAAAATAAAATATTCCTAACAGAATTATACCATTTTAATTGAATATTATACACAAAAAAGCGGTTATCAAAGTCGGAAAAATCCTCAGAAATAGTTTCTTTTGACAAAACTCGAAAATTTTCACTAATACAACTTGAAACAAGATGGTTGTCAGTAGACATATCCATTTTACTTGTGAATTTATCATCCTGATCTGCTTTAAGATGTAATAATATAGCATTAATAAAATTGTGCTTATCAAATAACATAGTATTTTCATCCATAATTTTTTTATACTAAATTGATTAATAAATTATAATGTGCTAATTAGATATACTTGAGATTTTAAAATAGTAGCTTTAGATTTTTTAGAAATAACGTTTTCGATACAACTTAACTTGTTCTTATTTTTGTTTATTTGTTTCATAATTTCATTTTGTCGCTTTTGAATAAGCTCAACTTGAATATCATATGGGTCTTATAAAGTTAGCATATTTATATTTATTTAAAAAAAACCTTTCTTATTATTTAATATACAAAAATGTGTATCATCGTTTCCAAATTGATATTTTGATGAGCATATGTTTTCAGGATCTGAGCCATTAGAATGATTATTAGTCCCCCGAAAATAAATAAATTGTGGAATATATGCAAGAGGCAGAATCTGAAAAACTGGTGCACTTTTTAGTGAAATATCTAAATCCAAATCAATAAAATCATCTATATCTATCCATTTCAAATCTTCATTCACAAAAAAATGATTAGAATTATTTTTTTGAAAAATCCTTCTAAAATCATGACTTTTTTGGGAATCATACTCAAATTTATTGAAATCTTCTATATCCACTTCATTAAAACGTGATAATATTAGTTTCAAATCTGTATAAGTAAAATCTATTGTTGCTTTATCAACAATTATATTTTCATTTCTTCTAGTTTTATGCAATTTTTTAAACTGAATATCCTTCTTCTGATGAATATCAAGAGTAAACTTTTCAGTTTTGCCTTTTACGCCTATAGAAGTAAAAGTTTTATCTATCCAATCAACATCTGTTCTATAATTATAAATATGACTTAGAAAAAGTGGAGAAAGTTCCAATTTATAGCTAAAAGTCATTAAATGGCGACTAATTTTTTTCTTCATATGTGGAAATGGAAATAATTTTCCTGATTTGAGAGGAAAAGACATAATCCCACTAAAAAGAGACCACCAATTAAGAAAATGCTGGAATACTTTTGGGGTTAAATGAATAGCATTATAGCTTTTAATTTTTTCATTAAACTTTAAATTTGACAAAGATGCGTCAATAGGGGAAATAATAGACAAAGATCCATGAAGATAATGACTCCTAAATCCTTTAAAAGCATCATATTTCTAAAAAAGTAAGAATAACAAAAATAAAAGAACTCAAATACTTCTTCATTCTCCGAAAGGGCAAACTTAGGAATTCGAAGAATAATTTTATAATGAGGCTTAAAACTGAATATTTTGCATTGATATTTCCCACAACAATTTTGACATGCGTTATCACAATGCCGTTCAAATACCAATCCTGCAGTCCACTTTACTCCTCCTCTTAACTTCATTATAATTTTTTGAAAGTAAATAGTATTCTTTTCATATGTATTATTCGTCAAATTATCATACACAGAAATTATAGTATTTGGCCAATTCATAAGGCTTTGTGCTTGTTTAACAAAATCCGGAATAGCTAGCAAAAATTCATCACTGATAATTACCATAAAATTTCTAGAATCTAAACTACAACCAACATTCCATTCGACATTTCCTCTCCAACATTTTATAAAACCAGCACCATCTCCAGTAATAAGATACGGATCTCTAGAACCTAAATAAGAATAAACAGCTGTCCAAAAATAATAAATTCAAAAATTACCTTTTAATGTTAAATAAACATTACCGCCATTCTTCCATTTAAATTTAAAAGAAGTATGTATAATCAGTCTAATTTTATCCCAAAAGCCCAATTTATCAGAAGGATCTTCAGGAGGTCTTGAAAATGTCCCGAATATACGCATAATATCTTGTATAGCTGGCTGTAATGACATACCCCATGTAATTTGAGTAGGATATAGTGTATTTATACTAATATCAACAACGCCATAAAATTTGACGGGATTTACTGTTCTTGCAACCCTTATATTAAAGGGAGATCCTTTTTTCTCTGATTCATCAGGAATAATACAAACTTCTACATAACGAATTGATTCTTTTCCTGAAAATTGTTCTGCAATTACTAAATCTGATGAAAAGTCCCATGTAGGAGAATTCTGCGGCTGCAATGAATTTGAATCAGGAATATAAATCAAAGGCAAAGGATAATCTCGCAAGCATACTTTTACTTCTGCCATTTTCCAACTTAAATTAAAAGGTATTAAAACAGAAAATTTAGTATCTAGAGGCAATCCCTTGCCTGTATCTCGCAAAAACTGATAAAGATTTTCTATAGGAAATGATGGCTTATCAAAAATAAATTGAACTTTCGAAAATAATATACTTAAAAGAGGTGGCCTGGTAGGAAGAGGCAAAATATTTTCCTGAAAAGTTGATATGCATTCTATATCATCTGATATCCAATGTCTATATCGTATAGAATACAGCTTAGAAGACTGTAAATTATTTACTTTTTGAAATTTTTTAATCCATGAATGAGAATTATATTCTTGAAGTTTTTCATATGCTTGTTCAGCTTTAGAAGGTAAATTAGAAAATTTAGATTCTGAAAGATCTTGAACATCCTTAATATTTTTCATATGACATTCTTGTTTATTATATAATTGTTTTAATTCCGATTTTTCAAATGAAGTTCCCAAAAAATATTCATTTTCGTTATTGGTTTTACTCTGTTCATTATCATTCATTAGTTCTGATTCATCTTTAATTTTTTCAGCCTTAATATCAAAAGTTGTTTCGCGCATAATTCTAGCCTTTTGTTCTATTAATCCTATACGCCAAATAAGTCCTAATCTTGCTTCAAATGGATCATCTTCAATGTCAAAAGATATAATAGAAGATTCTAAGTGAATCTTAGGTATAACTTTTGCCTTCACCGGATGATTTGTTAAAGTAGAGCTATTATAACTTGTAAAAAAACAATAATAAAGTTGTTTTGAACTTTTTATAGTATTTTGTATGCTTTCTACCATTAAATGCAAGACAAATTTATGAGGAATACGAATTCGTATAGCGTCTGTATATAAAACTATTGTTGGCTCATTTTTTTGATCGATTTTAACACGTTTGTAATAGATAGTAAGGGTATTAATATTAACAATCCTATCCCAAAATTCTTGAATAATTGGACTAAGAACATAAAGAACTATATTTCCAGCCTTAAATGATAAAAACTTATCCTTATTGTGTGACATTTCTAGTTTATGTATACTAAGCATTGAAAACTGTTTAGATGGTAGCTCGATTTTGACTTTTACTGACGAAATAGATATATATAGAAATATGTACCCCCATAATAAATTGCTAACTTGTCCATTGTCATCAGCATGACAGCCTTGCGATGTTTTAAAAATATTCTGTTGAAAGAATGTTTTTTCTAAAATTTTTAGAGCAAGAAGAATCGTATAATATTTAAATAAAGAATAAGTTAGAGACAATTGATCTATCTCAATTGTAATCCGTAACAAATGATCTTTATTAGGTTCGGTAACAAATGTTAATCCACATTTTATAACTTCTATAATTGGTTCTTTCATATCCAAAACATTTTCAGCATGCATTGAAAATATTTTGAAACCATTGAGTAACAATGTACCTCTTGAAGAAGGTATTGTATTAAAAACAAATGTATTTAAAATATGTTGGAAATTTGGTGATCTATTTTCCTTATATATAGAGAAAAGTAATTCTTTAGAGCCCATATTTAAAAAACAATATTCCATTTCCCATGAATCTAATCTCAGTAAAATTCCTTTATGATCATGAGTTATTTTAGGTTCATTTCCGAAAAGGTAAATATCTAATTTTGATCCATGAAACTCTATCTTCCTTAACAACAGAGAACACTTATATAGCAAAAAGATATCCAGTAGTCCAGTATTCTTTTCGCCTAAATAATCGTACCTAGTATTTGAAATATTTAGAAATATGTTATTTAAACAATAAATTATTTCGATGTTATTTAAGTTAAAAACCACATTATCATGAAAGATTCCAATAAAGACATTATTGAATGGGAATAAATCAAATTTAAAATGAAGAGTAAAATTCTCTATGGAAAGAATGTTGTATTTCCTTTTAAAAGAAGTATGATAATATAACTTTTGTGAAATAAACAAAATAGAAGTATTAACCGAAAAAAGACGAGATATACCATTACCAGATATGTTAGTCTGAAGATCCATGAATATATTAGATAAACTCAATATAAGTATTGTAGGCTTTTGTTTCAAATTTTCATATAAAGAATTATTAAAAGGAAGCAATATCCGTATTACTGGTTCATAAATAGAAAAATTGAAATTCAATTTGGGTATAAAATCTTCAAATAATTGTATCTTTGAAAATGCTGATGTATTAGTAACATTTTTAGATTCAAATATTGAAACTATTGATAATAATCTCTCAAAACGTAAGTTTATTGATGGCGATGTTATAGCCATATTTGCGATAATATTAGTAAGATTCATTCCCTTTGTAATTATGCTATTATTGACTAAATGGTCAAGAGTAGTTATTTTACATGTAAAAGTGATCATAGGTATCAAGATAAAATCCTTTTCCTGAATCGTTTGTTGAAATATGCTTATCGATAGCGAAATACATGATGCAAGTATCTGATGAGAAGCAGGAACATCAAGAAATTGTCTATAAATATTTGAATTTTCCCCAATATAATGTATATTTATCCCAATTTCCTTCAATTTTAATGATATAAATGAAGTATAGTTTTCAGAACTAGAAGATGTAATAGATTTCTTTATTTTTAAGTTTCCAATATGAAATTGTATTTCATGTATCATATCAAACCAATGCATTTTTTCAACTATGCTCTGTTTTATTTTCGCCGCTGATTCTTTTAATTCATCTTCCACTTTGAAATTATTATTATTCATTTCAGAAACAAATGAGTCGACTTTATCATTAAAAAAACAACTTAAATCACTGTTATCCATAAATTCATCAAGAGGTAATATAAATTTCCCACATTTTAATGAACATTTTACACTCTTTATCATACAATCTAGTTTTCCTTGAACGTTAATCAAAACTTTATCTATTAATTCTGATGACGTCCCTTTTTTTGATATAAAAAGTATAGAATCCACTATATTTATCATTTCAAATGTCTTTTCATCGTATAAAAATTTAGGAAATTTACCACTATAAATTTCTGATGTTGTACCATGATAAAATGCATTATTAAAACATATATTAAATCTACCAATAAAAAATTTTCCATAATCTTCAATATTAATGCTGGTATCCGTTATCACTATATCAATCCAATCCTTAATCTTAAAAATAATTGATGATTTTAAGATTTTAAGCATAAAATAAACACCTTTTTGGGCATATTTCTTAAAAAAATCTAAGGATTTTCTTTTTTTTGAAATTTCTTGGCGTTTTTTGCAAGATTTACATATGTTCATGGAAATCCCTTTAATACAAAAACTAACCCATGTTCTTGTTGCCAATGTTGGTCTATGAAAATGCATCTTAACCGACTCCACATATAAACGACCATATTCCTCATTATAACAAAGCTCAATCCCATGAATAGAAAAATATCCAAAACGCCGTATATGCACTCCTCCAATCCTCTTAATTACTCCCAAAAGTATATGCGTTAAAACAACATAGCTTAAACAAATAATAACAATCCATAAGACTATCTTCTCCACAAATATTTCCATTTAATCCTGTCCTCCTGATAACTCTTATTCATTTAACTATGATTCCTTAATATTTCTGCTACAAAATATGAGGTTTTTATTAGAAATTAGAGTCCTGGATTGGCCTTTTATAAAGGTCATATATTAGCTGCTTATATGCAAGACCGCATACAACCCGTGAATATATATAATTTTTAATAATTAAGAGAATGAATAAAGAAAACATAGTGTTTTGTTTGAATTTACTATAAAACTATATTGTTTTTGCATTAAACGTGTAAAAAATATGAACCCTCATACATTATTAGTGAGGGCAGGGAGAAGGGTCAAATACAAAAATATATAAATATTGATAAACAAATGGAAATTTGTCTTTAAACTAGGAATACATATGCATTGAAAGGCTATTCAAGTGTTTTTTTATTAATTTTCAATATTTCAGCCTTTATTTCATATAAAGCGTGTATATGAACAAAATGAAGCAGCCCATAGTGCTCTATAAGGAGTGATTATTGAGCGGGATGGATCTGGATCAATGTAAATTTAGAAGAATTAAGGCTAAACTATGAATTTATTAATAACTATTGAATATTTAAAAGAACAATCAAGAGATTTTTTAAGAATTTTTAACAGGGCTTAAGTTTTTTAGCAAAATCAACAGGATTTTATTAGAAATATTAGCAAAAACAGATTTTCAGGGCGTTATTTTTAGAAATGTCTTGAAAACAGGTTATTTTTAGAGGAGACGAGGTTAACGATGTTAGTTTTAATCAATAAAAATCTATAAAAAACCAAAAATTTATTAAAAAGCTTAGAAAAAAGTCAAGAAGCATTAAAATTTAGTAGTTAAACAGGTCATTATTAAGAGTCTATATTTAGGGAGAAATGGGTGAGTTATTTTTTTAAGGGTATATTTTTAATATTAATAAACAGGGCCAAAAAAGGTGAGAAATTGATTTAAAGAGGAGCTTTATTTGTGATTTTTCTAATGCAAATGGGTTTAGAATAAGAGAGAGAAATTGAGTTTAAGTGATTTTTTGAGTGGTTCAAACTGGGCAGATGAGATGGAGGATACGCCGATTGCACGTATTTATAATCTAGAAAATATATGTTTATAGAGGAGATTTAATGTGCCTTAGCTTTAGAAGAGAAAGAAACGAAAACAAGTTACTATAGTCGTGATTATAGTAATGGAGGGCCTAAAAAAGATAATGGTATTTCATATAAACATGGTATTTTTTTTGAATTTTTTGGAGTATATGAATATTATTAGATATTTCGTCAAGTAGACAGCAAATACCATTGCCTACGGAACCTCCATATACGGCGCATTTGGGTAATCTTTCTTTTAATATTACAGAGTCAGAAATTTCGGATTTTTTTGGAGAGCCTTTTATTACTAATATAAGACTTATGCGTGATCGAATAGATGATAGGCCTAAAGGGTTCGGATATGTTGAATTTACAGATTTGCAAGCACTTATTAATGCAATATCTTTAAATGGAAAAACATTAAGTGGTAGAGCGATAAAAATTAGTGTTGCAGAACCTCGTATATATTAAAAATCTACTTTTTTTTTTCTTAATTTTTTTTACAAATAATAGCTCGAAAAGGGTATATAGATCGAGATCCTATTGAAGATAGAACAGCAGGGGAATGGAGACGTTCAACATCTCTTCCTCTTTCCGAACCTTCATATGAAAAACGATTTTCATATGAACGAAGAGGTACTCTTGGAAATAACGATAACCCTAGAGATTTTTCAAATTGGAAATCCAAAGGACCATTACAAGATTTACCAGAGTTAGATTCATTTACGAAAAAAAGAAGTTATCTAAGTTCTGATAGAAGGAATGGAGATAAATTTAGAAATTCTGGCTTTGGCGATCGTAGTTATGGAAGTAATAATGTTTCTTGATTTATTTATCAAAGTATCTAATTCCTTTTAGATAATTTTAATAGTACCGCGACGACTAATATAGGTGAACGTCCAAAATTAGTTCTTAAGCCTAGAGGAGAGAAATTGGAAGATCCTCCTCAAACATTAAAACCTTCAACAAAACCTAACCCATTCGGTGATGCGCTTCCTGTTGATTCAGATGCTCGTATTCGAGAAATCGAAGAAAAGGAACAAAAAAGAAAGGAAGAAAGACTGGCATCCGAAGAACAAAAGGGTTTTGGATGGGAAAAAATACCAAAAGAACCTTCCTATAAATCTGATAGGACTGATAAAAAAGAAGCAAATAGAAGAAATCATTCATTAGACTTTAAATGCGATAAAACTGATAAAAATAAAGAACATAAAGGACAAAACAATAAATCACAGTCAATCAATTCCTTAAAACCTACTAATACTACTATTACACTTGAAACTGAAATCAACATAGATGGCTGGTCCACCGTCAACAAGCTATCTAGGAAACGATGATTTCCGTTTCATTCTTTTCATGGGTTTAAAAAACATTAATAAAAATCATTTTTATATATCTTTTAACTTTATTTATATATTTATTTCTGGGTTTAGCCCTATTATACAAGTCACTCGATTTTCTTGCGACTTCACAGCTAACTTCAAAGAAAATGGTTTCTTCAAAAACACACTTGGTTATTGTGAAAAAGCGAAGGAAACGCTTTACAAGGCATCAGTCAGGTATATTTCATATATTTTATTTTTTTTTTTTCCATGAGAATTAGGCTGATATTTTATTTTTCTAGATAAATATAAATGTATCTCACCATCATGGAGGAAACCTAAAGGTATTGATAATAGAGGTAATATTGATTATAAGTACGTTTGATATGGTTATGGATATTTTATAGTTCGACGTCGTTTTAAAGGACAAATACCTATGCCTAATATTGGATATGGATCAGATAGAAGAACTCGTCATATGCGGTAAATAAAACAGAATATAAATTAAGGCTTTTAATGCTTTAGACCTAATGGTTATTATACGTTTCTTATTAGGAATGAATCTGATATTGATCTTTTATTGATGCATAATGATACATATATTGGAGAAATTGCGTCGAATATTTCATCTAAGAAAAGGATAAATATTGTTGAAAAAGCTAGAAAACTGGGTGTAAGATTAACTAATGGTTTTTCGCGTGTCAAATCTCAGGAATAAATATATAAATTTTGTTATTTTATAAAATCAAGAAATTATATAATAAATGAGAATTGATATTAGTACATGATTTATTAATGTATTAAATCCATGTAATCATGATAATGTATAATATTTTATATAAATTTATACATGAAACTCTTTAAATACAAGTATCTTAAATATTTTCTATAATTTTTATAATAAGCGATTGATTTTTAAATAGAATATATTATATTTGATAGATATTTAAGAATATCAAAGACATTATTTCCTTGGAATTGTTTGAAAAAGGAATAGAATTATAATTAGTATAAATTTATTTTATACTACCTAAATGCTGGTATTTCTTATAAAATTTTAACAATCTAATCACAATGCAAAATACAAAAAATACATATATTATATACATAGAATTATCATTTAATTATGATTATAATGAACATAGACATTATTCAGCCCAACCCCATTCCCAACGTTTTCCTTCATTCCAACCTCTGATATTTTCTGCTTCATCATTCTGACCTTGTCTCCAAATTCTACAGCTAGTATCATCACTAATACTCGCAATACAATCATCATAGCTCCATGATATTCCAGTAATTTCTTTTTCACAGCCAGAAACTAATGCAACGCCAATATTTTTATTTTCAGTCATGCTAGTCGTATCTGCTATTATAACCTGACTATTACTACTTCCACATCCTAAAAATTGCCCGTCTTTTGAACATGAAATCTTAACGAAAAATGACTTTACCATAAGCTGTGGATGCGTAAAACTGCCAATGGGTTCTTCAGGATGTGTTGATGAATATGCATATATATAATTATCTCTACTAAGTCCGTAAAATCTTGATCCAGATGAAGGCATAGCAAGTGATGTAATACCATGATCCCTCTTATTTTTTATACTAACAGCAGGCTTTGATTCGTAAAGTTTTATAAATTTTTGAGAATAAAACCGAATATCCCAAATATTAATAAAACTAAACAATATTAACGAGTAATAAAACACTTTAATTAAAAACCTATTAGCATCACATGCACTTGCCAAAAGATTTTTCCTATGAAGCCATTGTATAGAAGTTATAGAATTGCTTATAGGCATCAATTTAGATCTTCTAGAATGTTGTTTTATTTTTCCATGTGCATTTAGAATAGAAACAACTGGCATTTGTGCTGATCCAAAAAAATCAATTCAATTTTAAAAATCTAAAATGATTACCTGAAGATTCCACTCCGTGTGATCGAAGATCCCAAATCAATATCTTTCCATTACGAGAACAGGTCGCCAAAATATCTAAGAAACATAAGACTTAAATATTGATAAAAAATAATTTACTAGGATCATCTTTTTGAAATGACACTTGTTTTAAAGTACTAGAAATACATTTAGAAAGAATTGCAACAAATTTCTGGCTAGATATATCAAGTACACGAGCAGTCTGATCTCCTGATGACGATGCCTATAAAATTTAGAATTATACACAAACAATTCTACAATTCTACCAAAAGTTTGTCATCATAAGACCATGAAATATCAAATATAGCGTTATCATGACATTTTAGTTTTAAAAACTCATCTAAACCATTTATTAATCAAATCTTCGATCGACACACACGTTACAACCAATTCGCTTCTCTTTTTTCGCCGTATCAATAAAATGTATATATCCCGATTCATCCGAAACCCCCAAAACAGAATGATCTACCCATATAAACACCTTTTCTCCATAAAATCTCACATACTATTTGAAAATGATACTGCAAACGGAACATCTAATGTATCTTCGTTCTCAATCAAAAAACGATCAAACGGACGACTATAAAACGATCTCATCAACTTTCTCCTGACTATTAAACAATTAAAAACTCATTCTTCTCCCTGCAATTCCTTCACTTGGTACTGATAAATCATAAACACTCTTTCCCGACAAATTCCTCTCCAAAACTGACAATGGAAACTTATATAATACAGATCCTCCTGAATGACGTTTTACGCTCATTTCCACTCAGTTTCATGTCAAAATAGACGATTCTCTATCTTTAATCTCTTATTCTCGCTATTTCTCTTGTTTTTGGCCGTTTTTCTCCGTTCAAAAAACCACAAAACTCAATTAACACCGCTCAATTCAAAAATATTACTTACGTCTTCGTTTTCTCCCGTTTTCTATCGCTATTTTCCTAAAAATCCCTCTCAATCATATACAATAATGGTGGTCAACAACACGACGTTCAAGCACGTTTATATATTAACGTGGAGATCAATCACGTGACTCGGCGAACCTCATCAAAAATTGATATTCAGCGGGAGAAAAAAAAGGCGAAAAAAGACGGTTTATTTGTGGAAAAATGAGGTTAAAAAGTACACAGAACGTTAGAAAAAGGAAAAGATATAAAAGTAGGTTTTTTTCCGGTTTTTTTTTGTCAATTGGCGGCGGAAATCGGGAAGTTTTTTTTTTTAGCAGAATATGTTGATTAAAATTAGAGTTATTAAAGGAATTGAACCATCTTCTATTGAAATATAATATTTCAGATAAGATAAAACTTGAGGAGTTTTCTGTTTGTCATATGATTCGGTTATATGAGGCTCTTTATCATACGAAATTTCCGTTTGCTGATGAGAAGAATGAATCGAGGAAAACACAGGTTAAATACGTTAAATTCCTTCTTGGAACTATTTCACATGAGTCATTGAGGATAGATCTTAGTTATATTGACCCGGTTTTGGTGATTAAACGAGATATGAAGTCTATGATGAATATTGTAGAAATACTTGTGATAGCAGGACATTTGCAGCGTTTGAAGGAGAGAATTGCAGCTAAACAGGATGTAAATGTTGAGGACGAGGGCTCGGGAGAGAGTGATTCATTTATTTCGGATGAAATATTGGATTGCGAAGAAGAAGAAGAGAAGGAGGAAGAAGAAGAAGAGAAGGAGGAGGAGGAAGAAGAAGATTTAGAAAATAATGAGGGATCTGTTTGTAATTGTTTAAAAGAATCGCAAGATGTAGTCCATACGCCAAATTCTTTAGTTTCATCTGGATCAGTTATGTCTTATTTTACGAATCGTGCAAATAAGGTATTTAATAGGATTCGTTCTTTAAATCTAGATACAACACAGCCTAAATGTGTCAATGAAACATTTAAAAGGAATTTAAAAGAAAACACAAAGGATCAAAAAAAGCAGGGGATCATTAAAAATAAAAATCATAAAAAAAATAAAATATCTAAACATTGTCGATCTATTGGAACACAAACATTATTACCTTATTTTTCTGAAACACCGAATTCTCAAATTTCACCACTATCATCATCACCAGATGAATCATATCAATGTTCTTCTAAAATAAGAACATGTTCTATAAAAAAAATGATGCAAAAAGTTTCATTAAATACATGGGAATCTCAAACTTCAGAAGATGAATCGTTAGAGTTTGATCTTTCCGGCAAAGAAAATATAAAAACATCTATAAATAAAGAAATAACAGACATACATAATTTTCAACAAGGATCTTTAAAAAGAAACGAATATTATAATCAACCTTTGAATGATAAAATAATACCAAATAATAACGAAAATATGCATTATCATCTTCTTCATACTTCACATAAAGTTACACCATTACGTCTTAGGCAAAATATATCGCAGGAATCCTCGCCTAATAGTGATTCTACAAATATAGAATTTTTTAAACAAAAATTTCATAAAGGAATATTGACAACAGATTCACCATATACATTGTATTTACGAAAACGAAGAAAAAATGCTTTAAATGCATTATACGCACAACGTTCTTGTTTAGAACAGAATTTAAAATTATCTAACAAAAATAACAGAAAAATATCTGCTAATCATTCAAAAACAAAAATAAAAAATATTCCTCATAGAGAATTATATAATCGACCTTTAAGCGATATTTCATTCTATTCTCCATCAGAACTTAAATCTCAAACATCTTTTTTTTCTAATTATGATAATTCTATTACGGATCTTGAAAAACAGCTTCAATCTACTAAAAAACTTTATTCTAAAGAATCATAAATTCTATTAAGGCATTTCTTGGTAATATTTACATTTATTATATATTTTTACATTTATATACCATTTTACATTATACCAAGATAGCTACGGCCATACCTCAGAGAATATACCGTATCCCGTCCGATCTGCGAAGTCAAGCTCTGAAGGGCGTCGTCAGTACTATAGTGGGTGACCATATGGGAATACGACGTGCTGTAGCTTTTCTCAACATTATAAATATTGATTTTTTATATTTTAATTAAATCTTTTAAATTTCATTTAAATTTTTTAAATTTTTATTAATTATGATATAATAAAAGTCTATATACATTATAAATATTAAAAATTTATTTAAAATTTGAAACATATTCAATAGCACGTTGCTTTACATTTTCAACACTTTCATCAGTACCATGATTTTTTTCATATATAATCCACTTTTTAAAAAAGAAACTTGCTTTTTTACTTGAAATTTTTACAGACAAAATCCTCTGAAATAGTTTTCTAACATTATCTTGTTGACCATATTTAATTTCATAATCCAAAAAAACAGACCATAAATCAGTAAATTTAGGATAATTACTTATAAGATTTTCAAAAAGTGTTCTACCTCTTTCTGGATCACCATATTTAAATTCTAATTGTGCAAACTTGCTTTTAGCTTTAAGAACTATATATATATTAGTAAATACTAAAATGAATAAATTAATTACAATCTGATTCTGGTAAACTTTTGAAGCTAAGAGAAAATAATTCTCTTGAAGCATCATGATTATTATTTTCCATTAAAAATGAAGCATAATTTACCCATACATCAAGAGACTTGTTAAACTTTTTGATCATGAGTTGAAACAATTCATTTGCTTTCTAAAATTTTAAATCAATTTTCTCATAATTAAGAATTGTATAAATACCTCAATTTTTTTTGATCGTATAAATATGCTGCACAAGTTTTCCATTATAAACTTTGGATCATTGAATTGACATGCCTTTTTAAAGATATCATTAAGAGATTCTTCAGTACCAAAAGTATTTTCTAAATTCATAAGAGCAATCCAAATATTAGATTTCTCTTTCTCATTTCGATAATTTATAGACTTAAGAGCACGTTCACCAATTTCTCTTGCTTTATCAAACTCAGAAAGTTCTACATGAAATGCCATAAATTTAATCCAAATATATGAAGAATCTGGAGAGCCTAACAAAAGACGTTCAAAATCTATAGGAGCCTTGGGTTCCGATTCATTAAGAATAGCAGTTTTATCCTCTGAAAAATCAATACCCTTATCTCTTTTTTTTGATAAAACATGATTGTTTGTAATTTCTTGCGTAGCAATTATGTTATTATTATCAAACCCAGCATTTCCTGTCCAATCAAATTTTCCAATAGATAAACCATCAATAAAATCATCCATTTCTTCTATTTGAATATTAGAATCTCCATTTTGCATTTGATTGTTATTTGATATAACAGATGAATTATTAGTATTTTCTGTTAATTCCTATAAATCTATTAGTATTGAAGATCTTTCAAAAAAGAATTATAAACATTATCAGGAATTTCTTCAACTTTATCATCAGACGATTCTGATGATGATTCTGTCGTTTCTGTCTCATCAAAAAAATGTTGCTTTGTTCCAAGATAAGAACTTTTAAGAGTCAATGAAATCCGACGTTTTTCATAATCAACATCTAATACATATGATTTTAACATATCTCCCTCAACATATATTTTATTAATATCTTTTACTTTAGAATCAGCAATCTTCATTGATGTTATAATATGAAAAAATTAATAAGTAAAGTTTACCTGAGATATATGACATAATCCACTAACGTTATTATAACCTACAAGATTTATATATATCCCAAAATCTGTAATTTTTCTAACAACACCTTCAATTATCTGTCCTTTAGAAACTTCTGAAAATTCTAATAAAGGTTCTAATGATTTTAATTTACTTTTTTTTAGAGTCATTTCAATTCTTTTATTCTCATCTATTGAAATAATTTTTCCTTCAATAAGATCATACAAATGGAAATTTGACTTCCAATCCTGAATAAATTGATCCGATATTTCATCAATTCTAACTCTACCAACAAGATTTCTACTCAGACTTATAAATAATCCTTTTTCAGCAATATTCTTAATAAAACCCCGAAAAAGTGCACCAATTTTAAGATCTTCTAGTGAAATGATTTCTGGATCACGTTGTTTAAATGTTGATGATATAACTCGAGAATTTCTTGATGAGAATGCAATATTTTTATTATGAATATCCACATCTAAAACATAAACTTTAATAATTTGATTCTTCTGGTATTTCTTAGTTAAATCCGTACTATATTCATCATCAATGTCAGTTAAATAGATTTTTCCTATAACGTTTTCACTAATTTGAACTATAAAGCCTGTTTCTATTGTCTTTATGATTTTACCAGGAATTATAGAGCCAATTATCACAGAATTATAGTCATATATATAATCTGAATTTAACGCTCGAATTGATAAACCTAGATAATTCATTTCAGTATTAGATTTGACAACCTTGCAACGAATTGCTGAACCAATGTGTATATGTTTTGGAATATTTTGAAGAATATCAATATTATCACTAATATCTAATATATTTATTCTTCCTCTAATATTAGGTGATATGTTAACCCATATACAATCCCGAAATATATTATTTACAAATGCAAGATGCACTGAACCGATGTTAATATCATTTAAAGATAATAAAGGATTTGTTTTTTCTTTTAAATCACTTGGTCTTGCTGTAAGTTCAAATATTTTATGAATATTTGAAGATCGATGAGTAATAGCTAAAAAGCGATGATTTCGTATGTCATGATATCCAATTACTTTCGCATCAATTTTTTCATTAACCTTAAATTTTTTAAAAGGATTTTGAGGATCATCAATTTCTTCGTAAGAATCAAATACTTGAGTTATATCAATTCGTCCATGATATTTTCCAAATATTTCAACGTTAAGTTGAGTTTCTTTAACAGAAATTATTTTAACTTGAATTATTTTTTCAATAATATCATCTAAATTTAAATTTGATTTAAAATCTTGTATAGTTAGCTTTTGAGGTGCATTCTTTGAAATATCTATCTGTCCTATTGAAAGTTGTAATCTTTCTTTTTCTAAATCAATATCCATTACTGTACATGATATAGTTTGGTTTAAAAAAAATGTTAAATTTAAATTAACTAAATATTGATCTGATATATTCTAGAAATAAGTTATATTTGAATGATAAATATTAATTAAAAATACTTGTTTTAGTGCAAGACCTGTCAAATTACCAAGAAATCCTACAAAAACCCCGTAATCTTGTATACTTTTTATATATCCAGAAAGACAAGAACCAACTTTTACTTGAGACAACATTGATGGGAAATTTCCCTTTTCTAATAATTCAATAAAACTCGACTTAATACTAAGAGTTATAACTCGTTGACTTTCTTTTTTATTTAAAACAATTAACTTTTTTAAATGGGTTCCATGATTCATTTTTGAAATTAACACTTTACATTTATCAAGAGTTTCATCAGAAACATGTCCTAATTCAATAATTCCAGTTAAAAGACTCGAATCTATAGAAACAACAACAATATCATTAGAATTATTTATAACAGTACCAGATACAAATGATCCTATTTCCAATTTATTAAACTTCTCTGATTTATCTTTATCCCATAATGCTGGATCTCTACAGCTTACTTTTATTTTTTGTGAATCGATATCTACAGAAACAATATATACATTAACTGTCTGCCCAATCTTGAAATGCTCTCGTGGATCACTAATATACACTTCACTCATTTCAGAAACAGGAAGAAATGACTTAATTCCATTATAGAATTCTACAATAGCACCATTATCCAATATATTTTGTAAAACGCCAGTGGTTTTTGTATTAATTTTTATATCATTATAATTAGTTATTTCTGGATATTTAGTATTAATTAAAGACTTTTTTAATGTCAATATTAATTTTCTTTTTTCTATATCTTTCCTAAGTACCTATATTTAATGAATAAAAATGATTTGAAACTTTAAGAAATAAATTTACTTTACATAAAACATTATCACCTTCTTTAAATTTTCTTTCTGGATGAAGTAAAAAAACATCAGATATATGTGAAGTAGGAACAATTCCAGTAATTCCTTCTGTAATATGTATTAAAATTCCCTGAGGTATAATTTTCCCAACAGTCCCAGATACTAACTCTGCAATATTGAAATCTTCAAGTCTTAAATGAGATTGATTATATATACTGCTTTGCATAGATAATATATAAATGCTATCAATGTTTGAAAATCCTATTACTCTTGCCTGATGAGAGGAACCAATCTTATAATTGCCTGTTATAGGTGATATAGATTTTACTTCATTGTCTGATAAACGAGATATCTTAAAGTTTTAGCAATAATTTTCTTAAAAAAAAGGAAAATATACATGAACAAATCCAAGTATATTTTTAAATCCGATATCACAAAATACACCTATTCCAGGTTCAGTTTTTCTAATAATCGCATTTTCTATCTTAAATCCTATTGGAATAGAAGACAATGGATCAATCTCTAATTGTTTTTCTTGAATAATGGTTGAAAAATTTACTATATGATCAAGAAGAGATATAGCAACTTTTTTAGGTTCAGAGTCAATAAAATTAAAAATAATTCTTGCTTTAACCTATAATATAATCAGAATTTCATGTTTTTTTTCAGAAATAAGAAATTATAAAATACAATTTTCCCAACTTCATATTTGGTATGTATATTAGATAAAACATCTCCAGAATGAAATATATCTGCAGTAGCATTTAGAAGACCCATAATTTTTCCACAAATACCATGAGGATAGATCTTTGAAATCATAACCTTTACAAGATTTCCTGGAGAAAAAACAGTGATATCAGATGCCTTTGATATTGGTGTTTTTGCTATTTTAGAAAGATCAGTAGACAATTGAACAATACGTCCTTGTGACACATTTTTCATCATATAACATAAAAGAACCTGTCCTTCATATAATTCAGAATATTGTGTATTTTCTTTCTTAATAAATCCAGAAATTCCTTTGATACCGATATCTACTATATACCCATGATCTTCAATACTAACAATTGAAGCTTGCAGAACTAAGGGACCACTTAATGAATCAACATTTAAGTTTCCATTTGTATATACTGGGTCAAGATTTAGTTCTATTTTCTTTTTTTGCTTAACATCTTTTAATGTTATCGAATTGTTTTCCGGCCATTCTGTAGCAGATGTAGCAATAACATATACCTTAACCCACTGACCCTTATGAAACAATCTCTCTAACGATAATATATTATCTACATCATTCTCAATTGATTTTTTAAGATATGTCGAAAATGTTTTTGATATATTTTCTACAGAAACATATCCAACCAGATTATTAGGAAGAGAAACAGTAAGTACTGATGATTCTACTCTTTCAATTTGCCCTAATATAATCATACCTTTTGCAATTGTCTAATTATTTTTAAATATTTGTTAAAAAATCATTCAAAATTACTTTAAATGTAAGACTTTCAATCTTCAAATTCTCATACACAATATTATCCCCAATATTCACTGTTTTTAATCGTCTTTTCCTTGTATTATCTGCTTTTGTTCTTTTTATATGGGTTTCTTCCTATTAAAAATTAATTTTTCATATTTTACCAAAAAAAAGGCAGATTTAACATCAAAAAGAGCCCCTCTTTTAATACCCCCGCTATAATCATCTATTTCAGTAGTATTTAAGTCATTTCCACCCCTTGGGAAATCCTTATCTGCTTTTAACGACAATTCAGATTGATATATTTTGTTTTCTTTATGATTCTTATTAAAATCTTCCTTTATATAAGAAATATTCCTTTATTTATTCTTAATTACCATGGGATTCTCTATTTTTTATGTTATTTAAGGTGCTTTTTGATCTATTTTCTTTAGATCTTTGCATTTTATAGCTTTAAAAGATAAAATTAAGATTTAAACGATTTTATATTAAAAATAGTTAAATATTATTTAAGAATAGTTTAATAAATTAAACAAAAAATATGTTTAAATATATTTTTATTTTAAGAAATAATTTAAATATCTTTAGTATTAATGTATTTTATTTTTTTTTTAAAAAATAAAATTTAGTCATCTTTTGATGAAATTGCCTTTATAAAGTCATTTTCCCAATCACCATTTTGAAATTTTGACCAATCTATTGTATTTTGATTTAATATGTATTTTCCTTGACGACATCGTATAAGTTCTACTATATGTGCAGCAGAATCTAAAGATATAGCGAGATCATGAATAAGTGATCGAATATATGTACCAGAAGATGCAACAATTCTGAATTTAACTGCTGGCGCTTTTTTTTTTGTAGATAAAATTGTATTAGACGATTTTTCTTCTTTACTATCAATATCATTAAATAAATTATCAGATATTTTAATTTCGTCAGTAGATTTAGACAAATTGCATTTTTCATCTTTGTTATCCATAGCTTCTTGTTCCTGTAATATATTGCTAGAAATATCTATATTATTATCATCATCATCACATGGTTCTTTCCAATTATGATCATGTGTCCATTTTATGATATTAAATGAATCAACAACAACTGGACGATATTTAATTTCTTCCGGAAGTTCAATTCCTTCTCTTGAATATTCATATAACCGTTTTCCTCTCATATGCAAAGCAGAATACCTTGAAAAATTATATAAATTTAAATAATTGATTTATTCCTACATTGGAGGTTTCTGTAATATATTACCCCTAAAATTCTCAAGTGCTTTTTCAACTTTATCTTGTGTTAAATGAGACCATGGCATACGTTTTAAAATTTTTCCATTAGAATCATATGTATCTGTAGAATAACCGAATAAAGCTGTTGCTTCATATTCCTTACATAATTAACTTGGTTTTCTTTTTCAAAAAATATTACTTTAGTGCAGTTTAAAAATTCCTTAAGTCTCTTTGTGCTCTTTCCAATACCTATTACTTAAAAATAGTTATAAATTATACCAATATTTAAAAAATAATGTACCAAGTATACCACTTGCTAATGGATCTAAAGTTCCTCCATGTCCAAGCTAAGTTTAATCTTAATAAAGCTCAAATTAAAGTAAGAACTTACTTTAATTTTCTTAAATTTCAAATCTCTGGATTTTCTATGACGTTTATATACTTGTTCTTGAGAAATATCAACAAGTTGATCATAAAGATAAGAATTCCTTAATATTTTTTCTAATTCTAGAAGAATGATTTCTTTTTTGCTGTATAAATCTTAATTACCATTCAAAATATGTGTACAGATCCATCCAGATGGCTTGTTAATTGCTATAATACCTCCTTTGTTCATAGAATCTTAATTTTTATAGATTTCTAAGGTAATCTTATAAAAAAAGAAGAGTTTCAATTATTTTAAGCCTTTAAATAAAGATATTATTTATAAAAAGTTGAGAATTTTAGATTATATAATAATATAATATAATATAATATAGATAAGATTAGATTAGATTAGATTGATTTTTAATCTAAATAAAATGGTTATTTGATAAGAAATTGGAAGTTTTAGAGCTAATTTTTCAATAATATCATTATTCTAATCAGACTTATCTTAGATATATAACTTTGAAAATTATTATTATTTTAATTGGTGACTAAGAGACGTTATTGATATAAATAAATAGTTATCAAAAAAAAATGATAATGTTAAGAATGAATATATCTAATGTAATTATATGTAAAAAGGAGTACAAAAATAAATGACATACGATTTTCTATTGTATCATAATAAACATGTTGATTTTTTATCATTATTACCTATTTCTCATTCATATTATAACCCATTTATTTTGTACTATTTTTTGTTAGATTTTAATTTAAAAAAAATAAATAAACTTGCATTTTCAATATTTCCAGATTTGTATTCTACATTCACAATTTTTAAGTTAGTAATTTCGGTAGGATTGGATGGTAATAGAGCCAAAAGACTTTTTAATTGCGTTTCTTTGAAAAAATCATTAGGAGGGAATTCAACAACAACTTCAAGATATAAATCTCCATTTTCATTACTATCTGAGTCCTTAGGCATCCCTTCTCCTTGTATAACTAATATTTGTCCTGGGTACATTATTTTCCCAGGAGGATGTGTCATATAAAGACCTCTTCCATCTAATGTTTCTAAAACTACTCTAGAAAATCCACATAAAGCCTCAGATAATGTAATATTTAAATTAGATTTTAAATTGCATCCTGATCGCTCGAATCTATCATGCTTTCTTTGCTTAATAATAATAATTAAATCGCCTGTTTCCATTCCAGGCTAATTTATTAATTTTTTAGAAAATTAGAAAAACAAAAAAAATACCTCTTGATCTGCTTCGCCATAAAAAACTATTTTTTCTCCATCTTGTGTTCCTTTGTCTATATTGATTTGATAAAAATTTTTTTCTGTAATAGTTTTAATTCCTTTACATTTTCTACATCTATCTTTTTCCTGAATAGTTTCTCCTGTTCCTTCACATTTCTTGCATTCAAATTCTTGCTGTACAATCATTCCTGGTCTTATTTGCTTTAATACTGTCATTACTCCTTTTCCATCACAAAATACACATTTTTTGCTATCACAATACGCTTTTCTTCCTGAACTAAAAATATATAAGACCCAATTATTAAAATATCTTATTCTTTATGAAACCCTTTACAGGTTGGACATATAATATTCCTCGTACCCGCCATTTTAACATTTTTTCCTCGATAAAGCTCTTCTAATGTTATTTCATAATCATAATACACATCTTTCTTTCTATTTTTAAACGATTCCTCCTGCATCGTTTCTCTTCCTAATTCATTAATACTCATTTCCTCAAACATTTGCGAATAAATATCTTCCATCATAACATTATTACAATCTTGAACTCCATCTAATCCATATGTATCATAAATACTCCTTGTCTCTGGATCCCTTAAAATATCATATGCATCTTGTGCTTCTCGAAATCGAATTGATGCTTCTTCTCGCTCCGATTCCTGGACTTTATCTGGATGATTATGAAGTGCTACCTAATCCTTATAAGTTCCTCTAAATATATAATCTTATAGTTTCTTATACTTTATGGAATGCCTTCTTAATCTCCACCTGGCTTGCCTCTGGGTTAACCCCAAGAATATCATAAAAATGTGTATCTAAAACCACTATTTTTAACAATAAGTAAGAATTCTATTAAATTTAAATAATTTACTCTTAATTCTTAATAAAAATCTGTAATTTTTAAGTCCATTTTAACTATAAAATTAAGGTTTTATTAAGATTTTGTGCGTTTTATTTATTTTTAACGAGACCAACGTCCAAATTATATGTAAAAAATAGAATGAGTAAAAAGAGGAGATAAAGGGATTATAATGAGGAGATATATAAGAATAAAGAACGGGGAGGATGTGTTTATTAAGATTAGGAAAAAGAACGGTCGAAAATACTGCATTTTATCAAGAGTTAGAACAAGATTTGCACCATCGCCTACAGGGCAGATGCACCTTGGATCATTAAGGACAGCACTGTATAATTACCTTTTTGCTAAGAAGATGAATGGGGATTTTATTTTACGTATTGAAGATACGGACAAAGTAGTTTATTTTTTGGTTAAAATAGAGCCTAAGGATTTAATATTTGAAAAGGCGCGAATTGTTAAAAATTCAGAGGAAAATATATATAAGATGCTTAAATGTGTTGGAATTGATTGGGACGAAGGGCCTATTGTATATAAATATATATATATTATATTATATGTGATTGATATGGGTCTAGGTTGGAGGAAAACATTATCCGTATAAACAGGTGAATTTGATTAGATAAATGTATTATTACTGAAAAATTAGTCGCAAAGGATAAATATATATTTAAAATATGCTAATTTACTTCTTGAGGTATTTTTTATGTAAATTTAATTATTATATGAAATAAGTAGTCAGGCAAAGCATATAGATGTTTTTGTTCAGTAGATCGTCTTGAAAAATTAAAAAAAATGTCTAAAATTCAAGGGCTTTCAGGAACGTATGATAGAAATTGTATGTCGATTCATATAGAAGAATCGAATGAAAGAGCGTTAAAAGGGAATAAATTTGTATTTCGTTTTAAAGTAAAAAAGCAAAAATATAATTATAATATTAATTATGACAGGTTCCTGAAAAATACCCAGTAGTTCATGATATTGTTTATGGAGATATTGATTTTTCTGGTCCGATTAATATACAAAAAAAAGTATATGATGATCCAATAATTATAAAGTCAGATACATTTCCTACATATCATTTTGCTAGTGTAGTTGATGACTATCTTATGAATATAACACATGTAATTAGAGGAGAGGTAATAGTTTTATTGAAGATTGCACTTATATTGATCTTTTTTAGGAGTGGTTATCATCAACATCAAAACATCTTGCCATTTATCAAGCTTTTGGATGGACACCGCCTAGATTTGCTCATGTATCACTGTTAGTAAATCCAGATGGTTCAAAAATAAGCAAAAGATGTAAAGATACCCATATTCAACATTATATTGATGAAGGATATTCTTCAGACGCTTTATTAAATTATGTTGCTCTTATTGGATGGTCGCCAAAAACATCGAATGATGTATTCACTATGCAAGAGTTGATTGATAGGGTATATAAATAATTAGAAAAATATATCAATGTAATCATTTTAGTTTTCACTTGACAATCTTACTAAAGGAACTGCAATAGTTATGCCAGAAAAGCTTAATTTTCTTAATAAAGAACATTTTCTTCTCTCTACTGATAATGAAGATGGAATTAAAAAAATTATCAAAAAAATCAAGCCTAAAATTCTATCATTATATAAAAAAAAGTATCAATCCAAATTTTTATTTTTTTTTTAATATTATTAGGATTTTAGAAGATAATAATATGGAGCGTCTTGAAGACGAATATATTTATAAAGTTATTGTAGCACTTAGAAAAAAAGTACAAAATATAAATCAATTGATTGAGTCGAGTAATTATTTTTTTGTCGAGCCACACTATAATGAACATATTCTTAATGAATTTAAATTAACATCAAAAGATTTAGGTATATTATTTTTAGTTATTAATGTTTGATATGTAGCATATTTATTAACTTATTTAGAATTAACTTTAAAAATAATTCAAGAATTAAACAAGATTAATCTATGGAATCCTGATGAGATTATTTCTACTGTTACAGAAATTGCAACTGCTGAAAATATTAAAATAAAAAAAATAAAGATGATATTACGATTTTGTTGTACTGCTACAATTGTTGGTGCAGATATCATTCAAATTTTGTATATATTAGGTAAAAAATCTATAATATCAAGAATCAACAAAGCTATGGAATGGAATAAAAGCATCTATCACGAATAATATATTATTTTCTACAAAAAATGTTAATGAATTATATATTTTGAATCAAAGCTATTATCTATAATTATAGATTCATAATACATTAAATAAATTGTTTTTTAAAATCTGTGTCGATATTCTATGAATTTCTTTATTATCAAGATCATTTCTAATATTTTTAAATATTTTTCTCGAAATATAGTTATATTACATATGATTAATTATCTTATTTAAAATATCATCCTTTTTTTCTTCATGTACGCAAGATTTCTGAGCCTAGAAATGTGATGTAGAAGAGAAGTCTTCAGATTCGTTTTTCTCCAGCAATTACTGAATAGAATTTATTCTCTCTGATAAATTTAATAGTTTAGAAGATAAATACACTTTATTCCATAAAGTTAAATAATTATTAAAATAATTATTTTATATACTATAAATGATGAAGAGAGAGTTAGTGTTTTAAACCAACATTTACTTAAAAATAACCATATAAGACAAGAATCCAATGATGATTTAAAATAATTCGTCTCAAAAGCATAATATCTATAATTTTTTATGCAATTTCTAATACTATAAATAACATTGCTTATGTGAATGAACGCTAAAGTCCTCTATTTTGCAGAAGATATAACTTTGTGATAATTTTTTTACAAAATATCTTGTTTATGATTTACTGGACAAGTTCTAAGCACGTTTAAGTCAATTTTTCTCGTCAAAACAGTATGTATTAGATCAATCCAATTTAATATAAACTTTTTCAAAAAACCCTCGTTTTTCTTTAAAAAATAGATACCATAATAACTAGAAATAGATCTTAATATTGTTGATTTTGAAGCTATATTTCAATATCAATTCTCAAAAGCCTTGAAAATTCGATATATAAAAAATACACAAATAACACATAAACTTGCCAAGATCCATATCCTAAATGAAAGCAATTCCATTCTATAATATTTTCTGATCGATTCGTCTGCTCAATTACATCCTAATATATACCCATATATTCATATGTCTCTGCTTGAACACTTACTCAAGTTTCTGTTCCTTCACACAGAAAACAAAACACATCCACAATAATCATCTGATATTTGGAATTCTTTCCCTGTATAAGTCCTTTTAAAGATAAAACAAGATTTTATCATATAATACTATTTCACATCTACCCATCACTTCAATTGATTTTTAGACCAACAACCCATTATCTTTATCAAAGAAGTCAAAGAAACATAGATTGGCTTAAAATAACAAGAATTGATATTTTCTTTTGGCTAAAAATAGAGGGTCTTCCAAAATCTATCTCTGTTTCATTCTTTTTTTCATGTATTTTTATTTATTTGCCTTTTATAAGGCCTTTTATCATAAATATAGATAAATTCGTTTAAGAAGAGGGCTTCTGAGGGTAGTTTTCCTGTATAAATTAAGGGAGTATTGTGGATCTCTATAAACTAGAAAAAAGTGTTGTTGCGAGGTGGGTGACCAACCTCTTAAAAAGTGAAATTAAGATGAGTCTTAAAAAGAGAAAAAAGGACAAGAATTTGGACTTAGAAGAACGAAATATTGAAAAGAGGGCCAAAGAAATATCTATGAAATCTTTTTTTGGGGTAAAAAACGGCCATTGTAAGACAATTGAGAGCAAATTTAATAAAGAGGCATGGGTTAATGGGCTCAAGGAAAATGAGCGAGAATTACTAAAGTATTAATATGTATTTCTAATGGTATCTTATGGGTTTAGGGTTGAGATTGAGTTTTTGGAGGAAAGCTGGCTTAAAGTTTTGAAGGATGAGCTTACAAAGCCGTATTTTTTGAAGGGAAGAAAGTGGAGTGTCTAAGCTTAATCTTATTAGTTTAGCTCAAGAATTTCTTAAATACGGAGAAAAAATCACATAAGATCTTTCCTCCAGGTATTTAAGTTGATAATTTTGTTTTGGTGATTCAAATTTTAATAGACAAGGATATTTATTCATGGTCATATTATACGCCATTGAATATGGTTAAGGTTGTAATTTTGGGACAAGATCCTTATCATAACTATAATCAAGCACATGGACTTTGTTTTTCAGTAAGGCCACCGACATTGCCGCCTCCATCTCTTAAAAATATATTTATTGCACTTCAGAACGATTATCCATCTTTTAAAATCCCGAAAACTGGGCTACTAACGCCATGGGCTAAACAAGGTGTTCTTCTTTTAAATTCATCTTTAACAGTGCGTGCACATCAAGCAGGAAGTCATGCACAAAAGGGATGGGAGGAATTTACTAGTAAAGTTATTCAAGTTGTACAAAAACATCGAACGAAGGGGGTTGTTTTTCTTGCATGGGGTTCACCTGCTACTAAAAGGGTTGAAAATGTTGATGTATAATTTTTTTTATGTTTAATCATATCTGAGTTTTTTATTAGAAAAACATTCATCTTATTTTAAAGAGCGTCCATCCTAGTCCATTGTCTGCAAGTAGAGGATTTTTTAATTGTGGGCATTTTAAAAAAACAAATGAATGGCTTTCTCAAAAATATGGAGAAGATGCTATAATTAATTGGAATTGTCTTGATACAAACGAAACTATTGATTTTTCTAAAACAAATGCCATTGTATCAGAAAGCTGTACTAAACCAGAAACTGCCTCCCTAAAAATACCATCGCATTTTAAAAACGAAGAGATAAATCAGGCAACCGACATAATCAGTCTTTCTCAAGAAGAGTTAATTGCAATGGAATCTAGTATCACACTAGAAGAACTTGATGGTAGTATATCAAGTAGTTCTGAATCTAATAAAGAATAATTATTATATATTTTTGTATTTTCAAAAAAGTTTCATTACATAAATTATTTTAGAATTATAAAACATATCATACTAAAGTTTTTATATATTTTGAAATAAATCCTAGAACAATTTATCTTCTTCTTTTAGCTATACGTTTTGCTGCTCTTAGTTCTTTTTTCATTCGAGGGTCAACTAATAATATTTAAAAAAACATTATTTAAATTATAGAATTTACCAAATTTATATCTCCCTTTTACTCCTTTCGGTCTTCCTTTAATCCCCTTATTTACACCTTTTGCAACCACTATTTTTACTTTATTCCTATTTTTGAATTTTACGGACTTTTTTAAAAGTTTTTTAATGCTTTCAGTTTTTTCTTTTTCGCTCATATCATTGGTTTGGATTATTGAACCTGCTTTTTCTTGTATTCGTTTCAATCTTCTCATTGCTTTCATTTTTTTACGTGCTTTAGCTTCTAATACTTTTTTAATAGGACGTGCATTCATAGCTTTAAGTTTTTCTCGAATAGCCATAACAGCTTCTTTAGAAATAGGAATATTTCTTTTATTATGTTTTCTTTCATCATCCAAAAACCATTCAGGGAGGTTTTTATTATCTTGAAAAGACCATTTATTATAAGAATCATCAATAATATCTTCTTTAGATTTTTCCTTAGATGCTATACTTCGGGCCAATGTCATTTCCTCTGGTGTTGTGATGTCTATTTTTATATATTCTGTTAATTTTGTTCAAAATAAAATACAATAAAATAACCTAATTTATTTTTATTTCCTTTAATTAAATTAGTTTGATTTTTTTTAGTTGTTTCATGTAGTATTTTGATATTATCATCCAATTCGTCATTATGAGTTTTGCAAGATGGTTTAGACTGATTTTTATGAGTTTTTAATAATTTATTTTCTACAGTTTTAGTATTATCCAAATCTTCGAAATAATTATTATGAATTTTAAAAATATCATTATCAAAAAATAGTTTTGCTTTTTGTGTTAATTCGCCTTTCTCTTCTGAATCTATAAATTCCAAGCTATCTGAGTCACTTTCAAAAGTACTACTCTGGTTTTCATCTTTAAGATCAAAATCTATATGTTTTTCCGATTTATAATCACTTTCAATAGTATTTAATTCGTCATTATTAGTTTCATTAAAATTATCATTAATTTTTGATTTAAATTCTTTTTTTTTTAACCGATAATGTTCATACCTTATGTATATTAAAATATTAAAATCAATTGATATAGACTTACATTAGATCAAGTTCTTTTTCCATCTTATCTAAATCATCTTCACTATCCTCAAATTCTGTCTCAGGTTCTGTTGCATCAATATCATCTTCAGAAATTAAATCCATTTCTGCATTTTCAGCTTCTAATTTATTAAGTTCTTTAAAAGGTATTTCAAAAATAGGGTCTTCTGAAATAGTTTCAGATTGTTCCAAACCAATATCGAAAGGTTCAATCATTCCCAAACGTAAACGAAGAATGCTTTTTCGTTTTGATTCTAACATTCGTCGCTTTTCTCTTTTTTTCCTCATAATTTCCTGATTATTTAATTTATTCATCTATAATCTTTATTAATTGGGTTTGTAAAATTAAAAAAAAAACCTCTTGTTCGATTTCTTCTTCTTCATTTAATGGCACTATTTCAACTTTTTCTTGCAAATTAGTTTCTTTCTTTTCAGATAAACCTAGCTTTTCCCTAACAAGTATCCTCCATTTAAGTAAACCACGGAAATCCTTTCTTCCAAGAACTTTAAGATCTTTACAACATTGAATAATTTCTTCTGTAGTAATATCGAAATCCTTAATTCCCTTGTAATTTTCTAAATCTCTATCATCAAGACTGATTGCACTAGCAATACTTAAAATTTCGATCGGGTTATTAGAGTTCAAAAATTCCTCAGCAGTTACTGTTTTATGTTGAGTATAATTTCCATCTTCATACCCTTCTCTTTGACGCTTTATTTTCTTGATAAATTAATATTTAAAGATAATCATATGATTTAAGATATATACCAAAGGATTAAATATTCTTGTTACATGATCCGGAGCTGGGCAAGGTAAATCCTCAAAAACATATTTTGGATCCAAAAATTTAGGATCAATTTTATCAGGTGCTTTATATTGTTGACAAACTACAAATATTTCTGCTGAAACATCCCTTTTTTATATCACTTTTAATATAACTTTTACTATTAGGTCACTACCTTGAAGCTAAGGGCTTAGTTGCCTCAACTTTTTTAAATAATTGATTAAAAACCCATAATAAACTATTATAATCTTTTGACCGAAAAATTTTAGTAATAAATGTACCTAATATATTAAATTTCATGAAATAAAATAACATACAATACCATTAGAAATTAAAAATTCGGTAACTATTTTTAATGAAGCTAAAACAAGCTCTGCTTGAGAATATGCATCATGAATCCATGCTACTCCTACATTTGGTGCTCCATCATGAAGAATACTATTCCAAAATTAATAACAAAATAAAAATTCAATTAACATACGTATCTGCTTTCCATGTTTTTAAATATTGTCGAAGTTTTTCACGACATTTATCAGTAGTAATATCTTGTACAAATGTTTCGACATTCGGAATTGGTTTTATTGGAACTAAATCAATACCACATATTAAGGACCCTGCCATACAATATTTAGAAGCTACTTGAAGCCATCCCCCTGGTGCTGCACATAAATCAATCAAGACTTTAGTTTTTTCTAAAAAATGGTACTTTTTATTCAACTGAATAAGCTTAAATGATGAACGTGACCGATATCCTTGTTCTTTTGCAAGATGGTACCATTTATCTCCTTGTTTCCTCTGTTTTCCTCTTGATTTCCCCATTATTTATAAATTTTAAATCTTGATTTCACTATTCCATTAATTTATATACTTATTAATGTCTTAAAAAATATCATAAATTTATATAAAAAAGAAGAAAAATATGTGTATAATAAGAGAAAATAAAGCGTCTCCTTATATAACTTTAAATAATATTAATTAATTGATTGTATAACCAAAAATTTCTAAAATTTTGCTGATTTTAAAGTTTTAAAAATCTATATAAAAAGTTAATATTTTTTGTTTTTATTTTTAAAACTACCTTAAAATTATAAAATAATGAAAGATATTAATAATATATCTATTATTTATGTATAAAATTAATAAAGCTTTAGATCTATTTAAAAACTAATTTTTTACGTTGGAGTCGATAAATTATGGAGTAAATAAAATCTATGAAGAATATTATTAGTTGCATAATTTTTTAAGGCTTCTGTTTAAGATATTAACTATATAATCATCTTTTTTCTATAGTTTTTTTTTATTTTGAATCAATATTTATTTTTAATTATAATTTTTTTGATATTTTATTTATCTATTATATTAAATAATATTAAGCTTTAAGATAAATTATTTAAGAATTTTTTAAAAAATTAAGACATTGTTTTTTCATAGAATATCTTAAAGTTGTTTATATATAGTTTTTGAAAAAAATACTTTTATTTTTGATTTTTTTAAGTACAAGTTTTTAATTTAAATTAGATCAATTATATTAGCTTTTTTTTTTTTTGAATGAGTCATAAATTTTAAAAATTCTTGAAATATTCAATCTTTATATTAAGAATAGATTGACTGACTTGGTTTTTTTCTTAAAAAGTTAATTTTTACTATTATTTTTTTATAATCAATATAAAATTAAATAATAAAATATATTTGTAAGTATTTTATTATAAATTTAAAACTATATAAATCATATTAATAAAAATATAATGGTAGTGTTAATCATAAATAATAATTTAGTTTTGATCTATTTAGTTTTAATATATTTATTTTAATAACATATAAAATTTGTTCAATCCCGCTTTTATTAATTATTTAATAGAATATGTATTTATAATACATGTAATATATTTTCTAATTCACTGTTTTTATCAAAAATATTAATACGTCTTTATATATTATAAATCGTATTTTTTTAAAAAATAAGCTAAGATTTTCTAACTTGTTTTGCATTAGTTTTCTTATTTAGATATTCAAAACTTTTATCTTTAAAAGTCATATTTTCTTTAAGATTGAATCTAATCTTTTATAAATATTTTTTAATCTAAATAATTCATAATTTATTTGGAATACATTTCTTCTCAGATAAATAATCTATAAAATAAAATATTCATTCTTTTTAAATTATTATTTTTTAAATAACATTATATTCTTTATTATGATATAATTATTTTTTATTTAAAAGCTTCCAATTTTACAGACTATAAATATTAATTATATTTTATATATTTTATATATTTTTTATATTTTATTTATTATCATTATAAATCAACTTTACTATTTCAATTTTATTATAATACTTTAAAATAATTCAACTATTAATAAAAACTGTTTAATATCTCCCTAAATTTTTCTTAAAAATTTATAATTTTACGACATGATTCTTTATAAAGATTTGATTCATAAATTCATTTTATAAATATTTTTTTCAATTTTAAAATAAAAACAAAAAAAATCATAACAAATATTCAAATACTTTAAATTCTTCTTAAAAATTATTCTAAATATTACAATTCTAAATATTTAATATAACTTTCAAAATATTTAACATTATTCATATTTTCCTTTCATTTATTCTTCTTTTCATCAAACAAATTTTTAAAACTTTCAATAATATTAATAAATCTATTTTAACATAAAATAATATTTACAAAAACTCTTCTTCCTTAAAATAACCTTATTTTTTATCAATTATAACATTCGATACCTTTTATCTCATTTTTCATTATCCATTTTAAAAATAATTAATCATCATAAACAATTTCATTATTTAGAATAAATAATCCTATAATTTAACAATACTATTCATCTAAATTCTAAATCCCTCTCCTCCTCCTCTCCCCCTCTCCCCTCCCCATCTTATACCATCCTCACACTTACTTGCGTTGCCATGACAACCACAACATCTAAAGATTTTATAAAGCTCTTTTAATAAAAATTTTTTAAAAATATTTACTATTTACATAAAAATACTATCTCTATAATCTTAATATTTTATATCTCCATCATAACTCCAATCTTACATCCACTTCCTGTATCGGTTTCCATAACAACCCTTACGCGCTATTGCTTAAATAAACGCGTTTGCATAAATTTCACGTGACTAATAAAAAGCAATTAACAAATATATAAAGCCAAGGCGACCCAGAAAAAATCCAAAACTTTATTTATCACTAAACGTAAATAAAGTTAATAAAAAGAGAAGGAAACATAATATTTGAGAGAGAATCGGTATAAATGGAGCATGAATTGACGCCATCTAAGAAGGTAAGATCAAGAATAACAAAAGACACGTCAAAGAGATCATTTGATTAAATAAACACGCGAAACTAATATGATAAATAGGTTGCAGAGGGTATTTTTGAGTTGAATCTGACAAAGGAAGAACTGGAAGCAGCAAAAAATGCGAAAGAAACGCTTATTAAGCTAAAGATCAAAGCTAGAACAAATAATAGTGATATAAATGAAACAGATCAGGAGGAAAATGCACCTAATGTGGTGGAAGAAGAGCCATTATTAATGGAGAATAAGAAGCGATTTGTTCTTTTCCCTATTAAATATAATGAGGTTAAAATTAAATGGAGAAAATATTTTCTTATGTTTATTAGATTTGGCAAATGTATAAAAAAGCAGAAGCATCTTTTTGGACAACAGAAGAAATAGATCTATCGAAGGATCTGTATGATTGGGACAAAAAATTGAATGATGATGAGAGATTTTTTATTTCTCATGTTCTTGCTTTTTTTGCAGCATCAGATGGGATTGTGAATGAGAATCTTTTGGAACGTTTTAGTAATGAAGTTCAAGTTCCGGAAGCGCGTTGTTTCTATGGATTTCAGATTATGATGGAAAACATTCATTCTGAAACATATTCACTCTTAATCGAAACGTATATTAGAGACCCAGATCAAAAAAATTTTCTTTTTGATGCAATTGAAACGAGTATATATGGTTTATAATTATCTTTCTACATTACTAATGTATTTTAGTTCCAAGTATCAAATTAAAAGCGGACTGGGCACTTAGATGGATTGCAGATGAACATTCAACTTTTGCAGAACGTTTGGTTGCGTTTGCAGCGGTTGAAGGTATTTTCTTTAGCGGTTCTTTTGCATCCATTTTCTGGCTTAAGAAACGTGGATTGATGCCTGGATTAACCTTTTCAAACGAGCTTATTTCACGTGACGAAGGTCTTCATACAGATTTTGCATGTTTACTTTTCAGCCATCTTCGCAAGCGACCATCAAAAGAAACAATTCAAGCTATCATTGTAGAGGCTGTTAGTATTGAGCAGGATTTTCTTACGTCTTCTCTACCCTGCCCTCTACTTGGAATCAATGCTAGGCTTATGAAACAGTATATCGAGGTAAATCAATTCTTTTATATAAATAATTTCTATATACTTATTTTTAAGTTCGTTGCTGATAGACTTTTGGTTGCACTTGGCAATAATAAGTATTACAATGCTACAAACCCTTTTGACTTTATGGAAAACATTTCATTACAAGGTAAAACAAACTTCTTTGAAAAACGAGTATCCGATTATCAAAAATCCGGAGTTATGGCTAGCATTAAAAAGCAGTGTGATTCAGATCTTATTGATGGACATGTTTTTTCAGTTGATGAAGAATTCTAATATATTGTCTTTTAATTGTTAGGGGTATTTGCATGCTTTTTCTTGTTTTTTTTTTTTTTTCATATCTTTATCTTGCGCTTTACCATTTTTTGTATATTATTATCCTGTATTTAGAAAAATCAATTTTCTTCTGCATTTCATTTCTCATATCTTTGTCGCTTGCTCTTTTTCTTATGTTTCTTTCCTGGTTCTATTGCCTTTTGTTCTGTCAAATTTGCCATTTGCTCCAAAATCTGCTCCAATGATACTGATGTTTTACCAATAAATATATAATATATAAAATAACCAACCATTTATATTTGCCATAACATGTCCCAGCCTAGATTTACCTAAAAAAAGACGACTAACATCAACTGCTTGGTTCGTTCTAAATCGAATACAAATTCCAGAAACTGGGTCATATGTTTTTACTGTTAAAAACCCTCTAGACTCTTGGTCAACATGATATTTTGTTGAAATCCGAGTCTAAAGACGAACTTGTTAAATATAAAAATAAAAAAGTTAAATTAAGTACTGTCACCGGCGAAGCTTGAAGAAGCGAGTAAGAAAGGTTAAGAAAAGTGTCGATTGTTTTAACCAAAGGCATTAAAAATTTTTAAACGAAATATTAAAAAATAATCGAAAGATTAACTTCTTAAGAAATATATATTTAGAAGCGGTTTTTTTTTAAGAAAATATAGAGAAATTAATAAAAAATAATTAAATAAATTAAAAAAAAAAAGTTAAAATTATTTTTAAAAATTTATATTATTTTTAGTATTTTCTGAACTTTTTTCAAATACTAATTTCTAATAAAAATTATTTGTTGTTTTTTTTCTTTAATTTAAATGTATTTTCTATTCTTCTATTATGAGTTGATCCTTTAATTTTTTTTCTGCTAATTCTTGATTTGATTTATGCATTTGTGGTATAAAAAATTCTAGTCGCTTAAAAACTAAATTTCAGTAAGCTATATATATTAAATAGATTATAAAAATACGAGGAGTTGGTTCAGGACGTTTAATTATAGGTTTAACAGGCAATTTAGTTGATTGAGAGGATGTTTTTTTTTCAGAATAATTAAGTAATAATCCTTATAAAATATTAACAAAAAAAACTAAAGAATAATAAAAGGATTTTACTTTTTTCAAGAGGTAAAACCTCATCAAACTCAAGTTTTTGCATAAAATATAAAAATATATGAAAAAATATCGATTTCGAAACAGAGTTATATTTGATAAAGATTAAGAGTTTTTTAAAAAGATATTGACAAAGAATGTAAATAAATAATATAAGAAATTTGAAATATTAAGGTATACCAATTGGTTTAGAAGTCCATTTACCATGCCATTTTTTCCATCGACCGTTAGCCAAAATAAGAGGATCTTCTTCTATAGAATTAGAATCATCAAGTTTTCTTGTTAATGAATGAAAACGCTTTTTAAAAATATTAACTTCAGTTTCTATATCATCTAGAATATGTTTTTTTTGAGGAAAAGTAGTAGTATTTAAACGTAAGGAGATAAGAGTTTGATAAGATTTTAAAAGATGTTGATCTAATAATACAACATTTTTTAAAAATTGAGCAGTGCTAAATAAATAAGTGTTACAATAAATAGATAAAAATAATTACTTACTAGGAATCAGTTTGTAATAAACAAGCATGAATTATTTTATGAATAGATAATTGAGGAAAAAGAGGTTTTGCAGAAATATCGTCTTGATACTTTTCATTTAAGAGATTTTGAAGCCATAACAATAAAATATCACAGACATCATTTATATCATTTTTTAAAGGACTTTTTAATGCAGAAAGAGAAAAGATCGGTAAAGTATCAATCATATAATCTAAAAAAATCAATTTATAAGTTATAAAATAAAGAAACATACTATTTTTTGGATCAATAGAACCTAATTTTGAAATAATTTTTAAAGCAAAATATTGTACTAAATTAGAAATAAATGAAACTTTTTTAATAAATGGTAACCAAATTGCATATGATTTGTTAAAAAAATCTTCTTTTCTACTCATAATTAAAAATTATAAAACAAATTTTAAAAATATTACTTGATATTTTTAGGTAATGTCATAATTTTTTCTAAAAGATAATTCGTCATCATTTCAACTCCATCAGAACTATTACATAAAATAATAGATTCTTTAATTATTGTAGACATTTCTTTAGCGTTATCTTTAGTTTTTGATCCCTTATCAAGGTTTTTTTCTTGAAATATTTCCCATTTTTTAATAATGTCTTGGATTTTTCTTTCATCCAGTTCTTGTACATCCTCACAATAAGATTTAGACCAATATTTATCTAATAACCATTCTAACGCACGATTTGTCATAGAACGTAAAACCACCAATGAAGGAAGCTGTTCATGTGTAGCTGCATGTCGAATCTCAACAAATGACAACGGAAGATCAATATTCCGTGCAAGTGTTTGCATCGGTATAATATATTGACCCTGTTGTTCTGGATCTACAAATCCATTTACAAATCTTATATATAATCAAAAAAATAGCCATTTAAAAGCTTCATCTGCGACCTTATTAACGCCATTGCGTATGATAAACGTAATCCAAGAGGATCACAGAAACCACGTTCCTCTTCAACCAAAACACATATCAAATTTGCTGTAGATTCAACTGCATGTGGAAGCCCTCCACGTACTCGCCATGCGTTTACCTACAAATATTCAATATTCACCCTATCCTTTTCATAAATATAATAAATATAGACTCTTGAAAGCCCTTTTTTTAATGTTTCCTGGTTTCTATCCCCTCCAAAGAACCAATCCCGAACCTGATTAAACTCTGCCCGAGATCTCCATGGAACAATACGAAAACAATGACTCATCTTAGATTATTAAACGATTTTATACTTCTAACATAGATTTTCCGAAAAACTTGATAAATTCTTAATTTAAATAAATAATTTAGATTAAAAATTCTTAACTTGTTTTAAGAAAATTAATAAAGAGTTAATAAAAAGTTAATAAAAAATAATAAGAATTAATAAAAAATTATAAAAGTTAATAAAAAGAAGTTAAAAGTTGATAATAAAAAGTTGATAATAAGGAGTTAATAAATTAATAATAATTAAATAATAAATTAATAATAATTATTAATAAAAAGTTAATAGTAAATTAATAATAATTATTATTAATGGCAGAAAGGAAAAGAATAAGACCAAGAAATTCATTTAATTCAGATTCATTAGAAAAAGAAGGATTTAAAGAAAAAGATAAAAATAAAGAATATTTTATTGAAAATAAAAATCAAAAGAAAAAAACAAGTTTAAATGATAAAATTGAGGATTTAGAAACAAGATTAATAGAATCTCATAATAGAAAAAAAGATTTTGATATGATATTTAATACAGAAAAGGGTTTAGTAAGATATTATTTTTTATAAATTGAAGATAATTTAATTTTTAAAGAAAAGTCTAGGTATTGAGGATTTATTTAATATTTAAAGTTATATTTTATGGTAGATGATGTACGTATTATCCTTGATATTGGAAACATTATTATTATTACTAAAGCACATGATAAATCTCTTGTTTTATTAACTCGTAAACTAGTGATATGGCTTTTATCATATCAATCTAATCATGAAAAAAAATACAATGTGTATGAGGATTTATATTAAATATGAAGTCAATAATTTTGAATAGATATGTAGAATCGACTTTTAAAGATTCATGTGATTTTGATTCTAAAAATATTATAAAGCTGAATCCATCTTTTGAAAATTATTTAAAATATTGGACATTTGAGTTTTGCAATGAATATTCATCATTATTTGATTTTGTTATTACGGTATAATAAAAACAGTAATATTTATACATATAATTTTATAGCTTGGTGGAGATGGGACTGTATTATTTGGTAGCTGGCTGTTTCAAAAGACAGTCCCTCCTGTTCTTTCTTTCTCACTTGGTTCATTGGGATTTTTAACGTAAATAAAGATTGAAGTTTTATAAAATAGTAATATTTAAAGAATGTTTGATTTTTCAACTTTTGATACTACATTGGACAATTTATTTTGTAATGGAGTTATTATTAGTTTAAGAATGAGGCTTCAATGTACTATAATGAGAGTTAAAGTTGATGATAATGGGGAACCAATTGATAAAACAAGAGATTTAGATCGTTCTATATTGAATGATAAAAATTGTGGAACAAGTTTAACTCATGAACCTAAAGAATCATTTTCAGTATTAAATGATCTTGTTGTTGTAAGAAATTTTCATTTTATAACCATATTTTACAATTTTAGGATCGTGGTCCAAATCCATTTTTAAGTTCTATAGAACTTTATGGTATTTAATCAATGATTTATTTTTATTTAATCAATAACATAGGTGATTATGAACATTTTACCTCTGTACAGGCAGATGGAATTTGTATTTCTACACCTACAGGCTCTACAGCATATTCAGTAAATCATTTCAATAAATTAATATTAATTTAACACAATTTAGCTTTCTGCGGGTGGATCTCTTTGTCATCCAGATATACCAGCTATACTTATAAGTCCAATATGTAAAATTGATCTTTTATATATTAATTTCTAATTTTAAAAAGGTCCTCATACATTATCATTTAGACCTTTATTGGTACACGATTCTATGATTTTGCATGTCGCTATCCCATATGATTCTAGAAGCACATCTGTAAATATTTTATACATATTTGCTATTAAAAAAAGTAATATTTATAGTGGGTTAGCTTTGATGGAAGAAATAGAGTGGAAATTAAACGTTTGTTTCTCATTTTATTAATATTTCTATGATAAATTACTAATATTTCGGTTTTAGAAGGCGATTATGTAACTATTTCAGCATCCAAATTTCATTTCCCCATTGTCCTTCGATCTAAACAAAATTCTAACTGGTTTACCAGTCTTGCTACTAGACTTGGATGGAATGAACGCACAATAAAACTTAAACCTTTGTCAAATTAAAATAATTACAAATCATATCTTAGTATATTAAAATACAAGAAAATTATTTATTATAATTATTCTTAATCTATACTCAATCCTTAGATTTTACTTCTTTTTAATTATCATATATATACAATAACTAATTTATTATTTCTAAATCGTCTTTTTAGATAAATTTTATATTTTTTAAAAGTAAAACATAGATAAGCTCATAAATTACTGATCTATACTTTCAATAACAAAATATGAGAATTATTCCACTAGAGATCCTGAGAACCAGTAATTATAGTTATATTATTATATGTAATAAGACTCTAGGTAAAATATTATCTTTAAAAAAAATAGAAAAATACATAACACATTTCAGAAGCAGCAATAGTAGATCCAGCAGATCCAGTAACGTTAAAAATATTTTTTATTTGTTTTTTTTTTTAAATATCATCAGAATACTACCATATCTAGAGAAACTTAATAATGAAAAAATACATCTTAAATCTATTATAACAACACATCATCATTGGTTTATATCTTAAGAAGAGCTACTGACATTTTTTAATTTCATTAGGGATCATGCAGGTGGAAATAAAAGGATGGTAATTGAATTTTATATATAAAAATGAAAATAAACAAATAAATACAGCTTAAAAGCTATCCAGATGTAAAAATATATGGAGGGAAGGATTCGGAAGCAGTTAATCATTATGTTAAGGATAAAGAAGTCTTCAAAATTGGAGAAATTTTAGTCAAAAGTCTTCATACACCCTGTCATACAGTATAAAAACATAATATAAAGACAAAACTTAAATTTTTAGAGAGATTCTGTGTGTTATTATATGGAAGATGGAACAGAGAGGGCAGTGTTTACGGGAGATACACTTTTTAATGGAGGATGTGGTAAATTTTTTGAAGGTATATTAAAAAATAATTATTATTATACTTATAATTAGGAACACCTGAAGAAATGTATAAAAATCTAAATGAAATTCTTGGATCACTTCCTGGAGATACAAAGATTTATGTAAGGTTTAATTTTGATAAAACTTAATTAACTCTTTTTTTTTAAAAAAAGCCTGGTCATGAATACACAAAATCTAACTTAAAATTTGCAAAAACGATATTCAGCTCAGATAAATTATTTGAAGTTTCCAAATTTGCCGATACCAATAGAATTACATGTGGAAAATTTACTATTAATGACGAAAAAACATATAATCCTTTTATGATGGTTAATGTTTGTTAATATTTTTTTATATTATACATTTTGTTAATTTATAGTCAATCTGTATTCAAAAGGTTATAGGAGAAACAGATCCGGTGAAAGTTATGAAACAATTAAGGGAAATGAAAAACAGGTTTTAGATTATATAAGTTTTTATAATCAAAAGATGTTTTATAATAAAAAACAATATTTCATAGGATTTGGTGTAAATATTAGATAATAAAAATACTTTAATCATTTAAGTATAATAAATTGGACCAAGAATTAAATATTTCTTCACTTAATAAAATTAATGAGTTAAAATTTTGATAAATTTATATAATATTATTAGTAAAAAGCTGGTAACTAAACCCTATAATTAAAAAGAAAACAATTATAAGATGTTTATAAAAAAATTCAAATTAATAATTTATATATAAATTCATTAACATGCACAACCAGGCTTTTCAGAATCAAGATTAATTTGAATAGGATCAGGAAATTCAGAAACATAATCTTCTTCATTTTCCATAGAAAGTGCAATTCTTGCTATAAGCAAAAATGCCTCGTCTATATTTGTGCATTCTTTCGCACTTGTTTCAAAATATGGAATATTTCCCTTTGATTGGCAGTAAGAAACAACACGTTCATGTGAAACCTGTCTTAAATTACCATTCCTTCTTTCTATATACTAATAAATATTATATACCATTTTTTTATTTTCTTCAATATCACATTTATTTCCAATACAAACAAATGGAAAACATGATGGATCACGGGGACTCGCCTGTATAAAAAACTCATCTCTCCATGAATCAAGCGCTTCAAATGACCTAGAACTCCCAAGATCAAAGACAAGAACACAACAATCCGCTCCTCTATAAAAAGCCACTCCTAACGACTGAAATCGCTCCTGACCCGCCGTATCCCATAGCTTTTCATGATATTAAACAAAAATAATGTCATTAACTACCTACTTGCATAGTTACTATCCGATCATCTACCATCACCTCTTTTGTAAGAAAATCTGCACCAATAGTTGCTTTATACTGATTACTAAACTTCTTATTGACATATTGATTTAAAAGAGACGTCTTCCCAGCACTAAATAACTATAAAATTATTCAAAAATATTCAAAACTCCTAACCCACTGTCTCCTAGAATAATCACCTATTATTCATTAGTTATTATTCCTCTAAAATACCCAAAAATTAACCTTTAAAAGAACTTTTTTTCGGGAAGACATATTCTATCCTATCCTCCCTTTGTATCTAAGAAAATCTTAGGGTCTTATAGCTCTTTAATCCTGCTTTTATCAAATTTTTGTTTTTTTTCAAACGTTGGACGTTAGATTTGGCCCCAGTTAACCTCTGTTTTTATTAAGTCCTCTGTATTAAAGATATTTTTTATTATAAAAAACTATAAATAAAGGCTAATTTTAAGAAACAAATGTAATATTTATAGAGGGTTATGTATTTAAAAGATCAAATTTTTAAAATTTTAAATGGGCAGATTTATATTGGAAGTCAATAGTGAATTATGAAAAAATAACAAAAAGTTAAAGAAAATAAAAAAATAGGGTGGAATAAGATTTGGACTTATAAAAAAGTTGGGTTAATAAGGAAGATATTTTTTTTTAGAAAGAGTTTTGGATAGATTAAGAAATAAAAAAAACAGAAATATTAATAGAAACAAGGACAAATAAGCAGTATATTTGTTATAAATTAAGGAATTATAGAGAGATTTGAAATCAGGAATTATTAGGGAAAAATATTGGAAAATTTGAAATTGAAGATATATAGTAGGAAAATAATTATTTGAAAAAAAATGAATGGAAACACATTAATAAACGAGAATCCAATAGTTTATGAGAGAAATGAGAGGTCTCTGAAGAGCTGGGTGAATTTTTTTGAAGAAATAAGAGATAAAAGAGAAGAAAAGGAAGAAAAAGAAAATATTATTGATAAACAAGAGATATATGGTATAATTATTATGAAAATGAAATATTGGCTATAAATTGCTAGATCTATTGGCAAATATTATGGATCCAGAGCATCCTTTGACACTTGAACAACTTGCAGTGGTTAATTTTGATGATATATATTTAGAAAAGGAAGAAATAAACAAAATGACATATTTAACAGTAGAAATAACGCCTACTATTCCTCATTGTTCTATGGCAACGCTTATTGGTTTATGCATTCGAGTACGTCTTGAACGATGTTTACCATCAAGATTTCGTGTTAGTGTAAAAATTAAGAAAAGTACACATCAAAATGAAAAACAAATAAACAAACAACTAAGGGATAAGGAACGTGTGGCAGCTGCTTTAGGTATATATTTTGAATTTTTGAATAATTTTTAATAATATAGAAAATCAACAACTAGCAAATGTTATTCATGGAATGATGGCGTTTTGTGCATAAAAAATGCATTAAAACATTCCTTATCATTCCGAAATTTAACTAAAATGTTTTTTGTTGATGATTTGGATTTTTGAGATTTTAAAACAAAAATCAAAACAATCAATATCAAAAATACAAAAATAATACAAAAGAAATATAATTTTCGTATTAATAATTATATTTCATGGAAATATCTACAAGAAAATTCAATACTATTATATAATTTTGATATATTTTCTTAAAATTATGTCATAATCATTATGATACAAACAAAACAAATACAATTGATGAACACATATTCTGAAAAAAATCAATTTCTTCATTTTAACAAATTTTACTACAGGTAACTACTATATAAAAAATATAATCATTAAAAAAACTGAAATATATTATTAGATCTTTAATAAATAATTTTATACTGAAAAAAAAAACATATAAAGAAAATTAAAGGACATATTTCATAAAAATATCCAAAAACATGTATTACAATTATTTAAGAAATATGTGAAAATCAAAATTTACATATTTTTTATAAACAAACCATATTAATACATTTGTTTATTAATATTACATTATAATATTTTTCCTAAATATAAGCTATTTATAAAGCTATTATATATATATTTGATTTATACTCATCTTCAACGTCTACCTTAATATATTTCAAAAATCTTATATCTTTTAATAAAATGAGAACTTAATCTCTTAAAGATGTTAGATATTATATATTATGAGAGAAGATCAAGCCTTTAGACCTCTTAAACAAGGAACTATAGATGATTTACCGCAATGCGAGTTGGCTTATGTATATATTACACGGCATGCTTATTCAAGATTAAAAATAGAGGAAAAAGATGAACCAGAAGATATATTTGATGCAATAGAAAGAGGACCCTTTGTTGTTACAGGCGTAATTCGTATAATTAAGGATAAGCAGTGTATTTTATAATATTTTAAAATACAGAAAAAATAAACAATTATTTAGCACAATATAGATATAATTCAGAGAAGATAGTCTTTATTAAGCTTATGAATGTGTATCTTTACAAAATTGAACGTCTTTCTAACAATTTATTATTGATATGGATCATTGGACAACGTGCATTATATGTTATTCAAAGTGTTTGTGATGAATACAAAGAAACATATAATATTGTTACGGAAAAGGCAGATCTTTATTGTATAGAATGTATAGAAGGGGGTTTTTCTAATTTTAGTAGCAGATCTAAGAATTATTCGAGAAAATGAAACAAAAAAATGTAAATTTACATTTCATGAGTATTTGGAACAAGTAAATTTTATAATAAATAGATTTAGCTATTAATATGGATAGATTTCGTATGTATGGGAAGAAGAAAAATCAAAAATTAAAGATAAAATTATTAAATATTCCAAATTTTTATTTTTTATGATGTTAGATGATACTATATTAGATTGGCCGAAATCATTGTTTTTCAAAGATCTTGTAGAATTATGTAGTGTAAAACCCTGAATTATTTCAAACTATTTCACTGATATTTATAGGATTCATTTGAACTTGCAAAATTGAATAAAAAAAAAGCAGAAATTCTTCGTAATAATGCAATTGATATATTAGAACTTACGAATGGCTTCTCAAATACTAAGGATAGCTTGTAATTATTCAATTCGTTTGTTAATTACATGAATTAATATATTTTAGTACGGAAAACCATGATCAAGAATTAGATAATTTTCAGTTACAAAATAATTTTTTCAATATTAATTTTTCATTAAAAGAATTACAAAACGACACATTAACATATCCATTTCCACGTACAAATGCAGAAGGAAGGAAATTATATAATGATTTAAAAAAAGCTTTAATGCATGTTTCTTTTAAACCTAAAGATCTTGACATTGATATGGCTGCTATCTTCCTTGGAAATGATTTAAATTCAGTCAATGATATGAAGGAAAAAATAAAAAGTCATGCAGAAGGGTTAATTGACTTAATCAAAATGTCTAAAAAATGGGAAAAAAGTAATTTATTTAAACAACTTAGTAATATAACTAAAGTAAACATATCTACAAATATATCTTATTAGTGAATAATAATATTTCTTAGGGAATTGATATACCTCTTAAGAAAACTAAATCTATGCTTTTAAAAAATGAAAATCAGAAAAAAGGTTTATATAAACGAAAAAATAGAAGAATGTATAACACATCATTCAAAAAAATTGATAAAGAAATGTCATTGTTTCATTTAATAGATAATTCTTCATCAGAAGGCAGCAGTAATACAACTTTTCAGAGAAATATACTTTCTAAAAAAGAATTTCTTCAAAAAATTATGAGTATGTTCTTGAAAATTTGCATTGAATTTAATAAATTTTAGATCAACTTGTTTCAGAGCTTATTGAATCACAAAAATATGCAAAAAGGTACAATTTAAAAATATTTATACACAATGTAAGTATCAATTACTATTATCTAAATTCTAAAATCTTCAAGATGACCAATATTTTTAAAATCTCATATAAAACTACATTAAAATTTATTCTGGAAAATATAGAATCTTTTATTGGTTTAGTTACGCAAAAACATACTGAAATTTATAAGGATTTAGAAAATATGTTAATAGTATGAAATTATTAACCATAGAGCATATCTAATTATTTGAAGTTTAAGTCAGAATTTTTAAACAATTCTAAAGCAAAGCCATCAAATAAAAAACATAAAGATTCCTCATACTCATATAATTTACTAAAATCAAATATTTTAGATTCTATTGAAGACTCCTCTTTTAAGAATAAAAATGAATCAAGCAAGAAAAGTGTCACAACAGATAATACTTGCGAATCTTTAGATTCTAAAGCTGCATTGGAATCTAATACAATATCTACTGAAAACAAAATATCAGACTCATTAAATAATCTTTATGAATCTCCAAATATGGAATTGAATATTCAAAAGTTTGACAACGCATTAATAAATCTTAGAAAAACTGAAAAACGTTTAAAGGAGGCTATTTCTCACAATTCTTCCAAGTCGCTTTTTAATACAAATTCCACATTTAATAATAAAAAAGGTATATTAGCATTAAATTAAAAAAACTAAGATTTTAGAAAATGAAAAAGAATATCATAATAATTCTAAATCAGATGTAATGAACATATCTTCATCTGATACAAATCTGAAGGATAATTCGTAAGTGTTTATTTTTTAAAAAAATATAAAATAATTATTATTAATAGATTATCTAATAATATTATAAATACATCTAATCATGAAACAAAATCTCATGATTCAGATGAAATGTCAGATAAATCACTTGTCCTAAGCAAAAAAAATATAACCAATTCCTCTAACTCTAATAAAAATAATGATAAAAACATTTATCTCAATAAAAAGGATGAATCAAACGATCCTGTTATAAATGATAATTATACATTCAATCAATTTAAAAAATCATTGTTTGAATTTAATTTAATTCAGCCTGGACGAGGTAAACCAATGTTACAGATAATACAACTTCCTTCAACTCAACCTTCTCAGAACTCAAAACTATGGTTTTGTCCTCTTAAAAACTGCAATTATTTTTCAGAAACATTAGTACCCAATAAATATTTTAAGGCAATTATTAAACATTTAAAATATCATAAAGACAATTTTTCATCAAAACATGGACATAAAAATTTCAATCAACCACAAAATAATATGGTTAGAGATTTTGTTGAAAAGCTTGAAACTATTGCCGAATCATGGAAACCATAGTTTGATGAAGCCTAACTATAAACTCTAATGAATCATTATGACAAATTCAAAAAAAATACAATATTTATTTGAATTAGTATTTTAAAGTGAAATCAGAAAACTCCAGCTCTTTTCATAATATTTTCAAACTCAACAATACCTACATATCCAGAGGGTGATGCTTCATCAATCATTTCTATTAATTCTTCATCAGATACTTTTTCTCCAATATCATTGGCTACACGTCTAAGATCTTCAAGGGTAATTTTTCCCTTAGAATCTTTATCAAATAATGAGAATGCCTTATATATTTATTATTTCAAATACCGAAAAATCGATATTACCTTGATAATACTCAAATTCGGATCATTATCCTTTATTTTCAATATTATCATCTCTTTAAAAGGCTCATATTCGATCCATCCAGTACGTTCATTATCCAGAATATTCTTTAATTCATTTAACTCATTTTTATCAATTTTGATGTCAAGTTCATGTATAATAAGAGGTAAGTCTTTTGTTTTGATTTTTCCTATATGTTTTTTATCAAAAATATCAAATTTATCCTTTATTTGTTTTAGTTGATAATCCTCTATAGGATTTTCTTCCATCTTAGATTTTAATTATTAAAAGATAATAATTAAATCGAAGATATCTATTTTTTCCTTATAAAAAACCTTAATTTCTCTTATCTTTTAAAAATATTTTTAATTTTTTATAGATTTACTAAGTTTAAGAAAAAGATATATGTAAATCAAATGAAAAATATTAGATATCCTCTACATGGAGTGTAAGTCTATGATACATGCTTTTTATAACTATAATCTTGAAAAAGTATTAAAATAATTTATTTTAAATTTACTTTTTCTTCATTTGTTTCATGAAACTGTCCATCATCAATGGAAAACATACGTTCAGATGCGGTAGAATTCTTTTTCATTTTATTTGATGGCTTTTTAATATCATTGAAAAATTCCTGAGATGCTTTATTTGAACTATTTGGAGAAGAATTTCCAGTTCCACTAAAATCTAAATCATCAACTTCAAAATCATCATCTTGAACAACCTAAAACTATAAATATTTTCTTTTTTTAATTAAGAAAAATACTTCATCACTTATAGCAAGTCTGATATTACTAATAGCAGGTCTCCATAAAACAATAATTGTAATAAAAACAATTAAATATAATATATCTAGAAAACCATATAATACAAGCGATCTAATTCTCCAATATAATGGTGCAAATAATTTAAGATTTTCACGATAAATAAATATAGACTTAATAATAGTGTAAATACTTATTAAAATAATAGTAAAAACTAAGGATATCCGCAATTTCTTATATATAAAACCTTTAGTGTATTGTTTACGATGATCCAAATCAATTATAGTTTGATTTAAAGAAAATATTGTCCATAAATAAAATGTGATAAATGTAAGAGTTGATAAAGATAATGATGTAATTATAATTGGGAGAAAATTTATCCAATGATAAAAAGACGATACTATTATATTAATAGCAGAAAATAGAAAATGAAATACCGCTAATAATTTGCATTTTATCATTGTAGGTCCCAAAGTTGGTCTTAATTTATTTTAGTTATATATAAAAAAAATTATCATTTAATACTTGACTATACTATAACCCATAGAAACAATAAGAAGTATAAAAAATGATAATGAACTACGAGTTGCTGTGATAAGTGCAATGGCTGAAAGATAAATAAAAGACCCAGAATCATATCCATTAATATTCACATATTTATAATATCCTAATATAATAATTATTTACTATAAAAAAATTATCATCTATCTTACCCCATAACACCATCATTTCAATTATAAGAATAATAATAATACCTGTAATATATTTCTAAAAATTAACATTAATTTATAAACTTTTAAAAAAATACTTGAACTGAAAGAATATTTTTTCTATGTTTAATACACAAAATTCCCCAAAAAATTCCAATAAACAAATATATTCCTGAAAGAAAACCATACATAACCAATTTAGGATATTCTGGCGCTGGAAGTTTACCATAATAATTATTCCAATTAATTGTAGCATAATATTTAGAAAATGGTATTGGTATCAAACCAACACAATAATACCCTGTATATTTTACATCATATTTTACTCTCGTTGTATTCTTAATATCAATCTTCTTCATAAAAATCGTCGGTATATTCTTCATTTCTGTATTTACAAGAAATGAATTATTATCTTTTTCTTCACATAATCCATTCGATATAGCATATTCATCACATATAAAAACCGTCTATAAAATAATACATCATCTTTCCTTTTAACCCTTTTATTCATCTCTTTACCTTATTATTTGGTAATTTTTTTCCAAAATATCTTATATCTTCCCATTCAAATATAACAATATAGACTCCTTCATATTCCTTTTGAGTCTTACTAAATAAAACTAACTTCTAGTAAATATTTATCTTCTTTATTATCAATTTAAACCCTCAATAGATGACGGCTTCTTGTTAACCTTATTTCTCCCATACTAACTCAAAATAAAAACCTCAAAAAACTTTATATACTTATATTTACCATTCCAGAACATTGTTTACGGCTTTCTATTAAGTTTCCCTAATAAATTCATGTTAATTATTCATTTATATATTTATATATTATTTAGATCTAAATCTAATCTTTTTTTTTCCTTTAAAAACTTACCATAGTAAAATCATACCCTTTATATGCAAAAATAACTCGAAAAACTACGAAAATTATTAATAAAAACACTCTTTTCATCATTTTTTTTCTTTTAATTTATAATTTATCTACTTCAACGTCACCTTTAAATAATACCTTAAAATACTCTTATTTTATTTATAAAAATACCCTTCAATTATGAACATAAGAGCTATTATTCCTTGTTTTTCTTCTTTATTTAATCCTTCTTTATTGGTTCCTCATTTAATTATTAATAATTTCTCTCAAATTCCTATCAATATTTCTCAGACTTTAAAACTTCATTTTACTCATCTTTCTGATTCTGATATTAATATTAAGGCTTTAATCTTAGATAAGGATAATTGTATAACTATTCCTGGCGATCTTAATCTTTATTCTTCTTATAACGTCTTCTTTTCTTCTTTCTTCTTCTTTCTTAACTTTTTTTTAGGAAAAATGGCTTCAATTAAAGAGAAACTATGACTATATATTAATCGTCAGTAATTCCTCTGGTATTTATACTAAAAAATATCAAGATGAAGTATCTTTTTTTTTCATCTTTTTAATACATAATTAACTTTATTAAAGGCTATTATATTAGAACAGAATCTGGGCGTTTCTGTTTTTCGTCATAAAAAAAAGGTTTTTATCTTCTTCTTTTATCTTCTTTTATCTTCTTCTTTTTATTAACATTCATCATCATATAGAAACCTCATTGCGCTTCTGATCTTTTAAACTTCTTATCTAATATGAATATTTCTCCTAATCAAATCGTCGTTATTGGTGATCGTCTTTTTACTGATATTTTATTGGGTAATTTAATGGGTACTTGGACAATTTGGATTAAACATGGTATATCAAAAAAATTTAATATGGTATTTCTTTCATCATTCATCATTCATCATTCATCATTCACTCATTCTCTCCTCTCCCCCCTCTCCCCCCTCTCTTTCTTCTCTCCCCCCCCCTCTACTAACTCTCGACTTAGTTTTTATACATCGAAATCCTTATATACAAAATCATCAGGTCCCTCAAATTTTCACCTCTTTCACCTCTTTCTTCTCAAAAAATACCCCAAAAAAATCCTTAACTCCATTCTTTCACTTCGTTCTTCTTATTATACCCATTAAAATATCCTATTTCTACATATATTTTTCTCTTTCTTAAAAACAGCCCTTCTCTTTTCCCTCTTTTCCCCATCTTCCTCTCTCGATTAAAAAAGATTTTCATGAGAGAATCTAACTATTGTTCACCGTCTCAAAACAAAGCTTCTATAGGCATAACATCCGCTGTTTATGACAGAAGAGCTCTTGATTGTACAGCAGTATTGCCTTTAGTTAATTCATTATCACATCTATCATTTCTTACATCAACATCATCACGTATTAGAGAGATCTTAATAGAAGATGAAGGATTAGAACGGCTGGTTCGTATTCTTAAAGAAGGGGGATTTAAGAGCCGGTTAGATATGTGGAAATGGCAGTTGGCATTTCAGTGTGTAGTTAATGTTGGGATCAGAGGATCTGAGAGAGTACGTACACGAGTCGTGGAGGCAGAGATGGTACCGGTTATAGTTAGTATATTAGAAGGGTTTCTAGAGAGAGCAGAAAGAGATCATGAGATGGAATCAGGAGGAGAAATAAGAAGAATGGGATATTCATTTTTAAGGCCTATGATTGGATATGGTATGATGGTAGAAGGGATGGGAAGGAATGGAAGGAGAAGATGGGAGATGAATGAAGGAGGGGTTAATGAGGGTGTAGAAGGAGGGGAAAGGGATAGTAGAAGAAGGGATATAAGGGAAGGAAGATTATCGGTAGTAGAACTTGAAGAATCGGTGAGAGAAAGTATGACAAGATTTTCATCGATGAATGAATATGTGAGAGGGGAATTTCTTGGAGAAGGGTATGAGCTTGAGGAGGGAGTGGAGATAGAAGAGGGGAATTCTGGGGAATTAGTGTCAAGTCGGGAGAGAAATGTTTTTGGAGGGGGAGGAGGAGGAGAAAGAGAAGGGATGGAAGGGATGGAAGAGGATAATGGGGTTATAAATGAGGTATATGGTATTAATAGAGTGGAAGAAGGGGGGGAAAATGGGGTAGAAATGATGAATGAAAGGAATTCGGAGATAAGAAGACGAGAATCGGTACAACAGGCGATATTTTTTGATTCGAGACATTTTTTCTTCAGAAATGAAGACAATGTTATTTTTTGTTTACAGCTATTGGCATATATATCAAAATATCCTCAACTTAGATCATATTTTCAAAAATCTCATGATATCCCGAGACTTCGTTATTGTAATACAGGAGAAATCGATGAAGAAAAGGTGACACCGATTAATGTATTTGCCCTAGTGGAAAGATTTACATTGCGTATTCATCCGGTTGAAGTACAATATTGGGCAGGCGTTATTATGAGGAATGCTTGTCGAAAAGATGAATCAAGAGGAGGTATTCGTCAATGTGCATATATAGATTGTGGAAGATGGGAGACATTTAATAGACAATTTGCAAAGTGTAGAAGATGCAGGTATTTATTTTATAAAAAAAGTTTTAAGAGAGAAAGAATTAAGATATTATAGAAGAACGAAATATTGTAGCAAGCAATGCCAATCAAGAGCATGGCCAGGGCATAGATGGTGGTGCAGAGAACGGGCAAGTAACTGAAAAAAAAAAGAATTTTTATTACAAGTTTGATAAGTTATAAATTCCTAGTTTGATAGAACTGTATTGCATGTTTGTATATATCATTTTTGATTTTTTATTGTTTTAAGACCTTTATACGCTTTATGTTTTTTATATCGCATTGTCATATAGCTATATGGTTTATTTATGTAAATGTTTTTAAATTCGTTCTTGTAACCAGTTATTTGCCTTTAAGAATCTATCGGATTCTACTTTATCGACTACACCTAATATATCCGCTACTTTTATTCCATAAACAATCTTAAAGAAAAGAATTAGACAATATCAATTTTAATATTTATAGACCCTACAGAATTCCATAAATATCTGAATTTTACAATATCCTCTTCAATATTTTCAGCACTTATAAAAGTGGATTTTAAATATTCAATCGCCTTTTTTTTAGAATCCTCACTTGTAGGGTTTTCATAAGTAATTATTTTCTCTAAATATGTTTTTATTACAACACCCATTGTAATATCATATTCATTATTAAACGGAAGACTTTTAAATATTAGCTAAAAAATATGATTAAAAAAAAATATTTACAGTCTAGTAAATTCTAACCAATCATCTCGTTCTCTATTCGCATCTTGATTCATAAATAAAGAAGCTGTTATCATTTCTACCAAACTTCTAATTGTCTGTAAAAGCATTTTTATGAAAGAATTAAAAACAAACAATTCTTGACTCAAAGGACCCGTCCATGCTATATCTTTTTTATGCAAAACAGACAAACATGCCACTCGTGATATTAGTGCTATAAAAGACATTTCTTCTAGAAGAAAATTAATCTGTTTAAACTTGTACATAATACAATTTACCAGTTTTTTTAGATAGTTCTCCTTGATATGTAGCAGATAAATTGCCATGCCTAAAAGTTTTTAATCGTAATAACTCAAATATCAAAACGACTGAATTTTGCTGACTTTCATGACATATTTTTAATGTATCCAACAAAGCTAAACCCCATGCAGAAAGGGAATGATCATTATTTATAAAGGATCTTAATTGAAAAAACTTTCCATAAATGCTAGATAATATTTGTTCATGACTTTGCATTATCTAATAAAAATTAGTATATATAAAAAAAATGTTAATATTACATTGTTGTCTGTTTTTTCAGAAACAGACTCCTTATATATTTTGGAATCTGAAAGATATTTAAAAAAACTTAAGAAGTTTATTTTTTTTTCCTTGAAAATTAATAATAAATTATAATAAAAATTAACTTACAGGTATAGTCATCTTTATTTGATTAACAATATCTTCTTTAATCATCCATGTTTTTACTAATTCGTAAATACTTGGTGTCATTTTGTGGAGCATTTTATGTTCCTGATCTGGGTCAAACCAATAATAAGCTGACTAGATATTATAAATTTTAAAGTATAATGTTAAATAAGCAACTCACTATATTTTTTGCTTGATAAAATCGATGAAGAGGTTGAGTAAGAAGATTTAAAGATTGAGTTTGTATTACAAATATATTATCCAAAAAATCTTTATATTCTTGAGTATCATTGCTATCCATAGGAGCATTTTCTACTAATATGCCTGATATAAGAATATTTATGATATAAGGTCCAATTATTCCTCTTGAAAGATAAAAATATATTTCTTCTGGAAGTCTTGTGCTAATAAATTCATGAATATCGTTTGGCGCATCTGATTCATTAAGTGGTAATAATTTACCATTTTCCATAAGAACAATATGATATTTAATTATACAAACAGCCTTAAAAAAAGATTCCAAATAATCTGAATATTTTGTTACAAAGGTATGACGATAATTTAAAATAGCGTTAATTCCAGATTTAAATATCTTAATGGTATCTTGCAAAAACCTAAAAACGTCTCCATTTACCTGGAAAATCATCTCAAGTGGAGGGAATGTGGGACAAAGATCTGATCCTAAAAGTATACATATATCCAAAAACTGCTCATTAGTAATTCCACCCAAACTTGAAAGAATAGTTTGTTTATTTAACCAAGAAAAAATTAAATAATCAAAATCAAAATTAATAATCAAACGATCAACATTGAACAATAATATGTTACTTGATCCAAAAATTGCATCAATATGCGATTGAGTCGTTTCTATCATATAAGCTAATTGAGCCCATGATAAATACGGTGCGACTAAAAACTCCATTTTCTTTTCCAAAAGAATATTAATCAATATCTTATATAAAGATGAAATTTCAATATTAGCTTTCCTATATTCAATATTTTCCATGTATAAATCATAATCTTACCTAATAACCCAAATTCATTAGATGCTTGTTGAAATTTACCCTCATTATAGCTTTTCCATGCATCTTCACACATCTTAGAATAATTCTCATCTGGAACCTTCTTAGTTTTAGATGTTAAACGTAGTCCATCAAAAACAAAAAAGGGCTCAATCTTATTTTGCTCTAAAATGCTAAGATCACGCAATATTCGCGTCTTTAAACCAACTGGAACTGACGCCGTTGCATGAATTAAAGGATCCTTAATAGGCAGATGATTTACAAGCTGTTTTAAATAATAACTTGCTTCAATACCAATACGACAATCTTTTAAAACACTTAATGGCTGATAATTAAAAAGCTTATATTCTGTAGTATATGATTCAATTGTTTTAACTAGAAATATAAGATATCTTAACAAAAAAACAAATTCTTACTGAGCATTCCTGGTTGTTTCTATTTTATAAGCACTTTTTTAATATTTATTTAGTTTTCTACAAAATTTCAAGGCTTATTAATAAATCTTATAGTTAAAATATAAAAATTTAAATAATTATTAAAAATATATTTAGTTAATAGACAAAACTTATGTAAATAATATTTATGACATATGTTTCTTATCTTTTTTATTTTTATTGACCTTTTTATATTTTTACTAAAATCTTATGGATAAATAAAAAATTAGTATGAGAAATAGAGATATAGATGTAATATATTGATAATATATTGGATAAATCAGTTTAATTCTTAAGAAAAGTTAAAAAATAATAGGTTTATCTAAAAAAAATGGGTTTTTTACAAGTATATATAATATTTTTATAAAAAAAACAAAAAATATATAAAACATTCTTATATTTTGAATATATACATTGTTTAAAAGACAGGATAATAAGAAATATAGTTTTATGATCTTTTGAACTATATAAAGAACTGGATTCTATCTTTTCTTTGAAATAAACATAAAATATTAATTGATTGGAGTAAAATCGGGTATAAACAAGTAGAAATGGGCACGGTAGTTGTTTCTGAACAAATTCTTTCATCTCTTCGGCCTTCTAAGGGCTTTAAGAATCATCAAGAAGGAACAGCAATAACATGTATAGATTTTGATGATACAGGAGAATGGCTGATTACATCTGGTGAAGATGAATCACTTCAGCTTTATGACTGTGTTTTGGGGAAGTCAGTCGCTTTTTTCCCCATTTTTTTTAAGTTAAGGAATATAGACATAAAAAAACACTTTATAGCAAAAAATATGGAGTAGATCTGGCACGATTTACACATCGTTCTACAAATGTAATATATTCATCAACAAAAGATGATGGTATGGTCGTTTTTATGGAAGAAAAGGACCCATTTTATACATTTTATAGATACATTAAGATATTTATCATTACATGATAATGTTTATATTCGATATTTTCGTGGACATAAGAAAAGAGTGATTTCTCTAGATATGTCACCCTTAGATGATCAATTCATATCAGGAGGTCTTGATAATTCAGTGAGATTATGGGATTTACGGTCTTCTACATGTCAAGTGTGTTTTTTTTCAGAAATTTATCATTATATTGATTGTCTTAGGGATTACTTAATATTTCTACACCATGTTTAGCAGTATTTGACCCTACTGGAATTATATTTGCAGTTGCATCACATCCATTATCATCAATTTTACTTTATGACTTGCGTAATTATGATAAGGAACCATTTTCAACATTTAGTCTTAATGATGATGGATTTCTTTCAAAAATTTCATATCCTCCTAGAATGCCTGATTGGATCAAGCTAGATTTTTCAAATGATGGAAAATTAATATTAATAGGTACACGTGGTGAAGGACATTATCTTTTAGATGCATTTAGTGGAGAATTACAATCTCGTTTAACAGGACATGTTCCTGTTAATGGTGATCCAAAATCAATAACATCAGGTGATGTATGTTTTACACCTGATGGACGATATATAATTGGTGGTAATGTAATATTTTATTCAATTCTTTGCTATTAAAATATATAGCATCTGGAGATAAAAACATAGTAATATGGGATACTAAACAAATTAATAGAAATAAATCTTTGACTCCTGTTCAAATTTTGAATTCAGGCAATATTGGTCCTGCTAAAGTTGTAACTTTTAATCCGAGAAAAATGATGCTAGTTACAGCAAATAACAGTTTGGTTTGCAAATTATTCCTACATTTATTATATATTGATATAAAAAGGCATTTTGGCTTTCTGAAAACTATTAAACATACAGAAAAATCATATTCTGTTAAACAAAAATATTTGTATGCAAATTATATATATAGTATTATCTTTCTTAAATATCATAACTTAAAATTGATTTATATTAGATTTTATAAGAGTAGATATTCTAAAAATTTAAAACGTCTTTTCAAATCATACTGAAAAATTAATAAGTATAAATTATAAACCAAAGATTATATTGCATTTAGCCAATAACTGGTTTTTTTAATCTCATGTATATATTATAAACAATCAAAATGACTATTAACAAAAAAGAAATAACAATCGTTATTATTTTTTAAACATATGCCCTAGTGATATTGATTCAAAATTGTTAATTTTATCAATTGAAAAAGTTTACTAAAAATATTTAATTAAAAACATTAGTTTTGTGTATGATTAAACCAATTAGTAATAGCGATAATACCCAAGAATATCAATATTTAATTTGAAAATTGTGTAGAGTTTTTTTTAAATAAACTAAGCAATTTATATTTTTTTATAGACTTTTCACTTATTGCATCCATTTCTCGATATACAGGCGCACAATCATATCTAAATATTTTTATTTTCCCACTATAATCAGCACATATAACAATATCTCCATGTTCATGTTCAGAATTTTCGTTTAAGCTCCCCAATTTCTCACTAATAGGTTTATTTATAAAGAAATTTTCGAATTGACAGTTTGATACAATAGATATATTGTTATTGTAATTATTAGAAGTCTGTCTAAAATTCATACAAGAACTATAAATAGGATCACCAGATGCAATCAATAAATCTTTACTTTTTATAGGTGCAAATATTGCGACAGTTATAATGTTAGAATCAACTTTTTAATCATTAGCATTTAATAAAATATAGATAATGAAGACATATTACCTTCAAAATGCTGTAAACTTTGTTCATTTTTTTTTATAATAGAGTCATTATCCAATTTCCATATATATACTTGTTTATCTTCACTTCCACATATAACATGTTTAGCGTCATCACTAAATGTAGCACGAATTTGACTACATGTATTTTGATTACCCTTAAGTTTAAACTCTAAACTTTTATCACGCATATTATAAATTCGAATTCGAGAATCATTGCTAGTAATTAATAATTTGATATCGTCAGTATTATTTGGCACATTACTGACTGTCTCAATTCCAGTAATTTTACTTCCTTTAGAATTCTTTCCCCTAGAACTTTTGATATGAATTTGAGTATGATATCGTAAACCTTTTGTTTCATAAAACATGCATAATCCATTAAAACTTCCTGCTATAGCCATACGCCCATCAGGTGAAAATGCAACAGCAGTGATCAATTCTGGAAGTTCATTCCAAAAAAGTATATTTTTCTCTTTAATATTCCAAAAACGCAACTTGCAATCTAAAGACCCAGAAAGAAAATATCTATCATCTAAAGGATGAAAAGCAATTGATGTTACAAAATCGTTATGCTCAAAACAACAAAGACATTCTTTTCGAGAAACATGCCAAAGTCGAACAGTTTTATCCATTGATGATGATAAAAGGAAATTGTTTTTGCTCCAACTTAGATCTAGAACGTCCAATTTATGACCCACATATTCATGCACTGGATCCGGAAAAAAAACAGGTGCTGGCAATTCTTTATAAGCTGAATAATCTTCATCAATAGAAATTGTTTTTGGCTTTTGATTTTTCTTCTTATTATCTAAAGTACCATTTGCACCTATAACCATCCAAACTCTTAAAATCATATCTTGCCCACCAGTAGCTAAATATTTTCCATCCTTACTAAATTTCATAACCCAAATAGCACCAGGTTTGTGAGATGGAATTCTCATAGGAACCTCAGAACCAAATTCAGAAAAAGATAAAGATTCCTTCAATGACATATTTTTAAGTGAAGGATTATAAAGTTCTTGTGCAAGAAAGAGTTTATAATAGTTATGTTTAGATTTGTAATTGGTCTTTACCTAAATGAATTAGATTTAAATTAAATAATAATAATTATTATTAACTTTAATATATTTTAAAAAAGGTGATCGTAAAGAATTCTGTTTTTTCAATTGAGTTGATGTTTTCGTAAGGAATCCTTGCATTTTTTGCGATGATAACTGACATTTTTTACTATTTTTTTCTGAATCTTTATTGTTTTTAAATAATAATGATGATCCACTTTTCTTGTTTTTAAAACCTTTCCCATGAAAAAAAATATCATTCAAAAAACTACATGACCGTTTTAAAGACATTCCTGAATATTCTATAATCTTTTTTCCTTTTTTTCTAATCCCATTTATTAAATCAACCTTTGATGCTAAAATATGCAATGAAACCGGATCCATTCTTATATTTACTTTCTTAATATGCTAAAAAACTATAATGACCTATATAAATATAATTTCTATTCAATTCTGTTCTTTTTAGGCCCTTTTCCTTAAATTCATTCAATATATAAATATATATTTTTATAAATATTACTCCGCATCCTATTAATTAATAGTAATAATTATCTGAATTGCTCATAATTATGTCTAAAATATTAAAAAAATCTCTTAATTTCTTAATTTTTTATTAAAATATATTAATATTTATTGATAAATCTTATCGATCGCCCTCATAAATATAAATATATGACAATTCAGGAACATATTAAAAACAAATGTCTATTTGTGCTTCTTAAATAGCTATTTTACATTGTTTGTTTCTATTTTTTAGAATTAAGATGTATATAATATTCATGTTTAAATATAGAAAATATCATATATTTTTTATAACTTGAAAATCAAAATTTCTAGTTAAGCTTTTAATATTTATAGATAACATCTATATAATTCATAAGAATTACTTTGTTTAAAGGGTTAATTTGAATTTTTTGATCATCAAAAGTTCATGTTAAACAGCTATAAAAACAAAAAGTCGATATTAATTACTAAATATACATATTGTCTATCAAAATTTTTAAATTATATATAAAGCTATGTATATTTTTTAAATATATTTAATTCAGCAAAAATTGTAGCTTATAAATCTCTATTATCAAGACTCGACTTTTAAGAGGAGATTTTCATATAAAATGAAGGACCCCACAGAAGGTAAGTATTAAAGCAATATGAGTCTTTAAACTTATAGATTATTAGGATGGATGCAGTTATTTAAGAATAAGTTTTATCAAAAAGTATATTTAATGAAATAAAAAGAAGTGTTTTATTTTATATAGATTGAATTTTCAGAGATGCTTTGGAAGGATATCCAGCTGTCAGAATATGTAGTAGCAGGTGCAAAATGTGGTGGAGCTATAGGTTGAAAAAAAAAACAAGAAATACGTTTTTTTTTACATGTTTTAGCATTGGTTAAAGATGATAAAGTTATACATAAATATATGGGGCCTACAAATACTAAATTAAATATTCAAATCTATAATTCATATGGATCATTTATTTCAGAGATAAATGTAGTTTTTTTCATTTAAAGGATATATATTGAATAGTAGAATAGTGGGAGCTAGAAAAAATCAGAGGAATGGGCTGGACTGATTCTGAGAGATTAATTATTGTTACGGAAGATGGAGTAGTTAGAAATTATAATATGCAAGGGGAATTTACACAATTTTCACTTGGAAAAGTAGATCAATTTATATATATATATTTTGTTTATCTATATATCAGGAAGCAAATGAACATTTAGTTGTTAATTGTCAATTTTGGGGCACTGGATTTGTAGCTTTATTAGGAAACAATACATTTATTTCAGTCAATCAATATAGTGAACCACGTCCTAAATTACTTTGCGTTCCGAAATTTGAAGATGTAATTCATAGTTGGGCAATTATTGCACCTCAATTTTCATCAACATTTCATGTAGAAGTCCTTGTTTCTACGAAATCTACAATATATTTAATAGATGAAGCTGAAAATAGAGATCAATATTTGCAGCAGGGCCCTTTTTTGAATATACGTGTATCACCAAATGGTCAATTTCTTGCATTACATACATTTAAAAATAAAATATGGGTTGTATCAACATGTTTTCAAAAAACCATGTCCGAATTTTCTCTAGCTGATAATGAAAAACCATTACAAATGGATTGGTGTGGGAATGATTCTGTTGTTGTAGCTTATAATACAATGATCCTTATAATAGGTCCATTTGGAGGATTTCTAAGGTATGAATAGAAACCAATTTTTCATTTATTTATTAATTTGTTGAAGCTTTCCATGCAATGGCCCTTCTGTATTAATCTCTGAAATAGATGGTGTTCATATAATTACTAATGATAAATGCGAATTTCTGCAAAAAGTCCCAGGTTTCCTTTAAATTTTAAAATATTTATAATTTCTAATATACAGATGTTCTTGAAAACATATATGGAAAAGGCAAAAATTCATATGGTGCTATCTTATTAGAATCTATTGAACATTTTGAAAAAAAGTCTTCAAAAGCGAATGAAAATATACAATCAATCAAACCATATTTAGCAGAAGCTGTTGATGAATGTATAAATGCAGCAGGTTATGAATTTGATCATTTGTGGCAAAAAAGATTATTAAAAGTTAATAATAAGTATTATTTAAATGATTAACTAAATGTTTTAGGCAGCATCATTTGGAAAAAGTTATCTTAATTTTTACAATCCAGAAGAATTTGTAGAAATGTGTCAAACATTGAGAGTTTTAAATTCAATGCGTTTTTATGATATTGGGATACCATTAACTTTTAAGGAGTATGCTTTTTATTGTATTTTTCTTTTTTTATATAATATATAGGTATTTTCATTTAACACCAGAAGGTTTAATAGAGAGACTTATAGCTCGTCAAAAACATTTTCTTGCTCTAAAAATATCTGAATATTTAAGGTTATCACCTGATAAAGTATATATACATTGGGCATGTATGAAGGTAAATATTTTATAATTCTTAACGTTTAATATATATATATATTCGTATTAGATAAAGTTTTCTTCTGATGATGAAGAATGTATTTATAGAACAATAATTGAAAAACTTTCTTCAAAGAAGGGAATTTCTTTTGAGGAGATCGCTAAAACTGCTTGTGATGAGGGAAAACAAAAACTTGCTGTTAAAGTGTTTTAATTTTACATTATTTCATTTCTAATATATACAAGCTTCTCGATTGTACATTAAAGACTAATAATAAAATATCACTTTTACTTAATATTGAAGAAAATGAAGCTGCTTTAAATAAAGCTGTAGAAAGTGGAGATACAGATCTTGGTATAATTAAATATGTATACATATATATATCATTGATAAATCATAGTATTATATGTTATATTATATCTAAGAGACAAGCTATCACTTGCTCATTTTTTCCAAATTATTCGTGATAAAGCTGTTGCTGTTTCTATTTTAGAGGCATATGCAAAAGATAATGACCCGGAGCTTTTAAAAGATTTCTATTATCAAGATGATCGCAGATCTGACAGTGCTAACGTAATTTTACTTGAAAGCCTTAAAACATGTGTAAGTTTTTAATTTTTTTAATCATCCAAAGTCATTTTATAGAATATAGATCTTAAAATAGAAAAATTAAAATTATCTTTAGGACTTTATAAAGAGTATAAAGAATTTTCATTTGAAATAAAGGTAATAAATATGTAAACCATTTTGAAAATTTTAACAATTATATAGAATCTTGAAGAACAAATCAAATTACTTGACTTACAAAAAGGTTTTGAAAAGGAATTGCATGATTCATTTATTGGTCTATCAATTAACGAGACTGTCTTTAAACTAATAAAACTGAATCAAATGATAGCAGCTTTAAAAATAAAAACTGAATTCAAAATACCTATTAAAAGATTTTGGTGGCTTAAATTACGAGCATTGGTTGCTATTAGAGATTGGGCACAAATAGAAGATTGGGTTAATAAGTCTAAAAAGTCTCCTATTGGATTTGAAGTAATTTTTATTTGCTTTACTATTTATTACTAATATTATATTAGCCTTTCGTATCTGAATGTCTTGCTGCTGGTAATAAAAAAGTCGCTGCTTCTTTTATTCCAAAATGCTTTGAATTGGCTCCAGCTTTTCGTACTGAATTATGGGTAAAAGTTGGTGATTGGATATCAGCAGGAAATGAAGCTTTAAAATTAAAAGATTTAAAATTATTAGAGGAGCTCAAATCAAAAGCCCCTGCAAATATAGTAAGAGAATTAGAAAAATTGTCATTGGATTTAAATCGTTCTAAATAATATTTGGGTTATAAACTTGCTACTTTTTTGGACTTAAACAGAAATATTCTTTATTTTTTTAGGCTTGATTTATAATTTTACATACAAAACTTGGAATTCTACAATAAATCATTCATCTCTAGATTCAAATAACATTCTTAATATTTATTATTGGATTTAATATGTATCTATAATTCGATAAAATATTATACATCTATATTTTATAAAAAATGACAAGACGTTGAAGCCTAATAACTATTGAAATTAATATATATATATGAATCTTATTAACGCCTTTTCTCTTATAAAAGATAAGAAGGGCTCTAAAAGTTGTAAAAGAAGGAAAACATCTTCAAAACATTTATTTAGAAGAAAACGTGATAAAAATCAATCAATATTACCATTTTATAAGGAAAAAAATGCAGATATTATAATCAATTCGGATGAAGATGGGCCTATACATAGTAGAAATAGCGGAAATTTATTCTCTAATGGTTTATTAAGCCATTCAGCCTTCTCAAATAATTGTTTAAAACTTGAAAATCAGAATTTATTTAAAATATATGAATGTAATACAGAAAACATAGTTGATTTAGTAAAAGAAAAAGAATATGATGAGGAAATTGAATTGATAGATGATTCTGAACAAGAATATTGTCAAAACATATCAAATATATCAGATAAATCAGAGTTTTATAAAAATGATCTAAAAGATTATGAAAATAATTCAAAAAAAGAATCTAATTCAGATTCAGATGAGAGTAATATTAAAGATTATTGTATAAATATGTCACATTCTCATTGGGAAAATAAAACAATGGATAAAAATATAAAAAAAAAAATAAAACATGAATTTGAATCAGATGCATTGGGAAGTTCAGAAGATGAACAAGAATGTTCTTTTATGATACCAAAAATGAAGCAACGAAAAATTATTTTTTCTGATGATAGTGAAGATTCTCAATTAGAGATAGAAGAAGATTTAAATAATTTAAACGAAAAAGATATATTAGAAGAAAGAACTAGAGGATCTAAGAGAAATGTAAAAAAAAGAGTATTTCAACGGCAACTTGAAAGGCTTAAACAAAGAAAAAATAAAAACATGAAGAAAAATTCTGAAGAAGATTCAGACGATCTAGAAATAATACACAATCCTAGGATTCGTTCAAAACATAATTCATATCCTATATTTTCTGATAGTGAAACAAGTCTAAATACAGAAGAATCTGTTTCTTTGGACGATTTTATAATAAGTGATAATGAACCTATTGGAACACCACATTCTCAAATCCCTGTTGAATTCACAGTATTTAGTTATCAAGGAATTTCATCTCATTTTAGAATTTTTCTTCATCACAAAATACATAAACTTTTAAATCCAGATTTTATTAATGAATCAAATCATTTTATATTTTCTCAAAAATATTTAGAAAGAAGATTCAATTCTTTGAGGGATTCTGTTCTTTCATCATCAGCATGGAAACAACCATTTATTAATTCGATTTCTTCTCTACCAATAATAAAATCAGGAACATGTGAATCACGTTTTAAATGTGATGCATGCCATATATCTGGAAGGTAAAAATCAGACAAATTATCTATTTTTCATATATATAGGACTTCATCCTTCTGGATTCGCTTTATTAATTTAAAATATGATCCAGAAACATTAGAAATATATGAAACTAAGGAATCAGAAGAGTCATTAGAAGACAGAACAGACAATTCTGATAGAATATGGTATCTTGGAAGATTCTGTTTCTCACGAGCAAAAATTGCACATAGTTTTTGGCATTGGCATTTTAATTTAAATGAGGATTTAAAAAGAATACTTAAGAAAAGTGGAAAACTTGATTTTTTCAAAAAAAAACTGCTTACTATGAATATCTCTCAACGCACTAAGAAAATTGATGAAGTAATAAGGGAATTAGATAATTCTGGAAAAACAAACGAAATATGGGAAAATTTTAACAATATTTTAAAAAAAGGCGAAAACTTCATGACTGCACCTAATAGATTTAAAAATGATCATTAATATCCAAATAATAATAATATTTCATAATATATAGAAAATATTTCTTATATTTTTTATATTTTATTTACATTATAACTTTTCTCGCAAAAAAATTCTCTCTAAATATCATGATTTATAATCCCATTTATTTCAAATTATCCATTTTAAATTAAAGACCCTGATCGTTGAGGAACAGGCGGCGAAAACGCCGCACTTGATGTACCCGGTGCAAGAACCTAATTCATAATCAATTCAATTTTACCCTTTTCAAAACCAATTCACCTCATGTGCCTTTTGTTGCATCTTAAATTCCTTATCATATGCAATCATTTTCTCTTCTTCTTCAATTGCAAGAACTAAGGGTGTTCCAAGTAATAAAACACTTGTTGCTAAAACCCATAATGTTTTCCCTCCAAAACGTAAAATCGATCGAATAGCTGATACAAATGATGTTACTTTCTGATAAATCTTTGCACGAAAAACCCCCGGAATAATGTCCTTTAAAGCCTGAACACGTTCTAAAAATGATTCATCTAATATTGACTCATCTTCTGAGCAAAAATCCGATAAATCAGTAGATGTTTCTGAAACATCTTCACTCAATTGTGCATCTGTAACTTCCTCTAAAAGCATTCTTTTTATTCAATAAAAATCTCTTAGAAAAGCTTGTTCTTGATTTATATTTAAGAATAACCCGCCAAAAATTAACCTTTTTTAACCGTTCAAAAGACAATATTATGAAACTTAACTCTGCAAAGAAGATGGTTTAAGAAATAACTAATTTCTAGGCATTTTTTACCCAAATTTTTATAAAATCTTTCTTAACTTTTTTTTTAGGTTGATCTTTAACAGAAAGGTTATAACCCTTTTTAATAGAATCAGGGTTATGCCCTGACCTAAATAAGAAGATCAACCCTATACAATAATAAGGGTTAATCCCTCGTTTGTAAAGGGGTTTAACCCTAATTAATAAATAGGGTTAACACCTTGTTTATAATTAGGGTTAAACCCGCGTTTATAAAGGAGGGTTAGGCCCTCGTGTACAGATTCTTCGGGGTTAGGGTTAACCCTTAATTAATACTCAGTCTTTAAATCTTTGACAATCTTCAACCTCATAAAAATGAATTTTATATTTTTTCCAGTTTTTCTTAGTATTCTTAGTATTATTAGAGCAAAAGTTCTTGAATTGACAGATGAGACGTTTGACAATGTTGTTGGAGGAGATAGACCGGTTTTAGTTAAGTTCTACGCACCTTGGTAATTTTTGTATATTTTTTGATATTATATTTATGAATAGGTGCACACATTGTAAGAGATTGGAGCCTATATATGAAGAGCTTTCTACGTTATATCATGGGAGTTAGTTTTTTAGGGGTTTAAATGAAAATTCTGAGAGGTTTTATGTAGAGAGAGTTCTTATAGCACGTGTAAACGCAGATATTCATCATGAACTTGGGAAGAGATTTGGAATAAAGGGATTTCCTACTATCAAGGTAGAATTGATAGTTTGAAGGAATATTTTTGTATATTTAATAAAATTATAAGTGGTTTAGTGCTAAATCTAAAAATGGAAAACTCTATAATAGTGATCGAAGTCTCAGCTCTTTTATAGATTTCATTGAGAAAAGAACAGGGATTAGGCCTCATGGAGCAGTTTCATCAGAAAAAGTTCTTGAATTAATACCAGAAACGTTTAATGAAGTTGTTCTTAATCCAGAAAAAGATGGTATTGTGAAAAATGATATTTTTAACTTGAATTAATACAATTGATAGTTCTTGTAGATTTTTATGCACCTTGGTTGGTTATATATATATATATGTATATTTAAAATTTTATTTTATTTTATAGGTGTGGACACTGTAAGAATTTGGAACCTATTTATGAAAGGGTATTTCTTTGTTTAAGAGAACTATTTGCTTATATTTTTCAAGGTTCATAGATGTTTTTTATCTGATCAACATATTTCAATTGTAAAATTTAATGCAGATTTATATAAAGATTTTGCTAAGGATTACAATATTGAAGGATTCCCTACTCTTAAACGTTTTTTATAAATATTTGTTTATTTAATAATTATCTTATAAATATTAGTTTTTCTCAAGGGCTCTTCAGGGAAAACTATATTGGACTATAATGGACCAAATACAGAATCAGCAATTATCTCTTTTATTAACGAGAATACTGGTACTTTTCGAGTACCTGGAGGTGATCTTAATACTATGGTTAATCATTATATACATTTCCAAGGCATATGCTTATTAAACTAGGCTGGCCGTATAAATGAATTTGACACTGTTCTCGAAGAATATAAACATTCTAATCGAAATGATATTCTATTAAAATTAAAAGAGCTGGCTTCAAAATCAAATAACAAGTATGTTAATATTAGTTTTTTATAAAACTAATCGACAGTTACGGATTATATTATGTAAAAGTATTAGAAAAAGTAATTGAATCCGCTGATTATGTCGAGAATGAATATAAACGACTCGAAAAACTTCTCGTAAATGTTCATGAACGCAAAACGTATATTTTTTAAATATATAACTTTAACTATCTTATAATAAAAATAGGCGCGATGACATTCAAATTCGAAAAAATATATTAACAGTATTTAAAAGTAAAAGCAGACCAATCTCTGACGAACTCTAAATACACTAAATTATACTTAATTTTTTGTTTATTTCACCATTATATATATTTATATTATTTTGATTATTTACTAACATTTCTTTTTCATTACTTAAATAAATTCAAATTTCTTCTTCTTATAACTCTTCTTTCTCTTTACTTTCTGCTATCATCTGATTTATTGATATTTCCATTGTATCCAACTGCTCCGTTATTTTATTAACTATTTTAACATTTATACATAATAAACATAAACAAATAATATACTTTTCATAAAAATCTCCTCTGAAAGTATTTCAAATTTATTTTTCTTAACTAATATCAATATTTATTAAATTATTATCATTTTACATACTAATTCTTCTAAAAGTGAATCTACCTTCAAAAATTAATTATAATCAAAATATATTATAAATAATACTAATGGAACAATATCATATGCTGAATCTACTATTTCCTTTTCTTTTGATTCTTCTTCTAAGTTTTTAGATATTTCTGATTCGTTGATTTCTTTTATTTCTTCTGAAGAAAACTTAGCTGATGGTTCTCCTGAGCCTTTACTGTCTGTACACTGCATTATAATAGCTGATCTTTATATTTTACTTATTAAATAATATATTTATAAGCAACGATAGAGATATTAAAATAAAATAAAGTTAATAATTAATAGGAATTTAAGGATAAAACATGATATTTTATGAAGAAATAAACATAAACTTAAAGTAGAGAATAATATTTAATGAAATTAGCAAAAAAAACGGATTTAAAAGGCCCATTTAAGGCAGAAAAAAAGGATTTAGATGATGATATGGTTGATCATCATAAAAAATTATCTATTAAGGAGAAAGAACATAATAATAAGGATATATTTCAAGAAGAAGAAGGTCTAAAAGAAGAATCTTTGGAAGAAGAAGTTTTGCTTTCAGAAATTGAATCTCTTAGTGAATTTGATGGACCAATCCATCAGAAACTAACTATTAATAACAAGGAGGCATTAAATACAGCATTAGAATCGATTATTATTAGGAATGTAGAGTTTAGTGAGAATCAAGTAATAACATCAAAAGAATCAATTAAGATTGAAAATATTCATGATGATTTTTCAAGGGAATTAGCATTTTATAAACAAGGACTTGATGCAGCTATACAAGGGCGTCAAGCTATTCTTGATAAGAATGGAATTTTTTCTCGTCCTTGTGATTATTTTGCAGAAATGTTAAAATCAGATGAACATATGCAAAAGGTTATATATTATATGTATATTTTGATGATTGATTAAATTTAAGACAGATCAAGGATAAACTAGTTGAAAAGGAAGCGGAAAAGAAAGCAATAGAATCAGCAAAACGGCAACGTGAACTGAAAAAAATAGGAAAAAAGGTACAGATAGAGAAAATTAATCAACGTCATCAAGAAAAGAAAGAAATGTTAGATAAAATTAAAAATCTTAGAAAAAGTACTCTTTTAATTTCTTGATCTGTTTCATATTAATTTTTTTTTAGAAAGAAAATATGATCAAGAGTTTACAACAGATGATGATTTTGATGTTGAATTGGAAAAAATAGATTCAGATTCTAAAAGACAAAAAACAAATAAAAGACAAAAAACAAGTAAACGACAAAGAAAAGATAAAAATTATGGTTTTGGAGGCAAAAAGAAATATAAAAAATCTAATAATACAAAAAGTACAAACATGTTTGAATTTTCAGCTAAAAAAATGAAACAACCTTACGAAAATTATTCAAATATACAAAAGAAATATAAAAAATAGAGAATACTACATTTAATATTTATTAATTAATACTATATGTATATATTTTGAATCTAATCATAAATAATATTTATCAATTTACAAATTAAAAAAATAATTCAAAATTTATAATCTTTATATAAATACTTAATTACATAATATTTCTTGCTGATATTAAGCATATTTGTGCTTATGACTTAGAATCTTAAAGCTTTTTGTCACTTATTTTTATTGATAAAAAAGATGAATATCAACCAACATTCTTTTCACTGTAATAAAAGCCAAATATCCAAAGATCAAAGTCAAAGGAATAAGGATCCTATAGAAATACTCGAATCATGTGTTAATAATTATGATACTATTAAAAAAAATCCATCTAATATTGATAACAAACAAACATCTGATCTATTAGTAATAATAACTATTTTAAAGAGATAAAAATTAACATTTCATAGAATAATAAGTTAAAAAAATCGGATGAATATGGTTTTATGTATTCATTTCCAGATAAAACGACTAATTTTCAATATACACTATTATTTATATCAAAGATTAGAAGTATTTTAAAAAATACATCAAAAAAACAAAAAAACTGTTTAATTCTGTGTTTTTGTCATTTTATTATTGCATTCTTAATATGGAATTTTAAGTATGCACCATTTTCTTTAACAACATTAGGATCTATTATTATATATGATGCTATTAATATGCTGTTTATATTTTTCTTAAATATTTATGAAAAGTATGAAGCATGGCATGAGAATACAATAAAACATCCTTTTGGGTTTTTATAAAACCATCCTTATTTCGAGTTAATTGTATCTTAGTTTAAAAAGACTCGAAGTTCTTGGGAAATTTTCAATGGCAATATTTTCATTATATATGAGTATAAACTCTTTTAAAAACATTATGGAACATAGTATTATAGATTTATTTTCAGAAAGAAATATTTTAAAAAGATCAGAATTTAGGTAAATATTACCAATTTTTTATATTAAGAAGAATTTTAATAAGATCTAGTCAAATGACATGGACTTTTTCCTTCATGGTTATTGTAATTTCTATTATTATAACTACTATTTCAGCTATATATTTTAATAATCGCTTTTATTTGACTAAAGGTAAATTATTTTTTTATATTAACATAATAATAACATATAAAACCTTAGGTATCTTTTCATTATCAACGGTTTTTCCTGCACTTTTAGATCTTTTTTATTTAAAGTCTATTATACCATTATTTATTTTTCTTTTTATGATTCTGGTTTCACCTTCTACAATAAATACCTTTGATAAATATATGTCACTATTATTTGAAATACCAATGTGTATTTTAAGATATATTGTTATTAAAAAATCGGTAGGAATATTAATACTGTCATTTCCTGAAGAAAATCTTCAAACTTGTATCAAAGAGGTAATTAAAATAAGGATTTAATGTTAACCAACTTATTAAATTAGCTTGAAAAAGAAACATTAATTCATTCAGTAAAATTGGCATATATTTTACAGCCATATTTTTCATTTTATATTGCAAGTTTTAACATATCAACTAAATGTGATGAAAGTATGAACTTTAAAATTCAAGAATTCATAAATAATATTCTCTACCGAAATTTTAAGGAACTAATTAATAATTATGAGGATGAGAATATATTGGAAATCAATGTTTCTATTGAAAGGATATCTATTTAAGTTTTAAAAAATAATAAAATAATTCAATATTTAAATAATCCTAATTTTTTATTTAAAAAAAGGTTTGTGGGAAATACATAAATTATTGCATTTATTGAAATATTTAAAACGTATTTATTCTACATTTTTGAGATTAAATTATATGGTTTAGAATTATAAATTCAAAAAAATAAAAATAATTAAATATTATAGAATATGCAATTTATAATATAATAATTTAATCATAAACACATTAGACAATGTCATTTGTTTAGATCATTACCAATATATTAAATACCATTTTGAAATTTTTCAAATATTTTATAATCAATATGAATAAAATATAGTTTATGAAAAACATTGAAATTCAAAACCGAAGGATTTTAAGATAGATAAATGCGAATTCAAATCAAAAATTGCACCAAAACTACAAAGAAGACCTTTATAGCGCCATTCCCATAAAATTTTAATATTTTTTCTTGATCCTGTAGATAATTTGATAATATTAGTTCTTGGATTTAAAGGTACAGCAAGATCTGAAGATAAAGGAATTTGAGAAAGTGATGATTCTGGCAATTGAGAACGTTTCCATAGTTCAAACCCTAGATCCAATGTACTTTCATATGAAAATATATTAAAATTAAATCTGCTAGACAATGAAAAATCATTTCCTGCTTTAATTGAATAAGCCGTAGATATATGTCCCATAACTGGATTCAATGTTAATGTCATTGTAAACGGATTCTTTATATATGAAGGAAGCGTTGTAAATCGAAGAGCAGTAGATACTATTTATAAGTTATAAAAAATCATTAAATATAAACTTTACATCCTCCTATTTTATGGAATATTCCATAATATACTTCTGTACCTATACTAAGTTGTCCATTATTAGATAAAGAAACTGATTCTTCATTTTGTTTTTCATTTATTGATATTCTTTTTGGAACTTCTCCAAAATTCCATAACCCTCTAAATCCAAACATTGAATCATCTGTACTATATGTATATTCTGTAGACCATTTGCTCGTATTATGTTGAAATTGTGCAGTTAACTTGAAAAATTAAAAGAAAAAAAATAAATTTAATAACATAATAATAAACTTACACTCATTCCATCATTCCTTTCAGGATTATTAAAATATGATAAAATAAATTGCTTTGTAGGTGATATTTTTTTAGCATAAAGACCTTCCAATAAAAGTTCTGGAAAATACATCCTTCCATAAAATAAATAATCTCCATAATTAAAACAATTCAACCCTTCAATTTACCATTACCTTTTCCTCCTGAATCTTTTTTTTGATTCCATCCTTTTCTTGGATCTTTATATTCCTGGATCTGATGATATACTTGACAAATCCTATGAATAGGAATAGTATGACTATTTTTAGGTCCTTCAAAAGGAAATGATGATACTATATATCCAATAGACCCATTAAGACCCGGAAATAATGATAAACAATACGTTAATCCAAAATTATCACTGGGTGACGATGAAATACTAAAATTTAACCCTTTTGAAACATGGAAATCAAGAATATCTGTCAATTATCACTTATTTCCTCTATATCTTCTCTTGAAATACTCTTTGAGCTCTCACAAAGATATGAATACAGATTATCACTGTTCCAGCACGTATTTTCAAAAAATAAACGGGTAATATACTCTTTATACTCAATCATTCCCTTATATTCACATAAAACACTTATAATTCTTGTATATTTCTAGAAAAAATACTGTTTCTCTCTGAACAGCTATACTTAAGATTTCTTGACGTTGACGTCAAGTGCTGAGAGCCAGGCAACGTCAAAAAAATTTATACTCAATATTCAGGATAATATTGAGGATAAATAGCAGAAAATGCCTAAGTCAAAGAGATCTAGAATAGGTTTTTATAATATATAAGAGGAATTGGATATATTTAAGCTAATTTATAATAGTTTCTCTGACAAAAACCAAGAAAAAAGATTATGAACATAAGAAAAAGTTATTTCAGGATATTCGGGATTATATTGATAAATATGAATACGTATATGATATTTATGAGTGTATTTCAATGTCTAAGATGATAGATCTGGGTTTTTTGTATAGAAAATATGAGAAATATACATTTAAAAGAGGTTCGAAATGAATGGAAAAATAGCAGGTTAGTTTTTAGGATATTTGGATGAAAATCTTATTATTATGGGTAAAGAATGATTGTAGGACGTATAAAAGTGATTGCGAAGTCATTAGGATTAACAAAAGATGAAGAATATCGAGAAAATTTGAGTAAACTTGCAAAAGTCAAAATTTTTGTTTTTTGATTCGAGTCTAAAGGTTTATAGATGCTTACAGGGGAAGTAGGAGTTTTATTTACGTCAGAACCAGTATCATTTGTTGTAAATTTTTTTTCAAAGTTTAGTCGGATGGATTTTGCACGTTCAGGGTTTATGTCACCTTTTACCTTTACAGTACCAGCAGGGACGGTTTATTCTAAAGGAGGAAGAATTCCAATAGATAATGATAATCCTTTGCCACATACATTTGATTCTGTTCTTAGAGGATTAGGAATGCCGACTCTTTTGAAAAATGGATATGTTACTTTATTTAATGAGTATACTATATGTAAAGAGGGGGATATTTTGGACAGTCGACAAACAAGACTTCTTAAAATATTTGGAGTTATAATGTCGGAATTCAAAATTAAGCTTAAAGGTTATTGGTCATCTTTAGATAATGAAGTGAGATCTATGGATGATTATCTTGAACATTAGAAAATTATTTTTATTAATTATATATTTAATTGCATTATACTTGAAAAATCGATTTTAATTAGTTGATAATTAAAACGAATATTCTATAGATTTATGTCATTTTTATTTATAAAGAAATTAAATGGACGGGGTTTAATATATATATATATATAGCATATTTTTTAAAATTAATATCTTCTTCTTTTGGAAGATCGATCTCTTTCTTTTTCACGACTCTGATTATCATGGTCTCGCCTTCTATCATCACGACCATTATATTCATGTCTATAATCATGATCTGATTTATACCTGTCGCTTTCTTTGTAATCATGATGTCCGCTAGAATAATTGGTATTATTTGTATGTCTAGGATCATGATTTTCAAGACCCTTATAACGAGAAATATTTGAATTGCGTCCTGAAGGTCCTGTAGGTGTTCCTGGAGGAACATCTGGAAAGTGAGATCCATTTTGCTCAATTGAAGAGGACTCCTGGTATTCGCTTTTAAATGGATCTTTATCAGAGCCTTTATAGCCAATTCCTGCTTTCGATCCTTTTGGTTTATCATTAAATCCTTTCCATTCGTTTGAAGATGATTTAGGATTTCCATGAAAACCTCCAGAACGCTCTTTATAACTTGATCCACGAGATCCGCCTCCTCGATACTTATCTCTTCCTATACGATCACCATATCCCAAAGGACGAATCAATATTTCCTTTGTATAACCTCTTCCACCCAATCCTCCACCTAAACGTCGAGGTTTCCATCCATTTACGGTTCGACCTCTTTCGACATCGACGACCACTCGACGATCTTTAATACGTACACCATCCATTTCTCTGTACGCAGCTAAATATAATATTAATTCTTTTAAATATATATTAAATAAAAAAGAATCCAAAAATACCTTTCATATCTCTTTCCCTTTCAAATACAATAAAAGCATACCCCATTGGCTTATTATCTTTAATATTCGTTACCACACGAATCTAATATTTAGATAATAAAAAACAATTCCTCAATTATACCCTTTCAATTCTTCCATAGCGTCCAAATTCTCGCATTAAATCTTGTTCCGTCACTTTATAACTCAATCTTGATACAAATAATGTTTTATACGGATCTCCTTTGATATTTGGATCCTGACGAGGATGGTCTATCCTAATCAATACATATTCCCTCTTCTTTAATCTCCTCTTACACATCGCAAGACCTTTTCGTATCACTTCTTCTTGAGCTCTTCTTTTTTCCTCTCGTTTTCGCTCTCGTCGTTCTAACCATGATTCTGTTGGATGATAATCCTTATCATAATCCGCAAGCATATGAACATAACGTGCAACTCCTGAAATTCTAGGTGTTCTCCGCAATGATGGTGCAACATCACAAGGTGGAAGATATCGTAAAGGTGGTCTTGCTTGAAAAAGTGCTAATAAAGGCGGTGGAAGTTTATCCGTCATTCTATACCTTAAGCCCTTTTATACCCTTTAAAATACTTGTAAAGTGTATAAATATAAGTAATTTTAACTTTGTTTTTTTTGACGGTTTCTTAAGTTGTCTCGAGATCCTCAGATTTCCCTCAAAAAAAATAAAAAAATAAGAGAAATGCCCATCCAAGTTGTTCAACAAGTTTCAAAAGGAAGAAATGGCTTTGGTGCATATATTTTTCAAGTAAATCATCTATAATTCCATTATTTTTTTTTAATTTTTTCAAGTGTAAAAAAATCCAGTTCTGCTACTGTAATTGGGCAGGAAGTTCACGAGGTATGAAGTATGTTGAAAAATGTATAAATTTCCTTTATTAATAAAGGATTTGATAAGCCTTTTTCTTAAGAAGATGCTCTTGAAGTTTTCGAAAGATAATCCATATATTGAAATGATTGTTTCAAGAAGACCAGGAAAACATCCTATTATAAGAGGTGTCTATGGTAAAGAATAAAAGTGCTTTTTTCTTTATAAAGAAAGAAGTTATAGTTATAATTGATATTTAAGTGTGGTAGTGAATGGAAGAGAAAAGGTGATTTGTGTAAGAAATTTAGATCCTCAACAGATTTTGAAAAAAGCTGAATTATTAAAAAATTCGAGTGGTGCAAAACTGAAGAAAATTAAATGGCCCGTATCTAGTATGAATAAGAGTATCAGAGGAATTTGGAGTCCTTTTCATCAGCAAAATATCCTTTAATAACTTAAATTATAAAAGTCGAAATATTATATATTATATATAGAGAGAGAGAAAGAGAGAGAGAGAGAGTTTAATGAAAACACAAAAAATCGTTTCGTTCGAACTCAATTTTGATTCTTTGCTTTTAAAATGACATTTTCCAAATAACAAAGTAATTGTGCATCTAATTTCTCGGTAGTTGTACCATTTGTATTTGTAACAAAAGATGATGGTGATACTTTTGACAATAATGGTGTTTCAATATTTTTTAATCTATCTGGTTTATAAGCATTTCCGGAATGTTTATTCGTATTTATTTGTTTAATTGTTGTATCATTTTTTATATTTAAATTATTTTTTTGTAATGAATTTGCTCCTAAATCATTGACATGTTTTCCTAATAATGCCAAAAGTAACTTTTCTTTATTGCAATTATTCATATTGTAATTTGAACTTGTATTTTTTTCTTCTAAAGTATTTAAAGAAACCTGATTAAATATGCTTGTTGTATTTGTTAAAAAGTTTGAAGGAATTTCTGAAGGCGATGAAGGATAATTTCTATTTTTTCTCAATTTTTCTTCGAAAGAAAGAGCCTTATTATTTCTTTCATAAGATATATCCTTTTCATATACTTTATTTGCATTATTATTAATATTAAAGTGTAACAATTCCATAATTCTTTTAGCGCCCCTATTTTTTTCTTCTGAATCTTTTCTTTGAATATTAAATACAGTATCTTTGTCATATTTTGTATTAGATTTACGATTATTATCAGACATATTTTTATTTGAAAAAGTAACTTCTTCCTTAGATGAATGTGTAAAATCAACAGACATAGTAAAAGATGTTGTACTAATAGGAGAATATGATGATATTCCAAGAAGTGTCTTAAGTGTTTCAGAATTCTTTTTACAAACATTTTGATACGCTTCAAAATCTGAATCAATGTATTCTTTTATTATTTCTTCAGAATTCAAATAAGATTTCTTTCTCTTTCGAATCCATCCCAATAAAGGTCTTAAATTTATTAGTAATCATTCATCATAATTTCAATAAATTTACTCTAAAAATGGTGCTACTAAATAATATTTAGATTTTGATGTTTCTTTATCCTCATAATTATCCCTTTTCTTATATTTTGAATATGCTGGAAGATCTGAAAGTTTATGCCATTTTATTTTCTAATTGATTTATTTTTCAATCTTATAATAATTTCCAAATACGACTTACACTAATTTCTTTTCGAGTATGCGTTATAAAATTCGTATCACTAGGAACATCTGCTATTATATAAAGACGAATATTCTGTTCACAAAGCGTAATTTCTATATATTCTTTTGGCTGTATAAGCTTCGAAATATCAAATCCCGTTTCTTCAAATACCTAACCAATTAATTATAATTTCCATATTAATAAAATATACTTCTCGAATAGCACAATCCATATCTAATTCATCCTTGTTTATTTTCCCCTTTGGAAACCCCCATCCAGACGAATTTTTCCATCCTTTCACAAGAACACACTTATAAAATTAAATAATCTCATTAATCCCCATCATATAGATCTAATCACCTCTTCACACCTTTCATTCAATAAAATAGCTCCTCTAACAGGAACTCTTGTCTTATACTTTAGAAAATTATCATACGCTTTTTCATGTTCTTTATCCCACTTCCATAACAGCGGACAATGTGCAAATAACGTCAAACAAAAAGTTCGCAAATGCATAGATGGCAATTGAGGATTTAACTCCCTAATAAAATCCTCATAATACCAATGTGCCTGTTCAATTTGAAAACATATTCGTGGAACTGATCCAAGTTCTTCCTCCGGTAAATTAACTATAAATCTAACCGATAAATCATCCAAAATCTCCTCAAATGTTGCATTTCTAAATGATATCATGTCTTTTATACTGTTATTTATTAATTATCTCTCTAATATCCCTTGCTTACCTCCAATATTTAAGTTATCAAAAGCTCCAACGTCATCAGATTTTATCGAACTAGCTGATAATATATAAATGAATTATAGTAGAATTATTAAGGTAGAAATAAATACATGATTAAGAGGATTAATAGAGAATTAGTATGTTATTAGAGATAGAGATTTTGATAGGTAAAAGTAATAAAGAATTGAGAGAATATTTTAAAGAAAAAAAGTATTTTTGAGCGATTGGATCCATATGATAAAGAGATGAAAGAATATTTTGTTAGTTTATACAGGTATATGAGAAAGATTGATGAGAATTGAATTCAGGTAAAATATTGGGAGAAGAAAGAAGTGGAATTGGAGGGATTATCAAAAAAAGAAATAAAAATAATGAAAAAAGTATAGATAAGATAGTATAATAATAATAATTAATGTAAAATAAAAGACAAAAATAAGTGTATATAGACTTGATTATTCAGCGAAATTTATTTGTTGTGAGATGCGTTTTGGATGGTCAGCAATTATTGGTATGATACCGGTTATAGGGGATATAATCAATTTATATTTATCAATGAGAATTGTAAAAATTTACATGAAAGCAGGAATATCTAAGGCTATTGTGATTGAAATGTATATAAATATTATTATTGCATTTTCGGTAAGTTTTATGTATTTTTATTTAAAAAAAGGTATGAAATATATGTTAGATGGGACTAATTCCTATTATTGGAGATATGCTTTTTGCTTATTATAAATGTAATATCAGAAACTATATTATATTTGAAAAAGCATTAAAAGAACGCAAAAAAATAGATTAATATTTGCAATTATAATTTTTTATTTCAATATTAGAATTAATGAGTATTTACAAAACTTTTTATTTATACATTTATAATATTAACATTTATATAGATATGTTTTATATTGATACATATAATTAGCTATAAAGCTAATTATGATATTTTTTCAAGATATAAAATTAGCATGTATTAGAAATTTTAAAGATTATTATTGCTTTATTCTATAAGATATTTGCTTAAAACTTCATCTTTAGGGTTTCTTATACAATTAATGTTTCCTTTTTCAAAATACGGAAGAATAAGTTCACTTTTAGATCCTCTTAACATAACAAAACATCCATAACATACATCCTTTGTTTTATCAACATAATTCTCATAATCCTTATTTATTTCGATATTGGTAACATTTATTAGATCAGTTTTATTTACTGTTATTTTTTTAAGCCAATCATTGACATTATTTTCTTTTGGCATTTGACATATAAAACAAAATTTTGAATTAGAATATTCTTTTGTATCTTTTATTTCTGGAACCTGAAGTTTTGCTGAAGTTTTAGCAACAGTAAATAAAAAACTAGGATTATTTTTCTCAAGATCATCAAAATATTGATCCACTAATTCATCTATTGTAGTAGCTTTATGATAAAACTTCTTTATATTTTGAATCCCACTGATCTCTAAAAAATAATATGCTTCTTGTCTTAAAATATCTTTCATTGGTCTCAATAACCATATATCTCAAATATTTAGCTAGATTAAAGAAAAAATTTAATAAAAAATACCATATAAATGTTTTATTTTCCCTTGAGTTTCCCATGGTATAGAGTATCCTCGACCTTTTGCTATTTCTGAAATAATTTTAGATGCAATTGAAGAAACTGTATCCCCAAAAATAATAACATTGTATCCATTCTTCTTTGCAAAATCATAGATAATATTATTACGTATACATTTCATAATATCCATACGTGATGTTATAGAAGATAATGGAGATAAAAGATCATCCAATGAATCAAATGTATCTTTAGATATTCCAGAGCTTAATAACGTATCTGATCTCTTATCCCATATCAATTTAACATTTTCATCCGAGTTAAATACATAATTCTTCAAATTAACCAAAAAAAACATTGATCCTGGAACCATCTCTTTTATTTTTTCACAAATATACAGCGGACTTAACACTTCCTTCACAATACATTCTTCCTCAACATGTATAAAGTCAATCATACTAAAATATCCCCCAAATTTAACCTTATCTGACTTTTCTGATAAAAATTTTATAAGTGCTAGTGATGCTCCTCCAGAAACCGCAATTAAAGCCCTGTTACCCTTAAAAGTTATATCCCCCTTAAAAAAAGACTCTAATGTCTTATGAAACTTTCGTTTTATATAACTTACAAAGCACTCACTAAAAACTATTTAAATTTCTTTTAAAAAAACCTTATTTTATACCTACAAAAGCCCTCTGACTTAGAAAAAAACGACGATTCTCTTTCTTTACATCGTCCACATATATTAGAGGGTTTTGTACCACTTTCTCCTGTATATTTCTTCTCTTTATTACATCCATTCTGACAACCCATATCAATTTTCTGAAACAATCAAATTACCCTTTAAACCCGTCTTTTTTTCACCAAAAAAAAAGGAAGAAATAAAAACTCCTTATAAAATATACTTATATATCTTCTTATATCCGGTTTTATCCCACTATTTATAGCCTTTAAACTCTTTACTCTTTTTTATATCGATCAACTGACCTTAAAAAACCTGATGGGCACAATTGGTATTCCTTTAAAGCTTCTGCACGAATCAACAGGTATTAATAATAGATATTATGTTATTATTTACCAGGAACAGGCCATATTATTACTTGTGAGCTAGATGATGGCACAGTTTATCGTGGAAAGTTAACAGAAGGTTGGGAATGATAGATGAAAAGCATAATATAAACTAAGATTATTATGTCTAGCTGAGGATAATATGAATATCCAGCTAAGAGATATAACGGTTACAGCAAGAGATGGACGGGTTTCACATATGGATTATATATATATCCGTGGATCTCATGTAAGGTTTTTTGTAGTACCAGATATGTTAAGGTAAAGGATCGAAAAGGAATAAGAAGGAAAAGGAACTTAATGAGATTAGAAATGCACCGATGTTTCGGTCAAGAGCGGTACGTGGACGAGGGATTGGTTTAGCACGAGGTAGAGCAACAGTAGCACGTGCAAGGGGGCAACAAAGGAGATAAAAAATGTATGATATGTAAAAAGGATTTTATTTTTATTTAAAAAAAGTATATATGAAATCCTTTATAAGAATATTTTTGAGATTTTTTGTTATCTTAATAGATTAAGACTAGAAAATAAAAGAAAAAAAAGGATATAAATAAGCTTAAATAAGAAAAGAAAAGAATAATATTAAATTATTTAGATACATAAGAATAAGTTTTTTAGATATTTAAACATTAATAACCAAAAAATTTTTTCTTGTTGTTTTTGAATGGTTTCCAAGAAAATACTAGTTCTTGGAACACCAAACTCAGGAAAACTAACATTTCTTAAAGGTTTTATTGATTTATTTCCTTTTTTCTGCTTTTGAATGGCTTTTCTTTAGAATTAACTGGAATCTTACCAGATATCTCTTCAGAGACAAGAAATCATGCAGGAATTGTGCATCAGATAGAATTTAAGACAAAATATTATAATAAAACAGTAGATATTTGGATTGACGAGTTTAAATATGAAGAAATTGAGCAATGGATTAAGCCATATCTATCAGAAGAAGCATCTCAAGTAAGAGAAGTGCTAGGAGCCATTATTATTGTTTTTAAAGGAAGAAAAGAGCCCAAAATTAATGTATATTTAACATATAACATTGGGGGAATACGGTGATTTAGTTATTGTAGGAATATGTTATAAAACAAGTAAAAGAAATCAGACGAATAGTTGAAGCATGTGGACCTTTATGGGATGGGGTATTATTAGTAGTAAAAGTGCCAGAAAAAGATAAAACAGAGGGTAATTTAACTAAATATATTGAGGACGAGGCACTTTTAGATGCCTGTTATAATGAGGGATTTGAATATGTTGATCTTTTGCGTCAATCTACAAAAGAATCAAAAGGTATATATGAATGAGTAATAAGAGAGATTTTTTACAAGAAAAAGAAGGAATTGAGAGAGTTAGAGAAGCATTAGAGGCATATGTTTGGGATGAGAAGCTATCTGATTGTATAGAAGATTTTTTTAATGTATTAAATTAAATATATATGTTTTATTAAAATGATATAGGAAAATAATGATGAAAATAAGAATGAAAAAGGTAGTGAAAAGGATATTGAGGAATTTGAGAAGCTTGCATCAAAGATTATGGTACTTCGAGGTTTTAAAATATGTTTATAATAAATTTATAGTAATATATTGTTCTAGAACAAGCAAATTCACTTCCTCTTTCTGAACGACAGCGTTTTATTTTGAATGCGTTAAGGTAAATCATATAGAATTGAGGAAATAACATGTTTATTTCCTTCTTTGATGAATCATGTGCCTATACATGATATAAAAGCCTAAAAAAAAATAAAGTATTATTAATAACAGGAAAAAAATATACCTGGAATGTAAATCATAAGAATTCCTTTAAGAACTAAGGTATAAGCATGTTTTTCATGATTAATATATGCCAGTGTTTTCCAAATAAGTAGTATTTCACTAGATGTTCCTAAAGGATATAAAATATAAAAAAGATTATATCTTAGAATTAAACTATAAGTCATTTGTATAGGAGGAAAGACAATACCTAAGCCATACAAGTATAAAGGGTGCTTTTTTCTTTAAATTACTTGCATAATAGCTATAACGAACAATCTCTGTAATACTCCAAGCATAGCTCATGGAAAAAAATGCACTAGTTTTCAATACAATAGGAGGATATACATTCAAAATACCCCAACAAAGTAGAAGACGTGAAGAAACTTGTATAATTGTTGTAAAAACAGGTGATGAAGTTATACCTGCCAAATAAAAATGACTTGTATTATTGTAATTTTATATACCAAGACAAGCATTTACAATCTCCAAAACTGCAAATGTTTGGACATATTTAAGAAGAAATATCAGTTGTTTATAATGATGACTAATCAGTGAATTTTTCTGAATGAAAAATGTATATAAAAAGATAAGGATCCAACCAAAACAAGATAAAATATTATATAAAAAAAGATAATTTAAAAGTTCTTTAATTAATATTAGAAAGAATACAAACATTATCAAAAATTACTTTTATTTCTAGCTGTTTTCATATTATACAAATATTCGTTTTTCAAAAAATCTAATTTCTTTAAAAAAATATTAGAAATTGATAAAAAGTTCATAAGATATAAAAATCCAGATATAAAAAACAAGAGAATTCATGTACTCTTTTTATTAATTCTAATTTAAAATTATACGTAAATTTCCCGTAAATTATGATTTCCAGAAATCACTTTATTACAATGTTTAACAGGACATATAACTGATTGAGGACCTTTTGATTTCATTGATTTAAAAATTTTTGCACAACTACCACAATAAATATGACCACATTTCCCCATCCATATACTTCTTTTTATAAAATCATCTGAAACACCCAATTCATCAATACAATTTGGACATACTAGTTTTTGTGACTTATTTAATGATCTTGTAAATCCCTTCATCGCACTAGGTGCTTCTTTAAATGGACGTTGTGTTATCAATGCATCTTTTTTCGAAAATCTGTTAATATTAGATTGTTCTGTAAATATACTATATTCAATAGGTGTCGTTGTTGTTGAAATGTTTTGACGAGACGAAATATAATATGGATATGTTCTAGAATATCGAACTGATCCATTCCCTCTCCTTCTATTCGACGGCGTCATATGATTTATTAATGCTTGTAAAAAACTATCATTTCTTTCAAAAATTCGATTTTCCCATAAACGCATCTGATTCGCTGTTTGACGTGTAATTCTTCGTGTTGGTCCAAACGATCCTATATGACAATTTCTATTATTCTCCGATATAGATCCATTCAATACTAATATCTCTTCCAAATTTATACCCTCAAATGGATATCTTTCATAAACTTCTATTTCTCCTCTTGACGATTGACTTTCCGCAAGATTATCAACATCTATCACTTCCACCCCTTCAAATCTTCTTTTATTCCGTACATTACTCCCCATATTATCCCTTATATCATACGTTCTACTCCCTTCAACTGCCTCATATTCCCTATGAGTTGGTGTATCCACCGTCAAATCAATAACTGGAATTCCTCTTTGTACTATGCATTCCGTGCCTTGTCTAGGCCTATAACATGGAACTATAGATCAAATATTAACATAATAATTACTTATATGACGACAAACCCACGTTCAAGACCAATATCTTCTAATACTACCTCATTTATTCCTCTTGTTTTTCTGCCGTTATTTCTATTATTTAAAATAGTTAAAGTACTGGATGTCTCCATAGACTTATAGTTAATATATTTATTTATTTAAAAGTGCTAGAAATGTTAAAAATAGTGTTATTTTTGGTTAAAATAAACATTTAATATTCTTAATAAAATCCGGTAGATTAAGCAGTGTAGTTACGGACGATGAATCGTAATAAATATTCGAGGGAAGAGAGGGGAGAGAGGGAGGAGAAGGAGGAGAAGGAAATAAAAGAAGAAGAAGAAGAAGAAGATAAATAATAATAATAATATTATAGTTAAATTTCTAGTTAAATTTTTAGTTAGTTAAATTTTTAGTTATATTTCTAGTTATATTTAGTTAAATACAAGATATATTTTATTTAAAAAGAAAAAATAGAAAGAGTGGTGTTATCAGCGACATATAATGTAGCAGCACGAGAACCCCATAATAAATGAGAAGCAGAATTTTTAAAGTCATGAAGTAATGACCAAGATTTTGTAGATTTTGAATAAGACCATAAAGTAATAGTATTTTGGGAGCCTATAGCAAGGAATTGGCCGGTATAATCCCAATTGAGTGAAAGAATAGAATCGGTAGCCTGTAAAAATTGAGTTTGAGTGTTATTTCTGAGGTCCCAAATATGTACACGAGAATCATGAATAGAAGAAGCAGAAAGCCAATAACCGTTTTCAGAAAAAGAAAGAGAAGTGATGGAACCTTTCTGTGAATCGAAATTGGCGACGTTTTTACCGGTTTTGACGTTATAAATTTTGATTAAACCATCGATAGTACCGGAGGCGAATAAATAACCATCAGGATGAAACTTTGCACAGGTGAATTCTAAAAAAAAGAAAAGAGAATTAGAAATAAATAATTATAAAAATAAAATTACCCGTATTTTCACGATACTTGGCAACAGTTTGATCGCTTTTTAAATCATGTAATGCCCATTCACCATCAACAGTTGCGGAGGCAAGAAGATCGTTTGATGGATGTAAAGCCAAAGCAATAACTTTACTTTCGTGAGTAGAAATTTTTTTGTCATTACCATCCAAAGATGTATAAATATGAATAGTTCCGTCGGACTTTGCAACAGCAGGTAATTCTCCTATCCATAATGCACAAGTTATTTCTCCCTCGCCGCATTTTAAAGAATGTGCAGGCTTTTCGTCGGTAACATTATATATTTTTAGAGTATTTTTACTAGTAACTAAAATCATATTTCCAAGATCAGTAATAGCAATTGAAGTGATCTTAGATTTGAAAGGATGTATGTTCTTTGATAATTTAAATTCTTGTACTTGTTTAACAGTTGTCCAATCTGCCGGTATTTTTCTTTTTCTTCTATTCGATGACAATCTATATACCCAAATTAATAAATACACAATAAATCCATAACATTACGTTTTTTGAGTTTCATCAATCTTTTGAATCAGATATTCAGGAAGTACTTGAGCATCCACGTCCATTTGCTCATTATTAGTTACAGATTCCCTCGGAAATTCCGACGAAATTCTGACCTTTTTAAGAGCTTCTCTCGCTTCATCCCTTTCTTTTAAAAGTCGAGCAATAACTCGACATGCTGCATCATGCTGATAAAGTGCTGTACTTAATTCTTGACGTGCCTGATTCAGTTGCTGCTTTAAATTATATGTTTCCAGAGCTAAAGAATCCCATTCATTCTGGAAAATAGCAAGTAACGACGGTATAGACGTCGCCTGAGGTGGTCGTCCACGGATAGTCTTGGATGCTATTTTAAAAAATTAGAACTCTTTTTATTTCCGTTTTAAACCGCACTTTTTAATTCTACTAAATCATCAAGAGTCAACGGCTCTCCCGTCACTGGATCCTTCTCATTTTCTTGAATATACGCCTCAATCAACCTCTTTTCATACACATTTCCTATAATTCATTATATCCATCAGTTTTTCTTCGAATTTCACAAAAAATTATCCAAAAAATACCGCTCTTTTTCGAGACAACTCCTACATCTATTGATTCTCCTGATACTAGACATTAATTAGCCTTTTTATCCCGTTTATCTAGCCTTTCTTACATGCACAAAACATTTCCTGCTGGTCGTCGTAAAGATTTTCGATGTTTAAAAATCTCCAACGTCAGAAAAAATGTTAAGTACTACTGAGGATAATAAAATCTTATTTTTAGTTAAAATAACTCTAGAAAAACAATATAAACAATAGAAAACAATATAAAGCTTTTCTATATACTTTTAGAGCTTTTTTTCCGAGTTTTTTATGATTATTTTTGACTATTTAACATAATTTTTTTTTTTAGCGAATTGACGTGAGCAATCTTTTCATTTTCTCCCCTTAACCATTGAGTTTTACTGTGATATATCAATATATACTCAATGGGAAAAGATTTGCCCGTCGTTGTATGGCGATGTTTCTTTATCAACGTCATACTGGTTGAGTTCGCAACAATGAAATTATAAGACTTAGTAATAAAATATCTGAATTATATATGATATTTTAATATTGTCTTACATTCTATTTGAATTCTATTCCTTCTGAATCATTATTTATAAAGATTCTTTAAAATAACTTTTGAAAACAATAAATTTTTATTTTATTAATTAATCATCAATAAAACTCAAAAAAAAAAGGAATTGAAAACTAATTTTCAGATTTATCTACATATAAAAATGTTTCCTAAAGAAAACATTCAATTTTATACACTTTCTTATATATTTTTCTTTATTAAACAATTTGTCTAAGATTCTTAGATACTTTCGATAGACTATAAAATTTTAATATATTCGGCCAGCTGCTTAATATATAAAGTCTATTCTTAAAGATTTAGAAATGGCACAAGAATGTTCATTAAAATCAACTACAAAGCCTGAAGAAGCCCTTAAAACGGCAGAGTTTTCATTTTCTTTATCAAGTTTCCAGAACTCTACATCAACAAATTCAGATTTAACAAAAACAACAGATACAGATAAAGAAGAGAAAAAAGAACAAGTAGAAACTACAGATGGAGAAAAAAAAGAAGTTGGAATTGATACGGTTTATATTTTTAAAATAAAGTTGATTTTTAGGATCAAGAAGAGTCTCCGAAGACCGATGATGTACATTTTGAGCCTATAGTTCAATTGAGTAAAATAGAAACTAAGACAAATGAAGAAGAGGAAACAGTTACTTTTAAAATGTATAAACGTTTTATTAAGGGATTGCTGTATTTTTTTACATTTTCTAGGAGAGCCAAACTTTTTAGATTTGACAAAGGCGAATGGAAAGAACGTGGTACAGGAGATGTCAGATTTCTTAAACATAATGATACAGGAAGGATACGTTTAGTGATGCGAAGAGATAAGACACTTAAAATATGTGCTAATCATTACAGTATGTAATATATTATTATATATATATATTAAAAAAAAAAAAAGTTGATCCAAATATAAAATTAACATCAAATGTTGGGAGTGACAGAAGTTGGATCTGGAGCGTTGTTGCTGATATGAGTGACGGTGAACCAAATGCTGAAACACTTGCAATACGATTTGCAAATTCTGAAAGTATTAATCTCTTAAAAAAAATACATAATTTTAATATTTATAGACGCAAATCTCTTTAAAGAGAAATTCACTGATTCTCAAGAAGAAAATAAAAAGTTCTTTACAAAATATTAATTTTTTGATTTTTATTTATCTTTTAAAAACTTATTCTTCATATTAACATTACTTATATCTACTTCTAATTTTAAACAAATAATATCATTTTTTTGTAATAGATAATCATAGTTTTTAAATAAAATACTTGATTATATATATATAAATATAATCATTTTTTAAAGAATATTAGGGCTGATTAACGTCTATAAATTTATCAACTTTCCTTACAAATATAAACCTTATTTAACAATAAGAAAATATAACTATTATTTATAAAAGATAGTTCATGGTTGAGGTAGGTTATTATCTAAATATAAGCCCTTTATTCCAGGGCTAAAAGGGATTTTTATTGTAATTGGAGTTTAAAGACTTTTTACAGAGTTTATATATAGAAAAGATGCTAATATGAATTATACAGGTTAAGAGAACAGTTAAATTGATTACAATACAGGTTGTTTTTTTATATTTTAGAGGTTTTATTAAGTTAATATGTGAAAAGAATATTTTAAAGGATGTTCCACCAGCAGGAGAGGGATTTCCTATGAGAAAATGGTCAGTGAGTCTTGTAGCGCTTTCTGAGGATGGCCAGGAGCTTCCTGCGGCGTTTATTGATAAAGTTACGTATAAACTTCATCCCACATTTCAAAGTCCAAATAGAAGTTATAATAAGACAAATTATGATATTTTCTAAGCCTTTAAATAGGTTTTAAGAAGCCACCATTTAGAATTGAAGAGAAGGGATGGGGAGAATTTGAAATGGATGTGATTATTTTTTATGCAGACAAAGGTGGAGAAACAACATTAAAACATGACCTTAATTTTCAACAAAACAAATATGAAAATGAACATATATTGGTAAAATATATTGATATATTTAATAGACATTATTTAATAGTTAGACGATTACTAATCCTCGTCCAGCTCTGCAGCGTTTATTAGCAGAGTCAGGACCAGTACCAGGTTATGTTGAATTAGAAGATAAGAAAAAAGATAAGCGAAAATTTGATGGAACTGATAAAAACAAGAAGAAAGGGAAATTTTCTAAGCCAGTTTGAATATAATTGTTATTTTTGTAATTATGGTTAATTATCATAGGTGGATATGGATCGATTAGCAGATGGGTTACAAAAACTTGAAGAAGATGATCTTTTACAAGTGGTAAAGATGGTGAATGATAATAAAACACCAGAGATGTATGTCAAGAATGATGTTGAGGGTTTTTTTTTACTTTTTTTTTATTTTTTTTTTTAATATTTTAAAAGAAGGCGAATTTCATTTAGATTTATATACATTAAGTGATAACTTATTGACAATGTTGTGGAACTTTACTGCGAAAAGAGTATCCTTATAAGGAAAAAAGAATTAAATAACTGAAATTTTTATCAAATATAAATTATAAAAAAACATATATTTAATTTTTTGTATTTTATAATTTATATAAGGGATGAAGCTGAATAGGTTTAAATAATTTTCTATTGAACATTATATCTATTAATTATTCAAAAATTTTCTTTTTGGAATGAATTTTAAACACTTTTTATTATTTAATATTTTTCATAATATCTCTTGAAAATAAGCCATTAGGCAAAAAAAGATGAATTTCTATAAATGTAAGGAATAGGTTTAATTAGAAAAAACCAGATCACCCTACCTTATTAAAATTTCTTCTAGATCATCTGCTACAACATTTTTACCTGGACAAATTTCATCTATAACTCTTATCATATTTATAACAAGTTCACCATCTTGATATCCTAAAATCGCTGGTACACCTACTGAGTCCATTTCTACCTTCTCATGAAATATTTTTCTAAATTCTATAGATGTATAACGAGTCGCTATCTCTGAAAAACAATCTTCAATTATTTTACTTTCTTCAGACTTAAATATAGATAAATTACTATTAATACATTTGAAATAAATGAATTCTTACTTCATCATGTATTAATATAAGGACTTTTTTACAATTTTCTATTACTTCTAAAAGGCTTGTACAATCCAATTCTTCTATATTTCTTGGATTTGATTTTTCAAATAAATCATCTTTATTATTCAATCTATGATCTCCAATATTTATTCGGCTTTTTATAGATAATTGTTTAAATAATATTTCTTTTTCTAAAACATTACTAGGTTTAAGTTTTATTAATTATATTAGAAATCATGTACTTTCTTCTATTTCATTGGTTATTTTAAGCATTCTAGATGAATTGGCATCATGAATGACGCCCTTTGGCCCAGTATTAATAGATATTTTATGTAAACGGCGTGGTCTTGAAAATGAAGATATTTCAGTTGGATCTAAGGTGGTTTTATCATCAACAATTTCATAACTATTTTCTAAATTCTCTAAAGAATCCAATGTCATACTAAATAAATAAGCTATATAAAAGGAATAGAGATCCAGTAATTTTCTTTTTTAAGAAAAAATATAGAATTATACAAGTATATTATAGGGTTAACTCTACCCTGACATAGTAAGATATCAAATATTATACAAATTAGATAATATAAAAGAATTATTCTATCAAAAACCTGTAGTTTTTCGTTATTTTGAAAATCAGCAACAATAAAAACTTGATCAAAACATATGTTACTTATTGCAGATGTTTTTTAAAAATTAAATACTTAAACCAATTATTAATATAGTGTTTGTTAAAAAGAAATATAAATAATATGGAACAACTGTGATTGATGATTGAAAAAATAAAGGACACTTTTATGCCCAAATTTTTAGCTAATATTAATTTAAAAAATGAAAAAGAAGAAATAAGCAAACTTACTAATGAATCCCAGCTACCAGTGGCCAAACTTCGTCCATCCTTACTTACGCCTACACAACTTACACGATTATCATGGCCTTGAAGAATTCCCACACGATTTCCCCGTAAAACATCCCATACCTAAGAAAAATATGAGAATTAGTGTAAAAGGAAATATTTTAAATCCAACATTGCAATTAAAATCATCATATCCTGCAAAAAGAAGTCTTCCTGAATTAGAAAATGATATCGATGTAATGCCACACATAATATTAGCTGCCTAAAATAATTCAATAGTCAAAATTTTTCCCTTAAACATGATTTATCTCACTGAATATTGATTCAATTCTCGATCTGCACGAACATCAAATAGTCTACATGATGCATCATCTGAACCCGTAGCAAATGCGTTTCCATTCGGAAAATATCTAACCCTTATTAACCTTTATATTTTACATGAATCATTGACCCACTGAACCGCATTAATATCCGATTCATGTCCTGCAAACGTTTGAACTGATTTTCCTATTCGAATATCCCATATTTTTGCAAATGCATCACATGCTCCCGAAACAAAAAGATTTGGGTTTGTTGGATGGATACTTAAACTCATAACATCCCCCAAATGATCCAAAAACTCCTGGATTTTTGAACCCGTATTAATATCCCACAAAATACATGACATATCACCACTTGATGTTAAAATTTGTTCATCACTCAAAAACCGACAACAACTCAAGTACCCCGTATGTGCCATAAGCTCACGGGCAATCTTTGCATGCCCATCTTTCGACGATATATCATATATCGTACATACATTGTCTAATCCACCACATGATACAAAATTCCCACTCGGTGCATAAGCACACGTCATTACCCACGACGAACGGAGAGGGATTGCATGAGTTTTTCTCGTTGTATATGCGTCCCAAACGATCAGTTTCCCGTCCTGAGACGCTGATACAAGGTGTTTCTGGTCTGTTGACCAATGCATTGCATAAATCTTGGCCAAATGCCCTTTCAGCGTATAACGGACACGAATAGAAAGACGCTCAATCACATCTAATGTCTGTGCCATGGATCTCACTAAACATACTTCAGTACAGACCCCTTATATACACCATTCATGCATTTGTATGCGTATTGTATGCGTATTGTATGCGTAGTATATGCGTAGTATATGCGTCATGTATGCGCATTGTATGCACTTCGAACATGCAACACGCTCATTCAAATCTTATTCTCCCTGTTATACTTACAATTTGTATCTGCCAATTCATCTTTTTTCTTCTTAATCTTCTCCTTTAGGTACTCTGCTTCCTTGCAGGCCGCTGAAATCTTATCCTGAAGGTCTTTTATTGTCATCTTTCTTTAATTATAGTACCGCATCGCCTTATTATATAGTTACGAATCCCCAATCTTATTGAGCGGAATTATTGTCTCTTATATATCGAAATTCAAAAAAAATAATATTTCCATATAAATGACAGGTTTCACTTTAGAAAAAGGGTATGTTATGTATTAAAGAGAATTTAGTATAGAAACAGGAATGATTTGAGCAGGTCTAAGCTTCCTTTTGGGGTTTTTACGTATATTCCTTGTATTATATATAAGAGGAATGTTTTATTATTGAAGATGATATATAATTAGATGATAAGAATACATGTTCTTTTAAGGGAGAAGGGACGCCAGCAAAGGTTACGACGGAGGAATGGAAAGATTTAAGGGTTGTTTTATTTTCGGTGGAATTTTTGTATCGTATAGAAGCATATGTTAATAGATAGATAGATACCGGGAGCATTTACGCCTACGGTAATAGTTATTATGATAAAAGTTTTTTTTTTAATAAATGGAAGTGTTCTTCGAGACATGTACCGGAGGTTATTGAATTTTATGATGAACTTAAGGCCAAGAATGTAGATTTGGTAGTTTTTTTAGCAGCCAATGATCCTTTTGTTATGGCGTAAGAAAATTTTGTATTTTTGATAAATTAATAGGTGGAAGTGCATGGGGTGATTCATTAAATGCGAGGGAAAAAATTGCAGGGTTACTTTGTGTATAAAAAAAATATTAAAATATTCTTAGGTTTTCTTAACTGATACTAACGCGGAATTTTCGCATTCAATTGGCTTTTCTATAGATTTATCTGCCCATGGATTTGGTACTAGAACAGGTCGTTATGCTATTGTTGTTGACAAAGGCATTGTAACTTATGCGGGACTCGAAAAAGAACCAAATGCACTTACTGTTAGTGGTGTAAAGGCTGTTCTAGCTAATCTTTGAATGATTTCTACATTCAAATTTATATTATATAAAAATATAATCTTATATTATAGATATTTATATAGATATTAGTTATATTTTTAAATTTATATCTTTTGTATTTATTTTTTTTTATTAATCAAACTTATTTATTTTAAAACGATCATTTTTAAAACAAAAAACTTACTTGTAATAAATAATTTTCTGCTACAAATCGTGCTCTTCCATTTATAAATAGTTTCATTTCATTAATTTCTGCATCTACTTCTTCCATAAACTGTTTTTTTTTCTTATTAACTTTTTTTTTATTTAAAAAAAATATTAACCTGAATAATAAAATCAACAATTTTATGTTTCAACATCGCCTCTGTATGCTTATTCGTTATCAAAAATGATATTCCATACCCCTTAAAAATAATTAATCATATCTTCTTATTTTATCATTTAACTATCTATTATATACTTTGATAGGCTTTCTTCGTAAAATAATAAATGCCTCTGCACGTCCCATTAAAAACCGAGTAAATTTATTAACCAAAATTCGTTCAATTTCATCAATATATTTAATACAAATACTTATACGAATACTTTTCCCTCATTAACCCCCTCCCATATATAATTATTCCTTTTATATATATACCTATTAATACTCGATTCAATTAAAACTTGTTCATTTTCATTGCGAGAAATTAATAAAGGATTTAAAAGCGTTTCAACTGACGTTCTATAAAATCCATTCTATCAATATTCTTGTTTTATTTTTCTTATTTATTTTTACCCCGCTTCTACCTCTGGTTTATTATGTCTTTCAACAACTTGTGATGCAAAATCCTGAATACAAAGTGCTGCTGTTAATGTTGAACGAACACATTGAAGATATGATCTTAAGCTATTTGCCTGTTTTATTAAGAATTTTCTTAAGTTTTTCTTAAAGTTTCTTAAAAACTGCTTACCATAGTCTATCTTTATTAAACGTGACGTTAAGATCGCTTAGAAAAAACGTTAGATTTTTAAAATATACAGATAAATTGTTAAGAACTGCTTAAAACTTGGTTAAATGGCTACAATTCCAAGTAATCAAGGGTTTAATATATGTTTCTTAAGTAATAATGACTTAGTTTATGTGAAATGGCAAGGTAAACGCTTTAATTTGGAGGTTGAAAAGATGGAGACTATTTTGGTCTTAAAGTCTCAATTATATAGCTTAACAGGTTGATATTTTATATTGATAAGATAGGGTTCTAAATTATAAATAGGTGTTCCATGTGAAAGACAGAAAGTAGGAGGTTAAATGTCAAGATATTAAGAGATTTAATTAGAAAATAGATTCTTGGTTTAGGTTAATAGAAAAGAAGTAATAAATGATGGGGATTTATAAGGTTAGGAAGGAGACGAGTTGAAGATGAAGCGATTTTTCAAGAATTTAATGTTAAACCGTACTCAACAATTATGTTAATTGGAACGACGGAGGGAGAAAAAGAAATATGTTATGAAGAGGCGGTAATTTCGGAGAATAAGAGTGAAGAAGAGATAAAGGAGAAAGTATATTTGTTAAAAATTAAGATTATTTAGTTATTTATGTTTTTTTTATAGCGTTCATTACCATCAGGACTTAAAAATTTAGGGAATACGTGTTATATGAATTCTACACTACAAATACTTAAATGTATGCCAGAGCTTGAAATGGAATTAGAAAAGTTATTTTATTTTTTTATTTAGTTGTTTTTGTAATATTAATACATAGAATTTCTCAAGATAAGACACGAAAGTTAGATAAGTCAGCAACGATAATAGAATCACTTTCAGATGTTTTTCGAAATATGAATATATACAGTGATTTTTCACCGCTTATATTTTTAGGAGTAAATTGAATTTAATTTAATTAGAAAAGTATTTTTTTAAGAATTTTTTAGTGTCTTAGGGTGGTATTTCCTCAATTTGCAGAAAGAGACAATGTCCATGGTAGATTTTGTCAACAAGATGCAGAAGAATGTTTATCTCAATTAATTCAGAATTTAAGGACACATATGCCTATGAATGGGGATTCGCCATCTTTTGTTAATAAATATATGCTAGGAACTCTAATTAATGAAATAAAATGTTCCGAATGTGAAGAAGAACCTCCTATTATTTCTAATGAAGACTTTATAAAGTTGAATTGTCATATCGGGATGAATACGAATTATATGATTGATGGTTTAAAAGAAGGATTAAAAGAAACAATTACTAAACGCTCTGAAATTTTAAATAAAGAAGCTACATTTATAAAAACTTCAAAAATTTCTAGGCTTCCAAAGTATTTAATTGTAATATTTTTTTCATTTTTTTTATGTTTCTCTTACATTTATATAGATTAATTTTGTAAGGTTTTTTTGGAAATTGACTATTCGCAAAAAAGTAAAAATTTTGCGAAAAGTAAAGTTTCCTTTTGAGTTAGATATATGTGAATTCTGTGAAGACGATTTAAAATCTAAATTGATTCCAGTAAGGGATATTTTGCGCTGCATTAATAAGATCTTGGAAGATAAAGAAGCTAGAAAAAAAGTAAAAACTTCTCAAGAAGATGATACCTATGAATATTCAGGAAAATCTTTAGATGAAATGATTAAGGAATTATGGAATTTGGTCGATGTTAAATCTATTGATGAAGGCACAAATGTATCCGGTTTATATAATTTAATAGGGATTTTAACGCACTCTGGAGGTACAATTCCTTCTTTTTTTATATTTTTATAATTTTTTTAGCATCTGCTGATTCTGGACATTATCAAGCATGGATAAAAATACCTAATTCATCAGAATGGTGTCAATTTAATGACGATAATGTCACAATTGTACCTCGATCTAAAATAGAAACATTAGATGGTGGAAGTGAAAATGATAGTGCTTATATTGCTTTATATTCTGCTATGGAATTACCTACTTCTATCTAGCTATATAATATATGTTTCAAAACGTATATACATTCATATATAATCAGAATCATTTTCATCTTCATTAATATATATATAAAGCATCGGTTTTAATAAATTATCATTGATATTTATCGACAAACTCATCTTTTAATAAATCTACCTCTTTCCTAAACGCCTTAACTATTTCATCGCAATTAAGAGGTCTTCGTTCTATATATAATATTTAATATTAAAAATAAAAATATTAAAAAAAAAACCATTTTCTTTTAAACAATTAATAACTTCTTCCTTTTTTTTTAATAACTTCTCATTCATATCTCTTATCTGAAACATTCCCTTTGTATTTTCTTCTAATTTTAACATTTCGTCCTTTAAACTAAAGCTATTCAGCTTTTCTTGAGCTTTTTCTCTCTTTGCATTCTTTCTTGTTAGTTCCTTCTCAATTTCTATTAAAATATCTCTTTCTCTTGAACGTAGCCGCTCTATTTCTACTGCTACTCTTTCTTGAATATGTTCTTCTAGAGAGGCTGCTCTAATGGCATCTGACTCTACCTTTGAGTCTAGATGGTTTACTAAAGCACTAGAAAACTACAAATAAATACATGATAATTAATAAAAACCTATAAAAACCTGCAGAGGAAATCTAGATTCATTTTGAAATACAACATCTGATGATTTACTCTGTGTTTTACCCATGTTTAGAGGGTTGCCGCTAATCGGGCTATGGAAATAAGCTCAAAAAAGGATATTTAAGAAATACTAGTATTTTAATAAGGATTAGATGTTGTTATTCTTAATATCAAAGGGTTTTTCTTTAATTTTCATATTAAAAAAAAACATTAAAAATCTTAAAATATAAAGAAAATTAAACATTGTTATTAGTTTATAAGTAAGGTTAAACAGGTAAGTCTTTATCTTGTATAATTTCTTATTTTTTATTTAATGGAATACAGTTAAAGACATGTTAGTAGATATTTTAATAAAAGATATAAATATTAAATATATTAGAAATATTTATTTTAGTTAATAAATAGGAATTTATCTAGTTTTCTTGGAGGTAAAGCCGGTTTTTTTATGTTAAAAAGGCTTTGTTCAATCTTGTGAAAAGAAGATGCGTAATTTATATCTTTTAAAGGGAGAAAAAACAGTTTTATGCAATGAAAAAGAGGAAAAAAGATGTATTAATGAGCTATCATTTAATTCAAGTTGTTATTCAAGTGTTATTGTGTGTAGTTTGGGAGAAATAGATGAGTCGATTTTGATTGGAGAGATGAAAGTAAAAAGTGCTTTATTAATGTTAAATATGTTTAATAACGGCTGAAGAATGATCTAAAAGTCTTAACAATAGTTGATAAAAAAACGCTATGGGATTTATCTAGTTTTTTGAAGTTGGAAATAATTGATTTTCAATTTTTATCAGAAATACAAACAAGTTGTATAATTATGAGGAATGGAGATATTGTTTTAATACGAAATAATGCTTCATTGGAAGAAGAAAAGGCGGAAATTGTAGGATCAGTAGAAGGAGGGATTGTTGCGGCTAAATGGGCGCCTGACGAAACAATTCTTTCTATTTGTACAGGTATTTCATTGATTTTGTGTTAAAAAGGTGTTATTTATTCAGCTAGGAACATCCAGATTCTTATTACTATCTCAAAGTTTTGAAACAATTTCTGAGATAACACTTCAGGAATCTGATATTAATATAAGCAACCATGTTTCTATTGGATGGGGAAAACCAGAGACGCAATTTCAAGGGAAAAAGTCCAAGAATATATCTCGTGATCCAACAATTCCTGATAAAGTAGACGAAGGGATTTTAAGTCCTCTTGATGATCAAATTACTAGAATAAGTTGGAGACAAGATGGTGCTTTTGTAGTATTATCTAAAATAGAATCTGAAAACAAAAGAATAAACCGTGTATTTTCTAGAAATGGAACATTGGATAGTGTTAGTCAACTAGTTGATTATTTGGAAAGTCCTTTAGCATGGAAACCTTCTGGAAGTGTTATTGCGTCTATTCAAAGAAAACCTAAAGAATTGGATGTGATATTTTTTGAAAGAAATGGACTTCGACATGGAGAATTTAGTTTATTAACATCATTATTAAGTGATGAACGAATTATAGACATTCAATGGAATTGTGATTCTACACTGCTTTCTATCTTATTATCAAACAAAGTTCAATTTTGGTGTATGAGTAATTATTATTGGCATTTGAAATATGAAATTAAATCTAATAATAACAAAAATATATCTATTAAATGGCATCCAAAAGTTCCTTTAATTTTTACACTAATTAATGATGGTATATATCTGGTATATTTTTCATTTGACTTATTTTTCAAGGTAATTTAATATTATATAATTTTTCTTGGGTAATAATATCATCTCCTCTAAGTCTTCCATATGATTATGGAACAATTGCTGTAGTAGATGGAAGTAAGTTTAAACATAAATTTAATAAATTTAATTTGATTTTAGATAATTTAAAATTAACACCATTTAAAATAGCAAATGTTCCTCCACCATTATCATTTAAAGATATTAAACTTTCTGGAACACCTACTTCTATATCAATAAGCATGGATTCGAATTATATTTTGTCTTTAATTGATAATAAAGTCGAAATTATTCATTGGCCTTTAAATACAGATCTTACTTCTTCACCAAAACTTATTAATAAATTAGAGTATGAATAATTTTATTTTTCATGAATTAAATATATCTAAAAAAACATAGTTTAACTGAATTACTTGGTGATTATTATCCACGGCAAATATTATACTTAGAAGACAATATATTCACCATATTACTAGATACTTATAATACATCTAAAATTTTATTTTTTTCATATGATCTTCATAAAGATTTTAAATTGCTTAATAGTATTACTTTCGAATCAAAGATTGCTCTAACTGATGCTGCATCTGATGGAAAATCTGTTATAGCAGAATCTATTAAAGGTGAAGTTTTCAATTTATTTTTAAAAAAAGATGGTGAAATTGACAATATATTATTATTTTCATTGCCTTTATTTTGCTATTGCATGAAGAATATAGAATACACAAAAGAGGTATATAATTGTATATATTTTTTATTTATATCTTATATCCTATAGAAAATTGTCTTTTTTTTGAGTGATACTGGTAAACTTTTTGCAAATGATCACTTAATTTCCAATAATTGTACGTCATTTATTTGTTGTAAGGAGTATTTAATTTTTACAACAACTTTACACTTGGTAAAATTTGTCAAATTAACATCTAAAGTTGAAGGTTTTTTAAAAACTTGAATTTTATCTCAAAGAATAATTTTTAAAGATTTTATTATACCTTCTGATGAGGCTACAAATAAAAATATTCGTTCTATAGAAAAAGGTGCAATAATAATTTCAGTTATACCATCTATTACAGCTTTAATTTTTCAAATGCCTAGAGGTAATATTGAAACTATATATCCTCGAGCTTTGGTCCTATCTAGTGTATATAAATTAATTGAATTGTGAGTTGTGTATATGTTGATTAATATTTTATTCAACTATATTTTAGAAAAAAATATGATAAAGCATTTTCATTATGCAGAACACATCGCATAGATACTAATGTTCTTTATGACTACAATCCTTCACAATTTTTAGATAATATATTTCTTTTCATAACTCAGCTCAATAGCAGTGAATATTTAAATCTATTTTTATCGACTTTAAAGTATTATTATGGCTGTTGTTTTTCAATTACCTAAGTAATTTAGGGAAGAAGATCTTATGAAGACTTTATATAACATGGAATCAGCGAGAGATGATACATATAATGAAACAAAAGTATTAGATACAAAATCTTCTAAGGTCAATATGATATGTGATTGCATTTTAAAAGTTTTGAAAACATATTCAGATGATAAATATTTAGAATCTATTTTAACAGCACATTTAAGTAAGATTCCAGTAGATTATGATTCTGCATTAAAATTGATTATTGATCTTAAAAGTATTATTAAATATTGATAACTAATACCTAATTGGAAATAGATATTGATTTAAATAATGCTAAAAAAGGAATTAAATATATTTGTGTTTTGGCTGATGTTAATAAACTATACGATCATGCATTAGGATTATATGATCTGTCTTTAACTCTTCTTGTAGCGCAAAATTCACAAAAAGTTATATCTATATTTTTTATAATTCTTTTAACAAAATTAGGATCCTAAAGAATATCTTCCATTTCTTGAAGATTTACAAAAGCAATCAATTAGTCGTAGATGTTTTAATATTGATAATTATTTAGAAAGATATGAAAAAGCATTGATGCATTTGATTGATATAGGTGATGAAGTTTTTGACGAATTGTGTAATTATGTTGTTCTTCATAATCTTTATAAAGAAACATTGAGGAAGGTTCAAAATAATTCTTCAAATTATAATGTAAGTTTTAATATTTAATTATTTCATAATTATTAAATTAATATTAGAAAATCTTAGAACTTTATGCACTATATCTTGAAAAAAATAATCATTTTGAAGACTCTGCAATAGGTATTAATAATTTATAAACTTAAAAAAGTCAATTAAACATATTAGCTTATGAAATATTAAATAACTATGAACGTTCTATTATTATGTATAAAAATGCAGGATTATGGAGAAAAGCATTAACTCTTGCAATGAAATCTAAAGTTTCTGAAGATGATCTAAATAAATTAGCTGAATCATTATATTTTATAATGCAAGATAAAAGAAAATTCTCTGACGCAGCTGATATTCAAATTTATTATTTAAAAAACTTAAAAGAAGGGCTACGCTTATTATGTAAAGACTATAATTACAATAAAGCATATGAATTAGTAAGAAAATATTTTTTTATTCTAAACTAAATTATGAATAGGCTCAATATTATAATTCTAATGAATTAATACAAGAAGTTATTGTTCCTAGCCTTATGGATGGATTCTCTGAACTTAATGAATTATTTTCTGAGCTTTCTTGTCAACTAAAAACGCAAGTAGAACGTATTAGAATTCTTAAGAAAAAAAGGGAACAGGATCCATGTAAGTTATAGATTATAACATATATTTAATTAAAAAAAAATAGATGCATATTTTGAAGCAAATATCAATGATATTCCTGATGATATATCTCTTGCTGATACTAATACATCAGTAACAGCATCTATTTTTACTCGATATACTTCATATACTACCAATACAAATTCATTTTATAAAAAAAATCAAAAGAATTCTAGAAAAGAAGAGAGAAGAAAAGTACGTAAACATAAAGGAAGCATATGGGAAGAAGAATATTTATTAAATAGTATAATTCGTTTGGTTGATAGACTTGAAGATGCTAGAAATGACTCTGAGAAGATAATAAAAGGTCTTTTATTAGAAAGAATGAATGAGAAAGCTAATATACTTCAAAAACAAATGATATGCCTAATAGAAGATGTCCAAGAATCTATTAAAGAGATATTTGCTCAAAATTCTGAAGATTTAACAGAAAATATACAGAATAACTTTAAAACAATCCCTGTAGTACGATCTGTAAATGAATTAAAAATTTTAATTTAAATTATAAATATATATATTATAGAAATTATGCCCTCGAAAATCAATAAAATTTTATACTTTTTCCTTACTATTGCAATTATAAATTGGATATCCATTAGAATTTATTAAGCTTTCAGAAGTTTGTACAGTTCCATCGCCGATTTCTGTTATAATTACTTTATTGACTTTTCCATGAATTGGTAAAAAATAATCATCAGAAATATTAAGTTTAATATTATTATATTTATATGACCAACCGTCGACATTAGACAAACAATCATGTAATGTTCCTAATAATAAATCTTCATTTTCCTTAAGAAAATATATAACAGCATTAGGACCCGCATCAAATGTATATGCTGCAATGGTTTTTTTCGAAAGACGATTAATTTCATGTATCAATTGAATAAGAGATGTTGATGTATCATTTAAATAAAAAACAGGAGGAAATGTATCAAGACATGTTGCATGAAATTGATTTGAATCCTTCATTGTTAATTCTGCAAATGATTCAAAATCTTTCTGTTTAATTGCATTCTCCATCTTTTTTATATAAAAATCCACATGTTTAATTCGATGTTGAAACAAGTTAGACGTTAATACTGTTGCTTGCATACCTTTTGTAGATGATACTTTTTTCGACGAAGATGATACTATAATAATAAGAACACGTAAATCTTCCCACTGCGTTTTAGATGCTATTTGTTCTGCAAATGAATCCGATCCATCCTTTAAAACTCCCATCTTCCATAATACAAATCCACCCATTAAAGAACGACATGCTGACCCTGATCCTTGACGTGCAATACATGACAATTCTTCCGATGACTCATCAAGATCATATAACTCCGCAATCCCTTTAATAAGTGCCGCATATCCCGATGCTGATGATGCTAATCCCGCCGCCGTAGGAAAATTATTCTCCGAAACAATATGAAGATATTGTTCACTTAGTCTTTCTAATCCGGGTTCTCTGCTTTCTTTTGATCTTCTCAACGATCGAAGCAATAAAAGACATGTTTTCATCCTCTCATTTAACTCATTTTCTTCTCTTCCATTCAGCCAAAATCTGTCCTTTTTGAACCCTCTGCTGCATGCAACACTAGTTAACGTATATAACTTAGATATTGACAGAGTAACTGATAATGATCCGTTCAATGGCAGGTTTAATTCTTTATCTCTTTTTCCCCAGTACTTAATAACCTATTTTTCATCATTTTTAACCCGGAAAAAAACGTATATACTCACTGCAATATTTACTGGTGCTTTAACTGATCTTTTTTGCATGATTTCTCTGAGTTTTTACCTCTTTTTTCCTGTTTTTTATTTTCACCGTTTTTTTGACGTTGTCGTCTCCCCGTCCAAGTCCAACCTCATATAATAAGTAAATAATGGCTGAGCCTGCTCAGGAGCCGATCCAGCCCTCTGATAAAGATAATAACCATATAGAACCCCATGTTTGCCCTATAAATAAGAATCTGGGGATTTTGAACCCAGAAAAACCGGTTTTTTTTGAGCAAGATCTGAAAAATTTATCAAATAAGAGAGAAATCTCTTCTATTCCTAAAGCAGATGGTAAAAACGGAGAATTCTGGGTTTATCCATCAGAACGTATGTTCTTCCAAGCGATGCGGCGAAAAAACTGGGATCCTAAGGCGGATGATATGCAAATTGTAGTTCCTATTCATAATGCAGTGAATGAGAGGGTATGGAGGGAGATTATAAGTTGGGAGAAAGGATGGGGGAGTGAAAAGTCAATAATTTTATTTATAAGAGAATAATTTTATAATATTTATTTTTTTGTAGATGTGGAGGACCTAAATTGATAAAATTCGAAGGAAAGTCGTCTAAAATGAGTCCTAAAGCAAGAATGTTAAAATTGCTGGGGTAAAATTGCATAGATTTTGTATTTAAATGAAAATTTATGTATAGATATAAACCACCATTTGATCGTCATGACTGGAAAATTGATCGATGTGGTAAAGAGGTGACATATATTATAGATTTTTATTCTGGAAAAAAAGAAGGAGAATTGTTATCATTTTATCTTGATGTACGACCAAAATTAGATATGAATGGTGGTTATATGAGAATAATTCGAGGATTTCGAGAATTTTTCCAGAAAAAGAATGATTTATGAATAATAGAGCTGAATTAGTTAGCAGAATAGATTGATTGTTAGTCATTTATTAAGTTAAAATCAGCTAGTGTTTGACATTTTATTGCAGTGGAAGGTTGAAGATGCATTCCAGAAAGATAAGGACCGAATTTGGAAATGATATTTAACATACCGAATTCGAGTGTTTTTAAAAGAGCAGTAGGTTCTTCAAAAGTAAGATCTAGATTATTTTGACGATAAAATATATCAGAAAAATGACATTGTGGAAATTTAATGAAATGCTTCACATCTTCAAGAGTTACATGTAAACATTCCAAAATCAATGCAACTTCCCGTTGAACCATGCCAAACAAATCTTGATCAATAGAACGTACGACTAATTGAGATAAATCTAGAATAAATATTTAATTTTTTTTTAAAATGTAAAATAATATGATTTACCAAATATAGCTAGAATTTGCAAACGAGTATTTGGAAATAAAATTTGATGTTTTCTTTGCAAAGTTTGTCTAAATGGAGCGCCCAGCCAAGATTTATAAAATATTTTTAAATAAAATATTATAATATTTTTTAGTTGAAGTTTATAAATATTTTTATCTTTTTTTTTTGAAGCCTTATTGGAATGTGACAAAAACTCATTAACATGATTTTGATGTTTTGAATAGTCTATATTAGTTCGCTTGCGAACTTGTTTTTCCAAAAAAATATTTTGATCTTTAATTCTTAGTAAAGGTACAGAATTTTGATTCTTTAATTCAGTGTCATCGTTTATTTGATTGTAGAATTGATGTGAAAAGTCTGAATTTGCATTTGAAAATAAAGCTTAATAAGATTAAAAATAAATAAAATAATATCTTAATATTTACTTTTATTTTCTGGTAATTGATATACTCTTCGAAGAGTTACAGGGATGTCACTGATAATTCTAAGACATATTTCTACAATTTGTTGCCACATAGGAGGGTTTCGGTCAATATCATTGAAAATTTGCTCACAGCGATGAAAATCATGATGTAATATATAATAAAGTTCTTCAAATGCCATAATCTAAAATATTTAATAATTTATATGAATAGTCTTTTTCAAACCCTAGTCAATGGCTTAAATTCGGCTACTAATCCTGTCAAAAGAGTTCCATTAGGATCAGGTGATCGTTCACTTGCTAATTTTCCATAAGACATAGGACCCTATAAAACATTAAAGTAAATTAAATATAGAGATATGAAATTTTACATGAGATAAATATATTCTAAATAAAGAATGAACCGAATTCCAAAGTAAAAGCATGATAAAAGAATTAAACGTAGAAAAAAAAAGAAGCTTTACAGAAAATGGCCAATAAGGAATAGAAGATTTTGGAATTCTTTAGTTCAATTAACAATCAGTTAATAAAAAATAAATAACTTACTTATATAACAATAAGCGAAAAAATTGCAACGTAAAAGACCATATCCATCTTCTTAAAAAAAGATATACCAATGGACTAAAAAATGAAAATGTAAGGGAAACCAATGCAGAATATATTATAATTTTCACTATTTCAGATTTTACACGTACTGGGAGAATTTGCTAAAAATATTTTATTATATATATTGAAAATAATATGAAATTTCACTTACTACAAAAATAGGAAGCTCCATCTTATCCCAATCATTCAAATTATGGATAATAGAAACCACTAATGCCAATGATAATCCATGAAAAATAAAATATACTGTTTTTTCATTTAATTGAGGTGAATAGACTCTATATATGTTTAATTGCCTTCTCCCATAAATAAATAACAATTAATTACTCATAAAATACAACAATTTTATTAAATGATGCCGTGTTTTTCGTGTTCATATTTATCATAGTTATAAAAAAAGATGAAATAAGATAAATAAATGTTAATCTTAAAGCTTTAAGCGAAAATAATCTGAGATAGAATTCTGATATAAAAGATGGCTTTGTATGGTAATCAACTTCAATATATCAACATATATATATGTATATTTAACATTATTTCACCATGAAGATTAGCTTTTTTTGAAATAAAGAGTGGAAATACTGAAAACAAAAGAATTAACGCTCGAAACCCAATATATAACCATGAAAGAGGTCTAAAAATGCCTAAAACTCTTAAAAAAACTCCTAATCCTCAATAAAACTTACTAAACGTGCTGTCAATTATAATTGAAATAACATAAGATATTAAATATGTTAAAAAAACTGCCTGAACAAATCGTCTTTGAAGAATACTTGAAGCAATAGCATGATAATCAACTGGTTCTGATCGTATAGAGACCTTAGCAAAAGTATCCTTTATTGAAACCATTAAAAAAACTATGGTTAAAATATCGAGGTTTAAAATATATAAAAAAATTATAAAATTATATTGTTAATATATAGTTTAAGTGTGTTTATAGTATATTCAATATAATCATGTGTATTTTCGTTTTCTATATGTCCTTTATTTAAAAGTAGTTCAAAATCAGGTGTATAATGATCGAAAAAAAGGTGTTCAGGAATATCGTTTTGTATTTTTACACCCAAGATGATGCTTGTAAGTAATGCGTAGCATCTAGAGACAATTGTGTTTTTATATCCGCCTATATTTTATTTTTTTTAGAAAAAATAAAATATAAGAGTTACCTCCACCGAGTATTAAAAGTTTCTTTTCCCATTTTAATATATTTTGTAAGCAAAATACATAAGCTTGAGATGTTAAATTCCATTCTTTGTATGTATCTTCAAAGAGTCCTAATTATTTTAAAAAAAAATGTAAAAACCCAAGACAAATTACCATCGCATCCACATTGAATAACAATAGCATCAGGATTAAATTTTATAAAAGCAGGTTGAATAATATGTTCAAATAAAAGTGAAAAATTTTCATCTGTTAATCCTTTTTTTAAAGGAACATTTAAAGCATAATATTTTCCTTTTCCTTTTCCAATTAGATCTAATGATCCTGTACCTTAAAAACTTAGAAATAAAAGCATTAGAATCCTTTTTATTTACCAGGAAAAAAGCCTGGATCATAGCGATGCAATGATAATGTAAGAACATTTTTTGAATGCAGAAATGCTGATTCAACACCTAATATATTTATAAAATAATTAAATAAATCAAAAAAAGAACCATCTCCTGCATGTAAATCCAAATCCAGGTACATTATTCGTTTATAATATTTCCGTAGTTCCATTATAGAAAGGACAACATCATTTACATAACAAAATCCTGATCTAATATATATTAATAAATAAATAAGCTATATATATATATATATTACGCTTTACTTCTTTTTGCATGATGTCTTCCTCCATCCCAATGAATAGCAATATCAAAAACATCATTTCCTAATAATCTTGCTGATTTTTGAGATGTTCCTGCTAAAAATTCAACATATTCTGGCAATTCTGGGAAAATAGGACAATCCTATTAACTAGATCAATAATAAATAAAATATACATACAAATAAACATAATCAAGACCGAAAAGAGAAATTTCTTCTTCTAAATTACATTCAAGATCTTCATAATCCTCTTCTGATGTATCTTCTTTCTTTTTATAATCTTTTAAAAGATAAGATAGATATCTATCATCATGAATTCCACATAATGAAACAAAGTTTGCTTTTTCTGGAGTAATAATTCTTGTTCCATAAATATTAAATAACCCTTATAAATAAGCCTCACATGAATTTATCAAATAAACCATATGCCTTTATAAGACTATGAATGAAAGATGACCGATTTAGATTAGATGGTAGCTTATTACACTTTCTTCTTAATCAAAATTAAAAATAGATAAATTCCTACAAGTTGTTCATAATATTCACTATAAGCATATCCTATTCTTTTCATAATTGAAAAACCTTTTCTCTGTATTTTTATAAATTTAACAACTTTATGTAATGATTAAATTATAAATAAAATATATGAAAGAATTCTTACTATTAGAAAGAATATATAGTTTTCCTGTTGTTTTTGCTGATATAAACTTAAAGTTTATATTTAAAAACCTGAATTATAAATTTCAAATTTTAAAAAGTTTGAAAATGTAAAATATTAATAATATAACCTTTATAATTTATATGTTTTTGATATTAAAATCCTTTAAAAAATAGTATATTTATTTTAAATATTTTTATAAAGTATATGTTTTTAGAGTCGACCTTAAAAAACCAACAAGTTTAATAAATCCTTAAAATCTTAAAGATTATGTCATTCTCCCAGTCAAAGAAAGAGTCAGCAAGAGAAACAATTGATAGTAAAAATCCTGTTTTTTTTCTATATTTAATTAAAAATTAGTTTTGTATGAAATTTCAGTTATACTTAATACAGGTTTAGATAAAAATTGTCTTTCTTTATGTGTAAGTCTTTGTGAAAATGGAGTTAATCCAGAAGCATTAGCTGTAAGAATCATCTAATAATAATTATTTGTATTTAAATGTTGAAGAATGTTATAAAAGAACTCAGAAAACATAAACTGGAGTAATGTTAATGTATATATCAGAAATAAATATTAAAAGATAAAGTAATAAATTAGTTTTGTTTTTGTTATGTTGAAGTATTTGAATATTAAAAGCCTGCTTTGCGTTGTTTAGTTTTAATCTTTTTAAATGGTTGAGATAAGGATTTTTGATCAGTTAAATCAGTTTTTTCAGATGTTTCAATGGTTAATAATGAAGGTGTTGACATAAGCCTAGGAGGTGCAGAAGACATTGGTTCATATGAAAATTCCGTATTAATTGAAGTTTTGTTAAATGGTTGCCATTGGTATAGATCAGGATTTATACCTATTTTCCATTCATTAAGAAGCAAAAGGATGTCTTCAGAGATTATATCATTTTGAATTATCTCAAGGTTATCGTCAGATAAGCAATTATTTAAAGATTCTTTTTTCAATTTCATGAATGATTTTGGAGGTTTTAATCCTATAGATGATAAGCCTAATTCTATTGAAATATCTTTAAAAAGTTCATAAGTATTTTCCCTGTGATATTTGGAGGAATTGTTCTGATCTTGGGTATCTAACCAGTGTTTTATTAATGTATCATAGATATTTTTGAAATTCCAATTATCTGATTCAAGATTAAAGTCAATAATTTTTAGTAATTTTTGAGATTTTGGAATAAGGGAATATATTTCCCATCCATTTTCAATATAATCTTGGAAAATTTTTCTTAAATCTGAGAAAATTTCATCAAAATTAGTTTCTTTGGATGGTGCATAAATATCTCTTCTAAATATATTTAATTGAGTAAATATTTTAAAAATGTTGCTTACAGTATAAGTATTTCATAATTCTCCGATGCTTCACCTTCCTTATTTTGGCTTTCTAAAAGGAACTTTCTAAAAACGAAGTTGTTTGTCTGTGTTATTTGATTATATAAATTAGAAAAATCTACAAGCCTAAAGTCCCTTTCAAGAATTGGATCTTCTATTCTTTTATTTTCTTCTGTACTTTCATTTTCTGAAGAATTGTCTACATATTTATGGCTTTTCTTAACAGAATGTAAAGATTTATGATTGCAAAAAGTATAATTGATATCATCATCTGCATAATAATATATTTGCGACGTTATTCCTTTTTTTGACACTAATGAATAAAGTTTTAAGAAAGATTGGTCATCCAAATCATTTTTTCTAAACTTATTGTCATGTTTGTTCAAAGGATAAATAATAGACGTCATAGATGTGCTTTGGGAATTGGGTAATTCATAAGGAAGAGTTGATGAAGATGCGAGACTTCCTCTTAACTCAAATTGATAGCAAGATTTAATTGGATTGATGTTAGAATATAAAATTAAATTAAAATCTATTTTTAAGTTAAAAGATTGATTTAAAACAATAAGGGATTTACTCCCTATAGAATCTTCTATAATCAATTTTAATGATGGATCATAGCTACGGTAATGCTTCCATGATAAGAGAGGTTTCCCAGGTTGACGTTCATCTAACCAATATATTTCAGATGTAGAAAGAACAAAAAAGTCATTAGAATTTTGTGAACTTTTGCAGAAATCAAGAATATTATGAGAGTCTTGTAAAGAATATAATGAATTTTCATTTGAAGGTGTCTAAAATATTGAGAAATATCTTTAAAAAAATAACTTACTCTGAGATCAAACAATTTAACCTCATAACGTCCTGTTACAATTATAGATCTTGGAGAAGATGCCCAGTCTATTTTCCACCAGCCATCTGTTTCTTTAATATTTGTCAAAATATTTGAAGATGATTGCTCAATTGTTCTATATCGTCCTTCAATATCCCAATGGCTCCATTGGCCTTTTCTATTAATTACCACTAGCTCTCTTTTATTAAAAAAGTCGAAAATAACATCTGAATGCTCGCAATTCCCAGTATCATTATTTTCTATTATTACCAAAGGAATTGAATTGATATCTGTATTTTTAATAGATGTTTGTTCTGAATGATTATGAATTAATTCAAATAAAGTGCTTGATGTATGGTTTCTAATCAATATGTGTTCTTAAACATTAATTTAAAGATATACCAATAGGAAATCTTCTTACTACTATTATTTGTAGAATTGCCTGAAATTTGCCTAATAGGTGTCTGTGATATAAACACTGACTCAATTATTTCTGATATTTTTGGAACTTTTAAGCTTTTTTCAACATTATCTTCACAATAAATTGTTGTATTGTAATTTTTTATAGTTGCCAGTGCTATAATATATTAATAAATTCCAATAATATGGAATATAAATAAACAAAGATTCATAGAATTGATTCCTGACACAAATCCAAACATTTTAGATGATATATTTCTACTTTCTGGGTCCCAAATTTGACATTCTGTAAGACATTTTCCACGAAGTGGATCATGAAGGATATATGTTGATGTAATAATATTGGATTCTCTAATCCATGGTTTTAAAATATCCTGAGGAACCCATATATCTGGATAATTTGTTCTTAGATACTTTTCCTTCATATTTTAGTTTTAAATTATGTTTTAATATAGAATTATCCACTTGCATAGTTCTAGATGGTTGCATTAAAGATTCTTCTGAAAAAAACATAGATCCATCATATTCTATGATATTTTCACCAAGTGCTTTCAAACGATGACCTTTTCCCTTGTTAAATATCAAAGTATTGTGCTTTTTAAGATCAAAAAACCCATTTTATTTTTAACAAAGCTCCATTTTGATTCTTTATTCTTAGATGAATATAGAGCTGCACCAATGCTTCCATATGAAAGAGAAACATGTGTTTCTGATGCACTTAATGGCCAATTAGACATATAATATTGTTATAAAAAAGTTAAATATTTTTAAGTTGTTTTAATATGAAATAAGCCTTTTTAATGAAGTTTTATAAGAATCAGAATGTTATTAACAATATCTGAAAGAATATAAAATTAAAAAATAATATATTTAATAAAGACTAAAAGATATATAAATTTTGATAAAATAAATATATTAAAAATGAATAAAGTTATATGACATAAACATCTTAAAATAACACTAAATGCATAAGAAATGAAGAATATTATGATATAAAACGTAAACCATAATTGAATGAAGGGTATAAATTTAAGATTTATTAAAAGAGAATACGCCTGTCCTAAGTCCTAAAAGAGTACGAACATCCAAGACATATCTTAAACCATATAGAAAAGGGATCAAATGCAGTAAATTTTTATCAGAAGGATCACTTATCCAGCCTTCGATAGGAATAGCGTTATCTAATTAAAGTTAGAAATAAAAAAAAAGAAGAAGAATAAACCTTCATGCATAGAATAACTTACAGGAGAATTATCGATAATGATTACTTTGGAAAGGTCAGGTTGTACAATTGATAAGTCCTTGATATATGAGCCGTTACGAAATGTGCAATGCTGACGATAAAATCGAGCTTTAAAGAATTTGCAGTCCTTTTCCAGCCAATCAATAACCGGATCTGCATATTCTTGTACAGATGCTGTAAAAATAACGACATTATACCATTTACTAACCTATAATAATAATAAGTAAGATATAATAAAAAGGGTAAATTTACCTTTTTTAGAAAATTATCACAATGTGGACGTTTATGCACATAATATAAAATAGCATATTTCCCCAACATTACTTCTACCATATGTCCTGAAGAAATTCTTCCACCTTTCACTAAAGAATGGATCAATGTTTCGTCAAGATCTAGAATAAGAGTTTTTGGTATTAATGTTTTTGGAAATAAAGGACGTGGTATAGATGCATTTAAAAGTTCCGATAAATGAGGCATATCTATAATCATTGATGATGATGGGGATCTGAGATTATCTTTCCCAATAACACCTTTGTTATAAAGCATAAAACGAATTGAGCTAAAAGATAAATCCCGATTATGTAAAATTATTGAATCATCTGCTTCAGATGCAGATAATTGTGTCGATAATTGTGTATTAGATATTTCACGTGGTGATTTAAACTCTGAAGATTCTGGTAAACGTTAGATTTTTTAAAAATATCCAATAACATAATAATATAACAATAAAAACTTACCTTTATATGGAAACCTTGATATATAAGATGGTTTAATCAGTTTTTTCCCATTTGAAATCCAAAAATATGGCAATAAAAAAAAATAAACCATAATATTTAACCAAGATCGTGACGATGAATCATCTTCCTTTTTAATAGATTCCTTGCTCATGAAATATATATATATATATACCCCCTTTAGCTTAGTCCACAGATAAAAAATAACTGAGCCCATATAAACAATAAAACATGTCAAAATTTCCCAAAAATACACCTTTTTCTCCGGCGATTTCGATTCTTTTTTTAACCCTTTATCAAACACCCCGTTTTCTTTAGTTCCACGACCTGTATATAGGGAAATACTCTCAAAATCTGATACTACCGGCTTCAGATCAATCGCTGTTCCAAAACGAAATTTATTAAGAAAAATAAGGAAAATACGAAATGATTTCATCCGCTTATCATAATAACAAATTATGATATATTTATATCCTCTGTTCTTAGTAAAATAAATTAAATTTAGTCTTTTTCATGTTTTATTTCTTTTGATTTATTATATCTTTATATAAATATGATCTCTAAATTTTATTAACTTATTAAAATACTATATTTTACTGGATATCTTACCTTAAAGACCCTTATTAATCATATCCAAAATTTAAAGACAACTTTTTGATGATAATTTAAATATTTTTAAAGGTCTTAACGAGATAAGTTTTTATGAGAAAAAGGTATTTACGCATATTTATAAAAGTTAGGGTTGAGATCTATCAGACTGTATACCCATAATGTTTAAATAATATGAAGAGATCATTTCTAGAGATGCATTAGTTTAGTATTGTTTTAATAAAGAAAATATTTTTTGTAAATAGTATGAATGTGTATTTTTGTAAAATTTAGTTGAATAGTTTTGAAGAGATAGATTATAAGTAAATAAGAAGTATTTATGTGTGAGTATATGAAATATTGAATAATTTTGAGAGATATTTTTCAGCTTGTAAAAAAATATTTTCAACAGTAGTATGAATAAGATTTTCCTTATGTAGATTTTTTTTTAAGACGAGTATTATGTGCATTTGATTAAGATTTAAATAGCAAACCCAGAAATTTTTAGATGTTTTTAGAATATAATCTTTTATTTTATCACCATTTTTTGAGTTTTTTATTTTATCAAAGATTGATAATGCGTAAAAATGTATATGTAATATATCATCAGTCGAAAGACATTTTTCTAGTTGTAAATCATCTGTTTCGTTATTTTTTTTTGAATATGGTATATTAGTATACAATTCTTGTGTATTAGGATCAAATATTATATGCCAGAAAAAAGAATTAAAATTCTGAAAAGACTCTGTAAAATATGTTTCAATATCTACTGTAATTTTTTCTAAACAGCATTGAAGATTTGTGTAGAATATCTTATTTTTAAAAAATATTTTTTCTGAATTCTCTGTATTAATATTTTGACTTTTAAGAAGAATCAGGTAAACGAAAGGATATGAATAATATACAGAAACATGTATATATCGAGGATTAGATTCACAATTTAGATCCAATTCTTTAAGATCGATGTCATTAGCTGATTTAGGACTATTTGATACTGAATTTATATCCTGATCTATTTGAATATCACCAATATAAAGTTTTTTCTCAGAAAGTATAGAATCAGAATTATGGTTTTCTAGAAAACCATAAATAAAATCTCCTAAACTTTTATCATATTTAAAAAATATATTATTATCTTCAGAACAATAATTATATAAACATGGTTGTTTTTTTGAAGCAGAATGTAGATTATTTCGAAGGAAAACAGATGAAATATAACTACTTATGTTAGCTGATATTGATGGAATAGTAAAAAGTTTAAAGACCTCCATAAAGATATTGATGAATTAGAAGTATTGTTCAAAAAATCAACACGGGAATCTGATGCTGATAAAGTGGTTTTCTCCTAGTTTCTTTAATACCAAGAATTAATAAACAATTATACAAACTTTTTCGTCTTGATCGCTTTCATAATTATCTTGATTATTCTTTTTTTCTATATCAACTTTATTAATAAGTTCTTTAATTTGATGTTGAACCCATTTATGCAAGATTTTTATAGTATTCTTTGGTATAGTGTTATCACCTGAGTAGAGACATCCTTCATTATGTTTATGATAATCAAAAATAGGTGAAACTGATGTTATAATTAAATCAATAATACGTTCATTGTTTGCTTTTAAATCATTTATATTTTTATTTATTTTTTCCTTTAATTTTAAGTCTGGTGTAATAAAACCCATATTAATTGCTATATTATTTTATCAATAAAATTATTCTAGATTAATATAAAATTACCATTATATAAAATTGATGGATCATTAACTGTAACATCCAAATTTCCAATCCATTTTTGCCACCATTCATTCAATTGACTTTCTAAAACCTTACGACCATCTTTTTGTAATGTACAATCTAATAATCCATATACTAGTCGATATTGCTCATATGCTTGGTATAAATAATTAAATAATACTGTGAAAGGAGGAAAGAATATATGGTTTTTCCTTAAAAATTTAGAAAAAAATGACTTGAACTGTTAAAAAATCTTAAATACAGCAGTTAACCTACTGCCGCAATATACCATCTATTTTCCACTTCTATAACAATAATAACATGGTTTTTTGACTCTATATATTCATTAGAAACCTTTTTTCTAAAATTTCTATATATATATTAATTATAAAAAATAAGTTAAAATAAAAATTACAAAGAAAATTCCATTATTCCTTGAATTAACCCAATATTGTGCTGCTGATCATTTAATGAAATGCATGTTTCTGATATAAAAAATAAAATTTGATTATGAAGAGATCCTTCTGTTATGCCAAGTGAAGGATTAAAAATACATAAATATGAAAGAGGACATTTTTCTGATGAAACAAAATTAATATTTGTCATCTTAAAACTTACCTTATTTTATATTAAAAAATTTAATAGTTATATGATTTATTAGTTATATATACGTTGAAATATATAAATTTTAATGGTTTCCAATAAAGATAATTATAATAATGTTATTGAAGATCCATTCATTTAATAGTTTAACTTGATTAATTTTTTAATAATATATGTTGTTTTGTACTTTTTCAAAAATTTTAAAAACATATCAAAGATATTATACAGGATTAACATATCCTAGAGGAGAGCCTCTTCGTATTTTGTTTTTTGGTAATGATAGTTTTAGTACTTTTTCACTTTTATCACTTAATTCATTATTCCAATCAAATAAAAGAATATTAGAAAAATTGGAGGTTGTGACATTGTCTGATATGAAAATAGGAAGAGGACATAAGATTCTATATAGAAGTAATCTATTCTATTGTTTTTATATTTTAAAAAAACTAATTATGATTAGCACCTGTAAAATTATTAGCTTTAGAGCATAATCTTAAAATTCATGAAATAGAAAATGGAAATATGGAAAAAATTAATGTATAATATATATAGTTTAGAAATTGGAGTGAGTATATTTCTAATTTTTAATAGAATATTTTTTATAGTGATGGAAAAATATTTAATCTTGCTGTTACAGCTTCGTTTGGACATTTGATACCTTCATCATTTTTAAAAAATATAAAATTTGGGGGAATAAATGTACATCCATCATTACTTCCAAGGTTATAATCATATTTATTTATTTATTTGGTGGAATTGATTATTTCAAGATATAAAGGACCTGCACCATTACATCATACATTATTAAATAGAGATAAATATACAGGAGTAACCATTCAAACATTATCTCTAGATAAATTTGATGAAGGTAGAATTATAAGCATATCAGAATTATATAAAATTGAAAAACATGAAACTCTTGAAAGTTTATCTCAAAAACTTTCAAAAATAGGTGCTAATTTATTAATACAAGTGCTTTTAAAGCAAGAATATTTAAATATTAATATGAATATACAAAATCTTTATGAAGCATCTTATGCAAAAAAAATGAGTAAAGAAAATCAAGTAATTAAATGGAATATGTGGGATTCAGATGAAATTGAATTAAGAAGTCGTATATTTGGAAAATTAAAATGTAAATTTAAATCATCAAATAAAACAGTAATTTTAAGTAATATTCAAATAATTAATGATACAGAAGAAAGAATTTATGATTGTCCTGGTTTATGTACATATTCTAAAGATGGATTATTTGTTAGATGTCTCGATGGACGTAGTCTTAAAATTGGTAAGATTAAAATTGAAGGGAAAGATTGGATAGATGGTAAAGAATGGTCAAGAACATGTTTAAAGGGGAAAATTGATTATTTTGTATAATAAAAAATATAATTAAGAATTTACGAAATAATAGAATAAATGTATTTGCATGTATTTTAATTATTTTATATTTTATTATATTAAAAAAATACTAATTCCATGCAAATCTTTTATTTTGGAACTAATCTAGAAATAATATATTTATTTCCAAAAAATATTTTTTAATTAAAAATATATCATATATAATCATTTGATTTTTTATATTATAATTTTAAATATTATAAAAATAGTATTAAATAAGTTAATATTTAAAAATACTTAATAATTAGATCCAATGTCAAAAATTTATAGATTTAATAATAAAGATATTCATGATTAATGAAAAAAAATAAAGTATATTAATCAAACGGTCTTTTTCAAAATCAAATAGAATAATTTGAAAAGTAAACTCTTTAAATGATTTTTATGAAATATTCTAAAAATACCGCATTTCAAAATATAAATATTTATATTTCAAATGATATTAATATTCAATAAAAATAAAAGCTATTTTAATGCAAATTTTATACCATTTAAATCTATGATTGACGAAAATTAACATCCCCATTCCGTGTTATATAACGCACCCAAGGTAATGCTGTATATTGAAGTTTTGGTTCAACGACCTAAAAAAAAATTATTGAAGAACTTATAAAAAAGAATAATATCTACTTTTAAATATCTTACTTGAATTCCAGAAACAGTAAAATATGGGATTTCAAACTTAACAGTTATAGGTTTTTTTTTAGTATTTATTTCAACTATTAGAGAATTAATAAAATAATTTTACTTTAAGTAGATACCTCTTTTAACACTAGGCAATCCAAGCTCGGCTCTCATTAAATATTCTTGACCCCCAGAAAGCTGTTTAATTTTCCATATAATAGCTGATTTCTCAGGAGCATAAACCACATTTCCAATAGAAGTACAAAAACGAGGGGAATCAGCATCATCTGGAACAGGAATAATGATTTCAACATTATTTGACGATGACTTTCGTTTAAATTGCGATTTAACCTATAGATTTAAAATATTAGAAAATTAAAAATCATAAATCTTATAAACCTTAATTGCGATTTCTATTCTAGATCCAGAATGATTTTCAAACATAGATTCTACCCATATAAGGGGTTTTATCTAGATCAGTGTTAAAAATTATATTTAATTTATAATATCTAACCTGAGTATTCATACGATAATTCATTAACTCAAATTCTCCATCAGGAGGAATAAATGAAATTATTCGATCATTATTAAATTTAGACAACTGTACGCATTGATGAAATTTTATATCTTCTATTTCAACGGCTTTGCCTCTTAATATTCGACCTGTATTTTCAAACATAACTTTATCATTTAAACCCAAACGAAGTTCTGGCATCCCAGATAGATAACATTTCATTTTTATTGCACCAACGATTTCATTCCTTACAATATTTCCATTTGGATTTATCTTTTAGTAATTAATTCAAATAATAATAAAAAAAAGCTTTTTATTACCAATAAATTCAAAGATTCAACTACATCTAAAAAAATCTCGTTTTTTCTATATTTAATTCCCTGAGAACGCCACGAAATAGGATTAGTAATAGCAACAGGTGGCAAAGTTATAACTTCTAATTTATGACTTTCTTGTGTAATATATCTAATATTTTTAAACTTTTCTTCTTATAAATTAATACATACTCTTTCAAAATTTTTGTTTCTGTTATCTGAGGATAACCAAAATCCATCATTTCATCCAAAAGTTCATATATTATAACAAAATTATCACGTATAGATTCTTCTTCAAGAACTTTAAAATATTCCGTAAAAACCTAAATCATTACTTATATAATTCCTGTAAAAAACCTTCATAATACTTCTATCACTTTATGAAGAAAAAGTAATAATTCTGCTGCATTCGAGTTTTTTCTCGTCAACATAAGTATATATAAATTATTATGTCGGACATATAAATGCTAATATCTTAAGATTCCCTCTATATACCATACATTTTTAATTTACATGAACTCCATCATATGTAAAACACGGACTCCCTAGAACTCCATTGTCTGATTCCGATATTAACGAAACAAATCTCTCCACATAATTTAATGGAATATCTCCTCTATAATCACGGAATATTAATATCTTTCCCTTCAAATCCAAAAAATATATAGATGATGCCATCTTCCTATATCTTTCTATACATAAATATACCTTATTTTCATCAGTTTTCTACCAAAAAAAAAACTTTATATATACTATTCCTCTCAAACAATACAATAAAACCCTTAAAAATACTTATTTCTTATTATTAACCCTTATTTTTTCAAATTCAAATTTTACATCTTTTCTTGAGGTTCCATCGTACCACCTTAGACTGACGTACGAGCTTATATAAGAACCTCACAAAAAAAATTGTATATATTTCTGCAGAATTGATGGACAATAAAGCAGAAAATAAGGATATTATTGACCCGTATGACTCGGATGGACCTCCTCCTCTTCCTGATGAGCCTATTCCTGACAGTATTCCGGTTTTAAATATGTTAAAAGGTGATAGCAATAGATCAGAGCTATTAGAGAGCCAGAATGGAGGGAAATCAGGGTTAAATAAGTGTTCAGAAGGAGAAACATCATTAATGAAGAGTGACGAGGGTTCTTTTCGGGTTGAAGATGACTGGAAAGCCGTTTTTGACCCCAAAACTCGGTCATATTATTTTTGGAATTCAAAGACCAATGAAACAACGTGGAAGAATCCACGAGTACCGGAAGATAGATCGAATGATCCGGAGGAATTGGAGAAACGTCTTCGTGAGATTGAGACGGAGCGTTCTCAACAATATAAAGAATATGTATTTACGGCACGATTTAACCGTATGACAGGAAAGTGGCAAAATGATCCGAATAAAATACCAGAAAACTTTACAGAAGAAGCAAGGGCATTGAGACAACAATCATTTTATTTTGATGTTGAAGGAACAGCGGCGGCACATGATGGACGTAGTTTTCTTAAAGAAAGACAGCAAAAAAGACTTAGTAAAAAAGAAATAGCACTTTATAAAAAGCAATATAAAAAGAAAAAAGAGCAAAGAAAAAGGGAGTGGCTTCTTGAGGATTAATATAGCAATATATTTATTTTCAAGGTATTATCAAAAGACAAGAATATTTTAGAAGATCTTTTGAAAAACATATTTTGAAATTGAAAGGGTATTAAATGATACTAAAATATATAATATTTTAGTATCATTTAATAATTTTATTTTTTATTTCACATTAGACGTTTACTTTACGACTTATTAAACATATAGCAATGAACACATTTAAATACATGGAAACAAACATTAATTTTCTTCATTTGAAGCTATTACAGAACTCATATGTTTTTTTGAGATCTTTAAAATAATTATTTTTAAAATTAACTACCGAGCAGACTTCAAATGTTTTTTAAGACAAAAAAGTTGTTAAAAGTATGATCCAGATGGATGAAATTAATACAGAGTCTTTAGGATTTAATGAAAAGCTATATAAAAATAAAGAAGATGTTTTTGAGGAATTTTTTATAGCATCACGTTTTGGAGATTTGGAAACTATTAAGACACTTGAATTATCTCCAATTGATCTATTTCATAAAAATAATGAGGGTAATACAGCTTTACATATGGCCTCAGCAAATGGACATATGGGTATGAAATGTATTTCTTTTAAAAAAGTATAATTTAAAAGTATAGAAGTTGTACAATTTTTACTTTCTCAATATTCTAAGATAAATAATGGATCAGACTATCTTTCGATTAAAAATCAGTCTGGAAATACTCCTTTACATTGGGCAGCAATGAACGGACATGATAAAATAGTTTGTGAACTTGTAAAAGCTGGAGCAAATTTATATGCTCAAAATAACGCACAAAAAACACCGCTATGGGAGGCAGAATTTCATGGTCATACAAAGGTAGTTACATGGCTTCTTGAACATACAGATCTTGTACCAAAAGATGATAATGATACTGAAGAAGAATATTAAAAAAAAATAATGAAAAACGTTTAATAATGTATTAATCAATTGGAAGTCAATAAAAACATAAATTTTATTTCAAAAAGTTGTTTAAAGACCTAAGATTTTCCGGACATTTTGACGGACAATTCTATCATACTCACTACGGTTCGTTCGCCAAATTTTCTACTTCAATTACAACATATTCATTTTATAATCAAGATAATCATACACATGCATCAATATTAGCACCGCTTTCATCATTAGGTTCTATCCGTTACAACTATATTAGAACATTTTACATATATCAACTAATAACTTACCTGCAAGCATTGACATAACGCTCAAAAGGATTTTTTCAACACTTTGCACAGGAGACCATCGTTCAGACGATGATTCATACATATTTGGATCATCACCAGGTGCATGTAAAATCGAAATACAAACTGTTCCATCCGGATAAACATTGGGATGAAACATTTCACATGTAAATCTCATAACTGGAGGATTTAAAGGATAATCCTTTAACAATTAATCATTTCTTATTTATTGACAACTTTTTTACCCTTGGAAACTTTAGGATTGCTGGAAAAAGTCCTCCCTATACACAAACCATTAACTACAGAAAATATAAAGGCTATATCTAGCAAAATTTACTTCAAATGGTGTATCTTGAGGTCCTTCTAATAAACATTCCCATTCGAAAAAATTGCTCTCATCCATAGGTCCTATTGACAGTTAGAAAAAGACATTTTTATAACAAAAAACAACCTGCCATGATTCCATGAGGAGCATTTGATATTAATTCTTTATATTCTGTGAAAAGACGGCGCAAAGCAGTAGACGTCATGTTATGTTTTCAGTTTCGATCGTCCGGTAAAGTCCGGCTCAAAATCATCAGGCAAAAAATCAAGTATTTTTCGGTTAAAAAAGGGTTAATATATATGTTAAACATAAGCCTTTTTTACATATTTTTTTTATGTAAAATAAATATGATTTATATTTTAGAAATTTGAATATGTTTTTTAAATATAAACATTTCAAATTAACATGATATTCAAATAGAAAGTATTGTTATGAGTCAGTTTTATGGGACAGGAAATTAAAATGATTATTTTATTTCATAAGAAATGGATTTTTTTTAAAAAAGATAAAAATTTTATTAAAAGTTTATATTTCTTGAAAAAAAATATATAAATATCTTTGTAAATCTAGTTATTAGTACTAGTAGTCTATAATATATATGGAAATTGTATTATTCAATATATTTGTAATTTATTTTCTTTAAATGAAATTTATAAGTAATATAAATGAATTTATATTACTTATAAATATAATATTTTCAATGTAAAATTAATTTTGGGTTAATTATTATGAAAGAGTTGATAATAGTATGATATATTTGTTTTAAATGTTATATTTAATAGATCTTTTGTTTATTTTTATCTTTTTATAATATACTATATGGAATTTTTAATATAATTAATAAAAATGTTTATTATTAGATATTTAAATTGTTAAAGTAATTTAGGAATATGCAATTGATTACATATTCTTATATTAAACATCTTTAAAATCTAGTAAAATACTAATATGAACATTTTAAAAAAGATTTAAAAAAATACATAAATTTTTATTAACAAGAATTATAATTAGCTTTATTAAAATATTGTTTTGTTCATTTAAACATTAGATATATTAAATAAAAAAGCAGATTTATATTTAAAAAGTTTTATAGAATTGTAATTCCATAAAATAAATACACAACTTAATTAATTTTTTATAATCATAATATAGGACATTACTAAAGCTACTATCTTCATATTATATTAATTTTAAAGACTGATAAAACATTAAATTGTAATTATATAACCCTAAGATAACTAATATTTTTTAAAATTATATTAAAACATAAAATGGCTATATATTAGCATTTTATATATTCATTTTTTTTTCATAATTTATACATGAAATTCTTATTAAGATAAACTAAATCTTTATTTAATGTCGAATGAAGATTACTTTAAAGACTCTGATCAAGAAAATACACAAAAAGATCTTTTATCATTTGATTTATGTAAAGAATTGAATAAAGAAGCACTTTTAAAAGAAGATTTCTGTATAGATGACTTTTTAAAAAATATATACAAATTTGATACACTTGAAGATTTACAAATTAAATTAAAGGAACTATTGAAATCTATTGAAAAAGATATTTATACATTAACATATGATGAATATAATAATTTCTTCAAAGTTGCATGTGATATTCTTGAAAATGAAAATAGAATAATTGATTTATCAATTCGTTTAACAAAATTTAAAGATGAAGTTCAAGTATTCTATAATATTTCAAGAAAAAATCTTCTTATTCATATTATAGAAAATACATAATGTGATTCAACAAAATGTTGTAAATATGGATGAAGAATTGCGTAAGAAAAAGGAACTTTATAGAAGAAAAGTGGTAAAATATAGAAAATATAAAATTTATTTATTTTTACAGGCACTTGCTACAAATCTATTAAATATTAACATGATGATCGAAGATATGGAAAATCTTCTGTGTATAGATTCAAGGAAATTTGATGAGTATGTATTTATTTATATAATTTCTTAAAATTAATATAATTAAGTGTTGATATAATAATTTTGCAACAAGCAGCAAAATCCTATATATCACTTAAATATTATTTATCACTTGTTCCATTACAGCATCCATTTATAGAAAAAAGAAAGGAAAAAATCCAAATTGTACAAAATAATTTTTTTGATTATTTAGCTTCAACTCTTCATAAATATAGGAAAGATACTTCACAGATAGAAAACTTGTTAAAAGTTCTTCAAATATATAGAGAGATCGACGCATCACAAAAAGCATGTTATCAATTATGTAAAATAAAATAAAACATTATTTTATAAAATCGAATGTGGATCTAATATGATTCCCATGCCATGGGACGAAGACAAAACTATTTCAGCAATAGGTGATTTGCTTTTTATCACTTCCTTTTTTCTAATAACTCCAATATGCTCAAGAAATAAAAGTAAATTAGAACGTATTTCTGAATCACTAAAAGATGCCTATTAAAAACTTAGAAATCTTTTATTAATATATTTTTATATATATACTTTTGCTATTGGAACTCGAATTACCCCATTTTTCTCTTGAAAATCTATACCATTCATTTTTATTTTAACTGCTTTACCTATATCTGTACATATAGTACCATTTTTGACACTTGGCATCCAATTCTTTGAACCTGGAACTCCTGAAATTTTCTCAAGAAGATGACTTGAGTCTTTATGGGCAATACATATATCAAAATTAATATGACCTTGTATAATCTAATATACCCTTTAACTTCTTTTTTTCAAAAAAAATAATACTACATCTTTAATAACTTCATCTGATCCTGCAATAACTGCGCCTGAATCAATTGCCTCTTGTGTGTAATGCCCTTCTGAGATTACACAAATCCTAAGTCCTGGTCTAATAGGAAATGGAAGCATTAATTGACCTTTTAAAGGCAATGCTCGTTTTTTTCGAAATAAACGAAGATGAACCTCAATTGTTGATGATCTATTAGGCCATCCTACTTCAGATGCTCGAAGATATCGTAATGCCATAGGAAATGGAAGTACATTAGGCATAGGTGTTAATACAAAATCTCGTTTTCTTTTTTTAGTCGATTTTTCTCGGAAAAAAAAGGCAAAAAAACGAATACCAGGAAATTTTTGTATTCTATTTATTCTTACAAGTGATTTTATCATAGTTTATCCCTATAAATACCCCTCTTTTAGCCCTTCAACTGCCTCTATTAAAAATCTGACGTTGCCTGGTTGTCATGACAACGTCATCGTTCATCAACTTTCACCACTATAAAGCTCTGCTTGCTTAAAAATCCATAAAAAACCTCTTTTTTTCAGCAAAATCTGTGCTTAAATATCAGTTTAAGAAGGATATTTTGATTATGTCTCAGGAAAAAAAGAATCAGAACAAAACAGCAGAAGAAGAAGAAGAAATAAATAATTATGGCACATCTATTTTACCATATAATACTCAATGGACACAGCTTGAAAACCAGGAAAAACAGAGATTAAAGTAAATATTTTAGTTATTTTAGGAGCTACTAATATGAATTTTCTTTTTTTTTAGGATTTTATTGGATAGTTTTAATGAGGATCAAATGAGACGTTATGAAATCTTTCGCCGGGCGAATATTGATAAATTAAGTCTTAGAAAGGTTATTTTTTTGAATTTAATATGTTTTATGAGTTTAAGGAGCTAAATAGATGGTGAATTGTATTTTAAATCAAAGTATTACGCCGAATATTTGTATTGTTATTTCTGGGTTTGTTAAAGTATTTATTGGGGAAATTGTTGAGAAAGGTTATTTTTAATTATATAGAGGATATAACTTATAATTTAAAGCATTGGATATTCAAAAAAAATGGGGACATTCGGGGCCATTAGCGCCAGAACATTTAAGGGAAGCGTATCGATTGTATAAACAAGAAACTAAACGAATACCGCAAAATAGAACAATTAGACGTTTATTTCGATAATTTATTATAGAAAGAAATGATAATATAATGTTATCGATAGAAAGAGATAAAAAGATAAGGAAGAATTGATAAAGAAATATAGAAACAAACAGGATTTAATATTATGAATGGATTTCTTGATGAAAACTCAATAAATTGTTATTAAATGAAATTATTCTATGTACAGCAATAATATGTATAATTATTAGTATAATATAAGCAATATCGATACATTGCCAAATGTATTAATTTAATATATTTTTAACTATTTATATATATTTCTGGACAAGAACAGCATTTGATAATCCAGCGTCTTTTATAGTTAATGATTTATCCAGATATTCTTTATTAGGAAAAATGGTTTGTAATATATAATCACGTGAATCATCAGTTATTCTGTTTCTATAAAAATAAGATATATATTTAGATTTTAGAAACCTTACGCATCCATAAAGTCATAAATATCACCAATTGTATGGGTTAAATTAAATCTTACTGTATATTTTGAGCAATCTCCAAATCGAATCTGTAATGTTGTAGTAGGAGACATTTCATCAATTGTATGATTATAAACAATGTTTCTAGTAGAATTTTTAGTGTCTTCAGAGTGCTTTGAAGATGAAGAGTTAATGACTTTTGGTGTTGGACTTAAAAAGTTATAAAATAATAATTAGTAAAAACAATATCTAACCTTCCTAATCTTTGTCCTGCTCCAGAGAATGGAACATACTTTTTCGGAGGTTTGTACTCTTTATCCATCATTTTTTGAACCCTTAAATCTACTTCTTGTCCAACTTCTACATTTAATAATGATAATGGCGCACGTCTGCTAAATATAAACATCATATACTTTATAAATTATTAATTATACCCCGAATTAATTAACCGAAGATTCTCTGTATTTGAAGGATCATCATATCTCATTAAAGGACTATTATTAATTGTAAAACCATCTTTCCAAAATATCAAATCTCGTGTAACTTTCGCTGGAGGTAAATGAACATTTGATTCCATAGAATCTGGAATCCTACGAGATTCCTGATTCTCACTTCCAAGAACATAACCTAAAGATATTTAAAAACATGTTAATGTTTTTTTTTAAAAATCTTAACCTGTTCCTGAAAATTTAGAAGTTGTAGCTGGTGCAACTGGTTCATCTTGCTCTCTATAGCTACTCCTACATAAAAGCCATATTCAATAGTAATAAATATATATACCTTGAAACTTTTTTCAAAATTTCATTAATAATATTATCTTTATCTGCCTCTGGATGTTGAATATAAACTGCACTATGCTAATAAAAAAAAATACATAAAAAGGCATAAATATACGATTTTTCTCCTCCAGAATATAATTTATCTTGAGTTTCATCTTCTGATTCTGATTCATTATCACAAATATCTTCAAATGTCTTAAACTTTGACTTATTCTTGCTATTTATCATAAATTTTTGGAAAAAATATGAAAAAAAAATATAAAACATTTCAAAATTACTAAATGACTCATTTTTATGTATTTTTTTCTCTGAATTCTTATAATTTTCTAAATAGTCCATAATTGTTTCCTGGTATCTTCTTAATCCTAAATATATAAAATTTTTAAAAAAATACAGATAAATTCCATTCATTAGATTCTAATAGAAATACTGCTTCTTCTCTTGTACTATTTGTAATTTCTATGACTTGTCCTATTATTTCTTCTTTATCCTTCTCAGAGAGGCTCATTTTTCTACAGCTTTTTACGATTAAGCTCAACCTCAATATTTTTTTATATTAGAATTAATGAGGTTTAAGCAGAGATAATAATAAAATGAATATAAATACAATAAAAACTAAATCTTTTATGTATTATAATAACTTTTTCCTTAAGAAAATCCTTTTACCTTTAATAATTATTCGAACAGCAACAAAAAGATCATCAGGATCAACTAAAAATAACCGAGATTCACCAGGAAAACGACTGGGAATTAAGAAATATGGAGGAATTTAATATTTGTGTTTTTTTTTTCAAAAATTGATTTTTGGTAGAGGAAAAAGTAAAAGCAGGAAATATTATAGTTCGACAAAGAGGAACCAAATTTTATCCGGGAGAAAATGTATAAAAATGTAAATTTAAAAGATTTTTTAATAGAAAACAAGGTTGGTATGGGGAGGGACCATACACTTTATGCATTGGAGCCGGGATTTGTCCAATTTTATCAGGATCCATTACAACCTAAAAGGAAATTTGTAGGAGTTGTATTTGATCGGGCAACTAAACTTCCATTATCTAAAAACGAACCGAGAATTAGAAGATTAGGAATGAAAGAAGTTGAAATAAATTGATGATATATATAATTGAAAATATTATATAAGGTTCTAAATATTACCATATCTTTTCGAATACATTCCAAGAGCTTTGATAGTGAAATTGAATTTATAGTTTGGATAACTATATGATTAAAATGTGTAAAAAAAAGAGAGATATATTTATACCTAATCATACTATGAAAATTAAAAAAAAATCGAAAAAAAACGAATGGAACATACCAATTTTTATTAAAAACACCTTCAATTGCTTCTTGTTTCCATTCACCATTAGGCTGTTGTCTCGACATGATTAACTATATTTTTTTTGGGTAAATAGAAGTAAATTATTTAAGAAAACCTTACATTAATTCCACGTTTGATAGGTGTTTCATCAGGATAATTTGCATACATAAGTCCAATGCATGCCCATGCAGTTTGTACTACTTGACTACCAGTTGGATGTCTAGTCCATATGCCATCTGTACATGACTATGAAATCAGTTTATTGCAAAACAATTTATAAAAAATACTTGATAGCCTTCGGACCATCCTCCATCTTCTTCTTGTTTATTAACTAAAAAGTCACATGCTCTTCTAGAATGGAAACTATTTTCATAAAAATCTTTAACACATGATAGACTTTCTAAAGCAAACATAGTAGCATAAGTAAAGCAGATTGCCCAACTTCCATACCAACTCCCATCAGGACGTTGACTTTCTTTAATAAATTGGATGGCATTTTTAACACTTTTATTAATTTCTGGTCCACGGTAATGAGAACACAATGATCTAAAATAACATAAAGCAGTGACAGCAGCGGTTGTACACTCTGGATAAGAATGTTCTATCATGATATCTCCAAAAACTTCAGCTGGATTAATAAATTCTAACCATGATGGTCCTCGTATCAATTCATAAGAAGCAAAACCGCCATCTTTATTCTGTAAAGATAAGATTACATCAACGGAATCTTTTAATCTGTCATATGACACTCTCTTTGGAAATGATCTATAAAAGATTTAAGAATATATATATATATATAGCTAAAAATTCTACTTTAAATTTTGTAAAAGTAAAACAGCTTTTAAAGCCTCTGCAGTACAATCTGAAACAGTATATCCCTGTTGTCGTGTACTAAATGGCCATGCACCCTTTCTTCGATGTCTATAACATTTTTGCTGATCATCACAATTTTTTTGTATCTATTGATAATTAATAGTTTTTTTTTATAAGAAATAACAACTTGACACTTATCAAGAAAGTCCAATGCCTTAATCATATGATCTTTAAACTCAGGATCTTCTGCTAATCCAGATTCTACAAGAGCTTGTACAGCAAAAGAAGTATCCCAAAGCTGAACACCATTAGTGCCATTCATCATCATTCCTTTTTTAGATATCCATAAAAAGTCGGCCATCCTTTCTTTATGAGATTTAAATGCATAACTATCAGGACCTTCTTTCCAATAAACTGCTAAAATATGAATACTAAAATTAACTGGACCAATACATAAGAAATCAGTATTCTTATTTTCATATTCAATCAATTTGTAAGCATATTTTGATGCCATATCTTTTATCCATGAAAACCGAAAAATTGTATGATAAAATGTTAAAATAGAATTAATAACACGAAGAAATCTAGTATGAGGTACATAAACATCTACTGGTGATGTTGTGTTTCTATGTTTTGAGAAATTAATTGAAGAATAAGGCTGAGTATATAATTCTTCTCTCAAAGATTCTATCAAAGGATCAACAGGCGCTGTAAATTTCTCTCCATAAATATATCCCATTGGAAGATATACAGCTCTTGTATGGACCCACCAACGTGATGGATGTATAGGAAGCCATTCAGGTAACATCCTATATATATTAGAAAACTTCTTCTACATAAAAACAACTACCAAAACTCGGGTAAAATAGGATTTATACCTTCCCAACCATAACAATTTAAAACTGCTAGCCAAAACTTTCCCCATTGAGGACATCCAATAGCACCCCCTAACACATTTAAATTTTTTTAACTAAATATACAAAAAAACGTTTATACCAAGCTCATTCAACCTTATTCTTGCTTTCATAGTAACTGGATGGTCTGGTCCAAGACCTAGGATACGTAAAACAACATAATTAAGTGCTGTCCCAAAAACTGTAGATTTTCCCTCTATGTGTATCCCCCAACCACCATCTTCAGGATTAGCATGGTTCACTAAATAACGAATTACTTCAATTCTCATTTCATCTGGAAATTCGATTTTTGAAATATACATTGCAATTATAAGTCCCGGAAGAAGAAACATTACCCCCCCATATTCACATGCCCAATTACCATCACTCGTTTGTAGATGTTTATAAAACGAAAACCCTTTTCTCGCCGATTCTATCGGCGTTTTTGCTGCTGGTTGTTCCGGTAGATCCTTTTCAAAATTACCTCCTTCAAAACCATTCCTTTCATATATATACCATATTTTTCCCCAGAAAATACTTTTCCATATATGTTTGAGGCCTTTCTCGCCTCTCTTCCTCTGTTTTTAGGTACTTCCAGCGTTGTCGTCCTGTATCTTCTACGATCAATCTCCACCCATCCGGGTCCGTTTTTTCTAGTTCTTTTTCGGTATACCCATAAATCATACCTCTAGATTTCTTTTTTATCCTTAAAATCCTCTATTTATCCCTTCTATATCTTCATATTGGCCATTCTTTTTATGGCCATTTACTCACAAAAAATCGATGTCGTCTGCGGTTGTTATGGCAACAATGTATATCATGACACTCTCGACCTCTGTAGACGTCTAAGATCAACCAAGTTCAATAAAGCTGTAAAAAGAGCCTTTAAACAGCGTATTTCCAGAGGAAATTTCAATGGAAAAAGAAGAATCATATGAGGATGATACTTGGTCGACTCAATATCGCTGGATTCGGGATTCCTGTGAATCAACGGAGCATCCAAGTATTAATGATATGTCATTTTATAATTCGAATTTTTTGCAGTGTAAATGGAGGAATTTGTGTTTTTAATAGATATCTGAGGGATTTAGATGATATAGACCCAGTTAAAACGGAAAAAATCCGACGATTAGCGAGATTATTGGATGATACACAAATGTCTACAAAAACGATTAGAAAGGAGATTACATTGAGAACTCCGTATATTGCTTCAGACTCTATATCGAATAGAAAGGTTAGGAGTATTATGTGCGTTTTTGAACGGGTTAAAACTGAATATTAAAAGGAATATTCTCAAGAAATAAGTGGATCAGGATCGATTTTGAATAATGAGCTTGAAGCAGCATTATCATTTGATAAACATATAAATATCCACATGAATAAGAAGGAATCTATGTCTTCTAAATCATCAAGTAGTATCCCTACATTAACAGCGAATAATGATCAATCTTTTTTAGAGCCATCATTGCTTGTAAGATGATATTAATTAATGTATTATCTTACTTGGAGCTAGGAATCGTCTGGGGTATCGAGCTGTACGGCGCCGAGTTCGTCATCAGCAGCTTTTTTGAAAAAAAATCATCAAGAAACATCTCAACCAGAAACACAATCTAAAAAGTCGCCAAACAAAAGTGACACATCTTCTAGTTTTTCCTGGAATTCCGAAACGGTTAAAGAGTATTTAAACGAGATATTGGAGGAAATATATCAGGAGAAAAAAGAAGAAATCAAACTATTTCATAAATCAGATCATTACAAACGATTTTTAGGTCAAAATACAGGCATAATACAAAAAAATACTAATTCTTTAGAAAAATTAATTGATGAAAAATGTGAAGCATCTAAGAAATCCAAAAATATATTAGATCTTATGAAAGAAAAATTATTTTTGGATTCACACGATTCTAATCATGATACAAATATGTTTGAGAATCAAAATCCTTTAAAATTACAAATAAAAGATCAGTCCAAGCTTTTATCTGAAGAGAAAATACATATTTCTCCACGAAAAACTGAAGCTAATAACTCTTATATTCAGGTATGTATAATTTTATCTTGAAATATTTCAAATTTATTACCAAGGATTCTCTTGCCGATGTATCTAATCATTTTCTAAACAAGGCTACGTCTTGCAAAAATTCACCAAGTGTTTCGAATAAAAAACAGACTGATGATCAAAAGTATACAGAAACAAAATCTAAACAAGCAAATTCTGAGGTATTTAAACAAAATAATTTAGCAATATTTTAAAAATATTAGAAACAATATTCATGTGAGGATCATGACAAATATAAAGATATTATTAATATTCAAAATTCCCTTAAACGGCTAGCAAGTGAATATGATACTAGAGGAAATATGATAGATAAGTTAATTGATGAATTTTCTGCTTTAAAATCTGAAGCTAAAAATCAAAATGATGAAAATGCGTTAAAAACGACTTTTGATGAGACTAAAAAACATGCTCTTTTTGTAGAAAAAGATCTTGACGCTGCTAGATTAGAAATTGCTGACTTAAAAACAATTTGTCATGATTTAATTGATGCATTAAAAATAAACCCACAAAATATTCAAAAATACTATCCATCTACACCAAGATTAGGAAATGAGGAATCATTAAAAGAAAAAATGATGCGTTGGAAAACACATCTTTCTCCTCAATTTTCTCCAATACAAAGGTTTTTATAACTTTTATGTTTGTTATATTAATAGTATTTAGCACAAAACCTTTTGGTTTTACTCAAAATGTAAACATTTGTGATAGAAAAGAACCATTACATGACTTAAATATTCCGGCAAATATACAAAGGTATTTTTCTTAATAAATAATATAATATTTGTAACTCTCAATAGTCCTCGACAAAAAATATCACCTGTTTTAGATAAACAAAAAGAAACTCCTGAAAACTTCCCTATAACTCAACCATCTTATCTCGATAATGAAGCTTTATCTAATGAAAAGGTAAAAATATGTTTTTTTTTTTCTGTGTTATCTTAGTTGCTTAGATTTATAATCTTAAAATGCAACTTGAAAAAGCAGAACAAGAAATTGAAAGATTAAGATCAATTATTCCCGATGTATCACATGAACATCACACAAGACCAATTACTCCACAAAATATGCCAGATGCTCATAAACCAATTTCTAAAGCTGAGAAAATCTATTATAGTTTGCAACTTTATAAAATAGATAAACTTTGTTCTAATGAAACATCTAATCTTCTTAAGGTTCAATTATTTTATTTTATTTTTACAAAATTATTTATAAAAACTAGAATATTCTTATTCAACTTAATATACCGTTTGATTCTCTTCCGGAAACTATTACAAGTATTAGATATCAACTTCAACAAAGCTCACGGCTTAGAGAGTTTGCAGAAGAAGTTCATTTAAGTTTATACGAAGGAGAGCCAATGGATCCTAAACTTGCAAGCAAGAAATGTTTAGGCGATATGATTACAAAGGTAGATCAGCTCGCAAGATCTTCAAGAAGGAGAAGGATACGGCGCAGTATAATCTAAACAATTAAAAAATTATACTTCAAGTCTTTTAATATATATTAAATGTTTTGTCCTTGTATTATTACAGTTCTGAGTACATTTGCTATTAAATGTATTATTTCTTGGATTTCTTTTTGAAAATGCATTTTTTTGGAGATTAAATATTTAATTATTTATGATTATTAAACTCCAATATATTATTCTTTATAAAAATCTTTTCTTCAATAAACTTTTTTGTAGCTGCTCCTCCTCTATACAAAAATATCGCTCCTACAATAGCACATAATGATTCTGATGCTACTTTTAATAATCCACTCCTCATAATATCTTTCTTATATAAAATATTAGAATATATATATATATATATTATTTTATACATAAGCTGGATTCCAACGTAAAACTTCTAAAATACCATATTCTAATGCCAATTCTCCCAATACCTTAGAATTAATAAGATCTTCTATTTTTCTCAATGTAAATATATCTTTGTTCTTATCAATAGATTCACTCATTTTTAAAGATATATGAAATTTAAGAACAATACGACCTATATCTTATTTATCATATAATTAACACCTTCCAATTAATAAAACCTTGAAATGCTAACTTTTCATTATATGGATATTTTCCATGAAAATAGGTCTTATATGTTAAGCTCTGCCAAAGTAAATTTTTTGGTAAAAATAATTCAACTTCCTTTTCATTCATATTAAAAAGTTTAGAATAAAACTTTAAAACATTTTCAAATGATTCCTTTTTTTCTATGTCTTTTTTATGTATTAAGTTTTCTTGATTAATTGATCTCTTAAATCCTCTATTTGACCTCCAAAATATAAATCTATTAGAAATACATAAGATTTTTGAAAATCTGTGTTTTAACAAAGTGTTTAAACATTTCATCTTTAAATAAGTCAAATATTAACAAAAATATTAATATTTTTAACTTTTTTTAAAGTCGATCTATTATTAAAATATTAAGATCTATAATATCATTAGTTTTAAGCAGTAAAAAGATTATTTCTGAATATAAATGAAACCTAGAGATCTTATAATATATATATTTGTCTTTGGAGGAGTTGTTCTGGGTTATTTTCATATATTTGATAAGTTTTTTCAGAAAAATCAAAAAGAAGATCAAGAATTATTCGGTCAAGACTGGCTTAGAAAGAAGTTCCAGAGTGGTACAGAGCATATTTGAGTAATACTATGTTGATTAATTTTAAAAGTTTCATGTTCAGATCAACAATATTTATGTAGTGATACATTACAATGTGTTAATCATCCAGCAAATTGTCCATGTCCATTTCCTACATCACAAGTACGATGTTCACTAGGTAATGGAGGGTATATTTGTGTATCATTGTCGGAGGAGCATGATCCATGTCAAATTATTGAGCAATACCGGCTAGGAAATAATATTTAAGAAACCAATAAATGAATATATAAGTTGTAGTAAGAATTATAAGTGAAAAACAAAGCTAATTTCTATTGCGTGAAGGCTTCCATCTTTTTACGCTTATTTCTCTTATTTTATACATTTTTAGAAGAAGGTCTATTCTTTTTGTTTGAATTGCATCTTTAAAAACAGAATCACAAGGAATTTGGACATAACACAATACAATTGTCTATAAAGTATTAATTTATTTTTTTAGATTTAATATAATAGATACTTTTTTTACTTGAGATATGACTCTGTTGATACAGTGTAACCAATGCCATGATAATTCTTTTTTTCTATTATTTGGATAGAATGGTAATACTATAACAGCAAATTCTGAATGGGAAAAGATGGGTCCTCGTTTATATAGTACTATTGATTGATTATATAAACTTTTTTTTTAAATTTAGTCATTATAACTTACACCAATCAACTCCAAACTTAAGGCCTTTTTTTATAACCCATCCTAATGATCTATAATGATGATATACAACATATGATACAAGAAATGGATTGTCTGCATCTATTTCATTTGTAGTTTTTTGTATTAATGATAAAGAACAGAATAATAATAATAATTCCATTGAATTTTTGATTGAAAGGCATTTTGAAACATCAATATCTAAAATTCCAAGAGAATAACTTAAAAAAAAAGCTTCTTCAAGATGTAATTGCAAATGTTCAAATTCTAATATAGATTTTTCTAATTCTTCTGTCTTTTTAACTTGTATTCCTGTATAATTTTTGCTTTTTATTATTCTTTTATTATCTTCAACTATATTTTGCTTTTCTTTCCCTTCTTCAATTCTAATCTTATCAATTGCTTCCATTTCAATTAAACCCCTCTGATGCTTAAATTCTAAACGTTCTTGACGTCTTAGTTGAGTACGTTCTTCACTTGTTAGCTCTTCATTTGAGCTAACCCATCCAAACAATCTTTGTATTCGTTTTGACCAGCTTAATGAGCTGCGACTTAGATTTCCTTTACCAAAATACCCACATCTCCATAATTTATCTATAGTAGATGCATCTGTCACCCATACTGAGGCAGTTGCAACATCAAGTATGCCTCTATAATGACATTGAGGCTGAAAACCTTTATAAATTCTATATAAAAGCCATATAATAGAAACAGGATGATGGGGAAAGAATGGGAGTGTTAAAGGAAGGGGAGGATCTCTCATTTTATGTATAAATGTTTTAATTGTATGTTAGTATAACTTAAGATGGTTGAATGTTGAATGGGGTTTGAACCTGATAGAGAAAGGGTTAGGATAAGAATCTAGGCAATATATAAGAATATAGTTTCTTAATGATTAAATATGGTTATTGGAATAAATTAAAAAATGAATAAAATATAATTAAAATTTTGAAGTGATGTTTTAAATGTAATTTTAAAGTGAAAATAATTAATTTATGAATTGTTTTTAAATTTCGACTATTGTATTGATGAATGAGAGATCTTTTACGCTCCGCTCGAATCTTGTTCTCATAATATCATTAGGGTTGTCTTCAACAAGTTAAAACAATGCCTCCCTTATTGCCTATCCTGAATTTTTTTCCATTGTTTTATATATAAAAGCATTTGATATGTAAAGTTCTTAAATTTATTTATAATAGTTTTGATTTTTGCCAATCGTTATGATAAATCTAACTATTGTTTCATAAATTAGAAATTTTTGTTAGGTATTGGTATTTTGAAATATCAATGTTTCTCCCCTGAGGATGAAAATCGTCATTTCAGATTATTATAGATGATGGTGTACTCCATAACGATAACGACGGTTAGTTTGAAAAAATCCATGCCCATTTATCAATATTTTAGGTATCTGATGGGTTTTTTATATGAAACATAGCTGAAGAAGACTTAATGAGCTTTATTAAAACTTCTCATTTATAATGAAGTTATAGACAATCCATTGCTCATAAAGTCATACTAAATTTTATATTTTTAAATAAAAATATGCTAATTATAGAACATTTATAGAAAACCCATCGTATTATTTTCTACGAGTCATGATTAAGCGTTTAACTTACTTTTTCTTTTATTACCATTTTATTATCCAGAAGAAACAGTTTTAGCATGATTTTTGTCAGCTGCATCTATTTTTTCAAAGCTATTTTTTGCTATTTCTATGTTCATTAACAAAGCTGCAGATTCTATAATCATTTATTAGTAAAATTAAAAACAATTTATCATTTAGCAAGATACATACGCACGAGAGGATCGCTTAATATAACAAGAATATATGTATCGCAAACATAAGGAGCAATAAAAGCAGAAAAAGGACATGTTCTTAGTTCAAATAAAGTGAATTGTGATTGCATTTTACTTTCACTCGAATTAGAATGTTATAAAAAAATATCAAAAGATTTACCTGCAGCTCAATTTAAATTGTTTAACAATATTACTTATTTTTTCGAATCGATGCAGGTCAGGATGATTAAACCCTGGACGAGATGTATGAGATATTACAAGAAATGTTGTTCGTTCGAATAAAATAACTTCATCCGCTTCTATATGAAGAGCAAATTGTTTTAAATGCTTTTCGAGCGTAGGAATATTCGGAACTAACGTATAAACAATACATGACCATGCCTATAAATAAACTTAATACAATGTTTTATAGGTTTTTTCCTATGAAAACCTTATATAACGTTTCATCCCATATTGATGTAGCAAGGATCACTGTTTCAAAATTTTCTGACCTTTGATATAATATTTTGGATCGTTCTTGATATACATAATCCCTCATTTCTTCCTGGACTAAATCCATTTTATGAATTAAACAAAATACTTGAGCTTTAGGCGAATTTTCTCGGATTGCTTCTAAACATGATTCATATGTATGTAAATCTACATCAAATTCTCTCGATTCCACATCAAAAACATAAATTAAGACCTCGACATTCCTGAAAATATGGTCTCTTTGTGCTGAAAGATAATTTTCCATAAAAGCATCTTGTCTAAATAAAAAAAATTAATCTATATTGCACGACTTATAGACCTCCTTGTACCCGCCACAATCCCATAAGTTTAAGACTAAATTCCCTAGAAAATGGACATGAGAATGTTCTACATCAACTAAAATAAAACGTTATTTAATCATTATTTTCACTAAAAATTACTTGTTGCTCCCAGTCGCCGGGTATCTTTAGCAATATAGTTACTGAAAATAATACTCCTCATACTAGACTTCCCTGAACCACTCTTCCCCATCAAAAGCACCTTTTTTCTCATTTTTTTAAAAATTCTAAGTTAAAATATGTTGGTTGTACGATTATTAAAAAAAGCTATAAATAATATATATAAACCCTTTCCTTTAAGCCCGTATATTAAGTAAATATTAGTAGAAAAACCAGTTATATAAAATCTAATGAATTAATTGTTAACAAGTTCCCATCTTTTTCGTGTAGGTGGAGGAGTAGGTGGAATTCCACGACGCCTATTATCATAGTATACTTCCTTTAATAAACATAAAGAGTCGCTGTAAATATCATTTATTTTTAGTGTAGATGATTTCCTATTTTTGAAGTTTTTATATTTTGAAATTGGTGAAGGTATAGGTGAATTTAATGAAATTGTTATTTTTGAATAATTAGTGTTATTATCTGTATGAATAGTGTTGTATGTAGGATATTTTATTTGATTTGAAGATAAATCAGTGTTATTTGATTTTATTAAGTTTAATTTTGAACCAGAAAGTTTGTCAGTTTCTGAAGAAATATTTTTGTGTATTAAAAGATCATGATTATGATTATGATCATGATATTTGTCTGAAAAGAATGTATCTATTTCATGATTTAAGTGAATAAAATGAATTGGATAATTTTGGTGTGAATTTGAAATATCAGATATTTTTTTGTAATTTTTTCTTTTTGAAGATTCTATATTATTCTGTATAGAATTAGGCGACATGTTTTCCTTTAATGTGTTATGTTTTTCAAATGTTTTGCCCTTAAAAGATGTTTTTTTAGTATGAGATGAAGAATCACATAATAAACGTGTTGTATTTTTCAAAAAACAATTTTGAATATCAGACAAAGGCCAATAGTTATTCTTCTTTTCTGAACATAATGATATATATAATTTTTGTTTATAATCAGAACCAGTATCAAGTTCTTGAATAGAATCATATTCAAGGATTATAGGTGATATATAGATCAAATCCTCAGATAAATAAGATATAAATTGAAACCTAAAAACATCTGATTTAGAATCTGAAATACTGGAATTGATCTTTTTATAGAAAAATTTAGAAGCTAATTGATCTGTTAAAATTGATTCTAATGTTTCTATGAATCTTTTTTGATTATTTTTGGAAAAAAATTCAATTTTAGAACAATCTTCTTGAGAATCTTTTTTCCTGTCTTGAGAAAAGCCTTGAATTTTATTAAGTTCCCCTATTTCCTTGTTGAATAAATCAATTTGCCTTGAATTTTTAAAAGTATCATGTATTTTTAATTTTAAAATGCTATCAAATCTTATTCTAGGAATTAATTCATCTCTTTTAAAAGCATATGATTCGAAAAGTTTGTGAATTAAAGAATTAGTTTGATAAAAAGGATATAGATTTGATTCCTTGATATTTGAGTGTTGTATAAGATGACCTTTTTTAATAAAACAAGAAAAATATCTAGACAAGAAATTGTTACTTTCTAAGTATTGAAAATCTGTATTCCTTGTAAGAATCTTTGTTTTCTGATTTTTAGTTTTCTGTTCAATCATACATAATTTAGATTCTGTTTTAAAAGTTTTTTGAATTATATCAAGATAATTAGAAAAAGGTCCCATTTTTAAATAATAGTATATATTAGATCCTTCTTTTAAACTATTATTTGATAAATCTGAGTATGCTTCTAAGATATTTCCCCACTTTTTTATCAAAAGATAAAAATAACTTAGAAATTTAAATTTTTGTGAAAAAATTATAGTAAATGGTATGAAAAGACATGATACACTAAGTATAGATAATGAATAATATTTAAATATCATTCTTTGAGCTTTAATTGTTAATAAAAAATCACTTTCCCATTTATTCATGCTCATTTTAAGATAAGCGTTATCGCTAAATAGATAAGGCATTAATAAATTAAAATATAATATTAAAAAAAAAAATAAATGAAAAATGAAGATAATCTTATGTATTTTATTCAGAAATCAGTATTTAAATATTATTTTTTATTTTGAATATATTCCATGCATTGTTAAGGATATTAAAAACGGAAGAAGCAATCATTCTGTGTTCTAAAAATGTAGTTATTGGTAACTTGAAGAAAGTAAGTGATAAAATAATAAAAAAAATTGAATAATACCTTATCAGGATGAATTTTTGAAATAGTTTTAAGGTATGCTTTTTTTACTTGAGAAGTAGTAAGTAAATTTGCCATATTTATATTTTGCCAAGCTAGATCATCCCATAATATATTGTTAAGACTAGATAATAGAGCTCTTATATTATCTCTTTTCCCATCAGCCCAATTATTTACAGATGAATCGACTTTATCATATAATAATGATTTATCTTCATTTTGAATTTCTAAAACATCATAAGGTTTTTCAAGAGGTTCTTTTTCAGATTTAGAAATAGAATTTTCATTTTTTGAGTTTTCTGAAAAATCTATGTCTAAAAGAATATCAGATTTATGAATTTTTTCGCAATCATTTTTAGAATTTAATGCCATTAAATCATCTATACTTGAATCAATAGTTTCTTTTTGCCAATTTTTAGCCTTTCCAAGTTTTTTAAGTCGTTGTAAACATTTAGATCGTCTTATAATTATCTTTTCCCGGATATCATCTATGACTTTTTCAGAAAAAATATTTTTTCCAAGACCTCTTTTATTTTCAATTAATTTTAATAACTCATCACAATCTAAAAGACTTAATTCCAGTTTTTCCATATGTAAATAACAAAGTGAACGATTGAATAATAATAATATTTTTAAAACATGATTTAATGGTAAATATTCAATAGATTCAGAATATCGTCCTAATGCTTCTGAATAATTACCGTTATTAAAAGCATTAGATGCATGTTTTATATTAACGTCTAGTTGGTTAATCAAATGTGGCAAATTAGATAGATCTAAATGCTCAGTAAATAGATCCTGAGAAACATGATCAAGGAGTAAAATCCCTTCAGAATTTATATAACAATGTGTAAGGTTTTGATTCTTTTCTTTGTAGTCTCGCGTTTCAATTTCATTTGAAAATAATCTAGATAACTCACTAGATGATGATGGTTGTTGGTAGTTAGGTTCATCCGATAAGAAATCCATAAGGTCGTTATTTTTTTCAATAGTCAATGTCGATGTCTTACTAGTAACAGTTTTATCACAATTTTTTATTTCTTCAAATGATTTTTGATTAGATAATAATGGTTGATATTTCGAAAAGGTATGGTTTGGTACTTGACAGTAATCATTTGATTGCATATTATGGTTTCTTGATGCTTCAAGATAATTTTTTCCACGGTTGAAAATATTATTGGCTTTATCAGAAATTTTTGAAAGAAAGTGCTTATTATCTAAAGAGAATATACCTTTTCCCTTGTCAATTATATCTGTTTTTGATGAATTATCTCTTTTTTCATTATCCAAAAGATCTAATGACATAAGTACTGAAATAATAGAATCTATATATGTCTTGACATGTGTTATATCTATTGCTCTAATCACTTTATCATAATCAAATCCCATTTCAATAAGTTGAGATATAATTTCATCATTTGAAATATCATGTTCATTACTTTCACAATCTGAAAATAATTCCTTTTTCTGATAATTCAAATTACTCACTTCATCTGAATTATCATTTTCAACAAAATCTTGAACTGGTGTATTAAATATTTCAAAAATATCATCTACTTTATCCTCTTTTATACAATTTTCTGATATTGAAAATAAATTATCAAAAAATGGTTTATTATTTGATGTATTATTATTCAATCCCTCATATGATTCATTATTAAATTCTAATAATGACTCTTTATTACTCTCTAATTCCTCATATTTCATTTTAGATTTTTTTCTTTCTATATTTAATGACTGCCCGGAGACGGATTTAGATGCTTCTTCATAAAAATAATCTAAATCTGAAAATGATAAATAATTACTTTCATCGACATCTTTTCCTTTATATTGCCCTCTTTTCTCCTGTTTTTTTCTTATATTTTCTCTTTCTTGCATTTTTAACTCTATCTTTTTCTTATATTCGTTACTCGTCATTTTATAATAAAACCCACTTTTAACAGGTTTAATAAAATATTATAATAGATATTTCTTAAATATTCTTTCCCTTAATAAAATTTCATTTGATATTATAAATTACTCCTCAAAAAAATATTTTAATCTATTTCTTTTTTAAACTTCTTTTTAAACTTCTTTTTAAACTTCTTTTTAAACTCTTTTTTAACCAAAAAAATACTGGCAAATTCCTTTCATCATAGATTACTTTCCATTCACTATATATACAAGCTTAAAAATTCGATTTCTATCAAATTGTACGAACACTCTGACACTCGTTTTTGTACAAATTCACTTCAACGAGCTCTTAAAAAGTTCGCTATTCAATCTAAGCACGGGGAATCGCTTTCAAAGCATCTTTCCTTGATATACCTAAATGTATCTCTTACAAAACACTATATTTGGTGCATCAACGCCTGAAGCGCTATCAAGTGCTATTAAGTATTAAGTATTATTAAGTACTATTAAATACTATTAAATACTATTAAGTCTTATATATTTTACCTTTTAACCTTCTTAACTACCTTAACCTCGATATTTATAGAGCGTAGAGGGTGTTGCGAAGGCAACGGGCAGGACGTCAACGAAATGGAGGAAAAAGGTTTTATGCCAGAAGTCTTTAGAATGTCATCATATATTAAGAAACTATGGAGGACTAAGACAGCACTTATACTTAGTTCATTTTTTGGAGTACCATTTGTGCTTCCATCAGGATCACGGTCAGGATTTATATTGATGGATGAAGCGTATCCATATTCTACAGATAAGGAGGAAAAGAGGCCAGAAAGAGGGACGGAAAAGATGGAGGAATGTTTTAATATGGATAAAGAGTCGTATTTTGAAAGATCTATATTTTATGATCCGGTATTTGAATTTATTTTTCCAGTATGGGAGTTTTATACGATACCGACGATATTTGGATGGTTTTTTAGAGAGCGTGGGAGAATGGATAGGAATGAGAGGGAAAAGAAGAATATTGAAAGGTATAAGGATTATTTTTGGAGGCCGAGACTTTTTCAGAATGAAAATTGGAAAGATGTATTTGAAACGTTTGAAGATTTACGATGGAGAGAAAAGGATAAAGAAATTTTTGAAAATGAGAAAGAATATAATAAAGGAGAAGAAAAGGAATTAAATGAATCGTCTAAGAAAGTGATATCTAAGATTTCAAAAAAAATGTTACGTACATTTGGAGATGGATCGTATGAGACAATTGAAGTTATTAAGCGATGCTTTGATGATGGTACGTGTGAAACGACGAAATATACGGATTCGTCGAATGGTAAAATGGAAAAGAAAAGAGAAATAATGGATAATGAAGGTTTTTTTTAGATTTATGAAATGATATGTATTAAAAAGAAAAGTAGTTGAATCATCCGCATCTAAATATACGCAAGAAAGTGCATTTAATTCTTCTATGAATAAGTAATTTAATTATTTTAAAAATATGGTTAAATTTGAACTAATAAAAAATAGCGATGTTTAAAAAATAATGATGTTTAAAACATAAATAATTTTTACCTTTTTACATTATATATAAGTAATTGCTACGCGAGAACGTATATTTTGTTTGTTTTTTGTACATTTGTATAATATAATTCATTTGAAACATTGATCCATGAGTTATAGATATTTATATATCTATAAAATTAATGGTTTTTTTAGAAAAATTAAAAAAAATATATATAAAGAAGTAAATAGAAATCTTAGAAAGTTATGCATTTATTTAATTTTAAAGTTTAGTTTATTAAAGTTATATTTAAAAAAATGTTTTTTAAGTTGACAAATATAAATGAAAAAAAGACAACGAATGAATATTTTTAATAATTAAATTTAATTATTTTTTACATTGAAAATATCACATTAAAACATGAATTGTCTTGTATTTTAAATAGTTATTTTGAGATTATAAAAAACAGTAATGTCAAAAAACAATATGCTAAATTTTCTCAATATTATAAAAGTATAGATTTAATTATTCAACAAAATTAAGTTAAAGAAAAAAATATAACATTTTAAAAGATAAATTATCTTTTTTATATATAGTTGAGCTAAATTTAATTCAAAGACAAATATTCTATGTATTGTTTGAATATTTCATTCTCTAAAATACTAATATTTAAATATGTTTTCTATACAAAAAATCAATTTATGAAAAAATTATCGTTTCATAATTCTTTTTGAACTTTTTTTCATTTATATTTTATTTATTAATATTTTTAGAATTTTAAATAGATTTGAGGAACTCTTGAAAAATAATTAAAAGTCAAACCTATATATCTTTCTATATATTACATATAAACTATATGATATTAATATTATCTCTATCACTATTTATATTGATATTATCTTTATCTATATTAATATTATCATTATTTATATTAGTATTATCACTATTTATATTAATTCTATCAGTATTTATATTAATATTATCTCTATTTCTATTAATATCATCTCTATTTATATTAATATTATGCTTTTTTTCTATTTTATTTGATCCTTTAAACATTTTCTTAAAGAATTGAAAAAATAAAACAATATAATTATTCTTTAAAAGGCAAATATAATATAATCCATACATAAAATAAATAAAATTCTAAAATTAACCCATATAAAAAAACTCAAACAATTTTATTTAACATTTCTTAAAAATAAAACATTTATTAACATAAAAAATACATGAGAACTCAAAATGGAATATATAAAAATAAGGATAAATCTTACTTTTTATTATAAATTTCATTAAAAAAAACTCAAAAATTTCAAAAATAATCATTTTCATAACATATACAAATTAAATCTTTTAAATAAAATATACTAAATTTCTTTATACGTTCGATTTAAAAACATATCTTTATTTCATAAACAATATAATCATAAAAAAAATCAAAGAATTAAAAATCATTAACAAAACTATATATTTTATGAACATAATTAAAGATTTTCTATATTTCAAAGACATTATTATTATCCATTTAAATATATATAAAGATAATTGCCATGACAACCGATAATCCAATGAATTATATATTCTTCAGATAAAGTTGAAAATTAAATGAAATTATTTCCTTTATAAATCTTAATAAAGAAACACTAATATAAAAATAAAACATAAATATTCTTTTTTATCTTTATTTTTGTATTAATTGTCTCCAATGATTTCTTATCTTGATCTTAAAACCCCAGTTGATCGTCATTTCACGTGACACGCATATACTTCAGTAAAAAGATATAAAAGGAAGGGTTCCCGCCTTTTTTTACTAAGTTAAGACAAAAAATTTCCAATAAAAAGGAAGCGTATGATTAAAATACGTTATATGAAGTTAGGGAATAAATTTATTTATTAATTTATGTGAGATAAGATTAATTTAAGAATCTTAAGAATCATTATAATACTTTCTAGTTTTTAAATGAACTTGTATATAAAAAAAAAAAGAAATATTGATATGGTTTGTGAAGAGAAGAGCGAATTGTTATCTGGGGAGTCACTAGAAGAACCGGAAAAGGCCAAATATATAGATTTAAGTGATAGTACTGAAGAAAATCTATATATTGATACTGTTCCTCAAACGAGGCAATAAATACTAATTGAGAAAAATATAGAATTACTAAGTTATATAGAGAATGGGTTATTTTTCGTATTGAAAAATTAATAGAAGCAGCAATTGATTCGATTTATAATAAAAAACCATTACTGATAAAACTTTCAATAAGAAATAATAAATGGTAAAGAAAAGCTATCGCAGGAGAAAAATAATATTTTCAGTATTTTTGATAGAAAATCTAATATGATTAAAAGAAATTCAGTAATTAAACAGAAAGTTTTCCGATTTCCAAGTAAAACACAAATAGGCTCTTGGAGATTTGGTAATTTCTTAATCATTGTACTCAAATATCTAATAAGATTAATATAGCTGTTCTTATTCGAATTTTAGATCTAATTCATGAATCTCTAGTATCAAATACTCCAGTAACAAAAAGGTAAATTGTTTAAACATTAAATCTTAAGTATTTTTTTTTTATAAACCAAGGGATATCTATTATCGTGATATAAACTTATTTAAGAATTCAAAAATTGTAAATAAAATTATAGAAGATATAGCATATACCTTCAAAATTCGAAGATCAGCACTTAATGTTGTAAGATACAAGTAATTAATTCAAATTCATTGTTAATTTTCAATAAAATAGCTAGCTACAGCAAAAGGACTCGTTTGCGGCCACATAAAAATAAAACGAAAAAATTTTGAAGAGATAAATTGTTTGCAAGATTCTGAAGTATGGAAATCAAGTCCATTATTCCCCAATTTTAATATTTTCAGGTATTAATACCTTCAGAAACTGAAATAGAAAGTATAGAGACAGAAGCTGATTGGATTCTTATTGTTGAAAAAGAAGTAAAAATAGATATAAATTATAAAGTAGAAATTAATATCTTTAGTCGACATTTAGAACATTACTGATATCAAAATTTTACAATCATCCAGTAGCAGGGAAAGGTGTTATCATTACAGTATAAAGAATCCATTACACTTAAAATCATAAAACTGAATTTGTTATCAGGCAAAAGGATACCCAGATATATCAACAAGAGAATTTTTATACATGATATCAAAATCTATTTCATCTTCTTCAAGTCCTTATAAGAGATCAACTCCCATATTGTGTCTTGTAGATTATGATCCACATGGAATAAACATTCTAGCAACATACAAATTTGGTTCATATGCAGAAGCACACAATAGCCATCTAATGGCTATACCATCGATCAAATGGTTAGGCGCACACTCAAATGATTTTCGTAAAAATCAAGAAAATGGATATATTCCAATGAATAACAATGATATAAAAAAAGCTTTTGACCTTTTACAAAAAGAATGGATTCAAGAACACATAAACCTAAAAAATGAGTTATGTAGAATGTTATTTACCAGAGTTAAAGCAGAAATACAATTATTAAGTGAAAATGATGAAAAATGTTTAACAGAATATTTAGCAGATAAAATTTCCAAAGGTGAATGGTTATAATTCCAAATAAAATGTAGTAAAATTCTCAATTCTAATGCTTTTTTTACTTTTTTTTACTTTTTTTACGAATTAAAGATTCATTAAGGATATTTACGGGTTTTAATTGTTCTGAAATATCGATAGCTTTTCTCTTTTTATCCTCACTTGTTTTTTTACCCGAAACTTTTTTAATCCAATCAACACTATCTTTAATATCTTTAGAGTTATTGATATCATTAATCAAATCAAGCGTCGCTCCTTTAGTCTTTTCCAATGTCTCAAAATCAGAGCGCAATAATTTTTCATAAACCATTCTATAAATTTTCTCATTTATTTGAATACCATTTTGTAAATCCAAGTCCTCTGTTATAGTATTGTTTGTTCCATCCTGATCATTCCCTGGAAATTCTAGACTAAAAAACCCAACAATTCTACCATGTATACACTCTTGACGAAACGCCATTAATTCCCAAAACTTATCAATGCTTACAACTTCTCCATCTCTATCCAATTGATCAAGAAACCGGGTTTTAGGATCATCTGGAAAACGTGGAATAATTTCTCCTGCCGATTGACCCATAGATTCATATGGATGACCACATATCCAGTTTAAATCTGTATCAACATGTTGAGGTGTATATTTAAGAGTTTCTCTTGGATCCATTCCTGGTATTAAAACATATTTCTTAGGGCATTGGGACCCATTTACAGAATCTAATACTTTTAACCACCATCTAACCAATTCTCGATCATCTAATATATGTTTAGATGGATTTAAAGAGGACGACGGAAAAAGATATTGAGGTTGAGATCTTGAAAAAAGAGATATTCTTGAAGGTATATTTTTCCTAGAAAACCTTCTAATTAAATATGACAAAAATGTTGAAATAACTGCTTTTAAAGGCGATGGTGAACCATGTCGATTAAAAAATCCTGTTGAATCCGCCTTAGAAATATAAAATACACTAAGTTCCGATGAAAAAAATATCAAAACTTCAATGGCATAAGCCATTGCATCCTCTTGTAATATAAAAAAAAAATGGTTTGAAAGATATACATTATCTATTTTCCTCTTATTCAACCATGGCCACTTTAACTTTTTAAAATTTGTAAATATATAACCATATGAAAATGTTATTTCTGGCGGTAATGACTCAATAGATTTTGATATTCCTGTATATAAATTATCCATATATATTAGAGGCCTTAAAAAACTTAAGTTTTTTAAGGTTAGTTACGATAAGTCGGTAACCTAAGATAATGACTTTTTCTAAAAAAATCTCTATTTTGAGTAGAATAGAGAGGTAATTCATTAAATTAATATTGGATAAGAGATATTTACTAATATATTTTAGATATTCGTTTTTTTTTGGAGTTCAATGGAGAAATTTTGGAGGAGTTTCAGTAAAAACATTTCAAAAAAATATAAGTTCATTTAAAGGCAATAAAAGGCCTAAATATGAGAGATCTATTATGTATTATGGAGGATATTATTTATCTAAAGATAGAGGAATGTTTTTTAGGGATTTTTTTGTTTTTAAATGTCAGTTTTCTACAACATCAAAGGTATTATCAGAATATCGAGAAAAAACTTTGGAGATGATCCCAGAGAATACAGAAACAGTAGTTGAAACACCGTTAGAAGAGGTTATTCATAGGGTCGGGGATTTGAAGGCAATGGGATTTTGTAATTGGACACCTGTTGGTTTTTTACAGCAATGTCTAGAGTATATATATGTATTTACAGGATTACCATGGTGGGCAAGTATAGCAACACTAACGGTTATAATAAGATTTTGTATGGTTCCACTTCTGATTGGGATGATTCGAAATCTAAGTACACTTGCACTTATTCATCCTGAAGTTCAAAATCATATGAAGGCACTTAAAGAAGCTCAACTAGAAGGAGATATAATAGAACAAACCAAAAGGACGCAGTCTATTCAGAAGTTATTTAAAGAGTATAAAGTGAATCCATTAAAGTCACTTGCTATGCCATTTATACAAATGCCAGTTTTTATTAGTTTTTATCTTGCATGTTCTCGTATGGCATCGTTACCAGTTCCTGGACTAAAGAATGGAGGGTTAGGATGGTTTAATGATTTAAGTGCAAGCGATCCATATTTTATTTTACCTTTTCTTAATTCATCTCTTATGTTTATTAATTTAGAGGTATGCTTATTAAAAGCTATATAAAAAATTATTAATTATTGTCTATAGCTTGGATCTGAAGTTGGTTCTAGTGCATCAACCAATGCAAATATGAAAATGAGGAATCTTTTTCGAATGATAATCCTTTTAACACCGCTTTTTACCATAAAATTCCAATCAGTATACAATCATTAAATATTATAGTTATTTTAATCATATAATAGGCAGTTTTTTGTTATTGGATTACTTCAAATATTTTTTCACTAGGACAAGGTTTTATGCTTCGTCATTCATCTGTTAGACATTTTTTAAATCTACCACCTCTCAAGCCTAAAACCCAATCTGATAAATCTGACAATTCTAAAGATTCTGAAGGATTTAAATCAAATTTTATAGCTATGGTAGAAGGTATTAAAAATACACATCGTCAGGTCTTAGAAACAAGCAAAAATGTGTATAAAACATCAAATCAATCAAATAAACATCGTCCTGTAGATAAAACTCTTGAGGCATATATGTTAAGAAAAAAAATTAAGTACAAACAGAAACAAGAAAATAAAGAAAAACAACATGAAACATCATAAAATCATTTCTGGAATATCATATCATCAAAATAAATAACAATTAATCAATCCTATACATTTTTATTTAAACGATGTGGTCTTTGCTTCACAAATTAATCTATGAAAATTAATACATAAACATACTCTAGCACCAAGTATATTCCATCGGATAGAAATCTCATGTGCAAATATTTCACCAAATCCTAGAAATACACCATTAATAAATGGAAGGAACATATTAATTACTAATCTCATAATTAACTCAAACAACAACATTTTAAAAAAATATACCAGATGAACGAATTAATGTCCATACTTTCTTATATGACTCATTATTTACATAAGGAATAAGTCTATTCATATTATTCTTTTTTAATGATTTTTCATTATCATCTTGGGTTGGATAAACATGTAAAACGTCTATAACATCATCTTTTTCAGATTCTTCACTCATGGAATTATCTTCACTTAATTCATAAGAAGACATATCAGAATTATATATTAATTGGTTTTCATTCATATCTTGGGCTTTTCATAGATCTTATTGAATTGCTTGATATTCTAAGATTTCACATAATCGAGACGTTAAAAAAAGCCAAACAATGAAGATTGAGAGAGGTATTAAAATATACATTATTTTATAAAGAATATCTGCTAAAATATATATGTTTATCTTTAGTTTCTATTTGGTCACCATTACCATCAACACATCGAGCAAGTCCAGTTCATCTTTCAAGTCATCCAGATGGAACAAAGATTGCATATGCAGTAACTAAGAAAAAACAGATATTTACAAGGGAAATATTAATTATTAAAGTCTAATAAATCTATTTATTTGAGGAATATTGAGTATCCAATTGAAACAATTCAATATGGAGGACATAAGGTTCAAACGACGGTGGCAAAATTTAGTCCCTCTGGAAATTATGTAGCATCAGGGGATTTTCAAGGAAATGTACGTATATGGGATTGTATTGGAGAAGAGAATATTCTTAAACTGGAAAAAAAAGTGATTAGTGGACGTATTAATGATATAGCATGGGATGGAGAAAGTAAACGAATCATTGCAGTAGGAGATGGACATGAAAGGTAATAAATAAAAAGAAAAATAAAAAAAAATGTATAAAGTACTTATGAAAATGAATTAGATTTGGGCATGCGTTTACGTTTGATACAGGAAATTCAGTTGGAGAAGTAATAATTATGTTATATATGAATTGAATTTATAAGTTATTTTAGATTTCAGGTCATTCTGAAATAGCTAATGCAGTATCTATACGAAAACAAAGGCCATACAGGGCAGTAACGGTATCGGATGATACATCTGTTATATTTTATCATGGACCACCATTTTTTTATGATAAAATATCCCGTCATCATAAGAAATATGTTCATGACGTTTCATTTTCTCCATGTGGCAATTTTTTTTGCACAGTTGGAGGAGATTCAAAAATTATTATTTATGATGGAAAAAATGGGACAATGATCAATGAATTTTCCAATAAAGAAGGACATAAAGGGAGTATTTTTTCTTTATCATGGAGCCCAGATTCAAAATATTTACTTACCTCATCTGCTGATCATACATGTAAAATTTGGGACGTAGAAACTCAAAAACCAACAGAGTAAATTCAGCATTTTAATACATCATTAATTAAATGATTTTAGAACATGGGTATTTTCAGAAGTAGTTTCAGTTCCTGATCAGCAAGTTGGAAACGTTTGGACTTCTTTGAATAAAATTATATCATTATCATTTAGTGGTGATCTAAATTATTTATCTCGGTCACAAAAAGATCCCATACGAATAATTCAAGGCCATCAAAGATCAATTACGGCAAGTGGATTATCGGAAGACAGATCTACCTTTTTTACTGCTTCTTATGAAGGACTTATATGTGGTTGGGATGTAAAAACAGGTATCGCAAAATCTCTAAAAGATGGACCAAATCATACAAATCAAGTAACTCAAATTCTTCCTTGTAATGATAAGATGTTTTCAATTGGGATGGATGATACCTTACGAACTCTTGATACTAAACTTTTGATTTATGAGTTTTTACCCACTAACTTTAAATTTTAAAACTAATATACTTAAAGAGGAAATCCTATACATTTTGATAATCTTCCTAAGGGTTTAGCTTCCATTAAAGATGATCAGGATTATAAAATTATTATTACAGTTTCTAACATACAAGTTTACCAAAATAATAAAAAAATCATATTACATGATACTCTTTTTCAACCCAATTCTATTGATAGAAATAAAACAAATAATGAGTTCTCCGTTGGAACAGAGGTAGTAATTCTAAAAATTTTTAAATAACGTTTAACATTGCTTAGGAGGGTAATATTTACATTTTTGAATTTAGGATAAATCAAGAAAAAATTGTAGAAATAGACAAAATAACGGTTAATCATTTTCCAATTACAACTCTAGCATATTCTCCAAATGGGAAATATTTAGCTGCTGGTGATGGATCAGGGAAAATTATTCTTTATGATGCAAATACAAGAGAAATTGTAACTAGTCGTTGGGTATTTCATGTAGGTAAAATAACAGCTATTTCTTGGAATTCGGAAAGTACACACATATGTTCAGTTTCTCTTGATACACATCTTTATATTTATTCAGTATTTAATCCTGATCGCCATCTTGTAATCAAAAACGCACATCTTGGAGGTGCATCAGGCGCTATATGGCTTTCTAATGATGAAATATTAACTACTGGTGCTGATGCATCTGTTAAACGATGGAGAGTTGTTTTAGATTCGTAATTCTTTCTTTCAAAAACAAATTAATCTTTAAAATCTATATTATTTAACTCAAATAATCAATAGATTTATAATTCTAAATAATTATTTAATTAAATTAAACTCAATATTATCGAGGAAACAGTGGATAGAGCTATAACTATATATCCAGTCGTATAAACTCCCTTAAGTGTTAATCCTTAACACATTTATCATTCAATGATACAAATTAAAAAATTACTGTATACAAACCTCTTCCTGTATCCCAATAAAGATGTCTAAGCCCATTAAAAGAATGATATGTAAACGGAAATGAAACAATAAACTTGGTTAAGATTTTTGCTTCTACCGGCCAAGAATGAAAAACAGAAGAAATAGTTTCAGAATCCAAATGCCAATTAAAAATTGGTGATACAAGATAACTAATAGCAAAAACATACAACCCTTATAACTTTTAACCATATAATATTAATACCAAAAAAATACCAGCTGAGACAAAACAACCAGTAATTCTATTAAACCCTGACATATACCATGTCAATTGAGGCCGGTAAATACTTAAATGAGGCGAATTAGGCCGTTTTAATCGCTGCTGCGCCAAAACATTAGATGCCTCTTCTTTCGAAATAACTTCCGTTTGAATCTTTCTAAAGACTATTAATAGATATTAATACTCATTAATATCATATATAACCGTATAAATGGACTGTATACGCCTTTCTTAAGCAAATATCTTGGGTACAAATAAATCTCTATAAAAAAGTAAAAAAATGTCAATTTTAACCCGTTTTTTTCCGGGAAAAAAGCAATTACCAGGAAACAATAGTCCTCTACTCGTATTTATATATCTTATCATATAAAAAATACTCAAAAATCTCTCTTTCTAATATTTTATAAAAAATTTATTTTTATGTCGTTCATTATCTGACGATCATCCAATATATTATTTAAAAAAATAATAAAAAAATATAAGGAAAATAAGAAATAAATAAGTATATTCCATATATTTATATATTACCATATATAAAAATATATAATTTATATATTTGCTATTTTTTCTGTGGAGTTTTTATTAAATAATTAAGATTTTTATCACAAACCTGTTAAGAATTTTTTTTTAAATATTGAGATTTATAAGTGGAATTTCAAGTAAAAATCAATTATTTCTAAGAAGGAACATCTACATATAATTATTTATATATTTTTTGGCATTTTTTTCTACATAATATAACGAGTTATTTTTGAAAAAGCGGACATATTAGAGCTATTTATAAGATATATTGTTATCTCTAGATATTTGGTTTAGTTATGGTAACATCAGTATGGCCTCCAGATACAGTAAAAGATGTTGCAGAGTCTATTGGTATTAACCAGCTTGATGACGATGTAGCAAAAGTTTTAGCATTGGATATTGAATATCGTATACATGAAGTTATTCAGGTAGTACATTTTGGAGAAGAAAAGGATATTTGATGTTATATTGAATGGGAATTTAAATAATTTTTGTGAAAAATTTTGAATGAGTTATTAAATTGATAAATATAGTATTGAAAAGTTAATATTTAATCTATGGTTCTATATAAAACAGAGATATCGACATTATAGTATTAAATCTACAACATTTTTAACTCAATTGGAGATTCAAATTTTTGTTTTAAATTTTCTGTTTATTTTTTGTGATTTAGAACTCACATAAATATCTTTAGGAGGCAGTCAAGTTTATGCGACATGCTAAACGTACAATTCTTACGGTTTCTGATATTAGTCATGCACTTCGTGTCTTAAATGTCGAGGTAAATTTGATATAAAAGCTTTAAATAGTAGTAAATGTCATTTTTAATAGCCTTTATATGGATATCATGCTTTTCGTCCAGTACGGTTTGGAGAATCACGATTAGAACAAGGCCAGCCACCATTATATTACTTAGAAGATGAAGATATTGAATTTGACAAAATTATTCATGCACCACTTCCAAAAGTACCTAGGGATATTAATTATTCAGGTTAGAAATGAAACAATAATCATTAAAATAGATGAATAATCTATTAAAAAGTCCATTGGTTAGCGATTGAAGGTGTCCAACCTGCTATTCCACAAAATCCTGTATTGTCTGATACATTAGCGACTGATCAGAAGGATTCTGGAACACTAAATAACAATTCATGGACAATTTCAAATCCTTCATCAGGTATAGAAGTTAAACATTTGGTTAAACATGTTATATCAAAAGAATTGCAATTGTATTTTGAACGTATCAACTCAGCTATTTTAGATGAGCAGAATGAAGGACTTCGTTCTGCTGCATTAACTAGTTTAAGACAGGATTCTGGATTACATCAATTACTTCCATATTTTGTTTCACTTGTAGCTGAGAAAATTACACATAATTTGAAAAATCTTTTTATACTAAATATGATGATGCAGATGACATGGGCTTTATTTGATAATCCAAACTTATTTATTGAACCATATGTTTGTATATTTTATTATTTTGAAAAAGCTTAATGCGAATAGCTTCATCAAATCATTCCATCAATTTTAACATGCCTGGTGGCTAAGAAATTGGGAGAAAACCCTGCTTCTGAAGAACATTATGAACTAAGAGACTTTTCTTCATCATTACTTGGGTTAATTTGTCAAAGATTTAGTGATGTTTATCATACATTAAAACCAAGAATCACACGAACACTTTTAAAAGCATTCTTAGACAATAGAAAGCCATTCACAACACATTATGGAGCAATTATTGGGCTTATTACTATGGGAAAAGAAGTTATTCGTATATTAATTTTACCAAATATAAAAACATATGAATTATTAATTAAAGATGATATAAATAGTCCTGAATTAACAATTAAAAAAATGGAAGCAACCAAATGTCTTGAAGCTTTGATGGTATGTAATCTTTTAAAAACATTATTTTTTAATAATCATAGAATGCACTTCGTACTTTGTCAAAAGATGAAACATCTGAAATTAAAACAACTGATGAAACATTCAATAATGAAGAATTAAATGATCCATCTTCCGAAACACATACTATTCTTGTAGAAATGGTCGGAGAGTTAATGACTAATAAAATTATAGAAGAAAAAGACGAAAAAATTATAAAAACACTCTTAGAAACACATAAGTTAGAAAAAATACTTCATTAGCTATTTATTTAAACAAAAACTATCCTAATATATACAGCATCATTGTTTAATAAGCGATAATTCTTTAATAATATAATCATATAAACCTTTTTTAAAGCATTATGCACTCTTCAAGTATAAAATGCCTATCCTTAAAATTTAATGAAATGATTTACCATTTGTTTGCGAAAATGTATCTGATTCACTATCACTTTCATCATCCATATCTATTTCATGAGAAAATGCAGCACTACCCATTTTTTCATAATGCTTCTTACGCATTAGTTCAAAATGACGACGATGCTGCTCATCTATTCCACAAACATGTTAAAAATTATAATAAAAATATAATTTTTAAACCTTCTGGTGTCTGCATATCTTCCTTATCCTTTTCTAACCCCGTATCTTTAACAATTACATGTTTTAAAAGAGTCGGCATCTTTTCATGAGGCTCTCCTAGATCAAATACTGGTATATCTGAATTATTTTGCTTATTTATTGGTTCTTGATCACTATCCATGTTTTCTTCATCAAAACTAACTGATGAATCATATTGACGTGTATACGGCGTCTTTGGCTCGGTGATCTTCATTGTAGACGTCTTCTCCTGCTCTGTTAAATACAGATTCGCCTCGTCCCATTTCAATCTTAACGAAGATGTTTCTGATGTCTCTAATGATGATAATTGAGTCCGAGAAAAAGAGTTTTCACACAATTCTTCATTCCCCTCCTTAGAAGATGTACTATGCAAATGAACTACCTCATTCTTGTTCTTTAAAATCCCTTTACGAGGCTTTAAAATGTCTGACAGCCCTTTAGAAATCATACAAAGAAAACAATATTAAAAAACTCAGGAAAAGTAATAAAACAAATCTTATAGTTGAGTTTAAATATAAATAAATAGAAAAAAACCTTTTATAACTGTTTTATATAAAAATATCCACCAAGTCTAAGACACCAACTACGGATAGTTAATACTAAGAAAAATAAAAATAAGACTTAATACTGATAAATAACATGTTTTTAAGGGTCTATCATAATTAAAAACAGGATTTCTTTATTATTTTTTTTAGAGAAAAATAACATAAAAAATAAGAATTTAAAAATTTACAGTGAATTTCATAATATTTAGATCTTAATAAACTATCTAAAACTCTTAAGTTTTATTTAATTAATATTAATAATATTATTAAAAAATTTATTAATATTTTATCAGAGTTGGTAAGGGGAGGATTTGTTAAAATAATCAATTTTAACAGGGAAACAGATATAACAGACAAGTTTAATATTAAAATGACATAAAATATTTTATATTTGCTAATAAATAGGTATTTTTTTTATAAAAAGATAGAACGGGCTATAAGAGCAGTTTGCGCAGATAAGACTTGTATATTTATCAATATTTTTATTGTTTAAGGATATTTACAAAGTTCTGGCATTGAAATAGTATATAGAAAGTTTATTTTATATATATATTTGAAATTTTTTTGTATGAATGGAAAAAAGAAAGAAAGAAGACGATAATGACCAAGAAAAGAGGTCTTTGGAAGGTATTTTATTACGTTTGATTGGTTTTGAATGGGGCTTTTCCTGACAAAAGACGCTAGAGTTTCAATGGCAAAGTAGGGATGTTATAATTCCAGGATGAGAATAACTTAAAGCTATATAGCGGATAATATTAATAAACGTCTGAAGGAATCACCAAAAGAAAGGAAAAAACGAATTGAGCGACTTTCAAATGCACTTAGTATTGTTCTTGAATGTCTTGGTGAAGATCCGGTAAGAGAAGGATTAAAAAAGACACCAGAAAGATATGCAAAAGCAATGCTTTTTTTTACAAAAGGTTATGAAGACAATATATCAGGTATATTATGTTTTTATATTATTTTTTTTAATATTGAAATTAATTAATATATAGATATTATAAATGAGGCAATTTTTACAGAAGATCATGATGAAATGGTAATTATTAGAGATATTGATATGTTTTCTATGTGTGAACATCATCTTGTACCGTTTACAGGAAAAGTAGGAATTTTGATAAGATTTAAAGATCTATTTATATGTATTTTTAGGTTTCAGTTGGATATATTCCTAATAAAAAAGTGATTGGCCTTTCTAAAATTGCACGTCTTGTAGAAATGTTTTCTCGTCGATTACAATTGCAAGAAAGACTTACAAAGCAAATTGGAATTGCTCTCTGGAAAATGTTGAAGCCACGGGGTGTTGGTGTAATTATTGAGGTAAATTAATCCAAAGCTATCTTAAGTTTTAGCTAGTTTTTTAATTTATTTTTATATTTCAATGTTTAATCATTTTTTAGGCAAGTCATTTATGTATGATTATGAGAGGTGTTCAAAAACCAGGAAGTGTTACAGTTACAAGGTTGAAAACCTTATAAAAAATTGAGTTTCATGCTAAACAGTTTAGCCATATGCTTGGTGCATTTAGAGAAGCATCTAAAACAAGAAAAGAATTTCTAACATTAATTTCCAAAAAATAATTATTTATTAAACAATTTGCAAAACAATATATTCATATATACAAAAAACAAAATTTATAAAAACTACCTGATTATTTTATAGATTTAAATAATGGATATAATTATATTAAAAATTCGTTAGGATTTAATATTTAAAATAAGAAATGGATTATACAATTAATATGTATTCTTCTAACGTTTCCTTTGTGCATAGAATTTTTTAATAATTGGATTTCGAGCCACTGCAAGGTCCTTAAGTTGTTTATTAGCACTTTTATTATATCTAAACAGATTAAAAAAATAATAATAATAAATTAATCATACTCAATATATGCAAAATCATCTCCTCCTGACAAACTACTTAGATTAGTAATATTACGTTTGATTTTTGAAAAATTATATAAATCTTTTTTAGATTTCTTTGAAAAATTGTCAAAATGACCATCTCTTTCTTCACTTTTATCAATATCAGCAGCATCTTCATTTTGTAATAAAACTTCTTGTAACAATTCTCTCTGTTCAGCTGGAGTAGAAAATGCCAAATTGGGTAAATTTTCCATCCCTTTCAAATGAGTAATAACTTTAAATGAATATCCTTGATCAATTAAAAAAGCTTGTCGTTTTACTGAATAATAAACTTCCATTGTATCTTTAGATATTAAACTATAATATAATTAACAAATAATATATTCTAAAATTAACTCCAACCTGTAGAAAAATGCATTAAAACCTTGATCGTTTCTTCTTTTCGCTCTTAAAATACGACCCAATCTCTGAGCTTCCTGCCTACGAGAGCCATAATGTGATGATATTTGAATCAAACATGTGGCTTCAGGAAGATCAATAGAAGTATCACCAATCTAGTAATTTTGAATAAATTAGGAGAAATTGTCAAAATCTTACCTTTGAAAGAAAAATTGTTTTTACCATATCATTATATCTAAAATTTTCCAAAATTTTGATTCTTTCATGCTGAGAAGTCCCACCATATATATAATACTTCTGTAACTTTAATGCATATGCTCGTAAAGCATAGACATTATCAGAAAATACAATTATTTTGTCACCTCTTTTTTCATGATAATCAATTAAAAATTGACAAGCTTGGAATCTAGAGAAATATTAAATATAAACAGAAAATCGAATAACCCATACTTATTAGGATTCATTATATAAAGAAGCATACGCTTTCGAGAAGTCTCATTTAAATATTCATTATAAAATTCAGTAGTCATTGGACACCAAACTTCAGCGCACTAAAAAAAATTAAGTATATATTATATATATATATATAATATCATATTGTATACCTGTACATTTGCAATATATCCCTTTTTCGCTAAATCCAACCAATTGGCTTCATACAATTTTGGTCCAATCAAAAAATTAAGGTCATCAATTTTATCATCTTCACGAACAAGAGTAGCTATAAATTATATAACAAATAGATACTTTGAAAAAAAATAATTAGTACCAGTCAATCCCAATTTTGCATGAGCAGCAACAGTCGTAATAACTCGACGAAACATAATTGCTGGAACAACATGAACTTCATCTAATAATAAGAACCCCCATTCGCGTGATGTCAAAAAGTCCATAATTTTTTGAGAGTCATGAGATCTATTCCTTGTATTTGCAATCATTGAATAAGTTGAAATAATTACACCAGATTCACCCTTAAACTAAAAAAGTTTTAGATTATAATATTTTATAGTAAAACAAAGACCTTTTCTTTATTATCCGAAGTAAAAACTGCAATATCTTCATTTTTAATGTTACTCCATTGCAAGAATTGCTGTCTCCATTGCATAACAGAAACTCTATTTTGTGAATTAAAAAATATATTTTTTCAAAAGAATCATACGAAGAAGTACACAATACTAAAACACTTTTTTTAATTGTGCATGCAGCTGTAATCCCAACTAAAGTTTTCCCTGTTCCACAAGGCAATACAATAATTCCAGATCTTGCACGACTATTATATTAATAAAGAATAAAAAATACTATAATATCCTCACCCGTTACCAAACATTTTACTTAAACCTTTTTCTTGATATGACCTAATCTGAGTAGAAGGTTTTAAATCAATTTCTAAATCAGGATTGGACGTATCATTCCGGAAATCATATTCTTCAAGCATTGGATAATCTATTTCAGAACAACGTTTTTTTGCAATTTCAACTGAAGATGATGGTATTTCAAATGAATAAACATTATCGTCATCGTCATCATCATGATCGATATCAATAGTAGGAAAAAGCTCGCCCACTTCTTCCGAATTTTTAACTTCATTTTCATCTACTTGGTTAGATGATAATGCATCATTCTTTGTATTATCATTAGAATCATTTTCTTCATTATTTTTAGATTTATCTTCTAAATCCTTTTTCTTGTCTGAATAAATATCATTTGTTCGGGAATTTGAAGTAGTAAAATATGATTTATTTCTAGACATTTCTGCTTCCACTCGCAAAGGACCAATAACATCATCTTTTAAAAGCTTCTGTAAAATTTCCACATGAGAACTCTCAATAAAATATCGATTCTGTTTTAAAACTAATTTAATCTTTCCATATGAAATTGTATACATTCGAATAAATTCTACAATATTTTCCGGAATTGAAAATTTTGACAATCTATCAAGAACTGATATAATATCATCTGTTTCTAATCCAACAGAAACAGCTGCATACAAAGAATATGCTGTCAACCGATATTCATGAATATGTATTGGTCTTTTTTTCAAAAAAAAAACAATCAGTCAATAAATACAAAAAAAAATTTGCACAAATACCGACTAACTGGTTCTGAAATTGTTATCAAAAAATCTTGTGCCTGCTCTGCCAACGGTGAAAATGCTTCTAAAATAATTTTGCCATCATATGGATTAATCCATAATGGTCTGGACTCATGATCCGATTTAAGCTTTAAAACAGAACTAAAGTCATTCTCTCCAAATATATACGCTACTGAATCATATCCATATCTCTGTTGGCTCTCTGCTGTATTATATGTATTGTTTCCTTGATTTAACTTAATTTTAATTCGTGTGCCTTAAAATTAAGTTAAATAAGTGAAAAAAAAGCCCCCAATCAATCTATACTCTTCACATCTTGTCTACGAATGCTTTTATTCCCTTTAATGTACTCTTCATCTGAAAATTCCTGACAAACATAATCCGGTGTTGGTGATCGAGTTCTTTTATTTTTGTTCAAGTTACTAGCCTCTAAACACATGAATAACCCTCTTATACCCCTAATACTGGATAATATACATCTTCTGATACCTCTTGAATATCATTTGTTAACATAGAAAATACTTGTTTTTTTTATGATTCTGATACGTCCGAAGAAGCAGCATATTAAATGGGGACGACTGATATCAATATCAATGAATGACTAATGTATGTTAAATGATATAAAAATACATGATATAAGTAGAATAAAAGAGATATTATTCAAGATCACTTGAAGGAACATCAATATCATCTTTTTTATAAATATTGTTAGCAGGCTGTATATAAGAATAAGATTTATGTATAAAAAGAGATTACCTGCCAAACCATAACGATATTATCTTCAGCAGAACTTGCCAAGATCCATGGATCATTAAGATTCCAGCTAAAATCGCTAACACGATTTGTATGTCCACCATGCATAAACTATTTAAATTATTAAAAAGGAAAAAAAGAGTAAATTGGTATACTAGAAGTTCGGGAGGACCGTCTTCAGCATCTTCAGGAGATTGTTCTTCACCAATTTTACTAAGATCCCATAGAATGATACGTCTATCGATACTTGAGCTAGCTAAAATAGTTTCTTCATGAGGAGACCAAGAAAGAGATGTTACTTCATCGTCATGTCCTTCAAAAGAATGCAATTTAAGTTTTAAATTCCTTAAATCCCAAAGGGCAATTGTTTTATCTGCAGAAGCAGTTGATAAAACATATTCGCATGCAGGATTAAAAGCTAAAGAATTAATTGCTTCAGAATGAGCATTTACTTTATATGCAGCAGAAGTTATATTTGATGATCGAATATCATGAATTTGAAGATATAAATCATCAGATACTGATCCAAACAAAGAATCATGAAGTGGATGAAAAGCAACATCTGTAACCACTGCTGTATGTGTTGTATAAATATGAATAGGTGATAAAATATTTGACCCTTTAGAATATGTAGTTATATCCCTAATAACATGTTAAAAATTATTTTTTATATTTAATAATTCATTCCAAAGACAAATAGTTGTATCTTCTGTGCCTGTTACTAAATACCCAAGTTTATGAGGATTCCAAGAAAGACCATATCTATATAATAAGACATATACAACTATATAAAAATCATTACCCTTCTTTAGTGTGTCCTTTCAGTTTAATTTGTGGATTACATGTTCCCATAGGATTAGATGAATGTTTTGTCCTATCAAAAATATAAACTTCGCCACTTACTGTCATTGTAGCAATAATATTAGGATTTTGAGGCTGATATCTCGCACAATTCACTTCCCCTTCATGATCAATCTTTTGAACTATATTGATTTTTGCATCTGTTCCTTCATATCCTCCTATTTCTTCTTTTTCTTCATCATATTTTCGAATATCTATATCTGTAGAAGAAAGAGGAAGATGAACTTCTGCAAATTTCAAATAATTTTGATCATTTCCAGACGTATGTGTTCCTATCAATAATCTATGAACTGAATAACTTTTTCCCGGAACACTAATACATTATTACTTTCATACTTTATACACAATATTATACGTTTCTTTATCTGGAAACCATTGTATCGTCAATGTAGGCCATTCCAAAGCATGCGTAACAATAAGATCATAAAGAAATGGCGAGTTTTTCTTCCAAATCTTATATTCTATCTTTTTTAATATATATTATTTAACTTATTCCTTTCTACCCTCATTAATCAATTTTTCTGCAACAATCTCAAAACAATTATCAACATAAACCATAATCATTTATAGATTCTAACCTGTTCTTCTGCTTCTCTTTCATCTGCATTCACTAATATATATTAAAATGTCTATTTTTAACATATTTAAAAATGTACTTGTCATTGCACTATCCTGTTGAAAATTACCATCTGATTCATTTCTTTTCTGCATAATTCTATCACTTAATCTTTAAATTCTGTTCTATTTCTTCAGTTCTTAATTATTTCAAGATCAATCTTAATAATTTTCAAAAAATCCTCTAATTAAGCCCTTTAAAAAGGTTAAAAACTACTAAAAATCTTATAAAATATATTAACTTAAATATAAAACAGCTTATAAATGACTTTTATTTATTTATTTATAATAAGTTTAAGAGCTTATAAGCCTAGGTCTATATATAGAGAGGTTGAACGTCAAGAATATTGGAAAATTAAGAATTCTTAAAATACGGGATAAATTGTTGAGAAAAGAGCCCAGAAAGAGTATAAAACATATCAGATGGGTATTCCAAAGGTATAGTGCTTTTTTTCCGGAGAAAATAAGTGTATATTAAGGGTATAATAGTTTTTTCGGTGGGTTAGTGAAAGATATCCTATGTGTAGCCAGTTGATTACAGAAAAAAGGGTCCCAGAGTATTTTATATGAGAGATATTTATGATATTTTAAGAATTGGTACAGATTTGATAACCTATACCTTGATATGAATGGTATTATTCATAATTGTACGCATAAGGATGAAGATAACAAGGAAATATCTGAGAATGAGGCATTTCTTGCTATTTTTAAGTATATAGAGCATATTTTTGGGACGATAAGACCGAAAAAATTATTTTTTTTGGCAGTAGATGGTTATATTTTCTATGAAAGATTTATTTTATTTAAATATTGTAAATAGGAGTTGCACCCAGGGCAAAAATGAATCAACAAAGATCACGTAGATTCAGGGTAGCAAAGGAAGCATATGAATTATATCAAGAAAGACTTAGGAAGGGAGAAGAAGTTCCAAAAGAGCCGTTTGATAGTAACTGTATTACTCCGGGTATGATCTATTTTTTTTGATAATAAATCTATTTAAATTGAGTAGGAACTATATTTATGAAGAAATTGTGATTAGCTAAGAATTTATTTGGCATTTTTAATAAAAAAATAGATCAAAACAATTAAAATATTTTATAAATAGAAAAGTATCAGAAGATGCGAATTGGAAGGGAATAGATATTATTTTTTCAGGTCATGAAGTTCCTGGAGAGGGAGAACATAAAATTATGGAGGTATATTTTTTATTTTATTTTATTATAATATATAAAATATTTATAGTATATACGACTTTCAAAAGCACAGCCTGATTATGAACCTAATTTGCGCCATTGTTTATACGGTTTAGACGCAGATTTGATTATGCTTGGTCTCCTTAGTCATGATCCTCATTTTTGTTTATTGCGTGAGGAAGTTTTATTTGGCCCTTTAAAGAAGAAAAAACAGGAGTAATTTTACCTTTAAAATATATGATGTTTTTAATTTAATATTTTTTAGACTTGAAGGACAAAATTTCTATCTTATGCATTTATGTTTGCTTCGAGAATATCTTGAAATGGAGTTTCAAGAATTAAAAAATATAGATGATTTTCCATATAATTTCGAGAAAATACTTGATGATTTCATACTTCTTGCATTCTTCGTTGGAAATGATTTCTTACCTAATCTTCCTAAACTTCACATTAATGAAGGTGCTTTAGCTTTAGTTTTTAAGATTTATAAAGAAGTGATACCAAAAGCCAAAGGGTATATTAATAATTCAGGTGTAATCAATTTAGAGCACCTAACTTTAATTTTGGAAGGACTGGAAAAACAAGAAAAAGAAGATTTTAAAGTTGATTTAGAAAATAAAAGTTGTGCTAATTCAAAAAAAAAAGGAATAGATGAAGAAACTTGTCTAGACAAAAAAAAAACATTAACAATGACATCTAATCAAAAAGAATTATTTTTAGAAATGGAGAAATTTCTTGTACAGAATCTAAAGAAATTAGATTTTTCACCAACATTATCTACTGAAGATAGATATTTCGTATCTAAAATGGCGGATGATTTTCATGTTAAATGTGAAAAATATACCATAGATAATAAAACTTATTTATCTATTGAACCATATAATTCTTCGGATAATGAAGATATGAATGAAATAGGATCAATTATTACTAAAGAACTTGATAGATATAAAAATTCTATTATATTAGATAATGAAAAAAGCCAATTTGATAAAGAAAATGACGTATTTGAAGAAAAATGGTTAAAATGGAAAAATTCATATTATGTTGTTAGTATTTATTATTTTTATTTAATACCACTTAATAAATTAGGAAAAATTAGGATTTTCTATTAATGATACAGAAAAATTGAGAGAAATGACTGAAAATTATATACAAGGATTGCAATGGGTTTTGTTTTACTATTATAGAGGAGTATGTTCTTGGAGTTGGTTTTATAAATATCATTATTCTCCAAAAGTATCCGGTAAATTCATATAATTAATAGTATATAAATATATAATATTTTTAGATATCAAGACAGGCCTTGGCGCAAATTTATCGTTTGATCTTAATTCTCCATTCAAACCATTTGAGCAATTAATGGCAGTATTACCTAAACAAAGCAGAAAATTAATTCCAAAAATATTTAGTGTAATATTTTTATTTCTATGATTTTATTTAATATCTTTAGGATCTTATGGATGATGAAACTTCTCCTATACGTGATTTTTATCCTGAAGATTTTGAGTTAGATATGAATGATAAAAAAACTAGTTGGGAAGCTATAGTAAAGATACCTTTTATTGATGAAAAAAGATTATTGAGTGCTATGAAAGGTATGATTCATTTGTAATTCAATTGTTGTTTTTATATCTATTATAGTAAAAGAATCCTTATTGACTGACGAGGAGAAAAAGAGAAACACATTTGGATATAATTTAAAATATAGTTATGATAAAAATCTTGACTATATTTACCTACCATTCATAGACATATTTCCTATTATTCCTCATTGTCATTGTAAAGAAGAAGTTTATAAGCTTCCTGAAATATTAGGAGTAGAACAACTTGTACATGGATTATGTAAAGGTGTAAATCTTGGAAATATATCTCCTGCAGGATTTCCTAGTTTAAATACTTTGCCACATACAGGTCATCTAGATAATCAAAGGGTAAACGTTTTTAAATCAGAAAGTAAAAATGAATCTATGATGATAACAATACAAAATCAATTAGATTCAGATACAATAGAGAATTTTTTGAAAAATAAAATAGGAAAAAAAGTATTTGTTGGTATGTATCATTTATATATATTATCAATATATTAAAAAAATAAGGATGGCCATATTTGCATGAAGCTAGGGTAAATGCTGTTTCAACTGAACAATTTCGGTATGAATGTCTTTCTCCATCCGAGAATTCTGATATTACTATTTCTAAAACTTTAAATGATCCAGTTGCATGGAAAAAAAATTCATTAAAGCTTGAATTAAATTATAAAAAATACTTTGGGTTAATAATCAATACAATTGAGGCTATTGTTCATGTTTCAATGTTAAAAGGATTGCGTACAACTGAAGATGGAGCATTGGAAAAGGATTATGAGTCTTGTAATAGTAAAAATTCTGAATATCCTTTACAACTTGTTTTAAACGAAGTAGCCGTTGAAGATGAGCGATATATTGTAAAATTATCTGTATTTTAATATATGATTAATTTAAATCTAGGAAAAACCGCCTCTTGATATTAAACAGGAATATCCTTTGGGATCCAGAGGCTTTTTTCTTGGGGAATATAATTATGGCAGACCACTTGAAATAACTGCTCATAAAAATGGAAAAATTGATTGCTGGATAGCAACCCAGGTTAGTTTTTTATTATATTTTATTATCTAAAATATTTTAAAGACTAGAGAGCCTGATTTTGGAAAATTGATATATGAAAAGTTTTTAAAAAATATTCATTATTATCCTTCCTATGTTGCGTCCAAAATGGCTGGATTAAGTGGATTAGTATTTTCAAAAATATTGTCTAGTTTTTATGTGATGGTTGATAATAAAAAAGTTGATCTTGGACTTAATTTAAAATATGAAGCAAAAAAAATAAAAGTTCTTGGGTATTCAAGAAAAACAGATAAAGGATGGGAATATACAGAAAATGCTATCAATCTTGCACAGGAATATAAAGAAAAATTTCCAGATTTTGTTCATTCAATCCAATTGCATCTTTTTGATGGTATTAATTACACATTTCTTTTTTTTATGTTTAATTAATTATAAATCACTAGATATTCCTTTAATCAATAAATTATTACCTGATAATAATTATAAGGAAAAAGTAAAAGAGATTAAAAATTGGTTAAAAATGATTACTGAAAAAAATAATTTTGAAAGAGCTGCATTAGATGTTGAACAATTAGATAAACTTACTATACAAACGATTGAAAAAGAATTGGATAAAATTACACAAAATGCTTCACTTTTTATTCCTAAACGTATCAATAATGTTCCTAGAAATGCAATCTTAAAACCATCTCAATGCGAACTTAGGCTACATGATCAAAAGTTTTCCCTCGGAGATAGAGTTATTTATGTTCATGATTCTGGAAAAGTTCCTATAGCTACAAAAGGCGTTGTTGTAAAAACAGGCGAAAAAGTAATTGATATTGTTTTTGATGTTCCATTTATGAGTGGAACAACATTAGGTGGCAAATGTTCTCCATATAGAGGACTCTCTGTAGAAGCACATTTCGTACTTAATTTAACTAAACGAGCTTTACTTGTTTCTACAAAATCATTCACTAACAAAAAATATGATAACTTAAAATCTAATAATCGTATAGAAAATCCTAGAATTCTACCATCTCAACCAATACACTCTTTTCAAAAAAATACACATTTAAAATCATTTCAACCTATTTCACAATCATATCATTATAATTCTGAAAAATCATCTTCTTTAAATACTTCTTCTAAAAACAATTTTCAATCACATTTTCAAAATATTCCAAAATCTTCTCATCTTATTCATTCTCAAGCTCATATACATTCTACAAAGCACATAATAGAAAAGAAAATATAATCAATTCAGATATCAATTCAGATATCAATTCAGATATAATTAATTCAGATATAATCAATTCACATATAATTAATTCACATATAATTAATTCACATATAATCAATCCATTCACACATAATCCATTCACATATACTTATATCGGCTTCTCATTCAGATTATACATTTAAATGGTACTAAATTACACTTTTTTTTCAAAAAAACATTTATATTAAAAAAATATTCATTATCACTATGAAAATCGCATTCTACCCGATGGACTACCATTCCCCCATTTCAAAATACCTACCTGTGGCATTATATTATAATACATACAAAGCGTTAAATTCTTATTCCTAATCATCACTATATCTTTTTCTTAAAAATTTCTTTTCATTTTTATTACATAAAACTCCCTTCAATATCATTGAATGAATATACATTCTCTTGGTTTCTAACACGTATCATTCCATCTTTCTTACGTCGAATCGTACGACTCCATATGATAACCTCATTATACGGCTAATCCCCATCAGATTCTTCACATATTTATATTAATTATAAACATAATTCTTCGAGGATACATATGATCCTACTACATATATAAAAACTTGTTTAGTATTCCATTCAAATAGCGGCCTAACATCTATCCATATTAATATATACATATAAACACATATATATATTAATTAATTAAACCCGTATCAAGCTCAAACCTTATAAAGGCATATTCCTGCCTTATATTTCGAAATGAATAGGATATCCGTGCCGTTTTTCTAAATAATTATTAATTATTCGAATTTAATAATAAAACTTACCGCTGGGCAGAAATCAGTTTTACATTAGAAGTTGCATATTTATTATCAAAATAAGTGGATACTGTGATCCAGAGACACAGAAAAAAAAGTGCATTAACCCATAGGCTTGAAAGGGTGTTAAGCCGTTGGATTGTAGAATACATAGCTTTAAAGTGACGCAGAAGGGTGCCCGAAAGCAAATAAGCAAATAAGCTTATAATTCATCCTATTTTTAAAAATTAGCATATTTATAGAGTGCATATAATACGGTGCAGAAGTGCATATAGTCCGTAAAATAAGGGTATAAATAGGGATATCAGGATATAAATTAGAACAGTAATATATAATAGGTAAAGGATTAATATGGTGTTATTGATAAAGAGAATTATTGAGATTATTAGGGGGGTTATTATTGGGAGGTTAATAGGAGGGGTGATATAGAGGAGAATAATAAGAATAGATATTAAGAAAAGGGTATGGAAGATCTAGAAAGAAGACCGGAGAAATCGGCGCTTATTGTTATATCTAATGAGTGGTCACTTCCACCTCGGAGAAAACCGGGTAGAAAGCGGTCAGAAGGTGAGAAAGGGATGATTTGTGTGAAATAAGAGTGTAATAGGGAGATTTAGAACCGCCGTTAACGGTAGGTTTTTTTTTGCTTTAAAAAAGGGCCAAAAAAGGGCTTTTAAAGCAAACAATTTGAAAGGGTTATAATAATTCTGAGTTTTAGAAGAGAAAGGCACAGAATAGAGAAGCGCAACGTTCGTTTCGTGAAAGACGTGCAACGCGAGTTTTAGAACTTGAAACAAGGGTTAAACAGCAACAGGATCATATGGAAAAATTAAAACAAGAATATATGGAAAAAATACAGTATATAGTGTTAGAAAATGAAAGATTAAAGAAGAAAAATGAACAACTTGAGGAACAGGTTATATATTTAAAAGCTAACTTTGAAAAAGTGAAGAATTATATTAATTTTGATACACATATTTTTGTTCCATTTTCGAAAGAAAATAGTTCAAGTACAACAAGAATTTACGATAATTCATCGAAAATAAGTGATTATTCTAATTTAATGATTGGTATTTTTAAAAAAAATATTTTTTTTTAGCATGAGATTGATTCTTTTATTATTTATTAGGACAATCAGTGCCATTAAGGAAGAAAAATGCATCGAAAGAAAAACAAGATATGGAGCCTAAGGATATTTTATTTCAGAAAAAGCTTGTGAAAGATTCGGATTTTGTTCATCATTCGGAATCCAAAGATTTATATAATGAATCTGGTTTTTTGGTGCATCAAAAGAATCCACAAAGTAATTATCGAGATCAAATAAATACCTATTCATCTTTTAGTTCATTATTTATACCTAAGAATGATGGCACAATTGGAGAAAATGATTGTGGATTTTGTATCGGTAATCCTGATGTATGTTTATGTCTTCAATCGCAAAATTTAAACAATGAGATGACAAATATCATTGAAGTAGATAAAAATATTCTTCCTCCTATTTTAATCGATAATAATGATAAAAAAATGGAAGAGAAAGTACAAGGAGATTCAGAAAAAACGGAAAAACTGAAAATACTCGAACCATCTAGTAGTTATACAATCAAAAATGAATATGAACCTGGCTCATGCGCTCAATGCAAAGCAGATTCATTGAGCATGCTTTTTTGCAAAACGTTTGCATCAAAGATAAATTATAATAAAGTTTCTTTCATGTCTTATAAGGATAAAGAGAAATATAATTGTAATACGAATTCACCTAGTGATAGTAACTTTTTGCCATGTTCTGCTGCATATAAAACACTTAGTCAACATGAGAAATTTGTTAAAGAGAATTTTCGAGTTATAATTGATAATTTGGCACCTGGTTCTTGTGGAATGCAGATTCAAGCAAATAGAGTTCAGGAAACATTGCGTTTGTTAGATCAATAATTTGAAACACTTATACCTAATAATAATATTATTAAATATTTTATAAGGTTTCACGTATTAAAACCTATTTTTAATAATATAATATTAAGAAGATTTTTATTTTAGATGATGAATTTGTTATATATCTAATACGATCAATGATTTTTTAATTTATAGGGCAATTGTATAATATTTAATAGAATGTATTAATATAAAAATATTATTAAAACTACAAATATATATCTAGAAAAATGATAATGATTATTTATGCCTGTTTTGATTATCTGGAAATCCATCAAACATGTTGCCAAATTGAGACATTACATTAGAAAAATCTGGTATAAATCCTCCTGATTTTTTACCTCCCATAATTTGATTAGTCATCTTCATCATCTGAGATATATCCATCCCAGGAATTCCACTAGAACCACCTAAAGAATTTAATTGTTTCTGAATTGATAATAATTGTTGGGAATTTTTTAATGCATTAGGATTTTTTGCTAAACCATTTTTTCCTCCAACTCTCTTTGCTATTCCCGCTATAATAAGATGTTGAGATAAAAGTCCTCTTACTTCAGAAACTGATGTACCACTTCCCATAGCTATTCTAGTAATTCTAGAAGGTTGAGTAATAAAAATCTTTCCATCACTATCAAGTTCTATACAATAATAAGCCATAAAAGTAATAACAAAATAAAAGTTACCTTTTTCAGTCATAGAATCCATTATATAAATCAGTTTTTTAAACTTTTTTGAGCTTCCTTCAATTCCATCCATCATTTGACTTGTACCAGGTACCATACTTAATAATTTAGTTATTGGTCCCATCTATAATAATATAAATATATTATTTATAAATGAAAAAACAACCTTCATAATACTTCCTAGATGATCTCTTAAATCTCTAATTGTAAATATACCCTTTTCTATATTTTTTAAAGTATCTTTGCTCTGATCCAATTTTAATGATTGTAAATGTTCCATAAAACCTTGGACATCACCCATACCAAGAAGCTTAGATATAAATGAATTGGGAACAAATCTTTCTAAATCATAAATATGTTCACCAGTTCCAATAAAAACAATAGGAGTTTTTGATGCTGAAACTCTAACAAAAATTAGATTAACCAAAAAATATTTTTAAAAAATTACGCAGATAATGCTCCTCCACCTTTTGCATGTCCATCCATTTTTGTAATTAATATTGCACCAAAATCTACACTTTCTTTAAAGGCCTTAGTTTGAAATTCAGCTGCTTGTCCTATTTTTCATAAATATTCATAAAAATAAAAGGAAAAAAATCGTATTAATATACCAATACTCGCATCAAGAACCATAATTGTTTGATTAGGCTTAATTGCATTAGATATTTGTACCATTTCTTTAAACAATTCTTTTTCCTGTCTATGTCTTCCTGATGTATCAACAATAATTATCTCAAATCGCTCCTTTTTAAATTTTTCAACACCATCTCGTGATACAATAACCGGATCTGTTTCTGTATAACTACCAAAATACGGTATCTTAGCCTTAATTGCATTTTGTTTCAATTGATCAAATGATCCTGCTCTAAATGTATCCGCACATACTAAACATGATTTAAACCCTTTTTGTTGATAATAATGTGCAAGCTATTTTCAAAATAAGAGTTATCTCGTTAAAAAAAAAACGATAAACCCACTTTTGCACATGATGTTGTTTTTCCACTTCCTTGTAATCCTACCATCAATATAACATTAGGTACTCCTTTTTTTGGCTTATATGGCTCATTATTCGGATCTACTAGGCTACATAACTCATCAAATACCGTCTATTTTCGTCATATTCTTATCCCCCCTCTTTCTTCATTTTTTACCTTATAAATAACCCGTTTTTTGTCCTTTAAAGACGTCAACCTATTGAAGTCTATCTTCTTCTTGATACTATTCCTCAGATTTTGCACCAAATTCACACTAACATCATTTTCAAGTAATGCTGAACAAATCTTCTTTAACATCACTTCTAAAACCTAGAAAAAAACTCCTTAACAATATTATCCATCAGAAAACGTATATATTCTACATTTTCATCAATTGATCGCGTTCTAATCAGCTCTGTAATAGCTGTACTAATACGTCCACCTAAATCCCCTAAAATAGTCATTTTTAATCCGTTTTTTTTGCTTCTTTTTCCATCAACCCTTTAAATATACTCTATATCGATCATTTTTACCTGTTTTCCCTTGTTTTATCCTCTTTTTACCCGTTTTTTTCCAAAAATTTATTTCTCATCTTTTTATGTAGTTAAATTTTATCGATTTGCGGGTTTAACCCTCTCCAAAACATCTTGCCCTTTTTATACATAAATTATACCCATTTCCACTTATTTACATTCTAATTACTATATTTTTCATATTATTATCTCTTCTTTCTACTCTTTATTAAAGCCCATTTCTCTCTCTCTGACCCTCTGGACTTCGCGGTAAAACGTCGAGATTTCGCTAAGTCAGAAATGGTGCTTGTAAATCAACAAGTTCTTAATAATATAGCAGGAAACAGTGGAAAACGCAAGATAAACAAAGGAAAAAAGGTTAATGAAGGGTCCTGGTGGGAGGCGATAGAGATTATCGGTGAAAGAAAGAAAGAATATAAGGTTTCATGGGCGGGAATTGATCCTAAGACAGGAAGAAGATATGAGCCGTGTTGGGTATATTTTATATAGAAAGAATAAGGGAATAGAAGCTTATAAGAGAATGGAATAGGTTCTGAAGAGAGATTGTACGGAGGAATTAGTGAATACATGGGAAAGAAGACATAAACGAGGAAAGATAGAAAAAGGGGATAATATGGAGAAAAAAGAGGGGAATATAGGAGATAAATATAAGAAGAGGAAAGTAGTGAAGGGTAATTATAGTAGAGAAAGGTTTTTTTTAGGAAAATTTTAATTATATGAAGAATATGGGAGAGAAAAATCAAGTGAAAAAAAATACAAGAATAGTGGTAAAAAAGAGGAGAATATTAGTAAAATAGAAGAAAAGAAAGAGGAAAAGTTAGGAATAGTGGAATCGGAGAATGGACGAGAAGTTTTATTTTCATCGATTGTAAATTCACAAAGTAATACATATTTTGAGTCATTTGAATCGTTAGATTATACACAAGAAAGAGGAGAAATAATAGAATCAGATACATCAGTATGTGAAAAGTCAGATAATGGTAAAATTTATAGTGAAATGGAAAAGACGTATGATACGTTGCCTATAAAGATAGAAAATAGGATACCAAGTATTAATTTAAATATGGAGTCGAAATATGATACATTAGAGATGCCATTAGAAGATATTTCTATGGGACGTATTTTTAGTTTTTCAGAATTTTCGAAAAAGTCGTTAAATATAGAAAAAGATCAAGATATATTAGTTGAGAATACGGTATCTTCTATATATCATATGGCAAATGATAATAACATTAAAACATCAAGTTCTCGAATGGATATATTTTCTAAACAAGAATCTATTGATAATATTTCAAATGTTTCATATGATAAATATAAAAAGGAAGTTAATGATAAAGACGAAAAAACAAGTGAATTAAAAGAGAAAAATGCGCCAAAAACGCGAAAAAAAATAAAGAAAAATCAATGTAATAATGTTTCTAAGAATTATAATCATCAACAATTGGAATCACCATCACCTTCTGAAAAAGTGTCAACATGGCTTTCTAATAATGAATCTATACAACTTGTAATTCTTAATGATTCTCATGATCAAACGTATATACCTACGACAAATGCACAAGAAAACCAATCAAATAATATTGAATATAATTATCTTGATTCATGTATTTCTATCGAATCAGAGTCTCTTTCTAGAGTTGAAAAAGAGAATATTTCTATGAAACCTAGAATTTATAACGAAGGGGTATCAGAAGGATATAATAATAATGCGTCTATTGTATCATCATCTGACGATTTTATTGTTTCTCTTAGATCGGTGCAAAATAAACCTCATATTTATTTTTTTGGAATTGAAATGAACAAAACACAGAGAAATATGTATCTTCAACTGATATTGCAATATAATGATTTAGTTCAGGAGTTTTGTTCAGCAATTAATCCCGATAAAACACTTATTAAAAAGGCTCAACGATTTATAAATATATTAACTATGCTAACCATTCATCCTTATCTTATTTTTAAAGACAAAATTGAAAAAGAATCTCTTGGAAAGATCGAATTGGAAAATTTAGTGTATTCTAGTCCCAAATTTATATTTCTTGCAACTTTTTTGGAGAAATCTAAAAACCTTGAACTTGTAATAGGAATTAGTTCTGACAATGAAATGTTATTGGTATTTTCCTGACTAATTATATTAAAAGTTTTAAATAATTAGGATCTTATTGAAATACTTGTTCAGAAATTAAATATATTATACATAAAAACAAATCAATATTCTGAAAATATTAATATCAACAAAAATATAAAAGTCCTTTTAATCGCATATGGAAAAGGCAAAGGAGGGGATGTCGAAGTATAAACAAATATTTTTTTATAAGAAATCTTAATATGTTTTAGATTCATTCCGATATTGTAATTTGTATATATACATCAACCCATATATTATCTATACGTAATTTTAATTATTCCTTGGATGATAAAACAAAGAACCATATAATTCCAATTACAATTAATTCAGTAGAACATATTCAATTATCTGTTATGAAGGATATTCCTCAGGTTTTATATTTTCAAAACGTTGTTAAAATTACCATATTACTTCGTAAATTTGCTGGCGTATTACCTAGTAATCAGTTTTTTAGCAATGAATCTTCACAATTGGTTTATAATTGGATTAAAGGGAATTATAAAGATAAATGGATGTTACCAAGAGTATCAGACTTAAGAGAATTGGCAATTACATTAAGTCATAAGGACAATAGATTAATATCAGAAGAGCAACTTAATTATTTAATTGAATTAGAAGAAAAAATCTATCAACACGATAATTATTTATTTAAAGTTAATCAGGAAATGCACGAAACTTTTAACTTGGTTTCTAAAAGTAATTCATTTGATAGTAGTGATAAAAAGATTTTGGAAGATCTTTCTTCTCAGTTTGAAATATCACAGTTACGATCTAACGTTTGTAATTTTTCTGGTGATAACCGATTAAATTGTTTAACATTAAGCCCTGAACCTATTCAAAAATCTTCTTTAGGCAATACTAAGGTTTCTGATGATATAAAAACTGGAAAAGTAGAGATTTATTGATACTTTTTTAATTTTTTTAATAAAAATAGGAACCTTTATATTTGGAAATAAATAATCTAAAAAATAATCTTTTTGTTACTCAAAACTTACTAAAAAATACAGAAATCGAACTTTCAAGCTTTAAGGTTTCTACTGATCGTTTACAAAGACGATATGAAGAGATGCAAGAACAATATAGAAACTTAAGTTTAGAATTTAAAAATATTGTTAATATAAAGAACGAATTGCAAAAGCGCTTAAATAATTTTCAAGAAAACTTTATACATACTCAAAAAAAAGTTTCATCGTCTTCTGAGATAGAAAAATTGGGGAAAAGATCACTTACTTCCGAGAACCAAGAAAAAATATCTACAAATACTTCACTTGTTATGGAAAAAGAGTATCTTTCTGAAGAAAATTCTCGTCTTAAAAAAATTATTGAGAATAAAACTTTTGATTTTGAATTTTTGCGTTCACAATATCAAGAGGCATCTTTATCAGCATTAAATTTAGCTAATGAAGTTAAACAATTAGAAGCTGAAAATATTCTTTTAAAAAATAAAGCAGAAGGGGAAGCATTGCGTTTAAAAGAGATAATGATACAATTATTGGAGAAAAAATTGGATGAAAGAATTGAGGAATTAGAAATTCAAAATTCTTTATATTTAAAACAACTAAAACAAAAAATGAATGATGAATCGACTAAACATTCATATTCTTATGAAGATTATCAACTAAACAATATGTCTCGGAATACTAAAATGATTTCTCGTCAATGTTTAATTAGAAATATAAATACTCAAAGTCCAGAAGATTTAAATGGTCATTCAACATCTGAAATTGCTATTAATATTAATGAATTGTGATTTTTTGAAAGCATTAATAGGATTTTTTGGTTTTTCATGCGTTTTTAAAATATAATTGTAGTATGTTTTTATTCACATTATTCATACAGGTTTTTTTTAACAATTACTTTGTATATTTCTAAATTTTTAATTATTTTGATATCTTTTTTTTTGGAATTGTTTGATATGAAAGATTTATAATTTTGGAGCTTATAAATTTATTTTATGATTCAATTGTTCATTAATAGAAAAAACATATTTTTAAAAATAGACTTAAAATAACTTTTAAATAAAAAAATATTATGTTTTTTAATATATACACAGAAAAAAGTAAAATGGCTAACTATATTAATTATGCTAAATAGTATGATATAATTTAGTTTTTTTTTAAAAATACATAATCAACTCATCACTATCATCATCTATAATATCTTTCTGATTTAAATATGTATTATCTGTATTGTTTTTTGGTATAATTAAGGATTCATTTTGTAAATGTTTTATTAATAAACGAAGTTCATTTCGAAATGATGATATTTTTTCTTGTCCCCAAAGATTTTTAATATCAGAAGAAATAGAAGTTTTATTATGATGATTCAAAATAAGTGGTAAAACTCTATCCGGATCATTTAGAAATTGTTCAACATAATGAAGTAAAAAGAGTCCACAATCACAATGATTACTCTGTTGAGGAACATTTGCATGTATTCCCGCTATATCTGCTTTATTTAATTCTAAACCAAGTTTATCTTTAGCTTCTTCATAAAGATAATCACGTAAATTTCTTAAAGTTATATTATGTTGTCCTCCTAAAGAATCAAAAATAATAATAACAGGTTTTCTAATAGGAATATTACTCTTTTTCGATAATTGAGTATGAGATTTTTCTATAGATTTTTCTTGATTATGTTTTTTTGAAGTAGATATATCTCTGGAAAGTCTTGATAATTGAGAGTTTCCAAAAAAGCTTTTAAAACCAATTTCTTGTCTATCAATGCCAGTGTCTCTATGCTTATCCTTTTCTTCTATCAATTCATCTTCTTGAGAATCTGAAAAACTGTTGGAAATATTATATTTTTTATCATTTTGATAAAAAGATAAATTAGTAAGCATTTCTTTTTTTGGTGAGAAAAAAGAAAACATTTCATTTCTAGTATTCGATTCTATACTTTCTTGGGAATTTTGTAGATGTTTATCTGGTATTGTATCCAAGTTACATATTATTACTACATACCAATGAAGACTGCTTTATGTTAATAATTAATAGATAAAAATAATATGTCGAAACCTTTCATTTACAGGAACAACAACATACTTTTTAGAAAAAACATCAATTTTAGTTTTGCTTGTCCATTTTTTGACATTTTGATATCCACCTTTCTTGCTATCTAATGTTATTTTTTTTAAAATAATGTATAAAACAAAGATACCCTGAACGATCTTTATCTACAAGTTTTTTATAAAAAAATGTATTAAATATATGTGACTTCTCTATTTTAGAAGGATCATTTTGAAAAAGTTTATTTTGAATATATCTAAATATAAAATTAATAAATTAAATTAAATTGTAAGAAATACTTTAAATAAAAATCTATTATTGTATCATTTAAAAATTCACCATCATTTAATCGTTCTATATCATCATCATAAAGGACAACAGGAGGATAAATTAATCTTCTAAATAATATAAATACTTTCATATTTCAGTTTAAAAAACATACGGCTCATTTTTTTCGTTTGTTTTTTCATCTTTTTTAGATAAACATAAAGACTTAGAATTTACTCGAGGCACAGATTCATCTAGTTTTCGACAAAAGTAAGGCGATATTTCCGATGCATTGGTATTTATTTCATTCGAATTTATTAAATCATCTGAAGGGCTTAAAGTATTTTTTTTAAATGGATTAACTAATTTTTTAAGAGACAACATTTTTTGAGCTTGTTCTGGTGTAAGTCTATCAAAAGATATTAATTTTATATAAAAAATTAAAAGAAAAATACTCAATAAGATCTACCTCGGGACAAGAATATTGAAGAATCCTTAAAGATCTCAATTTTTGCGTAGTAACTATTTGAATAAGATATTCTGTCCCTGGACCATTTAATTTCGCTGAAAAAAAGATATTATAAATAAATCGTGCCAATAAATAAACATACCATTCCTATTTTTCAATCTAATATAAAGTAAACCATATTGATCGAATTCATACTTTGAAAATTGAGACAATTAATTTATAAGAATAAAAACTTACTGCTATATTTCGAATTTCATTTGCATTATAATTATGATATGGCAACATCTCTCCATTTTTTTGTAATGCAAACCCTTTTTTTGAAATCATTAATTGCATATTTGTTGAATCTTCAAGAAACTTTCCAGTATACCAACTCTTTATATCAAGGATACGAACATGACTCTCCTTTTCTACCGTCTTGTTTCTTGTATTATCTTTAAAAAGAGACATTTTTGTGTCTCCTAGAGTAAATCTTGATTTTTCAATTGTTTTATTTTCATCGATATTTTGTTTCTCCCAAGATGCAGAAAAATCTGGACTAGACGATAAATTGATAGATTTTGGTGTATCAGAACGATCTAAATAGTTTGTCATGGTTTCAGAAAACATATCGGAATCATCCAAATTATCCTGTTTTGGTGTACAAAGAGTAAACACTTTTTGAGATCCCACATTATTAACATCTATGTTGCAAGTCATTTTCATGTATGATTAAGAAAAAAGGCAGTACAAACCCGAATTCGATTTTTTAAACGATGATGAATATTGTGTATCATCTGAAGTTGTTTCCGAGAATAAATTACGAGCTGGAGATAATTTCGAAGAAAAACATGAATCCGTCATATTCGATGCATCTTTAATATTTCTTTTAATCCTTTTTAAATTAAATTCAAAAATAATCTCACTTTTTTCTTTATTTTTAAGATAATTTACGCAGAAAAAAGAATTTTTTCTAGATCTTCCTTTCCTCCCATACGTCTGCTTAGCTTTCATTGGCGAAACAAATGAATTATAAGGTGAATATGGACTTGAAAAACGATATCGATGAAATGTTAGCTTTCCATACCCACAATCCGCCATGCTTTGATACGTCTAAAATTCCATCACTATTCTTCTACTAATAATCTCTGTTTCTTTTATTTACCCCTCCATTTGGTACGCGAATTGGTGTTGTATGAGATGGTAAACTTTTTACATATTAGAAAACATTTATTAACCCATTTTTACACTGTTCAACGCATACTTTTCACTAGAAAGTGATAAACGATGATAATTATGCGAGTTTTCTGATGATATCCAGTCATGATATGAGCTTTGTCTCTCCTCTGGCATCTTCACCTAATATATGTTAATCTCCTCCAAAATTAACCCGTTTTTTTCGGGAAAAAAAACTAACAAAGATAACTCCATCTTGTGATGGAGAACTCATCGTTAAATCCCTTTGTTTCCTCTTTTTTTCCTCTTTTTTACATTATTTTTTATTAATTTATGTTGATTCAAGTTGCTTGGTGTTCGGGATAAGATACCATGCACGTGATATTTTTAAAAAAATATGAATATCTTATAGATTTATGAGGTTTATAACTGTTTTATAGCCTAATTATAACTCCTTTTATCCATTTTAATCATTGTTTCTGTATTTTTATAAATTTTGTATGTTTTTTTTAGATGTGAAAATTGACTTATAATCCAATATATGGAGATTTGAGCGGAATTAACGGTATATTTTGTTTTGTCTGAAACCGATTAACCCGTATATATACATATATGCGTACATATATGTATATATCTATACATGTTAAAATCTTAAGTGCATACATTACGCATACAACATGCATACACTACGCATACAGTACGCATACATCCCGCATATATTGCGCATACACTACACAGAAATAAAGATTACACCTTTATTAATAACATAAACCCTTCATTTAACCCTTTTTCCTTCGAAAAATCGCCCTCTCTCGAACAAGAAATACCCAACTTTTTCTTTCTGATAATGCAATGGTTTTTTCTTCTTATTGCCTTCATTACACTTGTCAAAGTCTCTTCTTTGACAATCCAACTTTCTCCTAATAAAAAACAATGTTTCTATACTTTTGTTGATGAAGTCGGTAAAAAGGTTATTTTTTACTTTGCGGTAGAAAAATACAGCAATAAGAGTCATACTAGTTATCTTATATGAATAGGTTCGATCAGGGGGATCCTTTGATATTAATTATCAAATATTTGATACAAATAAGAATATTATTTTTAATGGGGTTAAAGAGAAGCTTGGGGATATTGAGTTTATGGCTAAATATAAAGGGGAATATATGTTTTGTTTTTCAAATGAAATGTCTACATTAACAGATAAAATCTTGGATTTTCAAGTTTCGGTAGAAAATGAGGAACGAGCGGTTTTGCCAGAGAGTGGAAATAATATTAATGAACAGACGGGAACATTAGATGAATATTTGATAAGAATTTCAAGAGTTTTTTCAGCAATTCGACATTCACAAAAGTATCTTAATTTACGTGAAAATCGGAACTTAAGTACAGTCCAGTCGACAGAATCACGTATTTTTTGGTTCTCTATTACCGAGTCGATTCTTATTCTTGTAGTGTCAGTTTTACAAGTATTAATTCTCAAAACCTTTTTTACAAGTAAAACGATATTAAGAATATAAATTAATTGATTAATTAATTAATCAATCATATTAATAAATAATTTTTTAAGTATTGTTCCCTTTTTTTTGTTGGAGTAGTGTTGCATGTGTTTCTTTATATATAAAAGTTAAAGATTAAATAATATATAATTTAAAAAAGATCTAAAAACCTTTTTGGATAACTTTAAGTTAACCTTTTATAAAGATTGCTTTTTCGCAATGTCTTCCAGTTCTGACAGTTTTATCCAGATGGTCTAGTCCAAGTAAATCATCAGAATTTTTTAAGATGTCATATATAATATCATCTATAAGATGTTATTTTGTGAATTTTATAAATATGTATTAAATTTATTACCGTCTTCCAAATAATGTGGCTTTGCGAATGACGTTTGTTGTATTACGGCATACTTAACTTTACTCATGTCTTTTTCTTTCATACCTGTGCGTTTTAAGAGTCTTGCTTTTGTTTCATTAAATTTTTCATTCTATTAAGAATAAGATAAAAATGAAAGTTAAAAAAAAAAATTACAGGTTTGATAATAAATCGAAATGGAATTCCATGTGATCTCGCCGGTTCTTTTTGAAAATGGTAAACATTTACATATTGATCATCTTTTTCCAAATTAAGTTCGTCTTCAGGTATCATTTCTGCATATAAAAGAAGAAAATCTTGTAATGAAGCAATGGGATATGATAAATCAAAATCCTTATAGACTCTGTTTAAATGAGCGCCGAATATATGAAAACGGTCTATAAGATCGGAAGATATGTTTAATTTTTGTATCAAAGCCTGAACGACATCTTTTAATGTTCCGGTTTTAGGAACAAGTACTTCTATTAATTCCTAATTGCATGTTATTCTTTACTAATCCGATCATATAGGTTTAATATACTTCTCTTGTTATACCATCTGGTAACCATCCAATCTTCAATGTTCGTTTAGTTTCCAATTCACTAAGGCTTATTTCTAATACTTCATAAAACAATGTGTTCAATGGAGACTGTAAATATGCTGGTTGAAGAATGTTTTGTAAAGCTAAAGAAGGAACTCTTTTTACTGTAAATTTAGGCATTTGAGTAGAAGAATTGATTGTTGTAAAGCGGATATGTGTCGATGGAACATTTAAACGTTCTCCTACTTTAAAAGAAAGCTAAATTATTAACGTTTATTTATCAATAAAAATTATGATATTATTACCACGTCATATGTTGTCTTTCTACTTAATACTAAGTCAAATTCTTCCGTTACATCTTGGTCAAGATATCTGGGTTTAAATGATACAGTTATTTTATTTAACATGAAATCGTAATATTCAATAGCTGATCCATAGCCTCCATCAGATATAATTTCTTCCACCCTATTATTGTTAGGTATAAAAGAATACATATTCTTTTAATATTACTCTTCTTCAGAAATAACTTTTTGAAAACAAATAATATCTCCATCTTGTATTTCTGCTTGATAAAATGTTTGTTTTAATTTCATCATTTCAATCATAGTTGGTTTGATTTCCTATATATAAGATTAAACAATTGCTAAAAATACAGAAATATACTTCATAAAGCTGAATTAATGTTGTAGAAGGCCAATCCATTAAAGAACAAATAATAGATACAAGCGTTCCGATTTTATCATGCTTATTAATATAAATATGTGAAACTCCGTGCAATAGTTGTTTTTTAATATCAAAATGCTTTAAAAATATCAGAATTTTTGTATTGTTTCCTAGTGTTTCTAAAGAATTCCATGATTCTAATAAAGTATCACATGAATCTACAGAAAATAGCTCCATATATAACAATAAATCTCCTCTACGAGGAAGCATCTTATCCCTAATCATTTCCAATGCTTGAAGAGTCAGAAAAGTTATAAATAAAAGCTAATAAATACTTAATGTTGGATCATTCTCAGGAACAGGTGTATCCGGTCTAATAGTCTTGTTCTGGCGATTTACCATTACCCAAAATTTAATATTTTTTGAATCTATCCCATGATTTTCGGCTATTTGTGTTTTAAAATTTATAAATAATGTTTCCTTAAGGATTTTATGTGTAGAAAATAAGCAAACCGGAGGATCTCTTTCTTCTATATTTGAAAGATCAAACCCTTGATGTGCTTTAAAATCTTCATCTGTAACTATTTTTACATAAAGATACAAATGCATTTCTTCTCGTTCTTTTCTTCGTGCTTCTAAAGCAGCTTTTTCTGATTCCAATCTTTTACCTATCTAATATTAATATTTCTTTGAATCTTAGAATACATACGAAGGTGTGAAGGTATATCTGATTCTACAACAGGTTTCAATATTTCGTCCAGTTCATTTTCACGAAAATAAATTAACATATATGCATTCGTATATCTTTTTAAAGAGGAATTACGAGAATATGGGTTCTTTATATAGTTATTTGTAAGCGAGATATCTCCTCCAAAATTCTCATCAAGAACTTCTTTGAGAGTTGCTTTTGTTACTCTATCATCATCAAATTTATACCAATGGCCTTTTTTTTCTGGTTTAAGTAAAGCATAATAATGCCCTCCATGTAAATCACCACTGTGTACAAGAACTCTTTTAAATATTAATACAATTACGGCCCATAAAATATGATATACCCATGTAGTTTATATATATGTGGTTCTGATTTATTGGCATCATCAGACAAAAACTCTTCGAGATCTATTTCTAATGGAAATTCATGATGATCATTAATCTTTAGAATGTTAAAAATATAAAAAAAAATGCGTTTCAACCATGATTACCTTAACCATTGTATCGCGTTGAAGATCATATTCAAATCTTTTCAATTGCAAATGTAAAACTGGTGGAAATGATTGAAAGATAACACCCTTTTTTGCATCCTGAAGTCCATAACCTTCTGCAAAATACTTATTATCGCCATCCAACGTTTCAACCTGAATGTAATCCCGAAATGATTCTCTAAGAGTCCTCATTCCTTTAACATTAAGCTGGATATCTGAAAACATGGTAAATACACTATCAAAAATTACAGTTAAATACCCCAAAAGTCTTCGCTTCGGGATGATTCATAATCGACATTTACGCATTTAATATAACTTTTCATTTTTCCTACAAAAAGCTTGCTAAGAGCATTTTCCGCCTCAGAATTTTTCATTTTTCCTTCTAAATTATCCTGCAAAACTCTATTAAATTCTTGGATATCATGTTGCATAAATGAATCTAATGTATCCCATCCGAATGAACGAGTTAATTCAATGGTACTTACGGGTTCTGAAGATGTTTGTAAAAGGTAAAAAAGCCTTTGAAGCGCCAATGCAATACTATCATTGGGTTCATCTTTTTCTGTGGGTATCATGTATACAGCCTATTATAAAATTAATCAATCACTAAATACTTCTTTTTAGTCTTTACAAGCCGAAAAAAATTCGTAAAATAAAGGGATTGTAAAAGTGAATTCATATAACAGGTAGCCCCCTGGTTTTTAAGACCTACGTAACCTGTTTCCTTCCTTGAATTATAACTTTATTCATAAATTAGTAATTTCTCGTTTCCATTTATCATTTTTTTACTTTATAAAACTATGCCACAAAATTCCTGTCGAATCCTTAACAATTCGAAGATATACTGTTATTGATGTTTCGTCATTTTCAATAATAGAATGATTTCGATCTTCAAATCTCATCATTAATTTACGCAGATCATAAAAACGTGAAAATCCCCAATCCGATTCCTCCGGAATAAATCGATGTGTAGCATCTTAATATACGTCAATCACTTTCTCCTCAATTTTTCTTTTAAATAATACAATGATGCGTCCATACTGATGGATCATTCTTATTCCACATAACTATACAAAATTGTGCACAACAATACCAATTAGCCGATCGATCCAATGGCTGGCATTCTAAATATATAGAAAATTGATCACTCTGATAATTTCCATACGGAAAAACAAGTATCCTCCTTCATATTTATCATCAGTTTTTACTTTTTTAAAAAATATCTTATTCCACCAATTAAAATTCCCATTAACAAACTCAGGACTATACGCCTTTCTACCAAGTCCTTGCCAGCTCTCAACATGCCATGTAAAATACGTCTCACTTATCGTTTCAAGATCCGGTAATATAGGTAAAAGTTTCCCCGCCATTTTATCAACTAGATCATTTCCCTTCAATTACACTTATTAATTCCCATTAAAAACGTACATTCATTAGCTTTTAGCCCTTTATCCTCCTGATCTACTTCCATCGCCTGTCCATAACTTCGTACTGCAATATTTCCCGGATTTCCCTGTAGACGCTCATTCCCCTCCTAAAAAAACATATTTATTAGTTTATTATTAAGCAATAATAATTCCTGTCTTATTTCTTACCGAGTCGTTCATATTTTCCTTGTAAAACAGCTGTTTCTGAGATTTTTCTGCTCCGCTTTTTCGTCAGATTTGAGAGGTTCGAACGAGGCAGCTTTTTGGGCTTTTCGGGGAGGAAGAGGAGTCGATAAAGGAGAAAAGAGGATAAAGAAGAAGAAATAGATAGAATTTGTGATGAATGAATAGGTTAAGATATAAGATAAGGGTTAAGAAGGGTATTTATGTTTTTTTTTTTTTTTTTTGAAAAAAAAGGGAATTTTTCAAGAAAAAGAAGAAAATAAGTATTTTTATAATGTTTTTAAGGTATTTAAGGGTTTTTTTTAGGTTAATTCTAAGTTTTTTTGAGATTTTTTGGGATTTTTAGGCCAAGATTTATATAGTCGTATTTTTCTCTGCCCGTCGAGACGATAGATATAGACGACATAAAAATGGAGGTAGCTTATCCTCCGGTTTTTGGGTTAGAAACGTGAGTTTTTTTGTTTAATTAATGTTTTAAATTGAATCTAATGAATGTAGACGTCTGAATGGCGAAAAAACGGCGTTGAAAGAGGCATTTTTGAGCTCAAACGGAGAAAATAAAGTGATGAATGAAAGAGGATTAATATCGGCGAAAATACCGCCTTACGGACAAAGAAAAGGATGGATTCCTAAGAGAATGGAGGATTTTGAGGATGGGGGCGCTTTTCCGGAGATTTTAGTGGCACAATATCCCCTACAAATGGGATTAAAGAAAATGACAGCAGGAGCAGCATTAGCGATTCAGGTGGATGCAGAAGGCAATATAAGATATGATGCGATTGCAAGACAAGGGCATGATCCGGATAGAATAGTTCATTCATCATTTAAGAGCTTAATTCCATTGAGACAAAGAGCAGATATTGGAGAAATATCGTTAGAACGACCATCTATTGAAGAGGTAGAAGCTACTACAGAAAGGACAAGACGTGCTCTAGAGAAGATTATAACGGGGCAGATTGCGGCATCTAAGCCGAAAACGATTCAGACGCAAGAAAAACATGAACCGACATTTGTTCGATATACACCGTGTAATCAAATGGGAGAGACGGCAGATGTAGTTCATCGTCAACGAATTATTAAAATGGTAGAGATGCCGCAAGATCCGATGGAGCCGTTAAAATTTAGACATAAAAAAATTCCTAGAGGGCCGCCATCACCACCGGCGCCGGTGATGCATTCTCCCCCGAGAAAATTAACGGCAAAAGAGCAGCAAGAATGGGTGATTCCGCCTAGTATTTCAAATTGGAAAAATGCTAAAGGTTATACGATACCCCTTGATAAACGATTAATAGCAGATGGTCGTGGTATGATGGATGTTCAAATTAATGATAATTTTTCAAAATTATCTGAAGCACTTTATGCAGCAGATAGACATGCTAGAGAAGAAGTTAGAAAGAGAGCGCAATTGCAACATAAGATTGCTCAAAAAGAAAAAGATGCTAAGAAAGAACATCTTCAAGAGCTTGCGAGAAAAGTAAGAGAAGAGCGTCATATGTCACAACAAAAGGATCCAAGTAATGCATCGGAAGCTACACAATCTGATGAGGATGAAAATTCAGAAGATGAAAGAGCAGCTAAAGAGCGAGAAAACCTTCGTAGAGAACGTCGAAGGGATGTAGAACGACAAATGCGTATGTCTCGTATGGGTGCAGAACAACGTCTTAAAGTGATGGCTCGTGAACAAAATAGAGATATATCTGAAAAGATTGCACTTGGTCTGGCTAAACCAACACTGTCTAAAGATAGTCTTTTTGATAATCGACTCTTTAACCAAACTGCTGGATTGGATTCAGGATTTAAAGATGACGATACTTATAATATATATGATAAACCGTAATATTTTTTAATATTTTAAATTTTTATTTAATCTATTTTTAGGTTATTTGCTACTGCAGCAGCAGTACAATCTATATACAGGCCTAAGGCGAATGATATTGATGAGAACCCTGATGAAGAATTAAATCGTGTTACCCGTGAAAGCAGATTTGAAGTCCTTGGAAAAGCTACCCATGGATTTAAAGGTGCAGATTTGGCTGAGCCAAGAGATGGTCCAGTACAATTTGAGAAAGAAGCAGATCCATTTGGAATTGATGCCTTTATTGCTAGTGCAGCAGCAAATGCTTATGCAAAAAGGAATCTTGGTCTAGATACAAGTACAACAAAAAATTCGAAAAAAACAAAATTAGAAGACAATCAATAGAAAAGGGTCAAAAGCTAGGTTATAAAGGTAATTTGTCTACGATTAGTTTATTTCCAATAATGATGTATATAGTTATGAATAATATGTTTGTTTGTATATATGATATTTTTTTAATTATGGCATTCCCCATACAGTAATCTCTCCGTTTACTCCACAACTAAGCATTTGATCTTTTTTTGGGTGAAACGCGACACAACTGACACATGATCTTTGTGAATTTTCCGGTGCAAATCGTAATTGATGAATTAGCTTTGCTTCTAAAAGATCCCATACACAAATGCGGCCATCTTCGCTTCCACTAATTACAACTTTATCCGATTGACCAAAACATGATTTTACTCTGTATTCTGAATTAACATGTCCCTTAAATGTTTGCAAAAGTCCGCCATTGCATTTATCAAGAAGACGAATTGTAGAATCAAGTGTCGAGATTAGCAAGCAATTGGCATCATTTGATTGTTCAACTGATGTTACTGGTTCTTTTGTTTTTTAGCAAAAAAAAAAATCTTTAAAAAAAAGATTGCCCTACGTCCAATCACATCTGTATACAATTGTCCTCTTCTTAGATCATACGTACGTACTCTTCCATCAACTGATCTAATTTCTTTTTTTAATTTATAATAAAAATACATCATCTCCCAGATTACCCTGTAATAATCTCATGATTTGCAATTAATACTGATGAAATACTATCTTTTCCATCTTCAAGCACTTGTATAGGTGTATGTGACAATGATCTAATTAAATAATATATTAAACCTTTTTTTACATATTATTTCAGATATTACCTGCAATCCCATAAACGAACAGATGAATCATAAGATCCTAAATTTCATTCATCAAATTATACATCATATTAACTTAATTTTTTTACCACTTGCAAGAACAGTTGCTTCTATATTAAAAGATACTGTATTTACACGAGAAAAATGTCCTGAAAACCTCTGTATTGTTCGTCCTGCTGTAACATCCCATAGAAAAACTTGCTACAAATCATTTTATAAGCCAAAAAAAATAAATAGGACTAGAATGCATATTCAGAATGAATATAAACCATATATATTCCATATAATTTCTCTTGCATACATCTATAACGCCTATAGTGTATATTTTTTTAGATTTATAATAATAAATCTTGAGTGATCATTAAACAATGTTGTTTATGCATTAAAGAATTGTCATAAACATGTTGAAAATCTCTTCAATTCCATATTTCAGGCTAAATGCCAACTTGTATAATCCATATATCTATTAGAATGTATTCATTTGAATTGTATGCGTCATGTATGCGTCATGTATGCGTATTATATGCATCATATATGCATCATATTTACGTATTATATGCGTATTATATGCGTATTATATGCGCATTATATGCGTCATATATGATGCATAATATTCTTTTCATTATTTTCTTACAGGTTTCCAACTGAATTCTAGTTCCCATATTCTATCTTTACCTTATCACCCCCACTACTTGCAAATTTCGTGCTATCATAAGAAACCGTAATATCTAATACTTCATAGCCATGTGCATGATATTCTTGAATTAACCCTCCAGTATGAGGGTTCCAAAGACGAACAAATCTATCATGGCTTCCTGTTAATGCATATTGACCTTTTGCATTATAAAGAATGACATTGGCAGGGAATTTTCCTGCAGGTGAAAGGACATGAACTTTTTTTGTAGGAAAAGTCAGCATATGAAAGCTGAAAAAAAAAACAGAAATAAATATATAAAAATATATAAAAAAAGAAATAATATGCTAAATAAATGTAAAGTAAATGTTTTGCATTTTTTAAAAAAAGTTATATAATATTTTTTTTATAAGTTGTTATAAACGTGTATTATAAAGAACAAAAGTGAATAAACAAAATGATAAAATAGATACACATGAAAGTGTTTCACATGAGCAGAAAATGGTATAATTTTATTATCGACGACGTCCGCTATTATTTTGAATAGCTTGCATATGTTCTAATTCAGCTTCGAGTTGTTTAATACTAATAAAATTAAATAAAAAATATAATAGAAAAATAAAATAAAATAAACCTAGTATGAGCAGTTTCAAGGTCTTTATTAAGACGATCTCTTTCTGAAATAAGCTATAAATAAAAGTTAAATTGTTTAAAAAGGGTTTAATAATAAAAATTACCCTTTGTTCCCATTGCCTAATTATTAATAAGAAATAAATATAAATAAACGCAGAAGTACTTACCTAAATCTTGCTTCTTCTATTTTAACTTGTTCTGTAAATCTTTTACGCAAAGCTTCTTCTTCTTCTCTAAATTTTGGGTTATCAAGTTTACGAGTTTTTGCTTCTCCAAATTTACGAATCTCCATTTGCTGTGCACGATATGCCTTGAATCAATGATTAGATGGAAGACAAGAAAATAACCTCAAAATATTTACTTCATAATGAACTTCTTCCGTTGTTTGAATAAGATCTAACATGTGTGTACGAATAAGAAGTGAACGTAATTTTTTAAAATCACAATGTTCATCATTTTCAACTTCTGCTACACCCCAACTATATTGTCTTCCTTTAACAACTCGACCATCCGGTGTTTGAACATCTCTGTCACTTCCAATTAATGCAAATGGCATAGCTGCCTAATCATCTTTTTAATAATACATAAATTTACTTTTTTACACCTACAATTAAATTCCTTGCATGTTCCGCCGCTGCCGGATCATCTTCCTCAACTATTGGTGTAAATATATTAATTTCTTGCGCTGCTATAACATCTCGAACCTATATATATTCGTTAAAACAAATAATTTAACCATATATCTACACGTCGCTTAAATTTTGCTAAATCCGCTTGTGTTAACGAATCCGCCTTTGCAATCACTGGAATAAGGTTCACACGTGTTCCTAACCGCTTCATCGCTTCCACATCAAGCGGTTTTAATGTATGTCCCGTAGGTCGAATAAAATAAAGACATGCGTGCACTCGAAGATCAATTTTCTCCGCTCTTCTCGGTTGTTGCTCTTGACGCATATACGATTCATGTTGATCATCAATAAATTCTATAATTGACTGCCATGCATCATTATTATTTACATAGTCCCCAAATCCCGGCGTATCAACAATCGTCAAATTCACTCTAAAAAATCTCTCTAAATCATTTTTATAAGTTCCTCCCCTATTACTACTCAATATTATACCCTCAATCTCTGCTTTCGTGATCTCAATTTCTACTGTTTGGTCTGTTTGTTTTCGAAACCGTTTTTTATTATTAGAATACCCTTTAATCGTCGTACTAAAAAGCGTATTAATCCATGTAGTCTTTCCAAGTCCTGATTCCCCTATAAACCCATATTCATCAGTATTTCCTCAATTTCTATCCTTTTTTTTCCGGAAAAAAACCTGCAAGCATCAATGTAAAGGTTGCTCCTCGTCTTGCTACAATCTTATGTCTAAAAACATTAGTTTATATAAATATCTTCATATAAAACTCTATAAATACCTCTGGTTAGGCAGATTAGAAATACCAATCCCATTGCGAGTCTCTTTATCCAACACCATTTTCTTGGTCGACGTCCGCTCAGTTCCTGGTTGTCCTGGCAGCGAGAGGTAGGAGAGAGCATCAACGTCCAAAAAATGTAAAAAAAAATGAAGTCAGAATTTAAGGTAAATATGAGGTTTAAAGAGTATAAATATAAGAATCTAATGAGAATTAAGCTTTGTAATGTTATTGGATCTTTTTACCGGAACGGAAATGTGATTTTTACGGCGAAAAACGAGTTATTTAGTCCGGTAGGAAATCGAGTGACATTGTTTGATTTAGAGGGGTATGAAAGGGTTTTAAAAGGGTTATATGAAGTTATTTAAGAGTTAGGAATACATCGGTTACGTTTCCGTTTGAAAATTCGAGAAATATTGGTTGTATTGCATTGTCGCCGACGAGTACATTATTACTATCAGTTGATGAAGGTATTAAGGAGATAAATGATGAAAAAAATGAGATTTATAATGTTTATGAGTTAAAGATGGAAGAGGGATTTTGTTAAATGTTGTTAAAAGGGTGGTTTTGTATCATTTTAATTTTGGAAATAAAGTTGAAGATGTTAAATTTTCACCGTGTGGGAAATATTTTGGAGTAGCTATTGGAAATCATGTAGAAGTATGGAGATCGCCGAAATTAGGTGATGATTTGGAATTTTCTCCGTTTGTAAGGCATAGGGTGTATACGGGACATCATGATACAATAAAGACGATTACATGGTCGTCAGATTCAAGGTGATTAATGATGAATTGTTTATTTTTATGATATATTTTTAATATATTATTTTATAGATTTTTTTTGACAGCATCTAAGGATATTACGGCGAGATTGTATTCATTAGATCCAATGGAAAATTTTACACCGATGACATTTGCAGGTCATCGAGAAGCGCTTGTTGATGCATTTTTTTATTCAACCGAGAAAATGGTATATGTCAATGGGTATTTTTAAAAAAATACTTAGTTTATAGATATATACTGCTAGTAAGGATGGGGCACTTTTTTATTGGGAAAAATTATCACCTTCTGAAGAGATAGGATCAATGAAAGATCAAGATTTAAATAAAGATTTTAAATATAAATGGAATATTAAGAATAAGCATTATTTTAATCAGAATAATGCGAAAATGACATGTATTGCATTTCATCATAAGTCTAATTTGCTTGTTGCGGGGTTTACATCTGGTATTTTTGGTCTTTATGAGCTCCCGGAATTTAATATGATACATACTCTTAGGTAATTTTTTATTAGTTTATTTAAATTGTATTTTAAAAAGTAAAGCATTTCACAAAACGCTATTGATTTTATTTCTATCAATAAGACTGGGGAATGGATTGCTTTTTGTGGAAGGAAGCTTGGACAATTATTAGTTTGGGAATGGCAATCGGAATCTTATGTTCTTAAGCAGCAAGGGCATTTTGATATTATAACTGATGTTGTATATACACCTGATTCGCAAAGTATTGTTACATGTTCTGATGATGGAAAAATAAAATTATGGGATATACGTTCTGGATTTTGTTTGGTTACATTTGCAGAACATAAGTCAACTGTTACTGGTCTTGATTTTTCTAAATTTGGAAATGTTCTTTTTTCTTCAAGTTTAGATGGTTCAGTAAGAGCATGGGATTTAACTCGTTATAGAAACTTCCGTATTTTTGTTGCACCTACACGTATAGAATTTTCATGTTTAGCTGTTGAACCTAGTGGAGAAATTGTATCTGCGGGATCTCATGCTTCTTTTGATATATATATATGGTCTGTTCAGACAGGTCAACTTGTTGATCGTCTTTCTGGTCATGAAGGTCCAGTCTCTAGTTTATCCTTTTCAAATACAGGTGAAATCCTGGCTAGTGGAAGCTGGGATAAAACTGTTAGGCTTTGGGAAATATTTACCTCTAGACAATCTGTTGAATTACTTCAATTGCAATCAGATGTTTTGGCAGTTGCATTTCGTCCAGATGGAAAATATATATGTGTTTCAACTTTGGATGGACAATTAACGTTTTGGGATGTGGATAAAGGAAATCAGGTCAATATTATTGATGGAAAAAAGGATATATCGGGCGGTAGGAATATTGGAGATCAATTCTCTAGTGCAAATTCTTTTAGGAATAAATCATTTAAATGTATTTGTTATTCTCCTGATGGTCATATAGTCGTTGCAGGAGGTAATAGTAAGTATATTTGCATCTATGATATTGAAAGTTCTGTTCTTATCAAAAAAATTCAAACTTCAAAAAATTTATCTTTAGATGGAACTCAAGAGTTTCTTAATAGTAAGAATTTTACTGAAGCAGGCCCTCTTGAGCTCATCGATATTCATGATGATGATGATGATGATTTTCAAGATAAAGCAGATTATTCATTGCCTGGTGCTACAAAAAGTGATTTATCTGCTCGGAAATTTAGACCTGAAATCAGGACTCGTGCCTTAGGATTTTCTCCAAATGGAAGATCTTTTGCTGCTGCAACTACAGAAGGAACATTGATATATTCATTAGATGATTTACATCTTTTCGATCCATATTATTTAGATATAGAGATAACGCCTCAAACTATTAGAACTGTCTTATTAAAAAAAGATTATCTAAAAGCAATGATAATGGCATTCAGATTAAATGAACAATATATTATTCATGAAGTCTATGAATCTATACCATTCAATAATATAGAATTGATTTCACGAGAATTGCCTGTTATATATTTGGATAAGTTATTGAAATTTATATCTATAATTACCGAAAGTTCTCCACATATTGAATTTCATTTATTTTGGATTGAAGCACTTTTTACTCATCATGGTAAATATATAAAATCTCGTAATCAGGATTTTATAAAAGAAATAAGAGCAATTCAAAAATATCTTATTTATATTCAGCATGATATTATTAAAATGTTAGTTTTTCTTAAAAAAAAAAAAGAATTTTCTAATATCATTTTAGATCTGATGAAAATAAGTATTTTGTTGAATATATTTTAAACAGAAAAAATATAAATTATCAAACAACCTCATTGCCTAAAAAAAGTGATGAAATACACATGAAAGATGTTTTTAATGATATTCAATCAACAACTAATCATATAAATAATGAAAAATAGGTTATCATGCTTTTTATTGTTTATTTTACAAATTATTAAGAGATTTGCAAATATTTATTTTAATTATCATTATATAAAAAAATAATTATATCTGGTATATTTTCTAAATAATTCTAATAACTAATATTTATTATAATTTACTGGATAAATTTTTATTTAACATTATTTTTTAAATACTCAATTTTGGTACTAAAAATTAATAAACTATTCCTTTATTTTAATAAATATTATATATTAATTCTCTTCTAAATTTTTAATATAAAACAATTCATTTATTCTACAATTCATTTATTCTACAATTCATTTATTCTATAATAAATATATCATTCTACAATATATATAACCCTGTCTTCCTTTCATATCTTATATTATCCTTATATATTTATTTATTAACTACCCTTCTAACCATTACGTAATAATAAAATATCATCTCATAACCCATTTATCTTCCACCAAAAAAATATTTCTTAATAAACTAATAAAATAAATAATTATTTCTAATTAAAATACAACAATTCTTTATATATTTAATCTTTTTAAAACAATTCTTAAACTTCTTCTTATATATATAAAAGATAACCTTATAAATTAAATATAAACATAATCTACAAATAATATTTACATATTAAACATGATTTTCCTTTGTTTCTTAAATATTTCAATATTTCTAAGCTAAACCCTCAGAAATAAAGGCCTTATTAAGCCTTATCGAAAATATTTAAATATATAACCAAGATTTTATTAGAATCTTAATTTTCTTAAGAAAATAATGACTGGAAGTTATGATAGAGCAATCTCAGTATTTAGTCCAGATGGACGGTATTTTGAGTCTTTTTTTTAGAAAAAAAACTAATAAATATAGACTATTACAAGTAGAATATGGACAAGAAGCAGTTAAAAAGGTTTTAAAGAGAATATTTAATATCTAAAATAAAGCTCTGATGAAATTTTAAGGGTGCAACATGTGTTGCAGTTAAAGGAAAAGATTCAGTTGTTTTAGGAGTTGAAAAAAAGACAGCTTTAAAACTTCAAGATACACGAACAGCAAAAAAAATAGGAATTATTGATCACCATGTATTCGTTGCATTTGCAGGATTGAATGCAGATGCTCGTGTTCTTTTAGATAAAGCAAGAGTAGAAGCACAGAGTCATCGTCTTACGATTGAGGATCCGGTGACGGTTGAATATATAACAAAATATATTGCGGGTGTAAAACAAAAATATACACAATCAGGAGGAGTAAGACCATTTGGAGTTTCTACATTAGTTGTAGGATTTGATCCGAATGATGTAGTTCCAAGGCTTTATCAGACAGAACCAGCAGGAATATATACATCATGGTAAATAGGATATAAAATTATGTAAATGAAGCTTATATTATTAAAAAAGGAAAGCAAATTCTATTGGAAAGTCTAGTAAAATAGTACGAGAATTCTTAGAAAAGAATTATAAAGAAAACATGGATCGAAATGAAACGATTAAATTAGCAGTTAAAAGTTTATTAGAAGTGATCCAAACAGGTGCAAAAAATATAGAAATAGCAGTGATGTCATCTGGAAAAAAAATTGAAGTAAGTTAAATATTTAAATAATGTTAACATTTAATAATATAGTTTTTAACTTTTGATGAGATTGATGCCATAATTAAAGAAATTTCAGCCGAAAAAGAATAAGAATTCGGCTATAAAAAACATATTAATGAAAAAAAAACATTTCAAAGCAATAAAATACTATAAAGATATAAATATATGTAATAAATTTATAAATATATATAATAAATTTATAAATATATATAGTAATTCATAAATATCTATAATAATTTACAAATATATACAATAATTCATAAATATATACAATAAATTCATAAATATCTACAATAATTCATAAAATCTACAATAATTCATAAAATCTACAATAATTCATAAATACATATAATAAATTTATAATATCAATACTTCTTTTTCCATTTCCTTACCATTTTCTTGCCATATATCCCAAATTTAACATAATTTAATAAATATTTTTATTAGAAAAAAATACATCTATTTAGATATATGATGTTGACGATAATCTTTAATCACTCTAAAACTAATTATTACCTTATTTTAATCTTAATAAAATAAAACTACCTATTATCCTTACGAATATCTTCTGTTTCTATAGTTAATGCCAGTTTTGGTGTAATTGCATCAATTAAAAAATGATTATCACAACTAATACTATAAATTTTCATCTTTTTAAACTTTAAAAAACCCATACTGGGGACAATATTCATCAGATTCATCTTCAAAATTCATAATATTCTTCCTAAACGCCTTCTACCCCATTTTCAATCATTTTTTTAAAATACTATATATATATATCTACTTTACACTTTTTACATATAAATGTCATTTCGTCTGATCTCAATAAAACATGATCCGACACTTCAAAATGACATTCTGAACAATCAAACCTTATCATTTATTCTTATCTTTCTTCTTTTTCTCTTAACTTTACCATTTCCTACAACATACTGCTCGAATAGAGACTTGTGCGTTCAATATATGTTTACTAAAAATACATAATTTTATCAACTAAAACTACTCTTTCTATTAATCATATTCATACCACATCTAATAATCATATATTTCTTATATATTTTTATACTTTTCTATATCCCTCTAAACCACTATAACTAGAAAACGTGCACGTTATTCGCCCTACTCCTGACCACCATCTTTTATGAAATTTAAAAAAAGGGCAAATAGACAAGTAAAATGGGATTTTTTATAAGAATAAAGGCGAAATTAGAATAGAGGAAGGTCTATATATATGGAAAGCTTTTTTTTTGGGAGAAAATGGGCATAATAGAAGAGGAGAAAAGAGTTTCTAGATTGAAGGAGAAATTTGAAAGACTTGCAATAGAACAGAGATGCAGCGAGTCATACGGACCGTCAGGAGGACGAGAGAGATATGTGAAGACGATGCCAGCATATTATCGTTCGTATGAAAGAACTATAGAATCACCAGGAGAAAAAATGAAATACGAAAGATCGTATATAAAAGTATCAAATAAAGATAAAAGATCAGAGATTAGATCGTCATCATATTTTAAAAGTTCATTAAAAAATCCCTATCATATTGAAAATATATTTGATGATGAGAATGATATTACGATACCAGAAATAAATGAAGAATCAATGAATGCAGATAGATCACCTAGTAATGCAGCGATAAAGTCATTTAATGATACGGCGTCATATCATAGTGATATTTTTAGGGAAGATCGATATATGGATAGTTCAAGATATAAAAACGATACCAGTAATAAGAAGGCGAAAATTATATTGATGATTATTAAGTTTAATAGATAATGAATTAGATATTACAACACGATCGTGTTCACCTAGTATACCTGTTAAAATACAATGTAAAAGACAGAAAGAATATCATAATGATCCATGTATGTTTTTTTTATAAATATGGAATGATTCAGATTAATAATTGAATAGACTTTGATGATTTCGCAGTTGAACATAACGAATCATTTTTATCCTCTAAAATTGATGATTATATATTTGAAAATCAAAACATACTACCAGACATGACTAGTTCACCATTTGATGATCCAATTAGTAAAACCAATATATTTTTTTAAAAAGTTAAATTATTTTAGATTCCAGCTTTGATAATATTTCTATAAAAAAACCATTGCTTTCTCATGAATACACGGATCCTATGATTGATGATTTTTTTCACGATGATAATATGTCAAGTATTGCAGCATCTGAATTTTCTGAAGAAACATCTAGCAAAGCATCAAAACATGATAAATATATAGATATTAATAATATAGAAATACCCAATAAACCGAGCATGAGTCAATCAAAACTATCGAAATCAATTTCACCTTCTAGAAATGCACCTTCTATTCCACCAAAACCAAATAATATTTCGAAAGCTCAAACTAATAAGCCTTTTAATTTTACGGAAAAACCTTTAAAACCTAAAAAAGACTTTATTGATAGACACAATTTATTTCAAGGGCATCTGAAATCATATAGTATGTCAACTAGATTACCAGGAGGGGAATCCTTTTCATATCCACCTACAAATTTTCATTATTCTTCAGTATCCTTAACTTCAACTGTAATTAATGAAACAAAATCCGATATAGAGGAAAAGACTGTTAAATGTCCTGAAAATCAGCCTACAACAGATTATCCTGATTCATCACAAACAAACCGTCGACGACCAATATTTAAAAATGGTCCTTTAGAAATCCGTGGTCGTTCTGAAATAAAGTATTTTCTTGTTTCTGGAGATTATTTATGTTCTTGTGGCACAATTATAAAAGTATGGAACATTAAAACTGGCGAGCATATATGGTCATTGCCGTGCAATGATATGAAAATAACTAGCATGTCTTTTGTACCCTGTCGAAATGTAGATGAGGAGGGAACTAGAATATGGCTAGGAACAAAAGATGGGCATATTTTAGAAATCAATATATTTTATCAAGGTTTTGTTGATAAACGATTTGGCATCCATTCTCATCCGATTATATTCATGTTAAGATGTGGATATGAATTATGGACTCTTGACGACAGTGGAAAATTATTAATTTGGTCTGATGATACGCATAAAAATGGCTTACATCTTCAAAGTACCCCTCGTGCATATAAAGTCGTAGCCAAAGCATCTTTCTGTTTTGTTGTAAAAAACCAACTTTGGTTAGGGGTTTCTAGGTCGGTATATGTATATAATCCTTTGGCATATGTAAATAAACTTCCATTTATCACAACTAATCGACCAATCGTACCACATTTACCTGTGGGAGAAATTTCATGTGGCACCTTCCTTAGAGACCAACCAGATTTAGTTTATTTAGGACATCAGGACGGAAAAATTTCTGTTTATTCCATATCTTCTCTTACTTGCTTGGATGTTATTAATGTTAGTCTTTATAATATTGTATCTTTAATAGGCGTTGGTAATTATTTATGGGCAGCATTTAAAACAGGAATGATTTATGTATATGATCTTCAATCTAAACCTAGAAAAGTAATGAAAGGATGGTGGGCACATAAATTTCCAATATTAAAATTGCAATTAGATACAACAAGTATTTGGAAAGTTAAAAGGTGTCAAGTAGTATCTTTGGCCTCTGATAATATTATTAGAATATGGGATGGTTTATTAATGGAAGATTGGCTAGGTATTAATAAATTTTTAAATATAATACATTTTAATAATTTAGAAAATGAAATGCATAGACGAGATGAAGAATTTTGTAAATTTCGAGATATAAACATTACTGTTTGTACATGGAATGCTGGCGCTTCAAAACCCAACGACTTAAATTCTTCAACTGATGATTTTTCTTTTTTTGAAAAAGTTCTGAAATCTCCAAACCCTCCTGAGATAATAGTCTTTGGTTTCCAAGAACTCGTTGATTTAGAAAATAAACGTCTAACTGCAAGTATGTTTTTTAAAAATCATTTAATTTATATTGAATTTTATTCTAGAACATTTAATGAAATTTAATAAAAAAAAGGATCCTAAACAATTGCAAGAACATATGTCTTGTCAATATAGTGCATGGAAAGATCGATTAAGTAATGAAATAGTAACTTATTTGCATTCTGAATTTCAGTATTCTCTTCTTCATTCTGAAAACTTGGTTGGGTTATTTACTTGCATTTTTACTAAGACATCAATAAAACCAAATATTAAAAAGCTGAACAGTGTTCAAGTAAAAACTGGTCTAGGGGGATTGCATGGAAATAAAGTGCGTTTTTTTAACTATATAAATTGTTTTGAACTTATAAAATCTAGGGGGCGCTTGTTGTACGTTTTATACTTGATGATACATCTTTATGTTTTATTAATTGCCATCTTGCTGCAGGAAAATCTCAAGTGGTAGATAGAAATAACCATTTGGCTACTATCCTAGAATCATCAGACTTCCCTCCAGAGCTGGATAATTCTAAGAGAGCAGATTTATTTGTTGGAGGAGGAGATGGATCAATGATTTTGGATCATGAAATTTGTATATTAAATGGAGATCTAAATTATCGTATAGATATGCGTCGTGACACTATTTTAGAGCATATTCGCAACAAAGATTATCAATCGCTTTTTGAAAAAGATCAGCTTATTTTACAAAGAAAAAAAAATCCAGGATTTCGACTACGTCTTTTTAGCGAAGCAGAAATCAATTTTCCTCCAACTTACAAGTATGATATAGGAACGGATGAATATGATACAAGTGAAAAAAAAAGGTCACCAGCTTGGTGTGATCGTATTTTTTATAGAGGAGACAGTAGAATGAAATGCACCAGTTATCGTCAATTAAATGTACGAATTTCAGATCACCGTCCTGTAGTAGCAACATTTTCAATAAAAGTAAAAACAATAGATCCTGTCAAAAAAAAAGATATCTGGAAAATAGTCGCAACCGACTGGATGAACATTGCTCAAAAATTTAGGGAATTAGCAAAGTAATACTTATGTCCAGCATATTTTATCTTTTTTAACATATCATAGACTTGATTATTTGGTTTCTGAATGTGGCTTTGAAGAGGAATTAGCATCTAAAATATTAAATAATCATAATGGAGAGGTTATAAATTTTAAAATTCGAATAAAATATTAATTTAAATAGGTTCCTAATGCCTTGACTGAACTTTTAAATAGTACTTGTAAATCATAAAAATAATCTTTAATAATCATACATTTCATTTCTTACAAAATATAATAAATTGAACACTTTTGAGAATGCCAAAACATTGTTAATAATAAATTTCTGAATATTAATGTTTATAATTACAAATTTATTTCTTTATATTCCCAGTTTCTATATTTTCATTTACTTCTTTGTCTTCTCTTAATTTTCTTCTTCTTTTGCTTTCATATTCATGCCAATCTCCTTTCATATTGCCTAGCCTAAACTATGTTTAAAAACTAAATTAAACATTAAGTGTAATTACCCTAAGGGAGGCATCGGTTTAGGTTCTTCTTGAGTAAAAAAAGTATGTTTTAATGCATCAGTAGCAGTTGGTCGTTTTGATGGATCTAGTGCTAATATATTAGAAAGAAGACTTAAAGCCGCAGGAGACAAAATTCTATAATAAATAAGAACAAGAAAAAAGCAATATGAATTATTACGATGAATAACGATCATAAAACTTTCCTATTTTTTTTTCAGATGGTTTAAGCAGTTCGAACCATGGCAATTGGTCTACACTAGGCCAATTTTCATGTGTTGGCGTTCCCATCATATCATAAATAAGCTCAAGTTGATGAATTTCATCATGTCCTGGAAACAATGGCTTTCTTGTAAACAATTCAATCATTATACATCCTGCGCTCCATATATCAACGGCAGGTCCATATGCCGTAGCACCCAAAAGAAGTTCTGGAGGTCGAAACCAAAGAGTAATTACTCTATTAGTATAATCCGCTGTATCACGCTTTTTATGGTAATAACGAGCCAATCCGAAATCTGCTAACTTTAATTGCCCAAAATTATCAAGAAGAATATTTGATCCTAATATATTAATTTTAGATGATTATAAAATATGATTATACCTTTAATATCACGATGTAATACTCCACGATGATGAAGATATTCTAATCCATCTAACATTTGTTTACAAAGATGTTTTGCATGCGAAGGCTCAAATCGAAAGTTAGGATTTGATAACACACCAGATAAATCATGATCCATATACTCGAAAACCATATATACAGTACCTAAAAATACAATTAAGATAATTAAACATTAAAAAAAAGAAAAAGCTAACTTTTTTCTACCATCATTTCTAAAAGACAAACAACATTAGGATGTTTTAACGATTGCAATAATTTGATTTCTCTCATAGCAGTAATAGGAAACTAGATAAAAATTAGCTAAAAAAAAAAAAAAATAAATATATTACCCCATTTTTTTCATATTCCATTCTAATTTTCTTTAAAGCAACCAATTCATTAGTTATTCTATTACGAGCTTTATAAACTTTTCTATTAAAGATTAAAATATTAGTAAAAAATAAGAAATAAAAGTACCCATATGTTCCTTCACCGACTTGACCAATCCTTTCATATACAAATCCCTCTTTAGAATCCATCATAGTTATCTTTGCTATTGGCATTTTAATAGATACATTTTTCTGAGTCTGAGAATCCTCAGAATGCCGATGAATATTATTATTATTAGAATAATTTATATTATTTTCCGGGTCTCTTATTGGAATATTTTCAGATGATTTTCTGGATTTTTTCATCAATGAGGAATCAAGATTTTCATTATTTTTCAATGCATCATAAAAATCAAATGATCTTTTTGATAACTTAAATTCGTTCTGTGCATTTTCCATAATTAAGCTAGTTTTGGATTCTTGAATTTTGTTAGGAGGATATGATGTTTCATTTAAATCAGTAGTATTGTCTAGATAAACCCTAGATGTTGATAATGTATTTTTCGTATTTGATAGCTTAAATGATATTATAGGAGTCATAGAATGTTTAGTATTTCCAGAAAAAGAAGGACCAATAGTATCATCTTGTTTTTTAGCAACATCTTTCTTAAGATCCATAATTTTCAAAGGAGTTTTATTAAACAATTCGTCTGTATCATGCAATTTCTTATGACTTTTTTGAACAGATTGAGTATAATTGCTGCTATTTTCAGTATCATATCGATAATCAGAATTTTTATCTTATATTTATTAGCTATAATAATAATAATAATAATAATAGAAAAATATGAACCACTTATATCCTTATATTTATGTGTATTCGCTGTTGCATAACTACTTTCAGTATATGAATCAGGACTTTCATATAAAATATTTGTCTCTTTATTATTTTCATTAAGTTTATTAGAAAATGATGACCTATGACGTGGGCTTCGACTATTAGAATATCTAATATTTAAATCATTTATATGCATAATATAAACAACAGTTTCAATATTAATAATTACCTATATCTTGAATCTTTTAAATCATTAGCATGTCTATGTTTTTCATGTGAATAGGCCGTGTAAGATATGCGGGCCGTATCGGTGTTATCCTTATGATAAGATGCAGATAAATTATTCTTATAATTTTCTTTAGATGCAAATCTAGAATTATAATGATTAGTTTCATGATTAGACTTGTATGAAGAATGATTATATGATGATGATGATGATGATGCTGAAAATGATAACGAATGTTGATGACCCTTTTCATTGATATGATTAGACGTTTTCTGATATTCCGTGTTCCTATCTTCCAATGATGGTAAAAAATGATTCTTATGTTTATGATAAAAATGTCGATTCTTATAATATTCAGGTGAATAATTAGTTTCTTTCTTCATTGATACATGTTTCGGCGATTTACTATATCTTTCCAAGGAATTGGACCTTGAACGTGATAAATCATCAATATATCGTCTTTCACTAACATTTATAGATACGGGTGAACGCGAATTAAACCTTTTATCACATATCCCAAATGGTGATATTCCTCTTGATCTATTTTCACATGGACTTCGTCTTTCATACATTTTTTCTCTTCTTTTTTCTATACATGTTTTATCATGTATATTCATCGAACGCATCTTTCTACTGCTTTTTTTCGAATATTCTTTATAGAATGGTGATACTGAACGTTTCCTAGTCCTTCTAATTCCCATTTCTATGTCTTTTCTCTCTTTTATCCCCTCTTTTTCATAAAAATAATGTTTACATAATGTCTCCTGTTGAACCGCTTTTTTAACCCTGAAACCTTCCATTTTAGAAAAAATTTCGCCATAACGTCCTTCTCTCCTGCGTCTTCTATATTCTTCTTCATCGTATCCTGTCTTTCCCATACTTTTATCCTGCATATATTTCACTCGCTTAATCAAATAAATATCTCAATCTCTATAGCAATTCTTTCAACAAAATGCCCATATAATTATATCAAAATAGACCTAAAAAAATCCTCTATTTAAATATCAATTAATATCTGCTGATTAACTCCTGTCATTAGACATTTAACAGCTTTTATCATAATCAGGAATATTTTGTCGTCCGATCGAAGGCTGAGGAGATTGGAGAGAAAAGACGGTATAAGATAAAGGCCGAGAGAGGAATGAATAAAAATACAAGAAGAATGAGGATAAATGGGATGAATGAGAAGGATAGAAAGAGAGAATAAGATCAGTATGAATTTTAGAGGAAGAAGAGGATTTATTGAAATGAAGAGAGATTAGGTAAGTTAGGTGATAAATCTAAAGATAAGGAGGAGAAACCAAGAGACCAAATGCCAATGAGAGTATATAAATCCATTTTAAGTCCTCTATAGAAACCATTTAAGCCATAGGGACCGGAATCTTCTTCGTATAAAATGCACCAAATAGTACCAGAAATGCCGATATATCTTCCAGGTTTAATAAGAGAATGTTTAAGATCAGATAGATGAAGTTGTGCTCTACGGAGAATTGTTTCCAAAGGTAATTTTATGAAAAGATGAGACAAAGAAGAAAGAAGTGAAATGAGATTATAGATAAAAGGTGTTTCGTAAGAATCTATAACAAGTCCAGATCGATTAAAAAATATAGAAATGAAGTAAGAAAAAGCATTAGGTAAAGTAGCGTAGAATAAAGTTGGTAAAACAAGCATAGATGGACAGATTAAAAATGAAAAAAAAGGTTCTGAAGAAAGATGTTGTTGATGAGATTTTAGATACTTTGGAGTTAATATGATACTAAATTAAATTAAGAAAATAAAATAAGAAAAAATAATTACCGTGTTCTAGCAGTATCAATTGGTGCTAAAAGCAAAGAAGTAAAAGCAGATGATGCTAAAGATATAAAAGATGAACTTAACAAATTATCAAAATCAATACTTTGTGAAATAAACGTTGGAAATGAAAAAAATGACGATAAAAATGATGAAATCCATGATTCTGTAATAGAAAATAAAACATTATAAACAAATGAAATATTTTGAGCTTAATTCGTCAATTATTTTCATACTTTCTTCTATCTTTACCTTTCCATAGACTAAAAAATCCCTCTTTTTTCCATAAACTAGATATCGTCGCTATTATACCACAGTTTTGAACATTAATTTGCCACGGAAAATATATTTCATGATTATCCGGTGATGTTAAAACATATCCTTCACGATCAACAATACTTCTTTTAGATGAATATGATATATCAGGTGATAATACATGTGAATTCGGTTCACAAAAATACGGCGGATCGGATTCATTTGACATTATAGAATCACTCTATCCAAGTCAAAAAAAATCCCTATATTCCAATTCATACATCCTCCTCCTCCTCCCCCTCTTCTTCTTCTTCATTTCCTTCTCTAATCTTCTCATTAAAAAACTTCCTTCCTTCTATATCACTTTGTAGCCCTCGTTTAACATGATATTGACATTGTAGAAGCATTTTTGCTATTTCAAACGGCTGAACCATAAATATACTCAAATATCTTGATACTGTCTCTAATAACAATGCTTTTAATAACTTTTTATTATCTTCCTGATTAAAATAATTCAGGTATTCAAACTTAGTCCATTTCTTTGATGTCGTATCTGAAACATTCCGTTTTATTCCTTGTCCTATATCATATGAATACTCTGATGGTATATAATATGGTCTATTGGGGTTGATTTCCTGCTCAAAAACCCCAAAATTGCTGGATTTCATCTTAGTTTTTTTTATGTCGTCATGACTGGACGATAAGCTTATATATTTATCAGAAGTATGGGTTTTATGGAGGTGAAAAAAGAAGATGAAAATACAGGAGAAACAGGATAAACGAAAAGTAAATGATAATGAAGAGTATTTGGTGAAAAAGAAGAATAAAAAAAGAGTGAAAATTGGAGGAGAAATAGAAAAAGAAGAGATAAAAAAAAAAATAAGAAAAAAAAAGGAAGAAATAGAGGAAATAGAAGAAGATAATGAAAGAAATGTTTCAGAAGGAAGTGAGGGTTGTTTTTGAAGTTTTTTTTTGGGTTAATAAAGGACTAATTATGAAGAAGTTGAAGAGGAGGATAAAAATGTAAAAAAAGAAGAGAATAGTAAGGGAATGAATGAATTAATATGTATAATATTAAGAAGAAAAAGAAGAAGAAGAGGATAAGGAAGATATGGTTGATTTTGGAGAAGCAATGTCAAGAATTGTGTCATCAGATGTGAAAAGTATTTATAAGGAAGTAAGAGAATTATGAAGGAAAAAAGAGGAATGAAACTGATGAAATAAAAGGATCCTATTTTGAGTAGTTGTATAATGGAGATTTCAAAAAAAATTGAGGAAAAAAATGTAGAAAACAAGGCAAAAATGTTAATTTCAATGGAAAAAAAGAAAGAACAAGAAAAAGGAAGAATTAAGGATATTATTCCATTAAATAATGATGAAGAAGTGTCTAAAATTTTAAATTATGAAAAATTTTTGCGAAAAACAGCACAAAAAGCAGGTAAAAATGAAAAAAAAGGAAGAAAATCCAACTAATTATCAAGTAATTAATTTATTTAATGCTATAGGAGAGGCACAAGCCAAGGCTAAAAAAGTATCTAAAGATTTAAAAAAAAAAGGACTTACTAATACAATAAAAAGAGAAAAGGAAGGTAAGAATATATAATATATATAATAAAATGCTAAATATATAGTTGCAAAAATGTCAAAACAAAATTTTTTCGATCTTATTAAGAATCCAAAGAAAATATAATATTGCGAAAAAAGAATTTGTATCTCAATTCATTCATGACAATTTATTATATTATATGGTTGAATTGTAGTTATCTATCGTGTAGTCATATATCGATATACTATTTTTTAAACTGTATATTTCTAATAATATTAATGATATTTCCCAAAGAAACAACGTAAATCTCTGTTTACCTAGTTTCAGAAGGGATTCTATAATTATTAATAAAATATTAAAACATTATTTAATTTCTTACATAAAAGTAATACCATCTAAACTTTTATCCATAATTATTTGACAACCCAATCTCGATCTATCAAAGAAATAAACATCTTTCATATATAAAAACTCTTTTTAATACGTTTCAGTTAATCCAAAAGCCAAATCAAGCATATCTAACTCTTTTTCCGATTGTTCCTCCATTTTACTATAGTATTTAGGATCGACAATAACATGACATGTAGAACATGCTATTGATCCTTCACATGCGCCTATAAACCCTTTAAAATTATACCTTAATAAGAACAAATGGACCCTCCAGATCAATATTATGTTCATGTGCAATATCTAAAACGGTGCTACCCTCAGAAACTTTCAGCGTCTTCCTCTCACCCTGTGGTGTAATAAACGTGCATTCTACTCTTAATACTGAATTAAAACCCTTCATCTTCACCAAAATAAACTCATACTTTTCTCTAGAAATTGATGACGTAAATTTTCGATAAAAAAGGGCTGTAAAGAGTAAAAAAAACTGGAAAAAAAGGCTCTTCTAAAACCTCCAGTCATATTCTGCTCATTTCTATGCTCAAATCCCAATATAAACTCATATTTAAGGCTATTTTTACGCCTTTTCAGATTTTTCTCAAAATAAATACTTCTTTTAAGGACTGGTGCAAAATTACCCGGATAAAAACGATAGAGACTCATAGAGAACCCATAAGATGACGGAAAATGTCTTTTTACTGTCAAAAATTGGGCCATTTTTCATCTTTTTTAAGTACATCAATTATTATGACGTTAACATATGGGACCTTCGACGTCAGAAAATAGAGGCCTATAAGAAGCTGAGGAAGAGGCCAATGGCAGAAGTATCAGGAAAAAGAGGAGCTTTTATTCTTATAGAGGGCCTTGATCATAGTGGAAAAACGACACAATGTGAGCTTCTTGCAGAGGAATTGCTTATAAAAAAAGTGCCAGTGAAAATCCAAAAATTCCCAAATAGAAGCACAGAAATTGGGAAAATCATTGATTTATACCTACGAGGAGATTTAGAGCTTGAAGAGCATGCGGTACATCTTTTATTTTCAGCAAATCGTTGGGAAATGAGGTATTTAAAGGGAAAACAAGGGAAAAATATATTTCTTCCAATTAAATAGTGAAAAAATACGCAATGATCTTAAAAATGGAATTACGGTTATTGTTGACCGATATATTTATTCAGGGATTGCTTTTTCAGCGGCAAAAGTAGCAGAAAATTTGGATAAGTTAAGTGTTAAAGAGAAGTAGGGTTTAAATATAGAATGGTGTGAAGAGGCAGATAAAGGATTACCTCTACCAGACGGAGTAATTTACCTAGATATTTGTGAAGAGAAAGCGTCTTTACGACATAATTATGGTGTAGAACGGATGGAAACTGGTACGATACAAAAAAGTGTTCGATCAGTATTTAGAAATATGTATGAAAAGAATAAGAATACGAATTGTCCATGGTATTGGGTGGATGCATCGAATTCTATTATAGAAGTAAAGCTAAATACATGGAATGCAGCACAAGATATCATAAATAATTTATCGGACGATATTAAAGAATTCAGCTAAAATTAATTATATTTAAAGATTTATTTATATAGAAAATACAGATTTCTAATTGTCAATGACTTTATGTTTAGTTGTATTTGTTTTTTCGTAAAGGCGAGAATTTTTATCAGACGAATAATGGTTATATATATCTACGAAAGAATCTTTATGTCCTTTATACTCTAAAACGGTATCCAATGGAAGATTAAGGATTTGTTTTATAAGGTCTCTGGATAAAATTGGTCAAATATGTATAAATATGTATAAATATGATAAATCATACCGAATTTTCAAACTAACTCTTCCATTATCAGAACTTTTATTCCATACACTTATAAGGTCCTCAGAATTTCTAATACTAAGAACTATACCACATAATTCATCACCAACATTCCAGAACTGATCACCAACAATCGCTAATACTAATTGTTCCCAGTAACGAACAACTATACCTTTACGAAGACGAAGGGTCCACTTTCCACCATCTTGATTAGCTGGATCTTCAAATATTGGCCTGATTCCTTCTTTAAATAAATGTAAATCTGAAATAACTGGAAGTGTATCAGGACGTTTAAGGTAAACATAGATCGACCAAAATTCTTCAACCTTATACATTCAAAATTAAGAAAACTACTTAAAAGAAACATACTGATGAGAATGTTATCAGCTTTTTCAGTGATGATTCATAATCTTTTATTCTACTTCCAAACGCACGATTCATATACCAAAAAGTAAATGAATATTTCAACATATGTACCGGTGATTGTGTATAAATACTGCTTTGTATATTACGATTCTGGCATGCATCTGATTTTTTAAACTGGGATGTTTTTAAAATTGGTGATTCATTAGATGGTGTTATATTAGATGATGTCAGAGAAAAAAAATACTACATAAATACTTTTAGAAATATTCAAATAAAAAAAAAGGGTATATTATACGTCTGATTCTTGGGACATATTAATTAACTATTTTTATATTATATTATGTTTTGAAAGGACTTTTTATTCAACTTTTTTTTTAAAAAAAAATGAGATATTTTTCCAGGAAATCTTATTATATTTTAATCTGTTATTAGGTATGTTTCTATTGACTTCTTTTAACTTGTATGTTTTTAATTTATATAGTTTTTGTTAGTAGAATTTTCGAAGGCTTTTGAAAATTTTAAAAAAATGTTAATATTTTTTTAGAAAAATCAATAAGCAAAAAACAAAAGGTAGTCCAAGCCTTAACATTTTTAAAACCGTTGCTTAAGTCAGAATAATATGTAAAATATTATGAAGTTCATTAAGAACTATGGCTGGTGACGACCTGAGAAATGTTATATTTATTTCAAAAAATCACATTTATATGGCTAGAATGAACCCTTATAATCTATAAAATAGGTATTATTTTAATATAAGAATATTTATGTATAGTTGGCCATGATGAAAAAATCTGGTAACTGGAAATATTTATTTAAAAACAAGTGTTACAGATACAAATAAATATAAATATATATAATAGAAACACTGTGTTAAATATGTCATGATTTAGGCAAAGTCAGAGCCATAAATATTTCTATATTTTTTAAATAAATAAATAAATATATATATTAATATAAATTATTTAGGGTGAAAATAATCTATAAAAGAATAGATTTTATTTATATTAAGATAGCCAAAGTGTTATAGAAGAATATAAGATAGATTATTATGTAATATAGAATTAATGATATTAAGAAATATAGAAAAAATGTTAATATTTATAAATGGTAATAACTAAAAAAAATCTTAAATATCCTATAGATTTAGATGTCTAAATAACCAAAGATGTACCCTTAATATAATTGAAATTTGTATCCCAAAATAAATGATTTAGTAAAAAATTTAATAAAAGTTAATAAAAAAGATTTTTAAAAATAGATTATGATGCATTAAAATATTTGTCAGCAAAATTGCTATCTTCATCCATCAAATTTGCAGAATATTCTTGATGCCCAGTTGCTTGATGACCTTGAATACCTTGTGCTAAATCTACTAAAGCATATAATAATTCTCGATCTGTTTGTGATGACTGAACAGAATTTTCAATATCACTATCATTTCGAATATTTCCCATGAAAGTTTTATCAGAAAGCCCTTGATTTGCAAAAGCTTCAAAAATATTTGAAATATTATTTGTTGAAGAAATTGACTGAGAAGTATAATCCCCAATAGAATGATTGACTTTTATATCTTGATGGTAGAAAGATCTATGATAATGATATGTATTAGATGAATGAATTTCATTAAGACTGGATGATAATGTATTATCATTATTATAATTATTAATATGAAACAAATATGGTTGATTTCTTCGTTTACAACAATTTGGACTACAAAAAATTAAAATAAAACATAAAAAACGAATAATAATTACCATAAGTATTGATTCAAAGTTTGAGAAATAGCCTCATTTAGGCCAACACATGAATGATGAAACCAATTTCCACAATCAAAACAATAAATTTTAGGTGAATCATTTGGTATCCATGGTCTCCTACAAATGCATATCAAAGGAATAGGCGATGGACTAACGTTTTTTTTCGTATTAGATGACTGTGATACATTCAATGTTTTAGACTTTTTAGAAGTTACAGGAGTAAATTTTTCTGATGATTCTGAACTAGGATCCAATCCAAGTGCAATTAACTCTCTTTGTCTTTTCGTAGGTCGTGGTTTTCTTGTAGATTTAGATATTTCAATAGCCTGAGGAGGTATAGGAGCAATTGGAACAAGTTCATGAAGTTTAGCTTTGAAAAAATTCGTTTCTTCAGCAAAAAGAAGTTCAGAACCTTCCATTTTTCTCAAATAGAACCTCATAATAGGTACTTCTGCTGATGTTAAACCAAGAGGAGAATATATATAAGGACGAATATGATTTCTAAACGCTACACCAGTATCTACTATCTCTTTTAATTTATCCAATTCTGAAGGTATAAATGGCAAAAATAATGCATCCGAAAGGAGTTGTTGCATATCTTCAAGCTTAGGGCGGTTTGATAATCTAGGAATTTCTACACGATAATCACAAATAGGACATGTCCACTTATCATCATCACGCAATTTTTTCCTAGATACTTTTAAGCAACGACCATGATACCTATAAATATTAAAAATATAGTGATTAAAAGTGAGAATATACCATTCATGACATATTTCGCATTCTACCATTAACCCAGACTCTGGTTGTCTACATAAACAAAAAAGATCATGATGTGGAATCTGATTAGAAGAAATTCCATATCCGTCAGCTTTATTAATAACTAAAGAAGTAGAAGGATCAGGACTCTGCTCTCTCGATGAAGGTTCAACAACAAGAGCACGAGGTTTATCCTCCAAAGAAAGACATAAACTGTTTCTTTTAACAACGTATTCCATATGTTGTCCTAAAGTCTCTAAAGGTGCATTAGCTTTTCCAAATAATCTCTTTCCTCGACGAATCCATTCATGTAATTTTTGCTGTTCCTTTTGAAGGAAAGATACTCCTTCTGGAGGATTCGGGAGAGTATTAACAATGTCCATAATTTTTTTCAATTCAGTAGCAGTTGGTCTTTGCCAAAAATCAGGATTTAATATGCGTTGTTGAATATTTTGAACAGAGTTGTGAACTTCATGTATTTTATTTATAATAGAATTAACTTTAGCAAGAATCCCTTGAGATATAGACAAACTAGATGCTTGGTCTACTAATCTTATTAGTTCATCCATAGGTATTGTCTCTCTTTCCATAAGACTAATAGCATGTGCTTCCCATGCTTCTCCATTTTCTTTTCTTATTTTAAGTTTCAAAAAATATGGATTATTTTCCGGAATCTTAATTTCCCTTCCTTCTGAAATCAAATCATTTACTTCTTTTAATGAAATATATTTATTCTCAGCATCACGAACAGTCTCTATCCATAATAACTGTTTATAATATTGTTCGAATTGCTCAATCTCTGGAATATCAACATTAAAACTTTTTCCTAATTCTATAATTTTCAAACATTGCTCAGATGATACTGTAGCCTGAGAAATGACATCCCTTGCATGATTCTGAAAAGATGCTATAGCATCTGCTTTCTCTTGTAACATTTGTATCTCGGGAGTATCAAAGGGAAGGCTTTCTGCTTCCTTTAATAGACTTTCCAAATACTTTGGATTTCTAAAAATTTTATCACGCTCTTCCAATTCTGCAATTTTGCCTTTTCTCCAAACTTTTTCATTCTTACGCCGATTTTGTTGCTTTCGTGTTATAAAATTATTTGCATTTTCAACCCATTCATTTACTCTTGTTACAAAACTTCTAAGAGACGATACTTCTTCAATAGGATATTGTATTTTTTCGACTTCAGAAAGAAGTGAACGCATAAGTTTAAGAGAAGGCCGTTCATTTTCTGACATAGCTTTATAAAATTTTTTAGTCCACATAACAGGAAGATTACTACGTTCACTAATCTTTTCTGCAATTTCATTTAAGTGTTCATCGCTATACCTAAGTCTAAGTATACGAGTATTTTTTTCACAAGCACATAGTTCCAAATAATGATCTGCACATACAATTTCCGGTGTACAATTACATTTAATTTGAGAAAGATATGTATAAGATTTACATATTTTACATTGATATTGGTCTTCATGTATATCTGTTTCATCCAATTCCTCAGTAAGATCAGTAATCTCTTCTCTTAAAAATTTCCGAGATTTCAATTCACGATCTTTCATCTCATTTATTATATCATTTAACCTATTATAATAAATCTAGTTTAAAAGATAAGAAAATTCATACCACATGGAAGTTTTAATTCCATTTTCATGAAAAGAAATAGTTAAAAGTAATTCATCATGTGAAAACACTGGAATTTTCCTGAATTCTTTGTATCTTTTTACTGATTCTAAACTATATCCTTCATTCATCCAATTGGGAATAGCAAAATTAACCGCTTCATTAAAATTAAACTCAATAAATTAGTTTATGTAAATATTCTAAGTTAAAACTTACTCCATGATTAAAACCTGCATGATATGCTTGTGGAAAAGTTACAACAAATTGATTTGCATGCTGATCTACAGCATAAACTCTAACCCCCTCATCTACTAACTTCGCAGGGCTAATCATAGTTACAAGCTGAAATAACAAATCCGGCTGTTGTTCAAAAAGTTCTGGTATAGTATTCCTCATAATTTGTTCGAATAAATCTGCATCACTACTTGGTATACCATACCATGTTTTCGTTTCTCCAAGATGCTGATAATTAATAGAATAAGTATAATGATCTTCATTATGCCAACAAAATGCAGAAAAACACATTCCAACATAAAGCCATGGTGTAGTCATACCACTGATATTCGTTTTAATATGTCTTAATAAAGAATCAGGAGACAAAGGTAAGATATTTAAATTCCATGGGTCCGATGAATATGAATCCAAGGGATTTTTTTCTAATGTAGGAAAACCTGATCCATGTGTAGTAGAATGAATATCAGCACCATATTCAACCTCTGTTGTTACATTTACATTTCCAACCAATTTCCAAAATTCTTCTTCTACATCTGCCTCTGTAGGGCAATTTTGCTTTTTATTAAACTGTTTTTTAGAAAAATATTTTTTTTTAAAAGAATTAGCCTTCTCCTGAAACTGTTTAAGGGAATATGTGCTTCCATCTTCAAATCCAAAATCGCTTGTCCCTAAAAAACATACATCACAATACCATTCACGTTCAGGTATTTGTGTTAATGAATATTCCAGACATTGTATATGATATCTAACACCACATCCATCACATAATAACATAGAAGAATGATCTAATCCTTTATGACATCCTTCACAAACCTTATATTTCATTAGAAAATAATAAATTCATCTAAAAAAAAATACCTCTTCAACTTTATTTGAAATACCCGCTTCCATTGAACCATTGCTTGATAATCTTTCATTGTTTTTTGATATTCCATTTACATCTATTTTATATATTAAAAACTTCATATTTAATTTCATAATATACCTTTTCGAAGATATCTAGTACTTCGACTCTCGCTTTTTTCTTTATTAGCATTATTACTCAATATATTACTATCCTCATGCATCCCCTCTTCCTTCATATTTGTTTCTTTCGCATTTTTCACCTTATTATTTAAATTATTTGCTAAATCATTTTTATACACTTTGGTTAACGAAAAATTATTCGATAAAACAGACATGGTTTTCTCATTTTGCTCCTTTCCCTGATTACGATACCCTCTCGACACATTCCTAATCTTCTCCGAATATACATCATATGGAAGAATATATTTTTGATAGATCGTCCTTAATGACGCTACTGCATTCGAAAAATGTCTCCCATCATTCGTATATCCAAACTCACGTCCTATCTCCTCCCATCTCCTCCTCTCATACGCCTATATAATCCCTTATTTCCCCCCTCTTTATACATTTTTTTCTTACCTTATGATATCCTCCTCTGCTTTCTACCGCTCTTTTCAACCTATAAAGATCTATAGGTTGTCTATCAATCGTAGGCAACACTTTTATCGGCGATCCACGCTGCTTATGAAACTTAAACAGCCTGTCAAGATAACTAACATTCGCTCTAAACCCTCCTTCCATTGAATTCAACACCTGTTTTCTCGTGCGAAATAAAAACGTCTACATACAATATTAACCCCCAAAAAAACACTCTAAACGCTCCAATAATAACCTCCGAGTCTATAGAAAACGTTGGCTTCCATGTCTTCGGCGGAATAATCTTAATAATCCCATATTTCTTTCCCTCCGTTGATATACTTTCAATATACTTTAATGGTTTCTTAAACTCCTCCTCCGTAGGAAAAAACGTCGGGGCAACATGGAGGCCCATAGGACGTGGATATCTGGGTATTTCAGGCCCTTCATAGTTCATTTCTACAGTAGACAAATCGATCGGCTCCATTTTAACTTTTCTATACAGACATGGCAGATTTTGATCCGGTTTTAAAGGACTATAAGTCATTTTTTACGGAGAACAAAGATATTTGATCAGTTTTGCGTTATTTCTTGAAGAAATGGCGTATTTTTGGAGAAAATGATTTTTTTTTAAAGTTGGAGGTCCGTGGAAAATTTGGAGGAGAAACCGACGGGGAGAAAGAGGATGCACAGTTTTCCGGTATTTTATGGGTGTTATTTGTTAAAATCAGAGACAACAAGAGGTACATACGTAGGATCTAGTAGTAATCCATATAATGTGTTTTTTTCCGGGTTTTTTTTGATGAAAATTGATGAAATTAGAGGTTAAGACAACATAATGGAGAAATTGTATCAGGAGCACAGAAAACGGTTAGAGGACGTCCTTGGAACGTATGATAAGATGGAATTAGAATGTCGGAGGACTTTCTGACTTTTTTTTTTGAAAAAAAACAGATTATTTGCCTTATTTATGGATTTCCTTCAGTAGTATCAGCTTTGCAAGTTTGAGCGGTTTAAAAGGCTAAAAAACGAGATATTCTAATGTATTAAGTTTGAATGGGCATGGCAGAATCCATATAAAACAGTTAAAATTGAAAAAGAGGAGAAAAAACGGCTTCAAATGGAGTCAAATCAAGAAAATGAAGAAGAAGTGAAATATCCTAAACAAGGATCGTATATTTCAGTGAAAAGAAGGTTATTTATATTATATAATATGTTGACGATGAATGCATGGAGAAGATGGCCTCTTAAAATCCGAATTTTTGATGAAAAAGCAAAAAAAGTATGGGAGACGTTAAATAATACGATAGATAGGAAAATAATGTCATGTATGACATTAGAATATGATATAGTTATTTATGGGTATGTGTTTTTTTTTGTTGCGTATTATTTAAATGAGATGTTGTATAAAGAAAAAAAGAAGTATATTTAAACAATTCAAATAATATAAAAAATAATGAATTATTAAATGAGGAACAAGTGGAAAACAAAGGATACCATGCTTTAAAGAAAATAGATATTTATGAAGGTTTTATATGTTTTTTTTTTTATAGAAAAAAATTAATTTTATAATAGATGAAATGTCACAAATTGCATTTAAAATTTTTGAAAAAATTAAAGAAAAGAATAATAATATTTGCATTATTTGCAAAAATATATGTGAATTTCCAGAATTGGATTCGAATGATGCAGCACTAATATATTCTCAACTAATTATTTGCCCGATAGAAGACTGTCTACATGTATTTCATCTTTTATGTTTAGCAAAATCGATACAAACATCAGAGACAGAAAATGATGTTTTAATTAGTCGCTATAATTGTCCGTCATGTCAAAAAAGTATTATTTGGGGAGATTGTATTCGTCTTCAATATTGTATACTGAGAAAGACAAATGCTAATTTAAAAGAAATTAAATTCTAAATTAAGGTATATTAAACATTGCAAATCTCGCATAAGATTTATTAGCTTAAATATTATTAAAAATTATATTAATGATATATTATTTTTATAGTATAAGTTGCCAATTTTCAGTAATAGATAATTTTGGATCTCTAATGGATATTATTTGCGTTTTTTCGTCATTTGATAGAGTAACAGTAACTTCTACTTCCCATGTATCTTTACCTTGTATAGCTTTCCCTTTAGTTATTTCTTTTATAATACTATCAGATTTTAATATTATAAGCTTTTCTATTCTGATATTTTTTATTTTTTTAGAATATTCTTGTGAATTTTTGGAATTATTAAGATTATATGAAACAAAAGTAAGATTATCAGATGAAAATATAAACTCTTTATATATATAAAATCCGTCATAATTGTCAAAAGATACCCCGTCATCTAAATATAAAGATCCTTTTGCATTTCCCTATAAATATTAATTAAAAAACTTAAAATCTAAATGGTAAAACTTTATTATTAAGAGCAACAATAACAGTAAATGGATCATTCATCATTAATAAGGATGAACGACGTGGTCTATCACGTCTTATAACAATATTTCCTCCTTGTATAAACATTGGTATTTTCTCAAGAGGACAAGGAAATGTTTTATATCCTTTGCCAGTATGTACAGAAAAATCAAAGTAATCATAATAAGGCTAAATTTATATTACAAAAAAATAAGAAAAAAATATTATTCACCTCATCATCTCCAAAATATACATTTATTTCAGTCGCACCTTCATTAGTAACAGGTTTAACAAGAATACCACTATCTCCCAGAAAAAATTGATCATCAATTGAAAAGCCATTTTCATCATCAGGAAATTTAAGAAATTGAGGTCTAAAATGGTTAAAAGGATATAAAAGAATTATCAATGTTTTAACCGTAATACTGGTAATCCTGTAGTACTTGCATGAAAAAAAGCTGTATACCAAGTTGGAAGAAGTTGATATCTTATAAGTATGCTATTACGTATAATTGATCTATAAGAACTAGGAATAGTCCAGGGCTCACGTCTCCGAGTATTAATATGCGAATGTCCTCTAAAAAAAGGATAAAAGATTCCAGCTTGATACCAACGAGTCAATAATTCATTAGAAGGATTTCCAAAGAAACCGCCAACATCAGCTAAAGAATTAAAAAACAATTGACTTTAGAAATAAAATATCTACCTCCAGAAAAAGACAATCCGGCAATGTTTAGAGATAATATTTCAGGTATTGAAGCACGCAAATGTTCCCATGATGAGCCATTATCTCCGATCCAAATAGCACCTATACGAGAAGTACCAGCCCAGAATGACCTTGATAAAATAAATGGACGCAGTTTTTTATTAGATTTTCTCGTGCATCCAAAATAAGTATAATATTGTACAACAAAACCATATAAATTATGAAGGGCTCTATTTTCCCAGCCTCCAGAATGTATAGCATCTTTATGTATAGTATATTCAGGCCCATTAAATACAGATGGTTCGTTCATATCATTCCAAATGTGTAGATTTGAAAATGAAAACTTCTTTCGTTATATAATTTTATCATAATTTATGTATTCTTACATTTAAAACTTCATACTGAAATTTGTCAGACCACCATTTAGCACCTTCTTCTGATATAACATCTATCCATATAGAATTTCCCGGCCAACAATTAGCTTCATAAACATCTCCCTTTGAAGTTTTTATAAAAAGCTCCCTATCCTTTATTTCTTTATAAGCATGATATTCTTCGTCCTTCTTAATATGGGGATTCACAATTACTATAAGCTTTTAAAGTTAAAAAAGTTGTTAAAAGAAATAAATTAACCTGTCTTTTTTTAGAATTAAACCTTTCTAATATTTTAGAAGGAGAAGGAAAATAATCATTATCCCATATAAAATAAGCCTTTCCATTGCTGTATTCTATATCAAGCCATAAAGCGTCATAAGGTATATCATATTCATCAAAACTGTTATCAACATAAAAAACATCTTCTTCACCCAAATAATTCCAGCGAGATTGATGATATCCCAACGAAAATATATTTGGAAGCATAGTATATCCAACCAATTCCCCATAGTTTTTAAAAATAGAATTATGATCTATACTTAAAAAGACAAAAATATCTATTAATCCAGTTTCTGAAATCCAATGACTCTTAGTTGATAGACTTATAGAATGCTCAGAATTGTACTAAAATTATCAGAAACAATATAGAAAAAGGATTATCTGAAAATACTTTTTGTTTTTCAATATCAATCCAAGTATCTGAAGGATTCATCCAGAAAATAGAAGCAGATGAATTTTTCTTATGTGCGTACATGAAAGGAATAGATCCATATAATGAAGCCGGGCTATCAGATTCATACTCAAAAACATCTGTATTATACAATCGGTACGGTTCATTATAATCCTTATTCTCCCCTCTAACAATTAATAATAAATTTATATAAAAAGAACCCCAACCGAGTTTCTTTTAATGAAAAACTAGATGAATGTTCCGGAATACCATAGACATGTTGATAATCTACAAATGTAATATCTAAAGCAACAGATTCCGGTCCTAAAAATTACTATAAAAATATTATATATTAATTAAGTTACCTAAAGGTTTACTATCATGTATTCCATTAAATGATTCCTCCCACATATTAAATCCATCTGAATAATCTGATTTTTCATTTACAAGTGGTTTAGGACGCCAATGTTCAAAATTTAAATATCCGTATTCATTAAGCAAAATTTCTAATGTTTTTTCCTTATAAAAACTAATCTTAAATGGATCATGAGTTATTATCATTTCATATACATCTCCTGGACCATAATTTACTATTGTTATTCCTTCTTTTTTCTTATAATTTTGAACTGTTTTGTCACATTCAAGATTAGAAACAATAGTCCACTTTTCTGTCTCATTATATCTTTCTTTACGAATCTTAGCATCATCTGAAATACTAATATTCCCTATTCGACGCTGTAATTCATCTATTTTAACTCTTACAGCTCCTGTTTTCAAAAATGAAATAGAAATTGGAAGATGAATAATTTCTTTGCTAGTTTCCAGTATTTTCAAAATAGTAGCCTCAAGAATCCCTTCTTTTAATACTAATTTCGATTCATCAAATACATATCTATCTCCTGGAATTCTCTGATCTGCTAAATATCTATTACGTCTACAAAATGAGGACTGTTCACATGTTTTAAAACCCTTATGATCAAATGCTAGAATTGAAATAAAAAACAAGCAAAATCCAAAAACAACCCTTAATATTTTAGTGTATTTCATTGTAAATAATACCCTTTTCTTTTAGAGATTTTAAGAAAAATAACATTTTAAAATTTTGAAGTTGTACGCAGATTTTATATTGATTAATTTGATAAGATAAATTATAGATAGAAAAAGCTAAACCAGTGATTAATCATTTGAAATATTAGATTATTAATATGTGAAATGATGTAGACTTAATTGACTAGTTTTGTAACTTTTTAGTATAAAAATTGAGATTTCCAACTTTGTCAATTACAGATTTTGCTACAGCATCAACAGCACCTGTAAAGATTTAATAATAGAATTAAATAAAATATTAGAAAAAACCTTTAGGACTCAAGAGAGAAGGAGAATGTTTTGTTTCTTGGATTCTAAATAATTTAATAGATGTGCCTGTCCATATACCAATTGCACCAGTAGAAAAATTAGTCTCAGCTACATAGATATGTCCCCATAATAGCCCTTCTATTCTAGTTAAAGTGTGATCATTGCAAATAAAAGGTATAGGTTCTGTATCAGTTATATCAAAATCAATACTTAAAGAAGATAAAGCTTCTAAAATAATATTAGGATTTGGTGTTGAAGATGCTATGTCGTTTATTTTAGGTTTTAATTGTTTTATTATAGTAAGTATTGTATCAAGATCAAGGGAAGAATGCCATGATTTTACCTAAAATAATATGAGAAAAGAAAAAGATTATAGAAATAGATTACCCAATCCTCTGTTGGAGTGAAATTTTCTTTCGTTTTTAAGATACTTTTGGGTGTATAAGTATTAAGATGAAATGGATTAGTCTTAGTAAAATCAGACGAGGATTTCAATCGTTCAGGTAATTTTCCTTTAGCTTTTTCAGAAATAAAAGAATTGTTTATTTTATGAGATTCAAAAGCAGAAGTTGATGTTCCTATCAATGATATAGATGATTTTCCTTTTGATAATTTATCAGTTACAGTAGTATTTTCTGAATTTGTCTCTTGGCTATTTGATTCATCATCTTCAATAACAAAAGGATTATTATCTTGAAAAGATGTTTGAGGGAGAGGTGATTTTTCTGAAAAACATGTATTATCTTTATGAAATTCCTTGGTATCATTTTTAACATTATTCAATTCATTTTTTTTAAATTCAGAGTTCTTCTCAAGCTCTATAAGCGCCTTTTCTAGAGTAAAATTCTTTAATAATTCAAACCTTTCTGAAGATCTTAATATTGCATATATTAAATGTAGATTTTCTAAGAAATATTAAATTCCTAAAAAAAAATATCCATATATACTTTTCATCTGATGTTCAATTATCCTGTTAAACACTTCCAGAAGATTTCTTAATAAATTATGATTATTTTCATTAGCTAATAAAAAACTGAAAGAAGAAAAAGAGTAAAATAACTGCATCAACTTTGTACATGAAAGAATTGACAAATTTTGAGCATATGGTGCAATATTGATCAGAATAGAAAGCATGTAAGGAAACAAACAGCTTAAAGCACCTTTGCTAGTCGTAATAAGCATATAAATTGACTATAGATGTCAATAAAGTAAAATAAAAATAGAAGAATTATACAATAATAATAAAGTCCATATAATTATCTTTAGAAATTAATTTTATGTTTACAGGAAGAATCTTGTAATGCTCAAAAGTTGCATTTAATTTTTTGCAAAAAGCTGATTCTCTAGATAATGTTTGTAAAATTGAAATACAAATCCGTATAAGTCCAAATTTTGATAATTCTTTCCTGTATTCTAGTGTATAAGATAATAATAACACTAAATAATCTAAAGAATTCTTGCTATTAATTAAATATTCTTTAAAACTCTATATATTGTAAGCTAAATTTTAAAAATAAGTAAGAAATACATTATTTATCTGAAAAACTTTCCAAAGAAACATTATTACTTCAGGACAATATTTCATATGTTTTTCAATAGCAGGAAAATAGGAATCATTATGAAGAAATTGAGTTAAAATCCTATTAATTCCATTAAAAAGAAATTCTATATCGCCTTTATGATGAAGTTTCCCTAAAATTCATTAAATATTCTATTAAACTCAAGAAAAATATACCAAAATACATGCAATATTTATTTACAGGAATTTCACTGGTCTGATTTTTTTCAATATCAAGTAATGAAGGAATTTCATAGTCAAGAAAAATCAACAGAATTTGAACACAGTAAGAGACAAGTAATTGTTTAGAATCTAATGAAACTATTTGATTATAAAATATTCGCCATTTTTCAAGGTTATAATTCATAACCTATCAATATTAAATTATATGAATTAATTAAAAGACAGGATTACCGTATTTAAAAGAGAACATAAAAAAGTAAGAATAAATCTTTTATCTGGGTTTGTCACCAAATAAATAATATATAAATTAGGTTTTTGTTTATCTAATTTTTTTAGTTTTTTCATTATAAATTTCAATAATTACTTGGATAAAAGTAAATTGATTTCGAAATAATTGAAAGAATACATCTCAATACCTCTATCCTATTTAATTCATATTCTGTTGTTGCTTTTATCGATGTCACACAACCAATACCCGGTTCCCTATACATATAAGATATTGCCAATTCATAAACAAAAAATTCATACCAAACTGAATATGTTATCTTGTTAACATCATTTTCTTTTGAATAAACCGTAAATCCCGAAAAAAAAAGCATGTCATTAAGTGTATCTAACAATTCTTCCGCAAGCGGTTTCAAAATCTCATATTCTGATTCATTTTCCTTTTCATACACATCATTCAAAATAATTTCTGTATATTTAAGATGCGCTTTAAAATCAATTTCTTCCTTAGAAAGATTTAATTCTTCTAACGTTAAATTCAAATTACTATAACATTTAAATTCTTTTTTTCGGCTTCTATAACTCCAAAAAATCTCATTCTCCCATTCTTCCATGCTTTCTTTCTCATATATAAATGGCATTACCCTCGTTATAATACGAAGACAATTTAACGCTTCTTTCATCCTTTCTGGATCCCCAATTTTCTCCCTAATAAAAACAAGTTTAGATGCAATTACATAAACTAATGTTTTTATATTTGTTTCTGAATAATCCCGGATACGTATAATGTCCTGCCTTGAAAAAAGTGTAAAAACATCATTTGCTGATTCCGGAAGCTCCCAAAACTATCCGATAATAATTATATTCATAATTTCCCTTATTTAACTATTAACTAACCTGTTTCCAATAGTCATTCTCTGCCGGAATACTCTAAATACCCTTAATATAGACAAAAAAATATATTCATATTCTTAATATACTTCTTCAAAAAGACGAAAAATTCCACGTCTAAAAACAATTCTATATTAATATTAGTATTTTCTATTAAAATATATTGTTTTTAATCAATTACTTTGATTTCTGAGCCCCCATTGATAGGAAATAATTTTATTATAATTTTGGAGGTTGATCTGACTATATAAACCCTCGAGCTCGATAGCTCATAATCAAACGTCAAAAATAATGATGAGTGAAAAATCGGCGGTATTACGTATTTTAATCCAAAAAACACCACCACCATATGGTTTGTAGAGCTTAATTTAGTATATATGCTTTTTTTCAGGTTTTTTTAACGATATTTTTAGGGATTTTTCTTGTTGTATTATGGATTAACAAGGAATCTGAATCAATTCATGTAGATTATGTTAATAATGGGAATATTAACGAGGATAATAAGGATGAAGAGATATCTTTTGAAAAGTATCCAGGTGGAAGTGTTTTATACGGTGAAATTCCTATTTTAAAGGAGCTTTTGAGGGATCTTAAGGAGCCTTTAAAGGACAAAGAAACGGTTATTAAATGGGCAGAATATACAGTAGAAAAGATCAATACAGTCTCGGTTAATGAGTTAGAATCAGTTTTTTTATATTTGGAAGAGTTTTTGTTGGAAAAAAAAGGGTTGACAGGTGATTGTATTACGCAGGCAGATTGGATAGTATGGGGAGCATTGAGAGGAAATGTATATGCTCAAGGGATTATTAAGAAAAATGTGTATACAAGTGTTAATAGATGGTATCGAATTGTTGAATCGGATGGATTTGTTTCTCAAGGGGTTCAATTGTTGATGAAAGAAATAACTAGTGTAATATTTTAGTTATAATATAATGAATATTGATAGTTTAATAGAGAAAAGCACGTTCAAAAGGAAAAAATCCTACAGCGAATTATGATATTGGACTTCAAAATGCAATTGAAGGAAAGGTAGTTACACGATTTCCTCCAGAACCGAGTGGATATATGCATATTGGTATTATTGGAAGATTGAATGTGTTTTATTATTAAAATGAGGACAGGACATGCAAAAGCAGCGATTCTTAATGAATATTTTGCTAGAAAATATAAAGGAAAACTGATTGTACGTTTTGATGATACAAATCCTAGTAAAGAAAAGGTAATTTATTATTTAAGAGAGAGTTTTTTTTTTGATAAATGTAAAAGGAGGAATTTCAAGAAGCAATATTGAAAGATCTTGATTCACTAGGAATCAAAGCAGATCAAATATCGTTTTCATCTGATTATTTTGATAAAACATATGATTTTTGTATACAAATGATTAAAGATGGGAATGCATATGCAGATGATACAGATAAAGAAACAGTAAATGCAAGATAGATTTATATTTTTCTAATATATTCAGATGCGTGCAGAGAGAATGCAAGGTATAGAAAGTAAAAGACGACAAAGAAGTATAGAAGAAAATCTAGAAATATTTTCTCAAATGACAAAAGCTACCGAAATAGTATGTAATATATACTTACATTACATCCTTTCTTACATATATAAGGGATTATTAAATTGTATTCGTGCAAAAATATCAGTGAATAGTCCAAATAAAGCTTTAAGAGATCCAGTTATTTATAGATGTAATACAACTCCTCATCACAAGACTGGAACTATTTGGAAAGTCTATCCAACATATGACTTTTGTTGTCCTATAGTTGATAGTATCGAAGGTGTAACTCATGCTTTAAGGACGAATGAATATAAAGATAGAAATGCTCAATATCAATGGATGATTAAAGCTCTTAATCTTCGAAAGGTATATATATGGGAGTTTAGTAGAGTTAATTTTGTCCGTACATTGCTTAGTAAAAGGAAGTTACAGCAATTTGTGGATGATAAAAGAGTTTCAGGATGGCATGTTTTCATAAAATATATAGAAAATCTTTATAACTAAATTAGGGATGATCCAAGAATGCCAACAATTCTTGGAATTAGACGTAGAGGAATGACAATTGATGCTTTAAAACAATTTATAATCTCTCAAGGACCATCAAAAAATGTTCTTAATTTAGATTGGTCAAGTATTTGGGCTATTAATAAAAAAATAATTGATCCTACTGCGCCTCGTTATACAGCTATAAATTCAGATAATTTGTGAGTATTTCTAAAGATATATATTTATTAATCCTTATATAATATAGGGTAAAAGTTTCTATAACTAATGGACCAAGCACTATGTATATAGAAGAAAGACCTAAACACAAAAAGAATCCTCAAGTTGGTATGAAAAAAGTAGCATTCTATAAAAATATCATACTTGATCAAGAGGATGCATTGACATTTAAAGATAATGAAGAGGTAATTTATGTTTCTATAATTCTTTTATTTAAGCAATTAGATCACACTCATGGATTGGGGAAATGCTGTTATAAAAAAAATAATAAAAAACAATTCTGGTATTATTGATTCAATAGAGATGGAACTTCATTTAGAAGGGGATTTTAAGGCAACAGAAAAAAAAATTACATGGCTAGCTGATCTTCCTAATCTTATCGATGTTGAATCGGTTGATTTTGATTATTTAATTTTGAAAGATAAATTAGAAGAAGGAGATCGTCTTGAAGATTTTTTAACTCCTTGTACTGAGTTTCATTCAAAAATAAAAGTTGATGAAAATTTTTTAAATCTTTCTAAATCAGATATTATTCAATTGGAAAGAAAAGGTTATTTTATATGTGATCAGCCTTGTGATAGTGAGGGAAAGGGTCTTGTTCTATTTAAGATTCCTGATGGAAAAGTTGTTAATAAATATGGAGTCAAAAAAATAGAAAATTAAGGTTTCATCATCGATCTAAATTTTTTAAAAATAGTTTTTCATAAGAATGACTTATATTTATAAAGACATTCTTAGATTGAAAACTTCAAAGAAAAATATGAGAGAGTTTTTTTTTTTATTTTCAAAGTTTTATAGTTCTATTACAAAAAAAGGTATTTTTTCTATCTTATTTTTAAGACAATATTTTAATAAAGAAAGGAAATAATCTAGGAAAAATACCTATTTATGAGGATTTACCAGTTCTTTTTAAAGGCAATGCAGTTAAAAAAATTGAATCATCTCAGATTCAGATCTTAGATCCAACTGGAGAAAGAACTTTACTTTTTTCAAAAAAAAATTCAAATTCTGCTCGTCCAGGTGATATTTTACAGGTTGAATCATATAACGCACTTCCAAACAAATCAAATATATCAATATTTTCAGGATATTTAATTGCAGTTCATAGAAAAGGCATAAACACAAGTTTTCGTCTTAGAAACCATATTTTTAAAACAGGAGTGGAAATCAAGTTTAATCTTTATAGTCCTGCAATCAAAAGTATTAAAATACTATTAAAAAAAGCAATTGGAAGGGTCCGTAGGGCAAAATTGTATTATTTAAGGCAACTTAAACATAATCCTGGACCAGTGGAAAATTTATTAAAACAAAAGGAAAAGCAATGCAAAACAAACTAAATTTGTATCGTTATTACAGTGCTAATATGTTGGAGTATTATTCTATATAATTATCCAAGTGAAAAGGTGTATAAAATAGCTTACTAATGAGTATCGTTTATATAAATACCGAGAACTTGGTATATACTGTGTTCTGTTTCGAAATTCTTCATTTGAAAGGCTCGTAGATGATGAATTCATATTGACAAATGTTGGTGATGATGATAATTCATTGTAAAATGGAGAAAACTTTGAAGAATTTTTTGTTTCTGTATTTGCACATGATGACTGAGAACTTCCATTATATGGCGTCACCTGTTGTGGAGAAGGACGTGGAGATTGTCTGGTCTAATAATACCTTTAATAATTAACATTAAAAAAAGTAAAATAAACCTGTGGTGAACTCTTCACATATCTTGGTGGCGTAATTGTATTATTTGATGAAAAAGATGGAAATACTACAAAAATCATGTTAGTCTTAATATCTTTTCTAGGTATTTAAACCATGAGGATCAAGTCCAAATAATTTTCTCTGTATCGGTGTTAACGAAAGATCTAAAAATGTATCTTTTGGCCGAACAAGTCTCAGTGTTGCTTCAATAACATTATAAAGTAAAACAACCTGAATAAATATATCTAATATCTGTTAAAATCCTCTATACATTTCATTCCCTACTTAAATATTTAAAATATACTTTTAAGCTATTATATTCTTTTAAATAAATCTCAATAAACTTTCTATTCCCCTAATAAATTTATATATAGAATATATATATACCCACTTCTTATTAAGATAGTTTTTCCCCCATTGAATAATAATAATAGCTAATACATTCGCAATTAATCTTTTAATTGTTTCCTCATTAACTCCCACTTTTCTAACCCTCTTAAAAATAATATCTAGTGATGGATGCCTCCAAAATCCAATAGGAGGCTCCTGATTTGCCCTTTTTTGAAGCTTTGAACGGGAAAATAAATGAGGTGAATGTAGATTTGTCTCTGAAACATATCTACTCATATTTCTACCCTCTGAAGGCCAATCTCTATAAATTTCCGGTGATATTGATGATTCATAATTCCTAATCTCTCCTATATTCAACTTATTTCTTGATCTTCTTAATGAACTTGTAGATTCTGGTGATTCATTACATAAATCTTGAGTAAATGATGAATTCGAAAACGGTGAATTAGACATAGATTTTCTCCTACGTTCTTCATATAAAAAGCTCATTTATTATGCTTAAAACCCTTCAAAACCTGTATATTTATTTATCTTTAATATTTGTGCTGTTCTTATAGTCGTCGAGAGCTTATATATTAGCGTAACGAGAGAACGTCAGAAAAATGGAGGGAGAATTGTATAATGAAAAAGAGGGCAAAATTGACTAATTGATGTCTGAAACATGGTAAAAATGTTTTATTTGATGGTTATTATATATATGTAGTTTTTTTTCTGGAGATTTTAGGCGAATTTTTGAGGTTTTAAGAGATTTTTTAAATGTTCTTAGGAGAAGCAAAAGTATATGTAAAAAAAGCGATTAAATAAGACATATTTTTAATTAAAAATACATAATATTTATGGGGAATTTTGTTATTTGTTTTATGTCGCGTTTAAATTATTTTTTTATGGTTAATTGTCAATATTTTATTTTAATTTTTTATTGAGGAGTATTTTGGTATTTATCTATATATATTAGAGTGAAATCATGTCTTTTATATATTGGAATGAAAGAGGAATGTTTATTTATGGGGATAAAAGTGTTTTATTTGAGTTTTTTTGGGAAGAAAAGCAATAAATTTTTAATAAAGAATGATAGAAAATTATAAGATATTTTTTAAAAAAGGAGCGAATAAAATGTGAAAATGAGCTATATATTGTGTAAGGGTTATATTTATTGTTTAATATTTAATAATGATGTTTTTAGTTTTTTAATGTTTTACTTTTTTTTCTAGATAATATTATTCAAATGTATTAAAAATGTTTTATGAGATTTTTATTTGAAGAGATATTTTCTCAATTCTTGTTTAAATGCAAAAATTCTGTTATTTTTTGCTAAATATGTTAGAGAGTTTCTGAAAATATAGGTATGATTAATATTTATTAATATTAAAATATTTTTGATAAAAGATAGTAAAATACTTTTCTGGATTAACTCTTGTGGTTATATCATTATTTAATGAAATAGATATTTGTTTTTTTTTATGGGAATTATTTATAGTGTTAATCCGAATTTCTTGATTATTTCAGAAGATACATTCTCATTAAACGCATCAAATGCAATGGTATATAACTAGATTAAAAAAAAGATTATTTGGGTTTAAATAATATTATTAAATCGATAATTGAATTTGATATTTATGATTTTATATGTTATGATTTGTTAATAACAATATTTTTTGACGTAAGTTATTATGTAATTATAGATTATATAATAATTTTTGTTTATATAGATCATTGGAAATGGTTTCATATTTAACTAATATGGCTAAACTAAAAAGATTTCATTTATATAAAAATTATTTAAAATTACTTATAAATTATACCCTGGAGAATTTTAATAGTTTGGGCTTATTAGGAATTCAAATTATCTAAGTTGGGTTGAGTACTAAAATAGTTTATTTTTATTCTGTTGTAAAAATTTTGGTCCTATTTCATCTACCAATTATTGAGATTATTCTTAACAAGTTCATTTTGGTTCTTTGTCTACTTAACAATTGAAATTGCTGGTTCAAACATTTAAAATAAATTGGGGTTAATTGATGGGCAAGTATATTTTACTATATTTATACTTTAAAATTAACAATATAAAGATATATATACAAAAATTATCTATTACTTTTAAGGAGTTTGAAACTCTTATTTTTACTGGATCAAATAATATTTTTGGATCTTACAAATATTTTATTAAATAATCAGCTATGGATTATAAATATATATATGACAAAATAAAAAAATGGAAAAGTATTTCTTCAATGTTACTTTATTTTTTAAAAACTAAAAAAAACTGTTATACATTTTATTCTTTCAAGATAATCACTTTAAATCATTCAGCGATATATTTATTAGATTTGATTTTTTCAGGTATTTTTTTTTAAAAAGTATATTTTATCTTTTTATTTTTTAGTTCGTATATTAATTTAAATATTTATCAAGTTTTCACAGTATTTGACTAAAATGAATCGGTTTATAACAGTTGCAGCATGGTAAATTGATAGGGCTATACTATTTCTTTTAATATTTTTATTATTAGTTCACTGAATCAATGGGCATTAGATTTTGAAGGAAATTGTGATAGAATTATTAGAAGTATTATTGAAGCAAAAAAACATGGTGCTATTCTTCGTATTGGACCAGAACTTGAAATTACGTAATGATTTATATTTTAGAAATATATTTTTTCTTTTAACAATTTTAGAGGTTATGGATGCTATGGTATTATTTTATGAATGATTTATTTTTCTTTATTTTTTTATTAGATCATTTTTTGGAAAATGATACGTATACACATTCATGGGAGATGTTATGTCGTATACTTTCTTCAAACGATACACAGGATATAATTATTGATGTAGGAATGTGAGTTATTTTTATAAGTTGATTTTATTTTTAATATAAGGCCTATCATGCATCAGAATAAACGATATAATTGTCGTGTGATTCTTTATAACAAAAAGATTCTTCTAATTCGCCCAAAGTTATGGTTAGCAAATAATGGAAACTATAGAGAGATGAGATATTTTATTAATTGGCCTAAAAAACGACTTGTAGATGATTTTTATCTTCCTGAAATGGTATTTTCTATTACTGGCCAAGTATATATTTCATAATGTAACTTTTCATTACTTATGGCTTAAGAAAACAGTTCCTATAGGTGATTCAATTATTTGTACACAAGATGTTTCTATAGGTTTTGAAATTTGTGAAGAACTATTTACTTCTTCAAGGTAATTTAATATTTATTGAGTTTAAAAAATTAATTTTTAGTCCTCACATTGATCTTTTTTTAACTGGGGTTGAAATAGTATGTAATTCTAGTGGAAGTCATTATGAGTCTGGAAAGAATTTCACAAGAGTAAATCTTATTCAAGAAGCTACTTTAAAAGTATACAATTATATCTATTTCTATTCTTATTTGATAAAGTCAGGAGGGATCTATTTATATGCAAACCAGCATGGTTGCGATGGAGATAGGTTATATTACGATGGATGTTCTATGATTATAGTAAATGGGTCTGTTGTAGCACAAGGACCGCAATTTTCTCTTAATGATTTGGTAATATTTAAAAAATAGAAAATTAATAACTAATATATCTTCAATAAGGATGTTATATCAGCAACTATTGATTTAGAGGATGTTAGGAATTATAGAAATATTGTTTCTCAAGGAGTTCAAGCTTCAGATATTCTTTTTTATAATAAAATTTATTGTCCTATGACTTTAACAAAAAGTATACATGATTTAAATATTGAAAAAATAATACCGAGTGTTCCAATTGTTCCTAAATTTTATTCTCTGGAGGAGGAAATTGCGTAAGAATTCATATTTTTATATTTTAATTAATAGATTAGTTTTGCTCATTCATCTTGGCTGTGGGATTATCTTAGAAAATCAAATAGTAATGGTTTTTTTTTGGCATTAAGTGGGGGAATTGATAGTTGTGCTACAGCTCTCATTGTGTATATCATGTGCAAAAAAGTTCTCGAATCTATAAAAGATAAAAGTTTTTGACATTATTTTCCTTATAATTATTTAATTGTAGTAGATAACCATATTGTTAATGATATTTTTAAAGTATTAAAGGGATCTAAGGATAAGGATTGGATTCCAGAAACCCCAGAAGAATTCGTAAAGTAAAATTTAGCATATTTTTATATATTATTTATATTATTATTTTAGGGAAATTTTATATACTTCTTATATGGCTACAGAAAACTCTACTTTAGAAACAAGGCAGAGATCAAAACAGCTTTCTAATGCAATTGGAAGTTATCATATTGATTTAAATATTGATAGCCTTATCAAAGTAACACTACAAATATTTTCATGTGTTACAGGAAAACTGCCTAAATTTAAATTATATGGAGGATCAAATTGTGAAAATATAGCTTTTCAAAATCTTCAGGCATCAATAACACTTTTTTTTTTAAAAATGAATGATCATGAATTAGGCCCGTCTCCGTATGGTTCTTAGTTACTTCTTTGCACAATTACTTCCATGGACAAGAGGAAGATATGGATCACTTATTGTTCTTGGATCTACGAATGTGGATGAATGGTAAGATATCACTAGTACGGAATTTTTTTAATTTCAAAAGTTTAAGAGGATATTTTACAAAATATGATTGTTCTGTTAGTATTATTTTTTAACTTATAACTAAACTGATTTAATATAAGAGCGCTGATATTAGTCTCATTGGTACTCTTTCTAAAACCGATATCAGGAAATTTATTAGATATGTTCGTGATAATTTTAAATTACTTTTACTTGAGGAATTTTTAACTGCTATACCAACTGCTGAACTTGAGCCTTTTTCTGAAAATTATACTCAGACGGATGAAGTATAGATCTAAATTTTATGATATTTTATTTTTAATTTTAAAGGTTGATATGGGTTTAACATATGATGAATTAAATACTTTTGGGAAACTTAGGAAAATTGATAAATGCGGACCATATAGTATGTTTATAAAACTCCTAAATAAATGGGGATGTGGTTTATCACCTGCAAAAGTAATTTCTATAAAATAAGATTTTATTTTACTTATGAATTTAAAGATTGCAGAAAAAGTTAAATATTTTTGGTTTCATTATTCTTTTAATCGACATAAGATGACAACACTAACCCCAGCATTTCATGGAGGAGTATGTAGTTTGGATGACAACAGGTATGATCTTAGGCCCTTTCTTTATAACACAAATTGGTCCTGGCAATTTAAACGTATAGATGATGAATTAGAAATATTAGAAACTGGAATTGAAAGCATGCGATTTCCTTAATTGATATTAATTATAAATAAGTTCTATAAATATTGACACCAAAAAGATATTTAGAATTATGTTATGAAATGTTTTAATAATGTATTAAATAACTTTTAGTTTCATTTAAATTAATCTAAGAGTATGTCATCATTAATTTTGTCTTTTGATAAGGTAGAAGATTTAGCCCATCTAGGGAAAATTAGGTATTTAAAATATATTAAAATAGTTCTTTACATTCTAACGGTATGATCATCACCAGCAGATGCAAACATTACAGGGTTAACCGGACTCCACGAAACCGAATTTACAGTACCTTTATGACTTTTGAGAGTTTCAATTAAAGAACCATTTTCTCTATGCCAGACATAAACTTGGGAATCTAATAGTATAATAATTTATTGAGAAAAGAAATAAAAAAGGCACAAACCTTCGCTCCCACTAAGGATAAAATTTTCTTGAGCACCCCCAAAACATGACCTTATTATATAATTGCCCTGATGTTGTCCAGCATATTTTTTAACAACCTGCATTTTTTCCAAATCCCAAAGATAAACCTCCTAAAAAATATTTAGTTTTGAAATAATATATATATAGATAGATAGATATTTATTAAATGCATACTTGTGATGATACGTTAATTATTGCAAATTTTGAATCTTTTGAAATGCTAACACAAGTTAAATCACTTTGCATTAAAAAGCTAAATTCGAGAGTTCTATTTAAAAGATTATAGACATGAAGCATTTTTTCTGTTCCACCTGCTATAAATTTTTTCCCATCTGGAGCTACAGCAAGATCATATACTCTTGATCCTTTCCATTGATGAATTATTATTCCATCAATATTCCATAAAATAACTTCCATATCTAAACTAGCTGTAATAAATCCTGATCCATCAGGAAGCCAAGAACATGACGTTACAAAGTCTTTATGATGTGTTATTGTTTTTATGCAAGTACCAGACTATAAAATTTAGAATTTACGTCTAAAATTCTAATTTATAATAAAATTACCTTAACTTCCCATAATTTTGCCATATGATCTTGACCGCATGTTAAAATCAATTCATCATTAGGAGACCAATCCACATAAATAACAGGCTTTTCGTGTTCTTTCAATATGTATAAAGGTTTATAGGTCTAAAATAATGAATAAAATATGATAAATTAATATTTAAATACTTGAAGATTCCAAATAATAGCAGTAGAATCTTTTGAAGCAGATGCTAAATATTTTCCATTGTGGGAAAATCGAGTACACCATACTTCATCTGTATGATCTCTAAGAACTTTGATAACGGTATTAGGAAATTGATCCTTTTCACAATGATGATCTGAAAGCAATGACGAAAAATTAGAATCTGTGTGATATAAACATTGCGATATTTGATAATTTTTTGCTTGTATTAAAAGATTTATAAGCCTTCTTTCTGGAATCATTAAAGTAGGCGATATATATTCTATAATTATATTTAAAATGTTGTATTTTTTAATTAAGTAATTTTACTTGAAATCTGTTTAAGAAGTTTTTGCCGTGAAATTCCATTTGCACCATCCCACGATGCTCTTCTCTTAAGATCGTTTACAGATGATGACATAATTAAACTTTCAATTGCCTTAGAAAATATAAACTAGAAAAATACGCATACCTAGTAAGAAAATGTAATCTTTCTTTATTATATTCAAGAGGACTAAGTTCCTCTCTTAAAACTGAAAGCGCTTCTGGCATTTTATTCTCTTCTAAAAGTTCTAAAAACTTTTGTTGTCTAAGATAAAATAAAATATTCTATAAATATTAGTTTATATAATTAATTTATATTATAAAAGACAAACCGTCGGTGCTTTTTCATCCAAATAAAGAGAACTAAGTAACTTTTCCGCATTTTTCCAATTCCCTGTAAGAACTGACTCTCTAAACTGTAAAACATCCGTAGATTCTACACTAAACCCCGATTCTTGTTCCAAATGTGATACTGAAGACCTTTATCTCTCTGTTAAAATATTATACACAATTTTTCTCATAAACTTACTTATATCCGAAATCTTTAAGTGTCTGTAATATTAATCTTATAATCTCTTCCTTTTCAATAGGATGATTTTTCAATATTTCTTTTTTTTCATTATATATCTCTGATATAACTAAATCTTCTTCTCTTTTACTACAAACATCATTCTTTAACCATAACTCATTATTGCAATCTGTATTAGTTTTATCTTGTTTCATATTAGATGAATTGTCTGTTAAGGTTCGCGCTCTTTTACTAGGTCTATCTAGTATAAAGTCCCCTAATTCCGTGTCTTTCTGGCTTGAATACTGACAGTATGATCCCTCCTCAATATGTATTTCTAGTTTATTGTTCTCCAGACTGTAGTAATCAATAGATTCTGTCTTTATTCCAAAAATAAAAGATTTATAAAATATCAACAAATAATTCAATTTTTAAACAGAAAAAAGGCCTTAATTGGATTCCCTCTATTTAAAACTATAAGAATCATTCAATTATAGTGAATTTCCTGCGCGTATATACTCTAATAATTCTATAAATTAAAAAATCCTTATTTATTGTTTTTTTTGCTCAAATTTCGTCCTTTTTTCCCGTTTTTTTTCCTCTACCTTATTATAAACCCCCTAAATAATTGATTTCTTATAAGTTTTCTTCTTTTTACCCAGAAAATACTCTAATCTGGCTCTTATCTATTATTTTGAGGTTTGATGTCTCTGCATAGACGGTCGAAGAGATGCTAAATATCGATGAAACGACAGCTTAACAACGTCAAGAAATTGCGAGACGGCTATAAAAGCAGAAAAGAGGGCAATTTGGAGATTTTAAGGGTATTTTTCAAGTGAAATAAGATGGTAAGATAGTATTTAAAGTGTTTCTCGAAAAAAAACGGGAAAAAATGATAAGAATTGGCTAATTTTATGAACTTTTAGGTGGGATGTAATTAAGTGATTAATAAAGATGAGAATGTGTTTTATAAGGGGTTTTAGGTATTGAAAATGCTAAGAAATACTGTGTTAAACTGAGGGATGCGGAAAAAGAGGGAGATTTTGGCTTTGTAGGTGTTTTTTTTGGGATTTTTTGGTAAAGTAAATGATATAGGTATATTCTGTGTCTGGACCGATTGTAATTGCAGAAAAGATGATAGGTGTTTATATGTATGAACTTGTAAGTTTTTTTTTTTTTTTAGAGGAAAAAATTTGACAAAAATAGGTGAAAGTTGGATATTATGAGTTAGTAGGAGAGGTTATTTCTATTAATTATGATAAAGTAACTATCCAAGTTTATGAAGAAACAGGTTAATTTTATTATTTATGTATTTTTATGACTTAGGTTTATAGCTGGTATTGCAGTAGGCGATGTATTAAAAAAAGATTTATAATATTATTTTGTAACTTTTTAGCCTGTACTTAGAACACATAAACCTCTATCAGTGGAATTGGGGCCAGGTTTATCGGGAAAAATATATGATGGTATACAACGATCACTTCAAACGATTCAATTCCTTTCAAAAAGTATTTATATTCCTCGAGGAATTTATACAGATGCATTGGATCGTTCAGTTCAATATGAATTTTCTTCATGTAATTTTAAAGTCGGTGATCATATTACAGGAGGGGATATATTTGGCTCTGTTTATGAAAATTCATTTCTTTCTGAACATAAAATTTTATTACCCCCTAAAGCTAAAGGAACTATTGTTTATATTGCAGATAATGGGTCATATTCTATTGACGTATGTTATCTTTTTTGATTAGATATATTTTTGTGATATTTTCAAGGAAAAAATGATTGAAGTTGAATTTGATGGGAAAATAACATCATATTCTATGTTTCATCACTGGCCTGTTCGGACTCCTCGTCCTGTGGCGGAGAAGATTACAGCAAATACACCATTATTTACTGGACAGCGTGTTTTGGATTCCTTGTTTCCGTAAATAATCTTACTTTCTATCATTTTAATAATTCGATTTATAGATGTGTTCAAGGTGGAACAACTGCTATCCCAGGTGCTTTTGGTTGTGGAAAAACTGTTATTTCACAATCATTATCTAAATATTCTAATTCTGATTATATTGTTTATGTTGGATGCGGTGAAAGAGGCAATGAAATGGCAGAAGTATTAATGGATTTTCCAGAAGTATGTAGTATATCTTTATATTTATTAATTATTAAGCTATCAAAGTTATCAATTGAAATTGATGGAAAAAAAGAATCAATTATGAAGAGAACAACTCTTGTTGCAAATACATCAAATATGCCTGTTGCTGCTCGTGAAGCATCTATATATACTGGAATTACACTTTCGGAATATTTTAGGGATCAGGGTAAAGATGTTGCAATGATGGCAGATTCTACATCAAGATGGGCAGAAGCTCTTCGTGAAATATCTGGGTGAAGAATTGTTTCTATATTAATCTAAAGAAATTAATTTTCATAGTCGTCTTTCAGAAATGCCTGCTGATTCAGGATATCCTGCTTATCTTGGTGCTAAAGTGCGTATAAATGATTTATTTAATATGATTAATGAAAATAGTTGGCATTATTTTATGAACGTGCAGGAAAAGTTGTCTGTTTAGGAAATCCAGTAAGAAAAGGTAGTATTTCTATTGTTGGAGCGGTATCTCCACCTGGAGGTGATTTTTCTGATCCTGTAACATCCTCTACTCTTGGTATTGTTCAAGTATTTTGGGGATTAGACAAAAAACTTGCTCAAAGAAAGCATTTTCCTTCCATTAATTGGTCTATGTCCTATTCTAAATATTTGGTTTTCCTTTTTTTTTCTTTTTTAAATTTCTTATTCTTTCTAGAATGCATTGCAACCTTGGTATGAAAACAATTACCCAGGCTTTATAGAAACTCGTAATCAAATAAAAGAAATTCTACAGAAAGAAGAGGGTATTATATATATATATATATATATGAATACTTGATTAAGTATTTTTTAGAAATGATAGAAATTATTAGATTGGTTGGAAGGAATGCATTATCAGAAGTCGATAAAATTACTTTAGATGTGGCAGGATTGATTAAGAATGACTTTCTTCAGCAGTAAATAAAAAGTAATTATTAAAATAAAACTAAGTAAATTTTTAGAAATGGATATAGCAAATGGGATTGCTATTGTCCTATTTGGAAAACATTTTATATGATGAGAATCATAATTAGCTATTATCAACAAGCGCTACATATAGTAGATGATTACAATATTCCTTGGAATAAAGTACGAGAAAGCACTTTAGAAGTTTTCCAAAAACTTAGTTTCATGAAATTTGAAATTCCAGATAATGAACAAGAAGTGTCAATACGTTATGAAAAGCTTTTAACGGAAATTGCTGAATGTTTCCGAAAAATTACAGAATAGATAAAAAAACAGCTTTAAAATGCTATATACCTTATTTATAATTTTAGATAGAATTGCTATTTCATTTAATAATGACTATTTGTTTCGAACCAAAAATACCGTATTTTATCTTTTTTATATAATTATTTATTGATCCCTAATATTTACATTACAAATAAAAATGATTGATAATATCTTTTTTATAGGGTCATAATAAACCCTGATTCTTTAAATCATTATAAACTTTTTCAGACATTACATTGCCTTGATCATCTTCCATCTCAATTGTTGATTCAAGAAGTCTATCGCTATTTTTTTTGTCAGATTTAAGTTTTTCCCATACTATTTATCAATTATTATTTCAAGAAAAAATAGGGATTAACTCACATGCCAACGCATCGTCTATACCAGTAATTTCTTTAAAAAGAATAGAATTCTGAATACCTAAACACCGAAGTCCATGAACATGTCTCCATTCCTAATAGTTTCAACAATATGTTATATAAGGTAATATTTTCAAACCATAAAATGCTTATCAAATGCTTTTCTTCCCATATATATAAAATTACCACAGATTTCGCAAGGATATTCGACACCTAAACCATGCAATTTCCATAACCAATATGGAATTGGTTTTCCATCCCAACCAAGAGGCAACTTTAATGGGTTCCATATCCTATCATCCTCCTTTATTTCTTCAATAATCGTTTCTTCATTTTCAGCAGCTTCAAGCTCAGCCTAAATATTTAGAAAATAATACTTTTTCATATGATGGGGAAATACTTGACGCTCTCTATCTGTTAATGTTTGCTTTCGAACAACATTCCTTTTTGTAGCTTCTCTTTCTGAATTTAAAAGTAAAGAAAGCCTTTGAATGAAATATTCTTTTTTGACTAGTATTCGTTTTTTTAAAAGGTCTATTTTTGGAAGAGATTGATGTTCATCTTTTTCATTATTTATTTTTTTTTCATTTTTATCCTCATCTTTTTTAGCTTGCTCTGCTTTTTTATGTTTTTTACTTGTTAAATGTGCCTCATAAACCGTTTTTTTTGAATAATTTTTATTGCAAGCATCACAAAAAATATCCTCACTAATAAGACCTGTATTTACCATAGGAACAATCAATTCTAATAATTTCCCTGAACTCCATTCTTTCTCAAAATCTGCTTCAATACCAGATATAATTTTATCATGATCTTCTAAAGGATTGATACGTTTATAAAATGACTCCAAATACGATTCTAAATTCACCAAATACCTATCATACACTTAACCCTCATTCTAATACATTCATTTCATGTATTCATACTTGAAATAATTCTCATTTTTAATCCGTGGATGAATACTTGAAAATTTATCATAAAAATCTAGATATTTGGTATATGATATATATTTAACCCCCTTCAAATTTAACCACTGCTCATGTAACACATTTAAATCAAAAAAACGTCCATAATTTTCCTCTCCAGAAAATATTTTAGAAATTTCTATTCATCTAAATTTTACCTTCTTATCTTATATAACCCTACCATCTTCATCTGGACTTTTTTTATATAATTCTTCAAAATTTTCTACTCTTTCATTCGGATATCTTCTATGGAACTCCTTTATATCTCTTAACTGTCTATAAAACTCCTCAAATTCACTTCCTGATCCTGTTAACGTCTCATTTCTTAATCCCGTCCTAATTATCCAAAAATCAACCTATAAACCCCCTTAAAACCACTCAAAATACTTGTCCTCATTCATATATATGTCAAGAAGCTTTTTACTCTGTTCTGCAATCTTATCAAGGAATTTTGCTACATCATGTTCTTGAGATAACCGATCTTTAATCTTCAAAAAGGTGTTAGAAACTATTATATTACTTAATAATAAATACCTTCTTATTATCCTGAGCCAGACGATCCGCAATTGCCTGCTCAAGACGCTCAATATCCTCATGAAGAGCTCTTTGACGTTCTAATAAGCTTTCCATGTTTTTTGGACGTTGAAAATTCGTAGGAAAGCCTTTAAAAATAGTGAAAAAAAAAACTAAGTCATCAAGTGATATGAGCAGATATTACAGGTAAATGAATATGAAAAGATAAGGAATAAAGGATATTATATGTATTTTTTTAAAATTTTTTATTAGAGAAGAAATGAGAGAAGTTAAGAGGATAAGAAAGATTTTTTTTTTAAATATAATCTAAAGAAAGAATTTTTAGAAGTTTATGAATGAATTGATGAGAATAGATTATGATTTTAATTTAATAAAGTCAAAAATATCAAGAAAATTGCCAACGACTTTTTAAACCTTCGATCCAACGAATATATAATAATTCGGCAATAGGACTTCTAGAATTTTGTTTAGAAGGAGTGTCAGTAGGAGATTTTTTATTTGTGGAAGTATCATTTGTGTTGAGTGAAATATCTTGAGATGAATGTAAATTCAAATTGAATGTATCGCATAATTCGGTGTTACTAAAGATGATTAAATAATTAAATAAGAAAAAGTAAGGAAAAAACCTTTTTAATTTTTGAATAAGTTTTTGAATAAATAATGTTTCAGCTTTTGGATTTAAAGATGCAAAATTATACCATGATTTTGCTAATTCATTTAATGTATTTGAAGAAACATAGACATCATCTTGAGATTTTAGCTATTTTTATTAATTATTGTATGAAAAAGTAAAGGAAATACTTCTTCGATAGTTGGATTTAAAATATCATGATAAAATCTATATCCAGGATCATTATTTGACTTATTAAAAACTTGTTGGTATAAATCAGGTTTAATTGTATGTAGAGGTTCTTTTTTTTCATCAATGATATGTACTATTAGAGAATTAGAGTTTAGAATATTTAAAAAATATATACTAGAAATAATAAATAATTTAGATAATAATTATAAGAGTATACCTTTTTTGAATATCTTCTTTAATTATATTATCTTTTTCTAAAGTGATAGGAATAGGAGGAATTTCATTTATTGGAGAATTTGATTGAACATTACGAGAATGTGCTTTAATAGTATCCGAGTCATAAACATTAAGATCAATTCGACGTAAAGCCTATATTTTATTAATATAAGATGATAAAGATGAAAGATATTACAGTAGTAGTTTCTTGTATATCTTTTCGAATTGTTCCTGTAGATTCGTTTTCCAAAAGAATATTTGGTTTAATGGTATCAAAATTCCATTCTTCATGATTATCGATAGGTAATGTATCTCTAATATAATATTAAGAATAAAGGAATAATTATTTAAAATGATTTTATACATAGTTTCTACATAAGTACGATGAGGTCTATCTCCTCGTCTTATATCCCATTCATGTCGCCTTTCAAGAAGTTCTTGTAAAAGAGACGGTTTTCCTGCAGATTTAATAAATTTATGTTTGAGAAGATCCTTGGCTATAAAATATTAATAAAAAAAGTAAATCAAAAAATAAAAATTATTAAACCTGATGGTCTAGCTCTTGCATCTTTAATTAAACATAAAGATACAAAATCCTTAAATTCTTTAGAATAATTTCCTTCAAGAACTGGAGGTTTGGCTTTCGGAATAAGAAAAAGAACTCTCATTGGATGATATTCCGAAAGAGGTGGTTCTCCACGTGCAAGTTCGATAGCTGTAATACCAAGTGACCATACATCTGCCTAATAAGATTAGAAATAAAAAATAAAAATAAACTCAAATACCTTATAATCATATCCAGATTGTCTAATAACTTCAGGCGCCATCCAAAACTTTTAAGAAAATTAAAACACAAATAAAAAAAAATGTTTAAATTACAGGTGTTCCAACAAATGTATTACGACGTGATTTATGACTCGAAAGTTGTGCTGCTACTCCAAAATCCGCTACTCAATTCATTAAAATTATTATTATTTAATTTTTAAAATAACCCAATTTAACTTGGCCTGAAAATGATAATAAAACATTTGCAGCTAAAATTGATAAATAAAACATAAATATTATTCATTCTTTTACCCTTTATATCCCTATGTATCTACATTCACTTAGATAAACAAAAAAAAACATAAAAAATTCATTATACCTTCCCCTCACTATGTAAGTAACATAATCCCTCAAGAAGCTCTTTACATAAAATAGCTATTTGTGCCTCTGTAAAAGGTCCCGGTTTAAGCTATAATATACATAAATAAATTCATATATCACTTCTTTCATACTAAATCAAGCGCTGATCCTCCTGCCATATATTCCATCACTATATACTTATAAATATCCAAAAAAAAACCCTCAAAAAATATACCAATCCAAAGTTTATGCCCTTTAACAAATGACGAATAGTATTTAGTAACATATCGACTATCACACCCACTTAATAAAGCTATTTCTCTCTGTATCTCCGCTATATCATCATCTGTAGATTCTAAATCAATCTACCTCATAAATTAACCTTTTTTCTCCCTTCAAAAACGCATACCTGTTTAATAGCTACAATCTCTCCCGTTTTTCTACGTACTGCCTTCCATACTACCCCGAATGATCCCGTACCAAGCTTTTCAAGAAGTGTATATTGTGCATCGTCCATTGTCGTCGACATCGTTACTCGTCTCAACAGCCTTATTTATGGGTCACGTGACCTAATCTATAAAATATACTAATAAATCAAAAAAAAGATATTAAAATGATAAGAATAATATTAACATATTTATAGTTTTATTTTTTAAACTTGTTTATGTATTTTTTTTCAAAAAAATCATCAATTTTTATGAAATAGATAAATCTTTTTTTATACATAAAAATACTCATAAACACTCACAATTACTCGTAAACACTCTAAAAATATTTTTATTCCCTTTCTTCCCCTTCTTCCTCTTCTCCCCCTTCTCCCCCTTCTCCCCCTCTTTTCTACCTGTTACTTGCATAATACTCATACATCTGACTTATAAACTTCATCATTATACATCCATCTTTACACCATATTCAAACATAGATTTCCCTCTTATATTCTCATATCTTCGATTCTCCTCTTATTCTCCTCTTTTATACCCCTTATATAATCCTTTTTGCCCCTCTCAAAACCTCATCTCTCCCCCTCTCGAGACATCAAAAAAACCACTCAGAACCACTCAGACATAATTTGGAGCAAAATAAGACATGTCAGGAGAAGCAAACGCTCTTCGCGGCGGAGCAATGGATCCTCAGTTAATCAAGACTATAAACCGTCTTCAGGATGCATTTTCAACGGTTGGTGTTCAGAATCCAGTCGATCTTCCACAAATTACAGTAAGAAAAAATAAGATTATAAGAGGTTATGAATGAAATTTATTAATATATGCTAGGTAATTGGGTCACAATCTAGTGGGAAATCGTCAGTACTTGAGAATATAGTTGGTAGAGACTTTCTTCCACGGGGTACGGGAATTGGTAGGAGTTTTTAAATAAGAAGGAGAAGAGGAGATTAATAGGAATAGTTACGCGTCGTCCATTGGTATGAGGGGTAGAAATGTGTATGAGGAGATATTGATGGATGGAATGCAGATTTTGCAGTTAATCCATAGGTTAGCGACGGGAAACAAAGAGAATCAAGTAGAGGAGGAGGAGAAAAGGGTAGAAGGAGAAGGGAATAATAATGGAGAAGAATGGGGAGAATTTCTTCATCTTCCAGGACAGAAGTTTTTTGATTTTAATGAGATTCGGGAGGAGATTATTCGTGAAACAGAGTCGAAAACGGGGACGAAAGGGATTAGTCCGATTCCAATTAAGTAGAGGAAGAGGAAATTTTTAAGAGAAAAAAGTTAAAATTTTTAGTCTTAGAATATATAGTCCAAATGTATTAACGTTAACGCTTGTTGATTTACCAGGATTAACGAAAGTTCCGTAAGTTTTATATATTAAGAGTAAAAATAGAATAATAGATGGATAGAGTGGGTGATCAACCAAAAGTAAGGCATTAGAGAGGAGGAAGAATGGTTTTGATTATTAGATTAGGATATAGAAAAGCAAATTAGAGAGATGATTTTAAAATATATTAATAAGCCGAATGCAATTATTCTTGCAGTTACAGCAGCAAATACAGATCTTGCGAATTCAGATGGATTAAAATTGGCACGAGAAGTTGATCCAGAAGGTTTAGTTATTCGAAATTTTTTTTCATATATTTATTATAAAAATTAGGAACACGAAGTATTGGTGTTTTAACGAAAATTGATCTTATGTACATTTCTGTTTTATTTAATTTAGATTGATAATAATTTATATATATATAGGGATAAGGGAACGGATGTAGTAGATATTCTTGCAGGAAGAGTCATTCCTCTTCGACTCGGGTATGTTCCAGTGATTAATAGAGGACAAAGAGATATCGACCAAAAGAAAGCCATTTCAGCTGCTCTTGAATATGAGAGAGAATACTTTGAAAGTCATCCTTCATATCGTTCTAAAGTTCAGTATTGCGGTACACCGTTTCTTGCTAGAAAACTTAATATTGTAATTATTAGATTTTTTTTTTTTATTTTTTATTTTTTTTTTTAATATTTATTAGATTCTTATGCATCATATTCGTAATACCTTACCAGAAATTAAAGCTAAAATCTCTTCAGCCCTTACAAAATATCAAACAGAACTTGTACAATTAGGTGATTCTCTCCTTGGAAATAGTGCAAACATTGTACTTAATATTATTACTGAATTTTGCAATGAATATAGAACAATCCTCGAAGGGAATAGTCAAGATCTTTCTACTCTTGAACTTTCTGGAGGAGCTAGAATTAGTTTTGTCTTTCATGAACTTTATGCAAACGGTGTTAAAGCTATCGATCCTTTTGACCAGATCAAAGATACTGATATTAGAACGATTTTATATAATTCATCAGGTTCATCACCTGCTCTATTTGTTGGAACAGCTGCTTTTGAAGTAATTGTAAAACAACAAATACGAAGACTTGAAGAACCTAGCATTAAATGTATTAATCTGATATATGATGAGTTAGTACGCATATTGACACAATTACTTGGAAAGCAGGTTAATGGTTATTTATTTATATAAAAAAATGGCTTAAAGATATAGTTATTTAAACGATATCCTTTATTAAGAGAAAGATTTTATCAGGTTGTCATTAATTTTTTTAAAAAAGCTATGCAGCCAACACACAAACTTGTACAAGATTTGATTTCGTAATTTAACGTACTTTATTGAACTTCTTTTGCTAATATTTTTATAGAATGGAATCTTGTTATATAAATACCGCTCATCCGGATTTTCTTAATGGTCACAGGGTAATAATATATATATAAATATATATATATTCTTTTTTAATTAATTAGGCTATGGCCATTGTAAATGATAAAATTAATCAATCAAAACCTGTTCAGCTTGATCCTAAAACGGGAAAACCATTACCAGTGACAAAGGAAAATTCTATTTCTCAATCTTTAGAACCAGGAACTGATAATGGCGGATTTTTTGGAAGTTTTTTTGCATCTAAAAATAAGAAGAAAATGGCAGCTATGGAAGCAGTATGTTTCGTGTTTATCTATCTATTTATTTATTTATTTGACAATTCTAGCCACCTCCTGTTTTAAAAGCATCAGGTACATTGTCTGAAAGAGAAACTATTGAAACAGAAGTAATAAGTAAGTTCTTTATCCTTAATTGTATCGTTTTAAATTATATTAGAACTTCTTATAAATTCATATTTTAATATTGTTCGGCGTACAATGATTGATATGGTTCCCAAAGCTATTATGTACAATCTAGTTATGTAATTCACTTTTAAATTTTTTTTTTCTTTTTTTTAAGAATTATAGATATTCAAAAGAAGGAATGCAAAAAGAATTACTTGAAAATCTTTATAAAGCAGACATTTTGGATGATATTCTTAAAGAAAGTGAATATACTGTTCAAAGAAGAAAAGAGTGTTTACGTATGGTCGAGAGTTTAACCCAGGCTAGTGAAATTGTTGCGTCAGTATAAAATAGAATTTCTAGATCATCAATATTAGTTTTTTTTGGAAAAAATATTATATCTTTAATTCTCAATTCTTAATAAACATGCACAGATTTAATTATTATTCTCAATTTTTTAAAATACATATTCTATAATTTATATACAAATAAATATTTTAGATCTTAAATTCTATATTGATAATTCTAACTTATAAAACATAATAGTTAATCCTAATTATTATAACATCATATACACACCCTACTTTTGAATTATCTTTTAATTTTAATTCGAACGAAGATAATAATCTATAGCTGCACTAAATGCTGAAAATCCTAAACAACCCATTGCCATTGCCTTTGGACCACTTTTTATAGTAAGCGCTCCTCCTGTAAAACACCCCGCTGAAATTCCATTATATATATCGTTTTTAGCTCGATACTAAAATATTATTAAATAATAAATATAATTTACCCCCATAATTACTGATTCAATACAACATTCTGATCCTGAAAAAATAGCCCCAACTGTTGCAAAATTTTTTGCTGATGACCATGAACGTTTTCCCATATCTTTAAACCCATATTTTAGCTGCTCTTTTAACGATTTATCATATATTTTATGATCTCCTGATATATCCATAGAAATAGATGACATAAATAGTCCTAAATCTATAAATTTCATACATAATTCTTTCTTTTTTTGCTACCAAAGACACTGCCAATTACAAATCCTGTTCCTCCACTTAAAATTGACTTAAATATACAACTTTTTCACATTTTTTAAAAAAAAAAAGCATCAGAACCTTTAATATACCTCTCATGAATACTACTAATCGCTTCAATGATCCTTTTTTGCTGGTTTTCCATGTTTTGTTCTGATAATAAATGTGAAACATCCTGATTACGTGAAAACATGCTTTTTTGGAGCTGAAAAAAAGCCAAATAAAAATATGACTCTGAATATTTTGTTTCTACTCTTTTTCTCGCTCAAAAATACCTATTTTAATGGGTTTAAGCCGCTTTTCTTTTTTTTGACGTCTGATCTACCCAGTCTCAACGTCACCAAAAAATGAGTTAACTAAAATCCTCAAAATCTACCAATATTTTGCGTAAAAAAGCACGGATTTTTTATGAAATGACTGACTATAGTGGATATCTCTTTAAAATCTTTTTGAACGGGTTCAATATTCGAACTGGAAGTCTTAAAATCATGAAAAATCTAGAAATACAAACACCAAATTTTATTATATCTTCTTCAAGAGGAACTGTCCCTCATATTACTCCAGATCACTTAAAAAGCACTGGTATTACTGGTATTTATATGGCATTGGAGGATTTGTCAGTATTTCAGGTGTCAAAGATGTATATTTGTTAAGAATAAATAGTATTGAATATCCAGCCTTTAATATAAAGAAAGAGGACAAGAAGGAGTTTAATCCGTCGCTGATATGTAGCTTATCATTAAGGGAATTTGTCCCGTTGTCAATGGATCATTATATTGTACTTGGAATAAGACGGTCATCATTTAATAATATGAAGCCTAATTCATGGAAAGCCATGTATATTGAGGCATTAGGAGGGAATAAATTAATAGATATAAGGGAGGTGATAAATTTTTGTGATAGGCTTAGACCGGATATGATTATTTCTCCGGTTGATATACAGCCTGATAATGTTTCAGAGAAGAAACGTTTTAGTAGAATGATTGAGAGGAGTGAATCATGGTTAATAGAGTTATTAGAGAAAAAGGTATATAAGGTATTTTTTATTAGAATTAAAAATGAAGATATTAGGTTAATTCTATTATTTTTGCATCAATACCACCAGTTTCTAAAGAATTATATCAACCATATTTTTCAATACTAGAATCTAATGTTTCAGAGATCCACGGTTTAGCATTGTATAGTATGGAACAATCGAAAATGATTCCGAATTCTTTACATCATTTACCTTTACTTTTAATGGAACCTATTTACTCTCCTCATTTAATACTTAATTGTATAGAAAATTCAGTAGATCTTTTTACAATTGATTTTATTTCAGAATCATCTGATTCAGGTATTGCTTTTACATTTCAATTTCCACCTTCTCTATCTACAGAGAAGAATAAAAGGCCTCTTGGAATTAATGTTTTAAATGAAGAGTATAAAACTGAAATGTTGCCTCTTTTGCAGGATTGTGAATGTTACACATGTAAATATCATTACAGAGCGTATATAAGACATTTATTAGTTACAAAAGAATTACTTGGACATGTTCTTCTTCAATTGCAAGTATTATATGTTTTATAATTTATATTAACTAAAATTAGACATAATATACATGTTATAAATCTTTTTTTTTCAAAAATTCGAGCATCAATTTTAGAAGGGACATTTTTGGATAACAGTAAGCTTTTTAAATCATATTATCAATTTTCTTTTCCAAAAAATTGAGAAAAAAACTTGTTTAATATATGTGTATTTTAATAAAATTTATCTAAAATGATAAATTTTATGATAAAAAAATAAAACATCTCATCAAAATAATTAAGACTCTATATCTAATACTGCATATTCAATATTTTCCATTAAGATTTCTATATATGTACTAGTTAATTCTTGAGGTAGTTCTTGAAGTTCTGATATAATAAATTTTAAAATAGAATATGTTTTCTTTTGAATATCCACAAGATTTTTTAAAAGAATTTCTTCATTTTTTAACCTTCCATTAGTCACATTTTTGTTATCAATTTCCAAATTACTTATGTCATCATCTGATATAAAATAGGTATGCAAAGATTTTTTGGAACTTTTTTCTTGAAATGATATTATTAAATCTGAAACAGATTTTACATAAATAAAGATTTCCATTATTGAATCATGTATTCGTTTGAACTATCAAAATTATCATAATAATAATAATAATATAATAATTCTTACACGTAAATTTAAAAAACAATATGTTAAAACAGAATTAATGAACATATTATGAGCATTAATTATCTCGTCTAGATCTGCTGCATTTTTGATATTTTTTTGTAGATTCTCTATTTGTGTCTTTATAATCTATTTAATATTAAGAATAAAAATAATATATATTTATAAACCTACAATGTCAAAAAAATAACTTATTAGCACATTTATCAACCAATTGAAATACAATTTTATTTGAGATAAGTTGCGGTAAATCAATGTTGAACTCTTTTCCAATGATGACTTATTACTGAACAGAAATATATATTTTTTTATATCATGTCTACTTTTAAGCAATTGAAACATAAAATCAAAAATTTTGTAATATGCAGACTGAGATGATGAACTGATAATTGAAGTAAGAGACAATGGTAATTTATAATCAATATAGAAGTTATTAGATAAATTATTGTTTCCCGAAGTTGATTTCATTCTTATATTAATAAGATTTGTATCAATAGAAGAATGTTTCAATGAAATTTGAATCATATCTTGTAAAACAAACTTATCACACCATGTTTTTCGTCGATCCATCTTAACAATTTAACAATTAGTCTAAATTAGATCAATAATCTTACCTCTTCAAAAATAAAGTTTATAAAATTAATCATGTTGCTGTTATTATACATACAATAAATATTGATAATAGTATTTAGATGCTTTTCAAAATCTGCATTATGAAATAGTGCATGACGAAAGTTTTTCATAGAAGCATAGTAATTTTTGTCAACCCAATTAAAAATATTTAATAAATAATTATACTCAGAAGATATACCTAAAATTTCTGATTCTTCATAAAAAAGATTTGAATCAAAAACATTATTCATTTTTGTAGAGAAGAGTTTTAGTCGAATTTCATAATCAGAATTCAATTGTTGAAAAATACTTCTATCAATATCAAGAAATAATATTTCTGATTTAGAAAATATAGAAACTAAAAGTCTTTTTAACTTTCCAATAAGCAATGACTTTTCAGAAATTTTCTTTAGAACATCTGGAATAAGCAATTTACCATCATTAGCTAGATTAAGCTGATATTCTGAAAGCCATAATAAATCATTAGGTCTTAATGTAGATTTAGTAATAAAAAATCCTTGAATATCTGGCAATTCTCCACAAGAAAACCATGAATCCAATGGTTTCAAATAAGCTTCTAACAAAGCAGATCGAATTATAGTTATTAATAAAAATGTTTGTTGGTCACATATTGAATAAAAATTGGCTTTATCAAATAATTTATTCAAAAAATCAGAAATATTAGTTTCAAATGCTGTATCATCAATTTCTGAAATAATATCTGATAAAACGATATAAGGATTTAGAATTTTGTCCAAGATATCTTGAAGATATAATAAAGTTAATGTTCTTTTCATCCCTAATAATTATTAAAAATAAAATATGAACCATTTTCTCATTTTACCTGAATTTCCAGCAATTGATTGGCAATAAGCTAAAATAGAATCCAGAGATCTAAGCAGATCTTCTACAGAAGAAATAAATACATTTTCTAAATAACTTTTAAAATATGATTTTGATATAAAATTTCTAATTTTATTAAGGAATTTCCCTTTTTCTAGAAACCATTCCATAAAATTCATAAATATTTGATGTGATACTTTAGAAATACCAAAATTTTCATTAATCTAAAGATTTTAATAATTTTATATCAAAATATAAATACCTTAATATTATGACTATTTCCTGAAAATAAAATACTTTCATTTCCTTGTAACATAAAAATAACCTCACTAACCACATTTGTTTCATGAAGAATAGTTGAAACATCTTAAAAGTTTAAAAAATATAACATAAATTAAATATTTTCATACCTGAATTATAATTGAGCTTATATACAATGCGTTTAACATCATTTTGACACGAAATAGTTCTCCAATATTGTGATGCCTCAATAAAACTAAATTCTTGGATGTTCATACTAATAGATACACACAATGGTGTCTTAACATTTTCAGTCTATAATAAAATATTAAAAATAATGATAAAAAACAACACATACTGTATCTTTTTTTTGAATAAAAGATTTAAAAGTAATATCCTTTTTTTCTCCCTTCTCCTCTTCCTCCTCCTCCTCCTCTTCCTCCTCTATCTCTTCCTCATCATATATATTAAACTCTTCCCAATGTTCACCAATAAAGGGAGAATCATAAATTTCATGTATAGACCCTTCAGAAACATGATCTTCTACTGATTCTTCATTATATATCCTCTTCCTCCTGCAGGGATTGTCTGAAAGACTTAAAATTAAAAAAATTATATCAATCATTGAATCATTCTTAAATATATCTAAGAATTATACAAGAATAATGATATAAAAATACTTTTTTATCAATAAAAAGTTCGTTAAAGAGTATTTCAAGCATTGAACTATCTTCTTCCTCTGAAAGAATATCAAATTTCTCAACTAAGCTTATTTTTCCTCAATCAAACGGGAGAAAAAGGTAAAAAAGACGATACCCATAGCAAGATCTCTTAATTTCAAAGTTATTAACTGTAATAAATTGTGAATCTTTAATCATATTAAGTATTTTATCACGAAGTTCATAAAATAATCTATTTTCATCCTAAAAAAACCAATTAAAACCAAGTTTTCAGGAAAAAAAAGAATAACATTGATTCCAGTAATATTTTCTATTAGTTTTCCTATTAATTCTAATATTTCTTCCCTTATTTTCATTATAATTCTATTATATATAAGGCCGATATAAAAAGATGTATAAATTAGAGGTATTTTAAATAAATAGATATTAATAGATGAATAAAATGAATGAAATCTAAAATACTTTAAAATTAAAGAAAAAGATGTGTATTTATATTATATAAATATTTGAAATTTTATTTAAATAGATATATTTAAATTCTTCTGGAGCGTGTTGTCATTCCTATACTATTTATACCAGTAGAATTTGCAACCTTATTACTTAAATCCTTAAAGTTAATATCATTAAGTTTAGAATTTTGAATATTTTTATTTATATCTTTATGAATTGTTCTTCCTTCTTTAGATTTGTAAGTTGCTAGATAAAAACCAATAAACAAAAAAAGATAAGATGATAATAAAAAGCACCCAATTAAAGCGGCAAATTCTTTTCCAGCACAATCTCCAAAGTTTGGCAAAAAAGGAAGATAAGTATATGCAAAATATCTATTTCATAATCAATAAGTGTTAGAAATGTAATAAAATACATACGTATATGTTGCAAAATAAACAAAAAATAGATCAAAAATAAATTGAATTATTTGAATACGAGTTACCCATTTCTTCCACCACAGTTTAATACCACAAGCACAAAGAAAATAATAATAATACATTACTATATGAACACCTAAATTTAAAAAGATTGGAACATATGACTAAAATTATATTATTAATATATAAAATAATAATAAAAAAATACTTACTACTGGAGTTTGACCAATCAATTGAGTAAAACATAAAAAAACTGTAGCCCCATGATGATAACAATGAAGCTATAACAATTATTCTTTTGTTAATAATAAAAAATAAAAATTACAAATTGCAATGGCTTTTTGTTTAAAAACAAAAATACTGTATCTAGTAATTCAATATACTTAATCAAATAATTGATCTAAATAATTAATCAAAATAATCCTTTTTACTAATAAAAATATATTTATACATAATAAATCGTTACAACTCGTTGCGTCCAGGATTTCGGATTACATATTGAATAATATACCCCATGTTTCCATATAATAGGAAACATTTGCTCAAAAAGAAGAAGAAAAAAAAACCCTGATATAACACTCAAAAATAAATTATGGATTTTCCATAACATATTCAATTTTATCGCCGAAAAAAAACTCATAACCCATTTTCCAACAAGAATTACCACATAATATACCAAAATTATCCCAATAACATGTATCCATTTTGAAAGATAGGTTTCTCCCGCAACAAACTCAAATCTTTCAACTGGATATCCAAGACTTTTTTCCCATATCTTTGAAAATATAGACCTATAAATAATAAGGTCTTTTCATAATAATTCTATCTCTTTTCTACCAAAGATAAATACCAAATGGACGCTCAATAGATATCATTGAGTTTATTTCTCAATTTTATAGATATTTAACGTAAATAGTACGTCTAGAACCCTCTTAATTTCTGCAATTCAGGTGATTCCTGTTAATATTGGTTAGATCTTTCTTAATAAATATCTTAAGATTTCTTACCTGTTTGTCTTAGGATTTTTAGCAAAGTTAAAATCGCAGAAACGTTGAAGTCAGAAGGGAAAAATAGGAATTAAAAAGAGATAAAAATTAATAAATAAAGGGAAAAAAGGGAAAAAAAAGAGAGAAAAGAAAGGATTTATTTAATAAAGAGAAGAAAGAGTAAAATAGGTTAATAAATGGATGAAACATAAAAAACATGAGAATTATACAAGAAAGAGTTTATAATTAGTTAATATAGAATAAAATGAATAGGAAAGTATTAAGAAAAAAGGGTATAATTGTATCTTTATAGATACCATTTTACGAGGCAAAGAGAGACTCTAGAAAAAAGGTCGTAAAAAGGCCAAAATATATATACAAAAAGTAGAAAAAGAAGGGAAATAAAGAGAATTATTAGATTTATAAATAGAGTAATTAAAAAGAAAATAAAGATGAATATTATTTCAAAAAGAAGCGTTTTAAATGGTGTTAAAATGAGTATTTTTGAGATAAAAAGAAAACAGAGAGTTATGAAGCAAATACGCATGATACATTCACAAGAAGGCGATAATTTTGAGTCGTTTAATGAGAAGTAATGATATTGAGAAAGATTTATTTGATTAGATATTGATTAGATGAAAATAGATATGAAAAGTTCTTTCGAAATGTTGAAGATCTTTTTGAGGTAAAAAACAAGGAAATAAGAATGTAAATAATGAGAAAATGATAGTTACAACGTGGACTTAATAATGCGTTTGCATATGATTTTGTTCCTATGCCATCGGTTATCGAAGAAGCCTTACGAGCAGCAAGACGTGTCAATGATTTTCCTACAGCAGTTAGAATATTTGAAGGAATTAAACATAAAGTGAATAACAAAAGTTAGTAAAAAGAGAAACAGAGATAAAAATCTGATAGATTTATGTAGAAGAGTATCAACAGTATCTAGATGAGCTTAAATCAGTTCGTGAAGAACTTGGAATTCCGTTGAAAGAAGAACTGGTATAGATTTGTAATAAATATATAAGATAAATATGAGAAGAAGAGCCATAATAATATATAAATTGATAAATTGAAATTTTTTATGTTTATTATTCCTTGAACATTGATTGGAGATTTTCAAGTAATTTTGAGCCGGCATCATGACCTACATGACCAATTGTAGCCATATTATCGCTAAAATATTTAACATCTGTATAAATATGTTTTTCTATATCCTCAATATCTAAAGAAAGGGTATTATATTTTTTCAATAATACTTTTATATAAATGTCCAATACTTTGAGCATAACATCCTATGATTTATTAAAAAGATTTAATAGAAAAGAAAAAGTAACCTGTATAGTATCTTGATCTAAATATTTTGTTAAAATTTTATGAAGAGTTAATATATCTTTTACAAGAGATTCCATATAAGCATGTGGTTTTAAAGTGCCATCATCAGCTTGAAGTAATGGTTTTGACCAATCAAGAGTTTTTAAGCTACCTGAAGAGGAGTTTATAAATACATCTAGTCTATCAGTCATAATGCTAACAAATTTCATATTTATTTCTAATTGGTGCTCTTTATAAACCTAAATAGTTATGTATCTAAATGAAAATAAGAAATAATGATTACTTTTATAATTTGATCAAATTCGGAAAGATCAAGATTTCCTGAATGTCTTTTGATAAATTCAAGAATATAAGGAATTAAATAAATAATGAGAGATAGTGAATGAGAAGCCAAAGCTAAATGTCTTGCTGTTATAGTTTTAAGTCCAAGTGTTTTTATTGCACCTGCTCCTAAAATTAATTGAGAAACCTTGAAATTATATAACTAAATATATTATTAAAAAAAAATAGTAAATTTTGGTTCACTAAATTAACCTCTAATAACTCCAATAAATTATTACTTATATCGTAAGCCATTGAAGGAATTAAAATGAAAAATTTTATATAACTTTGAAGAATTAAAATCAAAAATGCCAAAGATTCAATAATAAAATATTTTTTATCCTGAATAATAACAAATGAGTTTTTTGAATTATCATCAGTGCTATTTAATAGGCTTATATCCGATTTTGATTCTTTTATTTCATTAAATAAAAAGTCTTTTTTCCATGATATTGGATCAGTAATTGCAGAATCTATAATGCAAAAAATTGCATGTTCGAGTTCTTCTGTGACATATTTTTCTGCAATCCATTGATCTCTATCAAGAATTGATGTTTCTTGTGACATTTTCTTAGCGTGATAATTATTAATTGATTGTTTAACCTATATAACTAAATTTAACTAAATTTATATAGAAACTTAATACTTGAGCCAAAACAGTTTTTTGAAGAAGTTCCCGTGATTTTCCTGTTAAAATCTCGCTTTGTGATAAAAACATAGTATTTAAAGCGAAAAAATGAAATACATCATTTTCTGAAAATTTGCTATTTTGATAGTTTCTAATATCTAAAATCGTAACCATTTCAGATTCAATGAAATCTATCACAGCTATTAAAATATCGCTAATATCTATAGATTTCAATGATTTTGATTTATAAGCAAGGTTTAATTCAACTAAATTTGATGTAATATCCAAAAAAAATTTCCGGTAAATTGATAGTCTCTGTACAAATAAATAAACCAAAGCATAAATTGTACCAATTGTTTGAAGAAAGTCCTTTGAACTCATTTCTTTTAATAAATTTACTAAAATAGTATGTTCTTTTGTTATAGGATTTAACAATAGATCTACATCAACCGGATTATTACTATCTAAAAAATTCTAATAACAATTAATTATAATTTAAATAATCTAAAAGACCTTACATATACTAAAATATTTTTAACTTCTTTTAAAATTGCATCATAATAACATTTTAATGCATTTTCAATAGAATCTGTCATATAAAGCCCTATAACAAGTGTTTCAATTTTCTTTCGTAAATCTTCATCTAAATCAATATACAATAGAGTAGAATTTTTGTTGATTTTATTCTTTTTTTGAAAATTTAAATAAATTTCGGCAATAGTTTCTGGAGAAACATATAAAATAACCTGCTTATGGTCTTTTATTAACTCATTTATAAATTCCAGTAATAATTTGTCCCTAATTTCTTCTTTAAAAATCTGCAGTTCTTTTTCAAGAGAAGAAAGAGCAACAACATTTGATAAAGGTATATTGCTAGAACCATCTAGATTTCCTTTTATTTCGTTATTAATTTTTTCTATTACATTCAAAGCGTGAATGTAATCTTTTTTTTTGATTAAATCCTCAATTTCAGAAAATTCATTCAAAATATTATAGATGTGTTTAAGTGCAAGTGTCAGCTTATCTAAATTTTCTTTCTTTTTTAATATTTCTATAATTTTCAATTTAGGCTTCACAAAAGTATCGTTATTGTAAAGCAATTTAGCTCTCAACTCTTTTATTTTATCAATACAACTCGATGATACCTTATTTAGACCCTGTAAATAATCTATAACTGAAAAAAACGAAGAGCTTATGTTATTTATTTCCTTTATCAAGTGAACTTCAACAATATCTAAATACCATGATAACTTTTCCTGTAAAATAGTATTATTTGAAAATATATTACAATAAGATGATTCATAATTTTCAGATGAAATCCCACAATTATCCGTAATTTTATCAAATATTCTTGAATTTTCAAGTTCAAAGTTAGATTTAAAATAAACTAATGGAATTGATGATAATGATTTATCTATCGTTTCTATCTTTTTTTCTGAAAAAAATTTGGAAATATACTCCTTATTAGAGTTCATTGATTCAAAATAATTATCAAACGACATTGATGATCGACCTGATGATCGATCTGATGAACATCTTGATGATTTTGTATCATATTCATTCAAATTTAACTTCAAAACATCTTTTTCAAGTTCATAATGATTCCTATCTATCTCATTCTCCCTATATAAACAATATTTACGATATTCCTGGTTAATCTTTGATAAATATTCTTGAAAATCTGAGATTCTATATTTTGGAATATTTGTTAAATGTACCGGATGAATATCTTTTGCTGTAGGCTTTTCTAACCCCTCTTTCTGATACGGTCCACTCAATACGCAGCAAATATCATGTACTAATACTTATTAACTCAAATACTATCATAATCTCTACTTATTTAAATCTTACTTTTTTCTGAAATTAAAAACTCATAACTTTCTTGTTTTTCCATCAATTTTTACGCTTCAAAAAGGAAATACATAATTTAATTAATAAATATTCTTCAATTTTTATTATTTTTATTAAAAAATAGACATTTTAAACTACTTTTTAGCAAATCTTAGTTATCTGGTAGATTTTGGACGTCCGATATTAACTGACGAAACGACACTTAACCTACTAAAAATTAAGAAATTCTTAATAAACTTAAGTTTTGTGTTATTTTTGTTTAAAAATTATAAACTAATTTCTTAACAATTTATAGAGTTTTTAATAAGAATTTAATAAAATTTTAATAAAGTAAAGGAAAATATAGAAAAATATAGAAAAACAAGTAATATATTAAAGTAAATATACAAGTATATATATTAATAATGTCTGTTATTGGATGGGATCAACCGTCAGTTTATTCAACGAGTGTTCTTTCAGGAGAAATACAGCCGGATGCACCTAAAGAAGTTGAAAAACAATTTAAAGAATTTATTCAGGAATTTGTTGTTAATAATTCATATATTTATAGGTATAAATATATGAATTATAGTAAATTTTTGATATATGAATGTAGGGATCAATTGAGAGATAATATTTTAGTAAAGCAATATTATTTAAATGTGAATATTGCACATCTTATTAGTTTTAATGAAGAATTGTCACATAAATTGGTATCAAATCCAGCAGATATGCTTCCACTTGTTAGTTTTTAAGTATAATTATTTTTATTAATTTTTGTAGTTTGAAATGGCAGTTAAAGATTCAGCAAAACAGATGGTTTATGGAGGATCGGATTCTAAGAAAGAATTTCCGGATTGTCAGGTAACACTTTATTCAGATGCGAATTATACATTGATTCGGGATCTTAATGTCTTTTTCTGCTGTATTTATTTAATATTTATTCATAATTTAGGCAAGTTATATATCAAAATTGGTTCGAATACCAGGAATTGTTATTGGAGCATCAACATTATCGTCAAAAGCTACAAGACTTCATATTATGTGTAGGACATGTCGTAATATAAAGATAATTAGTGTAAATGGAGGGTTTAGTAATATTCAATTGCCAAGAACATGTGATAATCCAGCAACACATGGGGAAAAGAAGGAATGTCCATTAGATCCTTATGTTATTATTCATGAAAAGTCATCATTTATTGATCAACAAGTCCTTAAATTTCAGGAAGCACCAAATATGGTACCAGTTGGTGAACTTCCACGTCATATTCTATTAAGCATTGACCGTTATCTTACAAATAAAGTTACTCCAGGAAGTAGGTGCACTGTTGTTGGGATATATTCAATTTATCAAAATAAATCATATAAAACTAGTAATGCAGTAGCAATTCGTAATCCATATGTTAGAGTAGTAGGATTACAGACTGAAATACATGGAAGTTCTAAAAGTTCTTATATGTTTACTGAAGAAGAAGAAGAGGAATTCCTCACTCTTTCTCGAAATCCAAATCTATATGAGATATTTGCAAATAGCATTGGGTCTTCAATCTATGGAAACATAGGTAATGTATTATAGTTTTTATTATAAATTTTAATATATAATCTAGACATAAAAAAGGCTATATGTTGTTTATTGTTTGGAGGTTCTAAAAAAATACTTCCAGATGGTATGAGATTGAGGGGAGATATTAATATTTTATTATTGGGAGATCCAGGAACTGCTAAATCACAATTGCTTAAATTCGTAGAGAAAGTAGCACCTATTGCTGTTTATACATCAGGAAAGGGATCCAGTGCAGCTGGTCTTACTGCATCTATTCAGAGAGATGCAGCATCTCGTGAATTTTATCTTGAAGGAGGTGCAATGGTATTAGCAGATAGTGGAGTTGTTTGTATTGATGAATTTGATAAAATGAGGGATGAAGATCGAGTTGCAATTCATGAAGCTATGGAACAGCAAACTATATCTATTGCTAAAGCAGGAATTACTACAATTCTTAACTCAAGAACTAGTGTATTAGCAGCAGCAAATCCTGTATTTGGCAGATATGATGATATAAAGAGTCCTGGTGACAATATTGATTTTCAAACAACAATATTATCACGTTTTGATATGATATTTATTGTAAAAGACGAGCATAATGAAAACAGAGACAAAGTTTGGTTTACTTTTACTTTCTACTATTTTAATCAATTTTAGACAATTGCTGAACATGTAATGAATATTCATATGAATAAAACCATAGATGATAATTCAACAAGGGAGATAAGCATAGAAAAAATGAAGAAATATATAAGCTATTGCAAGAAGTAAACAAACGTTTTTTAAAATACATTTTTAATATAATGTTAGTAAATGTGCTCCAAGGTTAACGCCTGAAGCAGCAGAAAAGCTTTCTAGTCATTTCGTTGCTATTAGAAAACAAGTTCGTCAAGTTGAACAAAATAGTAATGAAAGATCTAGTATTCCTATTACTATACGTCAATTGGAATCAATAATTAGAATATCAGAAGCATTAGCAAAAATTCGACTTAGTACTGTTGCAACAGAAGAACATGTAGATGAGGCTATACGATTGTTTATGAAATCTACCATGGATGCAGTAGGGGAAGGACAAATTACAAGACAAGAATTAGTTGAAGAAGTTCATAAAATTGAATCTGAATTGAGAAAAAGATTACCAATTGGATGGAGTACATCATATGCTACACTTACAAGAGAATTTGTCAATGGTGTAAGATAATAATTTTATCTATATATATTTTAAAATATTTCTTAGAAAGGTTATTCATTGTACGCACTACAAAAAGCATTATATATAATGGAACGTCGAGAAACTATTCAATTACGCAATCAAGGAGCATCAGTATACAGAATTGGAGTATAATATTTAATTTATTAAAGCATAACATGGTATTTCTAAGATCATTGTTAAATAATATATAAATTCTACATTGATTAAAAATATAAAAATGCAGTTTTTTTAGCTCTTAAACATTAAATTATAACTTACTAGAATTCATTAAAAAATTTTTAAATAATAATTAAAGATTTAGATATAATTAAATCGAGACTAACAATAAATAGTTATCAAGTATTTTATATAATATACTTGATAATCAATTACTATAGAATTTCACTATTAATCATTGGACCTTTTGTTTTTCTTTGATAATCTTCTTCTTCAACCCTTCCCATTTTTTCTGTAGGTAATAAAACTGCACGATCTAAGGCATATGGAAGGCCTAGATTAAATATTAATTAGAAAAAAACTTTCAAAAATGATTGACCTCTATGTCTGCCACGAATCTATTTTATTAATAAAAATGATGTAAATATAAGTACAAACCTGAAGACAAATAATAACAAATTTACTAACAGTAGATAATTTCGTTGAAAATGAAGAATGGATATCAGGATGCCCTATTTTTTATTAGAAAATGAATAAAAATGCTTACTCTTACCCAAGCTAAGACCAACAGTGCAATAAGCAGAAATTATTTCAAATAATATAGAAAAAACAGAAAAATTCTAAAATGTTGTTAAATTTTATTTTTCTCAGAAGACACTTCTATACAGGAAGAGATTCATCCTTAATATTTGTGTTTTCCACAATACATATAATAAAAAGCCCTAGAAATATATACCAAAGATCAAAAGAAAGTTGATGTTTTATATGGGTTCCTATAAAAAATTATAGATATATAGATATGATCAGTATAACCATACCAACAAACGAAGAACCTTGAGTAGAATCATCATCAATAGTATATATTCCTAAAGATCTTTCCTGCTTAAAGTTAAAAATCGATATAAACAATATATTTCTAACCTCATAAACATTGGTTCTATATATTAATATTAAAAACATTATTTTAAATACAAAGATAATTACTTTCTTATACTAACCGCAACCTAATAACGAATTAATATGATCCTAAAATAACCAATGGTATACATACAGGAAAAACAGAAATATACATCATAAACATATAACTAACAAGGATAGCTGTATGTAAAGTTGAAAGATTAACAATAGAAAATCCCGCAGTACGAGTAGAAAATGACTTAAATAAATAAGATATTTTTGAAAAAAGAAGAAAAATAAACCTGAAACAATGAATTTAAAACCTTAGTAAATGTAGATTCGATATCAGCCAATGATGGATTATTGAACTAAAGTCTTTTAGACTATATTTCCATTAAATTTGAGTAACAAACATCAAGAACCATAAAGAGTATAGAATCTGTGATACTAAGAATCTTATAAAAATACAATTAAGAAAAATTCAATCTAAAAAAAAATCTTACTACTAATAAAGCAAAAAGCCACATTGTAACCTAGAAAGATAAGAAAAAAAAAAGCAAAGCATAAATCAAACCTTAAAAGGAAAAAGAAGAATAAAGCATCGTCTAGGATGACTGAAAAAATTAGGCATATAATTGAATTTTATATATCTTAATACTCAAGAAGAAAATGCAAACTCTAATTTTAATTATTAAATATTTAGAAAAAATATTAAACTAATGCTCACCTCTTTATGCAAAGAATCTCTTGGAAGAATAAAAGTAATTACCCAAATAAAAAATCTTTAATAAATAAGAGATAAAATCTTTCAGTCATTTAAAATACCTTAAAAAAATGGGAAATGCAGTGTTCCTAAAAATCATTATAAAGATATTTATATATAATGATAATATTTACCCAGCTATAATTAAAAATGAACCAAAAATCAAGATAAATTTCGATTGCCTAAATTCAATTAAAGATGTTGGATTTAATGTCATTCCTTAAAATATAAGATAAATATGGAAATAATAATTTTATACCAAAATCATTAAAAAGAGATGCTGAAGTAAAAAATGCCCTAATATATATATATATATATAATAATAATAGAAAAAAGTTGATCCTTACCACCAAACCGAAGATGAAGATACGTCATTAATAGCTTTATGATATGATTTTGCATAAATAGAAAAAATTAAGAAAAAAATTGCTGCAAAAGAATGAAATATAAGATAATAACCTAAAATAATTAAAAACATAATATTAATGAATGTAACTTACAAACAAGTATCCAACATAATAATTTTAAGGCTCTATACTCAATGCCTCCCAACTCATCACGTTGTTCTTTTGTTAGAGTAACAAATGCCTATATACGATTAGATATAAATTAGTGTAATCAAATAATAGTAACAGAATTTCGTCCTATTGTAGGTTGATATGATAAATATGGAAACGATTTACTGGTTCTTTGAGATAATGGACTAGAATCTCTCTTTTTTCGAAATGCATTTGAAATATAACGATCAAAAGTGCTAACTTTAGAAATACTTTTATCGCCAGTAAGAGATTTTCTCATACGTAAATAATAATTATTTTCATATGTTGGAAGTCTTGTAATAGGTGTTAATGTATCATTAATAGTTGAAACTGGCTGAGGCTCAATGCTTTTAGATTTTCGCAATTTATTATTAAATTCATCTTCTAAAAACATATTATAAAAAGCATTAATGATAATCTTAATCCATACCTTGTTCAGAAGGATTCTGACAAGTTGATAATTCATTATCCTTTGTTACTAAAAGAATTATATTACATTATGATAAATTGATTCCACTACCGTCAATTGATTTTCTAACCGGAACTGGAAGATTGCCAAACCGAATATCCGGTGTAATTTGTCTAAAATCATATTATTAATAAATCATTAATAATATCCATTTATACCTTTCTTCGTAAAGAACATTTTCTTCATTTTTTTGAAGTTTTATATCAGTATTTTCATCTTTATTTAATAAAACATTATAATTTGATGTATTATTTAAATTAGAACTTTCTTCCAAAGACCGATTAACCTCGTTTTTCCTCTCATGTTCTTGCATTTTGGATGGTGGATTAGCATTTCCAAATGATATACTCGTCCTACGTAAAGGTGTCGGATTAAAGTCATTTTCATTCGCACTTTCTCGTCTTAATAAAACACGAATCGTACGATTACCAACTCCTTTCTCTTCTATCTCATTATATGATAGAAAAGAATGTGATAAATTCTGGTTTTTTCTCAATGACTGCGTACGTGCTTGTTGAACTAACATATTTTAACATTTATACACAAAAACCCTCATTTATTCCACCTATATTATCAAATTTACTCCTTATCAAGAAAAAACGAACAACTGCCGTAAGAGAATGAATAAAAATAGATGTTGTTAAAATAGATACAATATACAAAACAACCTATTAATTAATCTTTTTTTTATACTATTGATAACATACTTGCTGATATGTAGACAACGTACTAACGTCTAGAATTACAAGTCCTGCCTGTGTCGCTGCACTGCTTCCAAGAAAAAGTGCATCAACAAACTTAATATTTCTTTGTATATAAATCAAAAATGTACCAATAAAAATCGCTGAAAGAATATATATATCTTCATCTCCATAAATATCTCATAGAAATCCTTATAAACTTACAATGAAACCTCAAAAAATTTATTTTTGGGACTACCGTTTGTCTTCTTATTTTTTCAATTGTGCCTCCCATCTTATAAATACCCTTAAAATTATCATAAAAACTTCATTTTTTTAAAAAAACTCCTTCTAATATCTAATAAACTTAGTTATTAATCTTAAAACAATATATTATCTTACTATAAACCTCCTTATAAATATATCAATTTCTTAAGAAATATTAAGACGTCAACGGTAAAAATTATTAATAAATTTTATAAGGATTAAGGTATTTTAATAAGAAATTAACATGTTTATTAACAAAAACATAGATTTCTATTAGTATTTATTAATATTTGGGGCTTAATTGTTAAAAAATTAGGAATTAAAAGATGTCAGAGAGAAAAGTTTTAAATAAATATTATCCCCCAGACTTTGATCCAAGTAAAATTGTAAGATTACAGAAGGGATCGGATAGGAAAGGTCCTAGACAACAGACGGTTCGGTTAATGACGCCATATTCTATGAAATGTAATACATGTGGAGAATATATCTATAAAGGACGAAAATTCAATGCAAGAAAAGAGAATTCAGGAGAAAGTTATTATTCTATACCTATATTTAGGTTCTATATTAGATGTACTAGATGTTCTTCAGAGATTACGTTCAAAACAGACCCGAAAGTAAGGGATTTTAATGATTTAGAGAAGAAAAAAGGTTAACAATATTTTTTTTGTTTATAGAATGCAGATTATGCAGCAGAATATGGTGCATCTAGGAATTTTGAGCCATGGAAAGAGAAGAAAGAAGAGAAAAATGAAGAAGATCGACTTGATGAATTAGAAGAAGAAGAAAATGCTATGACAGCTTTAGAACATAAAACAATAGATAGTAAAATTGAAATGGAAATATCAGATGCACTTGATGAAATTCGCACACGAAATGCACAACGGGAAAGATTAGGGCCAGATCAAGCCCTCGAAAAAATAGAAAATGCCAAAAAACAGCCTTCTGAAGAAGCTATTCAAGAAGAATTAGAACGAAAAAAAGACTTGGAAATCGCTCGTTCTATTTTCAACTCTGAAGATTCTATTGTTCGTCGAATTACTGACGAACAAACTCCAACTCCTCAAATGCTTCTTTCTCAATCTTCAAAAAACTTTCAAATACCTGATTTCAAAACACCTTGCAAACGAAAATTATCTACTTCTCTTGGCATTAAGAAAAAAAAACTAGGAATCATATAAAACTCATCTACGCTACTTATTACACCTTTTATACTTCTTTTTCATACATTTTTATTCTAACCTATATTTACATATTATCTACACACTAAAAATTTTAAAGCCTTCGACTCTCTTCAAGTTCTGGATTTTGATAGATGGTTGAATTGGCAAAGATTACAGTGTATATATAGAGAATCTGATGAGTGATGGCCCAGGAGGGTCCAGTAAGAATAGATCAGGCGATTTGCAGGCTTTCAGAAGGTTCAAGAGGTGCGTAAAAAGAGTTTTAAAAAAAGATTAAAAAAAGGCAGATATAAGGGAGAAAATTGATGCAGTTAATGATGTATTGGAGTCACTGGATGGTCTACAACTGAATGATTATCAAGGATTTTTATCTAGATTGATACCGGTGATGGTACAGGTATTGGAAGAGGGACAACCGTCATTTGATAGTATGTCGTATGAACAGGTTAGAAAAAAGGAGATAAAATGAAGATATTGGGTTAAGGAATAGTAGAAATTACGTGGGAGTCTTTTAAATCTACTTCATAGACTTCCTTTGAATGAGACGTTTCGTTTATATGCATCGGAAGTTATGAGGGTGTTAATAAATGTTTTACATATAGATAATGAGGAAAATGCAATATTATCGTTAAAAGTGATAATAGATTTACATAGAAGTTTTAAGCAGAATTTGGAGGAGTATGTTCAGCCTTTTTTAGATTTTGTTTTGGAGGTATTTAAGAATATGCCGCAAGTTGTGAAAGAAAGCTTTCCAATGGTTAATTCAGGGTCTTTAAGTCCTAGTGTATGAGAAGGAATGATTATTTTCATTTTTGATTAATAATTTATTTAGTCTATGAGTATAAGATCATCTATATCTATATCTTCGGTAAATCATTCGGAAATACAAGATTCATCCACGATTATTGGAAGATCTAAATATAGTTTTAAAGTACTTACGGAATGTCCTATTATTGTTGTACTTTTATTTCAATCTCATAAACAAATTATTCCTATGAATTTACCGTCTTTTATTTCTGCAATAATTGAGGTAATTTTTCCGATAAAAGATGTGAAATTAACGTCTATAGATGTTGTCATTGCAGGCAGCTCCTCAGGAAGAAGAACATTTGATTGCTGCTTCTAAAAATGAAATATTTACTGGTGTTTCATCTAATATTTCAAACAAAATTTTATTTGGAGAGTTTATAATAGCTCAAATAAAGGTATTTATTATTAGGAATCCAAGATTTAGCTTAATGGTATTAGACAATGTCATTTTTAGCATATGTTTTACGAGGATTTACTGCAACTATGAGAAAATATCAAAATAAAATACCCGAGTTTTGTGTTCGTATTTTAAAAGATTGTCCACCTGAAATTTCTTCACCAAGAAAAGTATAATTATGGAAAAAAGAAAAAAGAAAATATTGACTCTTTAAAGGAACTTTTGGTTGCCACAAGACATATTTTAGCAACAGATTTTAGGAACGCTTTTATTAAAAAAATCGATTTCTTATTAGATGAGAAAGTCCTTATTGGAGAAGGAGTTACTGTTCATGAGACATTAAGGTAAATACTGAATTACAAAGTTAAAAACTTTTTGATTAATTTAAATTAGACCTTTGGCATATAGTATGCTTGCAGATTTGATTCATCATGTACGTTCTGAGCTTAGTGTAAAACAAATAAGCCAAACAATTCGTGTATATTCTGCTAATCTTCATGATTGGACGTTGGCGATAACTATTCAAACAATGTCGGCGAAATTACTTTTAAATATGATTGATAGAATAATGAAACTTCCTCAGCAATCAGAAGGTAACAATTAAATATAATGATAATAGGTAGATGGCTAAATATTTTAGGGCGCCAACTTTTAATTATAATTTTAGATAATTTTGCAAAAAAACTTAAAGAATTAAATCAGATTTATCCTTTTTTAAAACATAAGCAATTTATATCTGAAACAAAGCTAGAAAGTATGAGCCAAATATATGAACCTCCAGATGATATTGATTTAAATATTGAAAATGGACTAGATCTTCAACGTTTAAGTCCTATAGAAGCATCTCTTTCTAGTTTTAATTTATCTCCTAGTTCACTTAAAGGTATTAGATAAAAACGTTTACCTTTAGTATTTTAAATATATTTTAGACGGACGTGTATTATTTAAGAATCTAATAATTGGTTTGAAACCTATATTATTTGGTCTTAAAAGTTGTAACCCATTATCGACTTGTCCATTATCTAATATACAACAATGGAATGATGTAGTTAGAGGACTAGATACGTTTGATGTTTTACTTTTTACAAAGATATTTCATGAAGGTTGTAATGGATTCATTTATTACAAAAATGAAACTGGAAAAAATAATGACATTAAATCTAAAGATAAATCGACACTTATAGATTCATCTATCACAATTAATATCCCTAGCACTAGAGAAGAGAAAGATGTTATTGAGACATTTGCTACAATATTTATACATATCGATCCAGCTGTTTTTCAGGAAATATTTCAAGCACAATTACCTATATTTTTTGAGCAGGCCCTTAAAAATCCATCATTACTTCATATTCCTCATTTTTTTTTAACAAACGACAATACATCTCCTGGATTCGTAGGGATATTATTGTTATTTCTTAAAAGCAAGTTAAAAGAAGTTGGTGCTGAAAATACACCCAGAACTTTACTTCTTTTGAGATTTTTTAAACTAGCATTTATGGCAGTGACAATGTTTCCGGACTCTAATGAAACCATTATACGACCACATCTTAGTTACTTTATTATTCAATCTTTTAAATTATCAACAACAGCTGCACAACCAATGAATTATTTTTTATTACTAAGATCTCTCTTTAGGAGTATAGGTGGTGGACGTTTTGAACTTTTATACAAAGAGGTTTTACCATTATTGCAAGTGATCCTTGAATATTTAAATAATTTGATTCAATCATCCAGAAAACCATCAGAAAGAGATTTATTTGTGGAGTTATGTCTTACTGTTCCTGTTCGATTAAGCGTTCTTTTACCATATTTGAATTATTTAATGAGACCATTAGTATTGGCTTTGCGTCCAGGATCCGATCAAGTTAGCCAAGGTTTGCGAACTTTGGAGCTATGTATCGATAATCTTACCCAAGATTTTTTGGATCCAATTTTAGCTCCTGTTGTTGACGATCTTATGGCAGCTTTATGGGAGCATTTAAAACCTCTTCCATATAGTCATCAGCATAGTCATACTACTCTTCGTATTCTTGGAAAATTAGGAGGAAGGAATAGAAAGTTCATAATGGGTCCTAAGAATTTAAATTATGAATGGGATTTAGAAAGTCACCCTCGAGTTTCAATATATTTACATGGTTCAAATAAACCTCAGATATTTCGACCTACTGTATATATAGACCTTTCAGTTAATACAATTAGAGATCTTCGGGCTGATTTAAGTCATAAAAAATATGCATATCAATATCTTAGTTCTATCGTAAAATTATTTTTGAATTCTAATGAAATTCCTCCTAAATTTGCAGAGCTTCTTAGGAAACAGATTAAAATTATAATTTCTGAAGATCCGTCATCTTGTGCAATTTCTGTAGATGAAGATAGAATGGACATAGATGAAAATACTTATTCCAAGAGGACATTTTCTAATAATACTAATATTATGGTACATGGGGAATTATGGAAAAAGGCGCTTTTAGGTTGTTTTTATGCTGTATCAATTGAGCAATTAAAATCAGATGTCAATGAACTTATTAGTAATATATGCAGACATCTTACATTTTTAGAACTACAACAGACTTATGAGGAAATTCAGATTCGTTCACGAGCATTTTCGATTCAAACCTTTATTGATCCCATTTATTTAGATGTTAGGATCATAGGTGATGTTATAGTGGTTGGGCTTAGTTCAGAAATAGAGGAAGTACGAAATCTTTCTGAATCATGCATACAGATATTTTATAATACTCTAGTTACAATTCTAGGATCAGATAAATTAATGGACAGGATACCTTTATTTCATTCTTTTGCTAATAAATTTTGTCATGCATGTTATAAAGAGCATAGTTATGATAAAGCTGGTGGTGTTTTGGGCATAAAAATTTTAATTAAAATTTTAAATAAATATGTTAGCTGGATAATAAATCACGAACTTGATTTTATTAGGGCATTGTTATTTGTTCTAAAAGATACTTCTCCAGAAATACCTTCAACATATGTTAATAACTCTGTTGATACTATTATGCATATATTAAGAATATGTAACAGTGATACTAGTGAGATTGAACTAGATAATGAAAAACAACGAAAATTTACTGCTTTAACTGCATTATTAATAACAGAACTTTCAAATCCGAGTACTATAGTGAGAGAGACCGTCAAATCTGCATTTCGTCTCTTGTCTGAATTACAGGGGACAGAACTACACGAATTATTAAAGCCTGTTCAAGAAAGATTATTACAACCTATTTTTATAAAACCCCTTCGTGCACTACCATTTGGAATGCAATTTGGACATATTGATGCCATTACATTTTGTTTATCATTGGAACCTTCTTTTCTCGAATTTAGTGATGAACTAATTAGGCTGCTTCATGAAGCATTAGCTCTTGCTGATGCTGAGGATGAAGCATTAGTGACTGCCAGTAAAACTTCTCAGTACAAAAATGCATCTGCTTTGATTAATCTTCGTATTATATGTATTAAAATACTTTCAATAGCTATTTCATTTCCTGAATTTTCCACACCTGCTCAATCTCAAACAAGAGGAAGAATTATTTCAGTGTTTTTTAAGTCATTGTATTCTAAATCAATTGAGATAGTTGAAGTCGCAAATAAAGGGTTAAAACAAGTTTTAGCACAAAATCATAAACTTCCAAAGGATCAATTACAGGCGGGATTACGACCTATTTTAATGAATTTATCTGATCACAAACGATTAACAGTAGCGGGCCTTGAAGGCCTTGCACGCTTATTAGAGCTCTTAACAAGTTACTTTAAAGTAGAAATAGGGAAAAAACTCTTAGATCATTTGAAAGTTTGGGCAGATCCTTCTCTT